AAGATCCAGGACAAGGAGGGCATCCCTCCCGACCAGCAGCGCCTGATTTTCGCCGGCAAGCAGCTTGAGGATGGCCGCACTCTTTCCGACTACAACATCCAGAAGGAGTCCACTCTCCATCTCGTCCTCCGCCTCCGTGGTGGTATGCAGATTTTCGTCAAGACACTCACTGGAAAGACTATCACGCTGGAGGTTGAGTCATCCGACACGATTGACAACGTGAAGAGCAAAATTCAAGACAAGGAGGGTATTCCTCCCGATCAACAGCGTCTAATTTTTGCCGGCAAGCAACTCGAGGATGGCCGCACTCTCTCCGATTACAACATCCAGAAGGAGTCAACACTCCACCTGGTGCTCCGTCTGCGTGGTGGTATGCAAATCTTCGTCAAGACCCTGACAGGCAAGACTATTACACTGGAGGTTGAGTCATCCGACACTATCGACAACGTGAAGAGCAAGATTCAGGACAAGGAGGGTATTCCTCCTGACCAGCAACGCCTCATCTTTGCTGGTAAGCAATTGGAAGACGGTCGCACCCTCTCGGACTACAATATCCAGAAGGAATCGACCCTTCACCTGGTGTTGCGTCTGCGCGGTGGCCAGTAGGTGGCGAGCATGATTGACACGATGGCGTTTTGGAATTCGACTTGATATGGGACTGCACGATGGGAGCAGTTATGACCTCTTAGCATAGTTTCGCCATCTTTTACGGATGGTGCCGAATCAGACAATAGTCCCCGTCTGCACTTGAATATCATGGATTCGTTATGTGATTGTCGATCAGTAAGGTACCTAGGACAAAGCCGTCGCTTCCGGGTGATTAGCTACCACATTCTCTCTCGCAAGTGGGGCGGCGTGAGGTCGACTCCAGTGTGGCTCCTTCCTCCACTTCCCAAAGAACGATTTACCTTGACTTTTCTCTTGCAAAGCCTCTCGCGCGGCTTCCTGGGACTTACGCTATGGTCAGGCGCCTTTCTTCATTACATCCACGAGATCGTTTCATACCGCCGTGAACCAGTGTCGCAGCTTTCAGCTTCACACATGCGCCCATGCCTTCCTACTTCTACCACCTCAAATTCGAGCTGTATACCTCGCCCACCCCGAACGAACCACCATCTCTCACAGCACTAGCTGGGACTACCGACGAGTTTTGGCTGCCGCCAGGTCATGCGGACGTGTTCGACGAGAGCTTTCCGAGTCATCCACGGGTCGACAGGCAAACGACGCAAACCATTCCCATACGCGACGAACAACCACAGCTTGGCCGGAGATCATCTGGTCCTGCGAGCTCGTCGTCTCCCGTGAATACTGGGTCCGGCGCAGTTGGAAGCAGAGTCGAGCGAGCGGGTGGGCGACTATCTGAATCTGAACGGCACTTGTTGGCGCGAACTACAAGCTATCCTCTCCCCACGGCCGACGCAGGATTGAAACCCGATACTGCTGTACAAGACTGGCGTTTCGGACGCGTGAGTCTCCTGACGGTTGATCTCGCCATGGCGGCGGGACCGGCGCCCGAGCTGGGCCCTGCGGGCAGCGGTGCTGCCACGAAAGCAGAGCTTCTACCCGTTGTGACAAAGAACACAGAGGTGGGCTGGGGAGTGGTCCATTTCTACAGAGAGGGCGAGGAGACACCCTCGCTAAGCGGTGCAGGCGCTGCGCAGGAGGCCATAGACGACGCGGAGGAGTGTACGACCATGTGCATCCCAGCTGTGCCATTCTACATGAGCCCGGCCGATCTAGTTGTGTTCCTGGGCGAGGAGTGGACAAAGTACATTAGCCACTGCCGAATGGTCATGACGTCGCGGATGAACCGATACATGGTGCTGTTGCAGTTTCGGGATGCCGCGAGAGCGAGAGCGTGGAGGAGGGCATTTGATGGCAAGATATTTAACCGGATGGACGTGAGTGCCTCTTTGTTCTGCGGCGTGGGCGATGTATTGACGATTGTTGGCAGCCACAAATATGCCACGCCGTATGCGTTAAAAAGATCACGTTCGAAACGCCGGGACTATCGACAGCGAGTATATCCAACAGCGTCTCGTCTTCAATCTCAAGCTCTCTGCGACCCTTGCCGCCGCCAACGCCGAGTCTTGTCGAGCTGCCGACGTGTCCCGTTTGCCTAGAGCGCATGGACGAGACGAGTGGCCTGATGACGATACCCTGCTCGCACGTCTTTCACTGTACATGTTTGCAGAACTGGAGAGGGCAGGGCTGCCCTGTTTGCCGTTTCACAGGCGCAGCCCAAGACGAAGACGAGGCAGCAGCAAGCCCTGAAACGCAACCGTTCGGCTCCTCGGTATCAAACCTATGTGCCGTGTGTGACAGCACGGACGACTTGTGGATATGCCTGATCTGCGGGCACGTCGGCTGTGGGCGGTACAAGGGCGCCCATGCCAAGGCGCACTGGAAGGACACTGCGCACAACTTTGCTCTCGAGCTGGAGACGCAGCATGTGTGGGACTATGCTGGCGACATGTGGGTGCATCGATTGATACGTGACAAGGGCGACGGCAAAGTCGTCGAACTACCCAACAGGAGTGGACCGTCGGGCCAAGAACAGCATCAGCAGCTGCCGAATGAGGATGTCGTTCCACGCTCCAAGCTGGACAACATCGGATTTGAGTATTCACATCTCATATCGAGCCAGTTGGAGTCGCAGCGGGCGTACTTTGAGGGTCTCATGAACAAGGCGGTCGACAAGGCGTCCATGGCCACCGCGGCAGCAGAGAACTCTGCTGCACAGAGCACCAAGGCGATGGAGCGACTGGGCGAGCTGGAGGCGAAGTACAGCGCCCTGACGAAGCACACCATCCCCCAGCTCGAGCGTGATCTGGAGCGCGAGAGGACAAAGGCCAACAAGAGCCAGGAGTTGGCGCGCAGCCTGGGGAAAACCGTGCAAGAAGAGAAGCAGATCAACGAGGGGCTGATGAAGCGTATCGAGCACTTGAACACGGAGGGTGAGACGACACGCAAACAGCTGGAGGCGCTCAGGACAGAGAACACCGAGCTGAAGGAGATGAACCGCGACCTGTCCATGTTCATCTCCGGGCAGGAGAAGCTGAAAGAGATGGAGAGCGGAGGGCAGCTGAGTGAAGGGGAAGTGCAAGGGGGCACGGCGAGCGTTTCTGACAGGAAGGGGAAACGAAGAGCGAAACGGTGAGGCTGCATGATTATCAAGGAAACACAGATGTCATTGAATGCAAGGGGGCTATCACTACAACGCGGCGCATCACTCATACCAGACCAGCCAGCTCGTCTGCCACCTTGCCCTCAGGAAACGGCTCACACTCAAACCCTGACGAATTGTGGACGTTGGCGCAATACGACTCCGTCAAGGGCTTCTTCGTATCGCCCGTGACAACGGAAAAGTCCTCGACAGTAATGTTCGTACATCCTGCACCGCCCCCCGCGCAGCGCAATGAAGCAGCGAGCGTGACGCCATGCGCCGTCGTCCGAGTCGATGGTGTCGATGCCGTCCGTGTTGAGGGTCGAGTGGGCGCTGTTGCTGTTGCTGGTGTTGTTGCTGTAGATGGCGTCGAAGAGGAGGTCGTGGGACCAGGTGGTGGCCATGGTCCACATCTGGGCCTGGACGAAGCGCGGGTTGGTGATGACGGAGGCGTGGAGGTGGCGCCAGTTGATCATCATGAGCCGGCGGGCGAGGTTGTCGCGTCCACGGGCCCAGTCGTACCAGACCTGGCCGTGGCCGTCGAGGCGGACGTGGCGGCCGCCAAAGTACTAGACGGTGCTGGGCATGGAGACAGAGTGTCCGGTTCTGAGAGGCGGCAAAGTCTTCCCAGCGGGACAGAGGGGGGATGTCCTCGGGAGAGTGTGGGTGGTGCGGGAGCAAGGAGAGCTGGGAGTTGACGATTGATGCTACCGCCAGAGGCAGCATGATGAGGATTGTCGTATACGCTGTCCGCTGTCGTATGTTGGGAAACCGAGGCGGGGCCTGTATACTATATGCCGCCAGTTCACAGACTTGCTTGCGTCCTGGGGCAGTATGGTGATGCTGATCGACATGAGCCAGTCGAACCAGGCATCAGATGACTTGAACGGTGCCGGACGCACAAAGCTGATCCACGTCGTGGATGCTGGAGCACGGCAACCGTTGGTTCCGGTGCTTGCTTTGGCCATGGCCATGGTACACCTGTGCTTGCTGCTTGCTTCCCGTGCGGGGAGACGAGGATGAGAAGTGTGGTCGTCGACCCAAGGATCCACGACGCCGGGATCTCCGTCCGGGATGGACCATGGCGTCCGCTTCTTCCCGGGCCCCCGGCGCTGACCCCACTGGCGGAGCTGTCAATGCTTTGCAGTCTTCCTTTGCTTGTCGGCCACTCAGGAAGTACGCAGGAGATAGACAATCAGAACTTGGGCGCTTGTAGAAAGGTTCTAGCTGATTCAACGTCAAGTCGCGACGGGGCTGCTCCTCTGGTGACGCGTCACAGACAAGGCACGGTAAGGAAGGCTTGGCTTGGCTGGCTGGCTACATGCCTCGTGCGTTGTGATCAGGGGAAATTTGGAGCTACAACTTACACGCACCTTCATTGCCAGGAATTCCAAGGAATTCTCATTCCTAATGTATTAATGGGTCGCGTTCCAGTCCAGTCTCCTAGACTTACGTACAATACCTGCCTGCATCGACCACGCCCCGACGATAGGCGGGCGACGGGACGGCCGACGCAGGGGCGACATAACTTGGGCCGCCAAGCAGTGAGCACCGACCACCTGCTCTTCTTCTCTCGCGAGTCTCGAGTCTCGAGTCTCGAGTGTCAATGGAGCAGCAAGGATCAGCCAAGTCTTTTGAATATTATTTGCCTGCTCCATCCCTCTTGATTTGCATGTGATCGGCGCTGGGTCGAAAAGTTCTGTCTGCAGACTTCTGGGGGAGGACTGCGGATTCACCCTCACTCCAATAACCAACAAATCCAAGCAGCTACTTTATTTACCCTTCACCCCAATTCAACAAGCTTTCGCAGCACCAGCTCCAGCACCAGCTCCAGCCATCATCCGAGACCCGGGGATCAGCCCAGCCCAGCCGAGCCGCCTCTAGTCTCGTCCTCAGGGTTCCCCAATCATTAATAACTTATAGATCCGCCAGTCCGTCCGACCAACCCGGCGCACCCTGCCCTGCCCAACCATCAATACCCACGCGCCCGTCGCTGGGCCTCGCGACCGCACGCCGCCTCCCCTCCCCTCCCCATCGCATCACATCGAACGTCCCCCCTCCCTCGCGAATTCGAACATGGCGGCGTCTCAGCCTGAGCAGCAGCCAGCGCAGGCGGACGCACACGACAGAGGCGCGCTGGCCACTACCCCGCACCGCAATGACAACACCGCGACCACCAAGCCCAAGACCAAGAAGCACGAGAAGGAGCTCTATCCCATGGTCAACTGGAAGTACGACCTCTTCCTCTACATCATCGGCAACCTCGTTGACACCTTCTTCCGCGAGGTCGTCCCCCGCGGCTCCTGGCGCGTGCCCCAGTCCGGCCCCGTCCTCTTCGTCGCCGCCCCCCACGCCAACCAATTCGTCGACGCCCTCCTGCTCCAGCGTGTCCTGCGCCAGGAGGCCAACCGCCGCGTTTCTCTCCTTATCGCCCAAAAGTCCGTTCATGGCTTCATCGGCTGGGGCTCGCGCCAGGTCGGCGCCGTCCCCGTCGGTCGCGCCCAGGACGCCGCCAAGCCCGCCACCGGCCGCATCTACCTTCCCGACCCCATCAACGACCCGACTCTTGTCCGCGGCGTCGGCACTAAGTTTGGCCAGGGCGAGGGTGAGGTCCAGGGCATGCTCTTCCTGCCCTCGGGCAAGAAGACCACGGGCGCCAACGTCGACATTGCTCAGATCCTGAGCCCTGAGGAGGTCCGCATCAAGCGCCCCTTCAAGGGCAAGCTGGCCATGGAGCAGCTGACGGGGCGCGACGACGTCGACGAGGACGGCAACTTTACCGACAAGAGCCGCAAGGGCTGCGCCGACGGCTTCGAGGGCACAAAGTTCAAGCTGGCCCCGCACACGGACCAGACAAAGGTCTACGAGGCCGTCTTTGCGCGCCTCCGCAGCGGCGGCTGCGTGGGCATCTTCCCCGAGGGCGGCAGCCACGATCGCACCGAGCTACTGCCCCTCAAGGCCGGCGTCGCCATCATGGCCCTCGGCACCCTCGCCGAGTCCCCCGACTGCGGCCTCAAGATTGTGCCCGTCGGCATGAACTACTTCCACGCGCACAAGTTCCGCTCGCGCGCCGTGATTGAGTTTGGCACCCCTGTCGAGATCCCCAAGTACGTCGTCGACCAGTACCGCAACAACAGCCGCCGCGAGGCCATTGGCCAGGTCCTCGACACCGTCTACCAGGCCCTCAACTCGGTCACCGTCTCGGCGCCCGACTACGACACGCTCATGATGATCCAGGCCGCGCGCCGTCTCTACAACCCGACGGGCAAGAAGCTGCCGCTGCCCGTCGTCATCGAGATGAACAGGCGCCTCTGCAAGGGCTACGAGAAGTACAAGGACGACCCCCGCATCGCCAAGCTCTCCAAGGACGTCAAGACCTACAACCAGCAGCTGCGCTACCTCAACCTCAAGGACCACCAGGTCCAGTACGCCCGCATGTCCATTTTCAAGGTCATCTTCCTCACCGTCTACCGCTCCATCAAGCTGCTCCTCCTCTTCCTCGCCACCGTCCCCGGCCTGACGCTCTTCGCGCCCGTCTTCATCGCCACCAAGATCATCAGCCGCCAAAAGGCCAAGACCGCCCTGGCCGGCTCCACCGTCAAGATCCAGGGGCGCGATGTCATGGCCACGTGGAAGATCCTCGTCGCCCTCGGCTTCGCGCCCACGCTCTACCACTTCTACTCCACCCTCATCGTCGCCAAGGTCTGGCACGACCGCCTCTGGGGCCACGTCCCGGGCTGGGTGCCCCTCTGGCTCGTCTACTGCCTCGTCTGGCCCGCCATGGTCGGCATCACCTTTGCCGCCCTGCGCTTCGGCGAGGTCGGCATGGACATTTTCAAGTCGCTGCGGCCCCTCCTCCTCTGTCTCTCGCCCATGTCCGGCTACAACATTCACCGCCTACGGAATCGCCGCGCCGAGCTGAGCTCCGAGGTCACGGAGCTCATCAACACCCTCGGCCCGGAGATGTTCCCCGACTTTGACAAGACGCGTCTCGTCCCCGGACCCCTCAAGGTGGAGGAAGGCGGCGCGCCGGCCAGCAGCAGCAGCAGCGGTCACCGCCGGCAGGACAGCGACCAGTCCAGCCAGGGCGGCTTCGAGGTCGAGACGCCTCCCGCGCTGTCCCGACGCGCCACCACACAGTCCAGCCGCCAACTGCCCCGGCACGACTCGTTCAGCAACATTGGCCACGTGGGCATCTTCTCCACGCGGCCGCCGTCGCGGTCCCGCAGCCGCTCGCGCTCCAGCAGCAGCGGGGGCGGCTTTGGCTCGAGTGGCTTCCCCATTACGGGTTTTACGAGCCTGGATTCTAAAGAGGGCTTTGACGAGGCGAGTCGCAAGATTCGCGCGGCCATGAAGGATAGGCGGCGGCGGTCTGACAAGGTTCACAAGATGGAGACGGGGCCTGAGGATGATGATGAGGGTGGGGACAGTGAGGAGGAGGGCTACGATGAGGCGCGCAAGAAGAATATGTAACGGTACGTGAGCGGGAACGGGACGATATGGAGTCACAATGAATGTATTAGTTTTTATCTGACTGCAGGGTAAGCTGTTACTGGAGGTGAGACGCTCGACTGACGTAGTACTACGTCCGTGTCCGCGCAGAGCCGCACATGCACGTAGGTGTGCGCAATCATGCGGTTCTGAGAATGAAGCCTTGACTGATGAGCGACACCCGAGGGATTGCGCGTGCGTCTGCAACAAGGTACTCCCTCCAGACACTAGGCCTGCGATCCTATAATCCGTAGTTTGGAGAGTGAGAAGCAGGGTCGTGGCGCAGGGGAGGAGGGGACCCCTAGGGAAGAGGCTGCAAGAAGGGTTGCGAGGCTTGATGCGGCAGGGGTTGCATGATTGCATCGTCGTGACGGCGATCTGGGCGAGGTGACGTCTGGAAGGATCGGGCGACAGATGTCCGCGCCTCCGTTTCAGAATACGCGACGCAGTGTAATGAGCATGTCCAGCAATGTCCTGCAGAGCGTTCGACAGGAAGAGTCAATCATGTGTGGATCAGACGGTGATCCTGCGGCAGCGTGTGGCCGCTTGTGAAGTCATCGTCGCTACGTTGGGGATGGATTGACCGGACCCTTTGGTGGTGGACGTGAAGGTTGGGTACCTACATTCAGCAGGGAGAACACGAGCAAATAGTATAGTACCAATTCTTCAATCGCAACGTTTTTCTCCGTTGCTCTAGGTCGCTCACCCTAAGTTAAGCGTTGGCCCGGACCACTAGACTAGTGGTCCGGCAATCGGTCCGTAGAAGCGCAAGTGCCGGCGGCGCAGCTGGCTTGGACAGATCAATGCCAAGGCCAATGACAAGTCAAGCCAAGCTTGCTGGGAATGCAAATCTACGAGGCTGTTTCATTGCTATCCGGAATCTGTCACCTGTTCACAGTGTGGCCAAGCCGCGTGTGTACACGTCTAGGACAGTCGCTCAAATTCATCAAATCTATCTACAGCAAGCAAGACAGCGAGCAGCAAACGCAAAAAAGCAAAATCAGTCGTAGCAACGACCACGGTATCGTTGATCTCTTGCCCCGTTCATTCTGTCCTCAATCTGCTCGATCCATTCCATCCATGAGCTCGATCTGCGCAAAAGAGAAAAACGCCAACCCCTTGTCTATCCTTCCCCACTCCGCTCTCATGCGTGGTAGGTTTGGTTCCTGGGGCCCCAGTGGCGACCACCGACGATGCCGTTGTGGTACGGCTTGTCCTGCTGGTCCGGTTGGCTCTCGGGCGTAAAGGCACGCTTGTCGACGACGACGGTGGGCTTGCCGTGGTGAGGCCTGTCCGTCTCGTTGTACCGGCCGAAGGCACGGGCTGTGAGGTTGCCGGGGGCATGGTAGGGGTAGCTGTGGCGTGGGCGGACCTCGGGGGCCTCGACGGCTGTTGATAATGTGTTAGTCAGGGTGCTCGTTGTTGTTGTTGTTGAAGCCAGAGTGGAGACAAACCACGAGGAGCTGTGTAGTCGGCCATCTTGAAGGGAATGGCGGAGGCGGACGCAGCCAGGGCGATGACAAAGCCGGTTATCTTCATGGTGAGTGCTGTGTGTGAAAATTGCTGAGCAAACTCGTTGTTGTGGAAAGAGAGGTGAGCGTCGTGACCGGCACGGACAAGAGATGATACAGTGGAGTAGTCGAATCGAAGTACGTATCTGAGAAGAATCGAGACGACCAGAGATGGGTCGGGAGGGGCGTCTTGGCTTTATGGATAAGTTGAATCGACGAGGGCCATCCACTTGAGAATGATTCAACGAGACCTTGCTTCCGGTTTGCCTGCCGGGGGGTGCGAGTGGAGGATGGATGTGACGGTGCACTCCCAGTGTTGGACGGTGACCAGGGTGGGTGAGTGTGCCTGTAGCGTGTGGATGGATAGATAAACAGATCGTTCGGCGGGAGGGCTCCTTCAGGTGTGGTGCGGAACAGGCGATACCGAGAGCTGTGCAAGGAGGGAGGAGACGAGGCAATATTCAAGATAGGGGCTGGCCTGTGTGATGTTGATTTGGGTGGTCTTTGCTTGTGTTGCCGAGTAATGGTGAGCAGAGGCAATCAGGACGAAGACAAGGAAACTTATAGTCAGTCAGTGCAGACAAGAAAAGACATGGCTGGAGCAGATGGTGATCACTTGCCCAGTGCTCTCTGTCTTGATCAGATCGTCACAGCACAAAACAACGAGGTTGACATGGAGCTCTTCAAGCCTCAAGGGACCCTTTGCAGTAGCGCCAGGAGATGGATCCTGTCGACCGGGTGGTGGTGGTGGTGGTGGTGTCCCACACCATCCTTGTCCGGCACTTTGGGAGCCTGACGTTACTGTACGTACACGGACGGACAGGAACAGCCTCCTCAGCCCCGCGAGTTTTGATGAAGAAGTGCCTGATGATCTCCTCCCTCCCATACGTGTAGGTGGCCCACTGCCTTCACGCAGTTGTTTGACATGTGGCGTCTGCCTGCTTGCGTGTCATGTGGTCGGCGCCATGTTGATGGTGGGGGCTAGCATTATGATGTACGCGGCTCCAAGTCGCGAGGAACAAAATATTTCCGTCGTCGACGTCGGCTGGTTACCTCCCAGTGCCGCCCGAATGCTCTCTCTGCCACGGAAGCGCAAAAGACCGACCGCTCCAGATGCACACAAGCGCAAGGGGATCGATCCATGTCCCCGATTGCAGATCTTCCCTCGGGTCGCCCAACTGGTACAATTACGACAGCAACCTGCAGGCCTTCTTCCAGAAAGTCCCAAAAAGCCCTAGACGTCGTCACGTCGTCGAAGGCTCGAAGCCAAGATGGCCAGCAGCCGCCTTGGCAGGGTATCAAAAAAACTTGGCTTGCAGGGTCCACCCGCGCTAGCACGATCGTCGCCCACGGACGTGGACGGTTGGCCCCAGAGGCGTCGTCCGTTACAGCCATGGTTACATCTATTTACGGTATGATGTGCAGAATTCCTGTCCCTCCGTCTGTGGCTGGGGCCTACAATGTGCGGAGGCTGAGGCATCTGGATCCAGGCCGTCGTCATCACTGGCGCGGATCACTGCCTCGCTGTCAGTCTTTCCGACTGTCCAGCCACCTGCGGCCTCTGGAGTCTGGCCTACGGAACAAAGCGAGATGCCGTTTTGCCAATCGCCTCCGTTCAAAATGGAGGCTGGGTGAGCGGGTGGGGGTCACCTCGACCTCGATGAAGTCATGCCATTCATTGAGTCGACTCGACCGACTGGAAGCTGGAAAAGGCCCGAGGTGTTCAGACGCGCGACTGGACCCGGCAGTGCGACAGTGGCAGTGGTCAAGTGCGTTATCGTCGTCGTTGTGCAACAACTTGTCCTCTTCCAGAAAGTGCTGTCTGTCATCGTGGAGATGGACGCAGCGTCCATTCAGTCTGGAGATTGGAGGCTGGAGGCTGGAGCCCCAACGTCAGATCTCGCCAAGCTGCGACGCCCGCATTGGCAAAAGCTTGTCCAAGATCCACTCTGCATCGATGGAATGCCGATATCACATCCGGATCTTTGCTCATTGACCATTGTCGTGGTGTCAATGGTTGTCGCACGTTGCGTTGCTCTCCGGCCCATGGCTCATCACACATTCATCCTTACCTAGGTCGTCCATCCTTCCCTCTTAGGTGTGAGCTGCGAGACGTCGAGACCTCACCGTCAACTGCCGGACAGAGACCGACAGACCCCTGTCAATTCACATCCCTGTTCCGCCGCCGTCGGCCATACCAAGCCAAGTGCGCGGCACCCAATACGTACAACGACGGCTCGTGGTTCCCATTCGTGAGTCTAAGCTTGATAATAAAGTAGCACATCTCGGCGGCACTCGAATGTTCCCTATCCACGAGGTTGTGACACGGAGTCGACGTGTGCGTGCCAAACAATGCGTCTCGCATTGGAAACTTGGAATGTGTCTCTCATTCAAGAAGCGCCAAGGGGGAGTCTCTTCAGTAATTAGTTCTCTCTACTTCATCGGTTCATCTACAGCTACAGAATAACGACTCCAGTGTCTGAAACACAATGAGCACAAAAGGCTTCGCTGCTGTGAAGTGCCTGCAAGCTCGCAAGCTCTTCTCGTCGTTCACTCCATCGCACAAACAGGCCCGACGCCGATCCCTTCGGCGACCTTTCAGCTTCCCATTCAGGACTCGGTTGCCTCTCCTTCGTCTCCGCGACCCTATAGGCAATTACCCCTGACGATGACTTGCTGCTGCCTGCACGCTCTCTCTGGTCGACCGACATACTCGGCCAGGACCGTCGGCGAGGCATTTGTTGAAGAAGCGCGCACTGCCCACATACACTGGAGCTACCCTCTACCCAAGAGAACATGTATCACGGGCCACGGGACGCAAGCTGAAAACACCGAGTGCCTGATTTATTCAACGTCGAGGCACTCGGTGACCACGGCTGTCAAGCCTATCAACCGACACTCCCACAGGCTGATTCACACAACTGCCGACCCAGAGCAACGCTCGACGACCAGACTGCTCTATTCGTACAAGCTCCGCTCGCCCTGCCGTGCTAATCTGCCATGCTCATCTACGCTGATAAAGACAGCTCCTTGAAGCGTCGCATCGCTGCCTTCCTCACATGAGCCAGTCCACGAGGGGTTCCTCTGTGGGCTCAAGGTATTCATCCCCAAAGGTTCCGTCCCTCCCATCCCCTTTGTTGTGCATGAGTCGCCTGTTCTGAGAATCCTCTCTTCCTCACTCTACCTCCTTGGCCCATTCTTCCAGTCCAAGGGAGCAGCCAGTCCGCCGTCACCAGCTCATCACACCTCTCGCACGGTCAAACCCAGCACGCAGCTGCTTCTCTGGCTTGACCACCTTGCCCTGGAGCACCGTATACCGTATGAGATTCTCGCAGTCCTCCGGTCGCACGCGCGCCAACCATATCCCCTGCGCGGCACCACCATCCACATGCTCTTCTGCTTGTCCATTTCCATTTCCATCCCCATGCGAGGACGCGCCCTTAGGTGCTGAGTCTTGTCCAAAAGCGTTTCTCCGTCGGTATATCATCACATTCGCCGAGTACTTGTGCCCGCCGACGTGATTTATAAAGTATATCCCCACACCGCCCGGTCTTTCATCATGCATATCCCTCTGCAGACCCAGCGGCCGCAGATGCCGCTCCAGTTCCTTCTTCAGCAGCGGCGCGCTCTGTCCGCAGCGCGCGTCGCGCGTCCGGTGGCTGCACATGAGGATGACCGCGCCGTGTGGACAGTCGCGCGGGATCATGCCCTCGACGGCCTGTGGTGTGAACGGTGTGTCGAGCGGCGACTCGGTCGTCGGCGCATGTGATATGATGGAGTCTATTAACGTGGGCACGTTTCTCGGGAGGACGTTGTCGACATATGTGAAGGCGGGGAGGAGGAGGATCGTCGTCGGTTCCGAGTAGTCGCTCGTGTCGTGGGGCGTGGGCATGTTGGACGCGGACAGCTTCAATGTCTGTTCCTCCAACGTCAGCTTCACCCGCAGACCTAGACTAGCAGCAAAGAGCCAAGCAACGCACCCCATTACTCGGCACGTCCGCCTTGGCGGCCGCCTGCATCACACTGCCCTCCTCGTCGGCGACGTCCCGCACCCAGTCCGTCTTGCCCGTCGCGACAAGCATGTGCGTGCTCCACGCCTGGACCTGCCCGTACAGGTCGTCCTCCTCGTCAATCTCAAATTTGCGCGGGTACCGGATCGTGCACGAGTCGCAGTCGTGCAGGCACGCCTCGCCGTCGACGGCGGGATCGACCTTGGGGAATAGCGCCGCAGCCTGGGCGTCGTTGGTGCTGACGTCTTTGCCCCGGACCCATGACGATAACGACTTTAACGTGCCGGCCATTTTGTATCCGAGTGGTTGGGGCCGTAGTGGGATGGAGGAGGAGGAGGAGGAGGAAAAGGGAGCAGAAAATGGTGTTGAAGAAGAAGACGAAGAATTCGGCATGGTGGGACGGACGCTGAGAAATTGCGCGGAGGGGGCCCGACCGACAAATGACGCGAACCGCGCCGCCGCCAAGTCCGAACCGGACGTTTGATTGATAGATTGATGCTGAGACAAGCGTGTGCCGCACTGCCGGTGGAGGCACCGGGATTGATAAGATAATCAACGCGTCGGCCACGAGGTGAAAGGACGGCTGCGGCGTCGCCTGTGGGAGGCAAAATCAGTCAATAGGTGTTTGCAATGTATTGCAGAACTATAGTACTGAGAAGAGGAGCGGCCTGGGCCTTTTGTGCGCGTACCTCGTGGTCTCTATGTTGTGGAGGCATCCCAGCTCATGGTGCGTATCTCCGAGCTGGCAGGAGATTCGCGTCGCGAAATCCCCGGGTGACTTAATTACTTACGCGGTACGGCTTGCGTGGACATCTGACGTGCATTCACTTGCGTTGAAAAGCGCCTACTTCGGTCAAGGAATCTAAGTTGCCTAAGAAATGACCGCTGTGATTCAAGCTTGTTATTGCTGATATTTCCGCTACTCTCAGTAGTTTCCCAATAGCAACCATCAATTCGCCAATTGCCTATCCAATCCATTCATCAACCAATTCTCCGCGTGACTCTCATGGGACTACTCTAAATGTCCGCTCCCGCAAATGCGCCGTATCCTCATAACGCCATGCCCATGTCTCTAATACAGTTGCCCTATCCATCGTCCTAAATGCTGTCCAAAATCGTAAAACATGATCCGTGGTATCCCATGTGTGTGGCCCATGTGCCATCCATTCTCCTGATTATCGATCTCCGTCGTCGCCGTGTACAGTACATGTAGTGTAGTATGCAGAATGAGAAGAGGAAATGAGTCCAAGTAGACGTGGACTATGCCCCTTCTGAACTACTACTGCTGCTTGACGCTGACGTGACGCTCATCGATTTGCGGACGCGGTGCACCAGTGACCAGATACCGAAGCTGACGAGCGCGAGCACGATGAAGAGCACAATGATGATGATGGCGATGGTATCGTTCTTCTTGACCATGATGGCGGCTGTGAGGGTTGTGGGGGAAAGTGTCGGGTTCGGGTTGGCTTGGAAAAAGAGAGAGAGAGCCGAACTGAGTCGCTGGGCTTGTCTCGTCTCAGTTGCGTAGCAATTGGGTGCTGCGCTTGGTTGAAGGCCTCGAGTTGAGCCCAAACTTGGAAGCGACAGCGTGTGTGTGGTGGGGTCGTGTGGTGATGATGGTCGTAGAGGACTGTGACTCTTTGCAAGCAGCGAAGATGTCAGCTGAGTAAAGTACTCAGTTTTTTGGTCTCGAAGAATCGTGCAGGTCTCGTTCAAGTGTCTAGCGGCAAGTGATGATATCGGCAAGAAGATGCAAGAGAGACTGGAATGTGCAAAGCGATGGCTGGCGCATTATATTGGTGGTTGCCCCGCCACCGGCTTTTTGGGTGCGAAAGCTGGCAGCAATGCTAAAATGGCAAGGCTGGGCCATAGCGGGGCTTCCCGTCCGTCATGCAGGGGCCGCATGAGCTTCTCATTGGCCAACCATCGCTCCCTCAACTTGGAGCTTGGGGTTGGGCGCCGAAATCTCATTTGGGTGACGATTGCTCGACCTTTTGAAACGTGTGGCTGGTATGAATCGAATCAATGCTCCCACCGAGGGTTGTTGAGCTGCACGGATGATGATGGCCATTGCCTTGTAAGGTACGTACATGTATCCGTAGCTCCAGGAAGAAGGAGAAGTCGTTCGTTCGCGTTGAAGATCTTATACATTTGAGACAGCGGCGCCGTTCCAAGCACGCCCAATTGTACAAAAACAGCCACGAACCAGATAATTAACGCTTGCAAGCATGCTTTAGTCCCAGGCAACGAAATGCACAGCAGCGCGCCCTTCCTTAGTTCTCATCCTCGGCCTGTGTCAACGTCTGCACCTTTTCCTCCGCCTCGTTCTTCATAGTGGTCACAATCTTCACGTGGCGCTCGTAGAAACGCAACATCTGCGCAGCTCCGTCAGTCACTGTACCAGCTTCTCTCTTCGGACCAGTGTTCACCTTTTGTGGGCATCGTTTGTAGACAACGCTGGGAGGATGCTTCGTCTTTGCGCCATTTTGCCAATTTAAAAAGATGGTCAGGGTGCCGTTGCCATCTTCATCAGCCGCGTCGATGCTAACGACTTCGTCTTCCCATGACCCTGCTGGCGGGACGAACGACTTGGGCTTCGATGCCGGCGCGTCCTCCTCATCGGGATGAGCTTCGCGCTTCGAGCGCTTCGATGTGCTGGGGCCCGCGGACTGTCGCCCGCGCTTCTTCCCCTTGGTGGCTTTTGCGTGTTGCGCAAGGATGGCATCCCGACCGCCTACTTTGGCAAAATACTCCTTGAGGATCTCACTTGCGTCCTCCCTGTCGTCGAATCAGCTTGCAACCCATGTGCACGCGTGCGATGAGCTTACTCCAGGTTCTCTTCGGGCTCCCACGTCATGTCCGCCTTCTTCTCGTAGCCTTCCCACTTCACCTGGAATCGGAGGATGCCCTGCTCCTGTCAGCCGCTCAATTCGTCGTGTCCTCTGGAGCCGCCGTACCTCTTCATCAACCATGTGCTTTTTAATCGCCTCGACGACAAATCTGTCCAACTAGGTCAGCGTTCTGCCACTGCAAGTTGATCCTAGTATCCTTACACATCCTCCTCCTCCTCGCCGTCCTCATCCTCATTGTCTTCCTCTCCTTCTGAGCCAGGCAAATCTTCGTCGTCGATTACTGCGTCCGGGCCGCCGACAATCTTGGGGCCTGCTGAGCCATTCGCGGGAGCTGGGCGGGTCGGAATAGTAGCGACGCCAGCGTCGGACTCGGAGTCACTTAAAGCTGCGGCAAAAACATGTTTAGCCGTTGCACCCTTGATAAAAGAAGAAGTGCCTGATCTGGAGCGTCTTCTGGAAGCCATGTTGAAGAGAGGCTACAACAAGCGTTGCGCAATGGTAGGTGGACGCGTTTGCGCGGAGCGGCGCGAAGACTTTGTAGGGGTACAGAAGGGCGTCGCAAGAGGAAAGAGAAGCAGTAATGTGTCGATGGACATACCTGGAGGCATTGTGGACTAGATGCGACGACTCCTATATACGTAAATGGGACGAAGACGAGCCGCAAGTGACTGCTGGTGTGTTATCAAGCTCGCAGCGGGTCGCGCCAGACGTCAGTCCGAGTCGCGATGCGCGTGGGCCTGGCTCCCGGTCATGTGAAGGCCCTCTACTCTTTAGTGCGGTTGAGCAACTTGAGCTCACCTGCTATCCAAGTTATCATCTTCCGATTCCTCTCTTTACATGTTCCTTTACCACGCTTTACTTTGCTCTCAAGTGGCAGGAAATCCATACACTGTCCTGCTAACTTTTTGTATGCCATGCGCTGCGAAGATGGTCAACACGCAGGCAATTTACGTGCCCAATTGATGTACCAGTCTTCCACGTAGGCTGCACTCGAAGAGCCCAAGGCCCAGGAGCACGCGATCTCTTGTCAGAACACTTTGGCCCGGTATTTGGACTTGCTCCTTCATCAAACATACGACGTATTCGTAAGGTCATCGCAGCTCAGCGTGTCCGTAGGATGAACCACCAATCAAGAGTCGCACCTGTCCAACCGCACCGCTGCGAGAGAAAAGGGTTCACCAGCTAAATAAGCCTTGATGTGCTGCGAAACATTCACTTGGCCATGGGCGCATGTGGCATTGGCTGGTGTCAACGGATTGCAAGTTGCAAGCGTAGTACGAGCCGGCAGGCATGTCGTGCTGACGTGCAGCTCGGACAATGAGCCCAGTCGAAAGTGTGGTTGGTCAATGGCAGCCATGCGGCAGCGATAGGCACTTCTTGCGAGCGTCCTGCGAAGTCGTCATTTGAATAATATTCCTGGAAGTCCAGCCTTTGGACACCAAAAGTTCTCAGGGGCACTGCTCAATTTTAAGGTTTGCCGGGTGTTGCAATGCCAGTGCAGCCAATCGAAATAAGGCCCAAGGAGACAACCGATCGATGAGGCGCGGGATGAGGGGTTCCGCGACTTTTTGTTTTCGTCGGCTTTCCTTTGCTTGCAAGTTGCAATAAACCTCCTTCAGTGGGGCTGTACTTGATCATTGCTTTGTTCATGCACTGTGCCTGCTCCATTGTCTTGTTGTCGGAATGACAAGCTGGACTCTGTTCAAGTCACGTATGTGTCCGGTGATGGACAGTGCATCCGAGCAGCAGGGACCCCTACACCTGATGGAGATCTCCCGATACGCCGAACCCCTGAGCTCAACGAAGGGCGTTGTGTCCGGCGTCGTTTGTGTCAACTCAAATATGTGTCAAATACGCGACCGTCGCCTGTTAAGCATTAACTACCTAAAGTATGACAGGTGCCAAAACACGTTGCTAGCAAGTTACCTGGTGGCTCGCTCCAGCTTGTGTGAGTACGGATCAACATTCGGGCGGAAGTCTATAGGATGCAGTTGAATTAGATATCCGCTGGCTTGCATTTAATTGGATGTGTACATATTACCCATCAACTACTAACTTCATTTTAGTAGCTAACATTCGAGTCAAGGACGAAACATGCATACGACAGCGGCAGAGGGATTTCACTCTCCGTAGTTGTCAGTCCTAATCGATTCACTCCAAGTGAGACAAGATGACCCAAAAAGAGGTCATATGTACCCTTACTCATAATAACGTGCAGCTGAACGTGAACGGGCGGCTCGCGAGAGCAAAGAGATTGGCTCTCGGACGGGAGCAAATGTCCTGCACTTCGAAAAATGAAGATGCGTGGCGTGCCATGCTGTCAAGGACTCAACGCATGGTCCTGGAGCCCTGCAAGGCCAGCACAGCGCTAGGATGGCGGGCGGCTCGGGGACGCCATTCCCCGTTACGACGCTAGCGGAAGCTCTGAGCTGCATTGCACGAGCGTGACAATTGGCAGTTGAGGGGTTTGCGTTCAAGGAGGTTTGAGGCATATGGGGTGCTGCTACAGCTTGTAAATGCTGCCTATTGAAGATGGTGTGGGTAAGCAGAGCTCCCACACTTGACGACCATACAATGGCATCTGCAGTCAGGGGCTACCAAAAGAGGCCTACCCTGTACTAAAAATGCGTGACGGGGAATGGGGGGATTGGGGGGCGTTACATTTGCCCAGCAGTGGACCCGGGGCGGGGAGTGAAGCACATCTCAAGCTTGCCATTGGCGCAGAGCGTGCGTTCCACCCCTGAATGAGAATCAACCCTTTCGAGCCGACCTTTGCCCTCCGGCCTCCGCTGATCAGGATCCATCAGGCCTTGACGAAAAAGACCAGAAACGCCAATTCATGACCAGGGGGCTCCGTAAAAATTCCACGAAGCTCCAGTCCTTTTTCTTTTGACCGAGCTCTTCTTTCGTGTCTTCGTTTAGACCTCACCACTCCTTCTCTTCTTCCAGTCTCTTCTGTCATCCGCCACTTCTCCACGAGCGTGCACTGCAAACCAAGCAAGGAAAGCTACCCTCCAGCTGGTGTTGGAGCACCTCCTCCAGTCCAGTCCCGTCCCTGACCTGCTCTTCGTGCCGTTCAATGTCTGGACCTCCCACCTGAAGCGCGAGGCCCTCTAATTATTGCTCACTAAGCTCTCGAAGACTCCAATCGGTAACCTTTCGAACCACGGGCCTTTCTACACTCGTTTGCCCAACACAGCCGGTCCCGTCACCTCGCCTTCTCGACTCTCGTTCAAGTCCCCCAATCCCTTAAGATCGGCACCTATCACAATCAATAACCCCTTCGCGTCGACGATCCGGCCCCTGCTTCTCCACCCCACGAATTGCGATTCCGTCACTTCTGTCCCGCATTCGAGCCTCCCTACCAAACGTCATGGACGATTCAGAGCTCCAGGAAGGAAAGACGCCCAAGTATAGCGCCCCCAAAGACAAAAACTGCCCCTTTTGCGGCCAGGCATTCACGTCCTCCTCGCTTGGCCGCCATCTAGACCTGTACATCAAGGAAAAGAACCCGAAGCCTCAGGATGGCATCCACGATGTCGACGAGATTAGGAAGATGCGTGGTGGCATCACCCGTCGCCAGCCGCGAGGCTCACTTGGCGCACGCGGCGTCTCTACCCCTACCGACACGCCAAGAGGGGGGTCTCGGAAACAGAGCATGGTGCAAGACAGAGATAGCTATCGCGGAGTGCCCAGAGATGGGCAGTATGCGGTTGACAACTCCATGAAGGGATACGCGCTGTCTACCCCGAGATGGGAGCTGACCGGTGTCATGAACGACATTGGCGATGCGACCCCTGACGTTTCTGGCAAGCGGCCAACCATGCAACGCACTGCCAGCCGGCAGTTCGCGCAGAAAGCCCAGCTTGACGTGAAACACAAGCTGGCCGACGCCATGGACACAGCCAGAGCTGCTGAGCTCGCCCTTCGCGAGCTTCTCAGCTCGTGGCGCGCGGCCAAGTACGCTCAACCCACGTCTCGAATCCTCCTTTCGCTAACAAAGTGGGCAGACAGCAGATCGATGCCGCCTCTATGCCGTTCGACTTTGACCCTCTATCCCTCGACTTCCCTGCCCTGACGCTCCAATGCCTGCAACCGCCGCCGACCCTCTTCTCCTCCACTCAGCATCCCACATCCACCTCCTGGTCAGTCCAATGTCCGGGCAGGCGCGAGTACGACGCCCTCCGTGCCTACTTCCAAGAAGAATTCAGGCAATGGAAAATCACATGTGCCTCGGCCACCACCGAAATAGTCGATGAACTCACGTACCCTCCTCCACAAAACAATGTTTTCCGGGATAAGCGCGAGCAAGTACGTCGGGCCGAGATGTCGGCCGAAAATCTCGAGAACCAGGTCAATGAGCACATTCAGTCTGCCTACGGCGTGTGGGAGAGCCTGCCCGAGGGGCGGCAGAACGAGCTCTGGATACTGGAGATGGCGCGAAGTGTTGGCAGGAAACACAAAGACGCCGAGAAGATGAAGGAGACGCAGCGCAATCTGGAGACAGAGAACGCCCATCTCAAGGCACAGATCGATCAGCTGAACCGCTTGCAGCAACCAAAAGAGTTCAAGATGCTCGCCCCACAGACACTCCAGATGGACAAGGATGTCATGGCCTACGCCTACGAGCAAGGGGTCAAGGGGGCGTCACTGGTGGGCTTCAATCTCGAGGACAAGAGCCTGGATCTCGGCACGATTGTTACAAAGTCGATTGAGCGATGGAAGACTGTCGTGGCCTCAGCGCGAGGTGGCAGTGGCATGAATACCCAACGCCATCTGGACGGCTCCACGCCGCCGACCGATGCTCAGACGAACGGGTATTCCCAAGCCCGGAGCCGGACGAACACGCCGCAGCAACACATGAACCCTCGTCCCCCACCGCCGAACCGCCAGTCGACGGCCAGCACCGGCGTGAGCGATCAGAACACATCGGCCAACACCACTGGTCCGCCTTCGGTTGAAGGGGCCAGCGATCAAGATGTCGATGCCGATGCTGAGATGGACGATGATGACAGCTTCGCCATGATTGACCACAACCATGCTGTGCAGAAGCAGCAGGCCTTGGCCCCGCCGTTGCATCAGCAAACATCGCTGGACGTGCCGCGCACTCGTGGGCCAACGCAACAGCAGCAGCAGCAGGCTCAGCAGCAGGCCCAGCAGCAGCAACAAGCACAGCAGCAACAAGCACAGCAGCAACAAGCACAGCAGCAACAAGCACAGCAGCAACAAGCACAGCAGCAACAAGCGCAGCAGCATCCACAGCACCCGCAGCAAGTCCAACAGCAGCAACAACGCGCGAACATGGCGGACCCGCGGTTCCTGATGCAGAACGGTGCAGGGAGCCCCGTCAACCGCCAAGGCATAAACATGAGCCGGTCCGTGCCGAACATGAATTTGACACTGCAAGGCAACGGGATGCATCCGCCGGACATGGGCTTGACAATGCAGGGGATGCGAGGCGACGGAATGTATATGGAATAATGGTTTTATTTTTCTTCCTTTTCTTCTCGTATAAATACTAATGGCAAGCCACACACACATGTCGGGTAATGCTAGTTGTGGGAGCATGGATAAGCAAAACTATCAGAGCGTTGTCTTGACTTATGAGTAGAATTTAGCTCATGGTGTTAAAAAGAATATATCTTCTAGGGCATGGGTGGTTCTATCGTCTATCATCTTTCAATCCTCGCTGTACATCAGCTGCACATGCCACATCCTGATCTTGAAATTTATTTTTTTAATCTACAGAAGAACGCCGTCCATGCTGAGTTGAGAAAGTGTATCCCGTCATGCCGATCTCCACTAAGATGTCTAACTTACAAAATGGTACACAAGGGCACATGCCCGCACCGGCACTCGACCGAATCGAACCTCAGTGCTTCATGGACTTGAGCCTCCTTTCCAGCATCCGCACCGTGGGACGGGGAACATGCATCCTCTGTGCAAGCACCAGGGCGCCCGTCAGCACGGCTAGACTGCCTGCCTGGTGAGCGGCCGCCAGAGGAATGGGTACCATGTAGATAAGTGTGGAGATGCCGAGGGCGGCCTGCATGGTGACCAGGTGGACGAGGCCGAGTGAGCCCTTCTTGGCCCCCTTGGGCAGCACAGCCGCGACGCGCCCCGTGCGCGAGTAAGCATACAGAGCGAGGATGGCGGTGAAGGTCGAGACGGCCAGGATGCGGTGGTCCATCTGCACGGTGCTGGGGTTTTCGAGCATGTTCCGCCACCAGAGATCCGACCTGTCCTCCTTGCGGGAGTAGAACTTGTCAAAGAGCTCAGACTTGGGGGGCGTCAGACCCAGACCCATCTTGGGGAATTCGTTGTAGATGAGACCAGCATCCAGACCGGCGACGAGACCGCCCGACATGGCCGTGATGAAGACCAGAGCGACCATGCCAAAAGCCGTGCGGCGGAAGACGTTAAGCGCCGGGTTCTGTATGGCCTTGATGGTGTCAAGGGCGGCCTTGGGATTAGCGCGCATGCTGTGAGCCCGGAGGATGGAGAGGGCAGAGACGAGCATCCAGGAGTAGCAGATGAAGGCGGTGCCCAGGTGAGTGGTTAGTCGATACTGGGAGACGCGAGGGTGCGAACCAGGGGCGAAGAGGTCGTCCTTCAGGCCGCTCTTGACCATCCACCATCCGATAAATCCTTGGAAGCCAATCAGGGTCGAGATGCCGAGCAGGTTGAGAGCCATCTTGGGACTGACACGGCGGCGGGCGACAAAGTAGACGGCAGGCAGGACAAAGGACATGCCGACGAAGCGACCCCAGAGGCGATGCCCCCATTCCATAAAGTAGATCTTCTTGAATTCGTCGAGGGTCATGTGTGGGTTGAGGAGCTTGAATTCGGGCGAGGCACGGTACTTTTCGAACTCGGAGTCCCAGTCTTCTGCAGTCATGGGTGGCCTCGAGCCGGTGACAGGCCGCCATTCGGTGATGCTGAGGCTATTGCATTGTCAGTAAGGGAAGGGGCATGTCCGCTGGGGTCCTTCGTGACTTACCCAGACTCGGTCAATCGGGTCAATCCGCCAAAGACGACTATGCCAAAGACACTGGCCGCACTGCCCAGCAACCAGTATGCGACGCCCTTGGAGCTGGTCTCGGGGAACGCCCTCTTAACCTTCTCGGCTTCCTTTGCTGGTGCGCGGGTGTACATGTCCTGGGCGAGCTTGTTCAGTGGCGTTGTCGGCTGTGGTGAGGCCTGCGAGGCATACCCACGCCATCGTACGAGGCTGACGATGCGGGATGTCGCCGTCGGTTGGCGCGCGAGGCATTGATTGCAGGCGAAGAAGCGCGTCGGCGCCTGGTAGACGAGGCGCCTCATGCCTGGGACGAGAGACGCCATTGTTTGTGTTGTTGAGGTGCGACGGTGGTCAGGGTGAGTGCTGATTGCAGCCAAGGGTCCGACGTCTGCCAAATAAAATTCATCGGAGCGATTAGGAATTGGATGATGCGGTCACTCGACTTCCGCCCTCCCCGATAGGCCTCAGGCGGGCAAAGCCTAAGGCTCTAGTGCAGCAGGGGTCCCCGCCCACATGCAGGGCCTTGACCGCCAAATTTTCTGGAGGCGGCAGAAAAACCCAGCGATGCAGCCACATTGATTGACCTACGACTGGAATCGGGGTTCGAGTGTCTAATTCTAGCTGACCCTCAACCACGCCCACCACAACATGCCTGGCCGACGAGCACACGGACGGTCTCTGACCGCAGCGCCCAAGGCAAAGAAGGCTGGCAAGAACTCCAAGGCGCGCGCGCAGAAGAATGCGCTGAATGCCTTTGGTATCGCGCAGGAGCATTTCCCCTCCAAAGTAAAAAAGACGCCACGGTACCGGGAGCTCGACGCGGATATTGAGCACAAGCGCGGACGAGGCGACGACGATGACGATGAAGATGACGAGGACGAAGGGGACCAGCCGCAGCGCAAGAAACCGAGGGCTGCACCCCGCCCTGGCAACGAGGACGTCGACTACGGCAGCGACAGCGAGGGCAACGAGTGGCAGCTGGGTGGCATGGCCGACGATGACGACGACTCGGAGATTGAGAGCGACGACGCCTTTGGTGACAGCGATAACGAGAAGTTTGACGAGTATCACTTTCGAGGGTCCAAGGTCAAGAAGAGCAAGCAGAAGAATGATTCCGAAGGGGATGATGACGGCGAGGGTGACTCGGACGACGAGGAGGGCGAGACCCTGGGAGCGGAAGCCATCGATCTTGCTACTGCCCTGGACCAATGGGAAGAAGACTCGGAGGATGAGCCGGAGGAAGGGTCTGGTTCCGACGACGACGACGACGACGACTCGGATCAGTCTGGCGAATCGGACAGTGACGACGAGGATGCCCCAGAGAATGACGACGAAGATGACACTTCCGACGACGAAGCGGATCCCGAGAAACTAGAAGCTCTGCAAGGGCTCGTATCGGGCTTTGGCACCAAGGCGAAGAAGGGAGACAATGGATCATCACGACAGAAGATCAACATTGGCGACTTGGGATTGAGTGGCCTTGACGATCCCTTCATCAAGAACTCGGTCAAGCTCATGAACAAGGAGGAGAGGGAGAAGCGACCCGGAGCTACAAAGAAGCTCGACATTCCTGTATCCAGGCGTGAGCAGGGACGCATCGACCGCGCGGCTGCGTATGAGAAGACCAACGAGACCCTCGACAGATGGAACGACACCGTCAAGCAGAACCGGCGGGCCGAGCACCTGGTCTTCCCGCTTCCCCAGACAGACGGCAACGCAGGTCTCAACACGACCGAACTACAGCCCCTGAGCAGTACCCACGCCACCAATGAGCTAGAGTCCACCATGATGTCTCTCCTGGATCAGAGCGGGCTATCAATGGACAAGCCCAGGAAGGACAAGCCCAAGGTGTACGATGATGACGGCAACGAGCTCAGCAACAAGGAGATCCTCAACCGCAAACGACTAGAGCGCGAGCTCGCACAGCGAGAGGCGAAGCGAGCCGCTCGTGTCAAGAAGATCAAGAGCAAGGCCTACCACCGTGTCCACCGGAAGCAGAAGGAGCGTGAAGCCGCCGGGCTGGAGGAGGACGGCGAGGTCGACTCGGACGCGGAGCGTGAGGCCCAGGACCGCCGCAGAGCGCTGGAGCGCGTTGGGCAACGGCACAAGGACAGCAAGTGGGCCAAGATTGGGAACCGGGCCAAGCGCGCCGTGTGGGACGACGACTTCCGCACGGGTCTTAATGAGATGGCCCGCAAAGACGACGAGCTTCGTCGAAGAAAGGAGGGCAAGATGGTCGACTCGGATGACGACACCTCTAGTTCCGGCAGTGATTCCGAAGACGACGCCATGCTGCTTCGAAAACTCGAGGCCGTCGAGAACGATGACGGAGAGCCTTTGTCAAGGCTCGAGCAGATGAAGTTTATGCGAAACGCCGCGGCTGGACGCAAGCAGATGGAGGCTGAGGAGCTGGAGCGCATCAAGAAGGAACTCGGCGCTGGGTCGGACGGCCCCGCGAGTGAGGAAGAGAAGGAGGTTGGTCGACGCACATACGGTGGGCCGGCCAAGAGCTTCTCGACAGCGCTGGATACGTCGGAGCGTAGAGCCGAGCGGAGGAACAGCGATAACGAGGACGACGAGGAAGACGAGGTTGAGGTTCAGACTACCACCAGCAAAGCCCCGGCCACTTTCCAGACGAATGAGCCGTCGGCCGCTGCCACCAAGGGCAAGTGGTCCTCCAATCTTTCGCGCGCGCGCGAGCCCGCAGCAGACGATAGCAAAGACGTCGTCTCCACAGTGCACAGCGACAAGGGGCAGTGGTCGCAGGGCAAAGCTCGTCGCAAGGAGACACGCTCCTCAGCCCCCGAGAGTCTCGAGCTCGACGCAGCCACCCTGATCAAACGTCCCGCCCCCAAGAAGACATCTGCACAAAGGCCATCGGCAGCCGCCAAGGGCGACCAGGACGATTCCGACGAGTCTGAGACAGAGAACCACCTGCCCCTCGCGATTCGCGACCAAACCCTCGTCGACCGTGCCTTTGCCGGCGACGACACCGTGGCCGAATTCGAGGCGGAAAAGGCCGACGTGGCCGAGGCCGATGACGACAAGGTGATTGACAACACGATTCCCGGCTGGGGCTCGTGGGTCGGCGAGGGCGTCAGCAAGCGTGAGCAGGAGCGCCAACGGGGACGGTTCCTCACCAAGGTGGAGGGCATCAAGAAGAAGGATCGCCAGGACGCGAAGCTGGACAAGGTGATTATCAACGAGAAGCGCATCAAGAAGGTAGGTGGTCCCCCATCCGCCACGCTTAAACACTGAGACTGACTGACATGCGCAGAACGGCCGCTACCTCGCCTCGCAGTTGCCGCACCCCTTCGAGTCCCGGGCGCAATACGAGCGATCCCTGCGTCTGCCGGTTGGACCAGAGTGGCAGACAAAGGAGACATTCCAGGACAGCACAAAGCCGCGTGTGCTCATGAAACAGGGTATCATTGCACCCATGGCCAAGCCAAAATAGTAGACTACCTTTGTCTGTTGATAGATGGCAAATATCACACAATGAACCTTGGATAGCGATGGTGGTACAGCCATACAAGCCAAGTCAGGCGCCGAACACGCATTCACGACGTGGAACTTGTATTCGCAGAGATCATTTCATTGTAAATAGCATAGTAGATCTACCTTATACATTGCTCAATCTTGACCGCCTTTTTTACCCACCTGGCAACACCTGAACACGGGTATTCCTTCAAAACCTGAACCTAGGATAAATCCAAACCTTTGTTGCATCGTAGCAGTGGTAGTAGTAGTAGTAATACAGAGAGATAGACACGGTTATCCTCTCGAGAATATCCAACAAATTTTACGAAGAACAAAGAGAAATTGACGTCGAGTCACTTAAGCACCAGACTTGTCCAGCGCACCGCTGGGCGTCGCGAAGAACGCAACAGCGATGATGATATAGAGACCGAGCAACATGGCGCCCTCGAGGTAGTTGGACCTGCCGTCCTGCACAGTATAGGTGACAACCAGCACCGATACCGCAAAGGCCACTGTCTCGAATGTCTCAAAGCGGAGGGTCATGGGCTGGCCAATGGCCCAGCCAACCATGACGAGGAAGGGCGTGACGAGTAGCGCGATCTGAATGCTGGAGCCAATGGCGACACCCATGGCCAGATCCATCTTGTCGCGCAAAGCAACGACAACCGCAGTGACATGCTCGGCAGCGTTACCGACGATGGGGATGAGAATCAACCCGATAAAAGCCTTGCTGATATTCGCGCTCTCGACAATGTGGTCGATGCTGCCGACCAAGTAATCGGCGCAGATGGCAACAAGGATCGTGGTGACAACGAGAACACCGGCAGAAGCAATAGGACCCATGCTGGGCTCCTCAGGCTCCTCCTCCTCGGCCGCCTGGTCCTCGGCGTCGAAGAGATTGCTGTGCGTGCGCAGCTGGAAGACGAGGTACATGACGTAGAGAATGAGGAGGATGATGGCTGTGCCGCGGGACAGGACAAGGATGCTCTGATTCTTATCATCCGAGCCGTTCTGATCGAGGACACCATACAGCTGGGAATCTGTCAGCGTGGGGCTAATTACAAATGGTCACGTCGTGTCAGCTTACAGCAGCAGGGATGACCAGTGAAGCAGACGAGAGTGTCATAAGCGAGCACGTAGCCTGCGCAACGGCCGAGGAGAAGACCTGCTCAGATCCCGCACCGCTCTCGCCACGGTGTACGAGGCCACCGAAGAAGAAGCACATGCCCATGACAAGCAGCAGGTTGGACAGGATCGAGCCCAGCATGGAAGACTGTACAACTTCGATCTGACCATCCTTCAGGGCCACAATGCTGACGATAAGTTCGACTGCGTTTCCAAACGTCGCATTGAGAAGTCCGCCCAGGGTCTCACCCAGCTTGATCGAGATCTCCTCTGTCGCAAAAGAGAGAACAGCGGCGAGGGGGATGATCGCAAAGAAGTTGATGACAAAGACGGCGGTCGGGTCCCAGCCCATGGCGCCGGCAATGATACCGATGGGGACCATTGGTAGAAGGATATTGGTGTAGTCTAAAAGGCGTCAGTCAATATGCCCAGGTTCAATGCGCGACCAACGTACTGCTCAAGATTGTAACCTTGGCAATGTGCCAGGTGTAGACCAGGGACCGGACTGCCAAATTGTCGCTCTCGAGACCCGGGGTATGCCGCGAGTCGAAAAAGAAGGCTTTGGCGGTACTATGATTTCCATTGGCGACAATGTGATGCGATGGCGACCCGGAAGGACCGCCATTGACGAGCGGCGTACGCTCGTCGGCATCGTTGTCGTCCGTCTTGTTGCTCATGGTGCGCCTGACCTCTCGGGCGAAGTGTGAGTTAACTGCGTGGCGGTCGATGGGTCAGCATAAGCCCAATAGCGCCTCGGCAATGTCAAGATAATAATATATAAAAAATTATGGCATGCCGAGGCCAAAGAAGAACGATCGATCGAAGCAGGACAGTCGGGACGTGGTGTCGGGGAGTGGGAGACCGTGGATCGGAACGAGGTTGGAGATCCCGTAGTGGGATAGGGCCAACCGCAACTTTGAAAAACAGAGCTTGCCAGCAGCGCTGGAGCTCAGTGCTCCGGTGCAAAAGCGGACCGCTTGGACGCCAATGGCAGCGCAGAGATCAGGTGAGCTCACATTTGGGGATGGGTCATGTGCCGAGACAATGTCCCAAGTGCTTGTCGAACAAGCTCGCCGTACGTATGAAAGAAGGGATCGGTGAAGGGAGAGAGATGAGGGACAAGAATGAGAGGCAACCAGGGGACGAGAACATCCAAAGACTTCGCCAAGGCGAAGCAGGATAAGGTGAGTAGTAGCTCCAGAGGAACAAAAGACTGGAGAGAGGATTGGAGTCGAGGGGCGGGAGTCGGGACTGGCTGGATCTTGGAGTGAGGCTGTGCAGAGAAGCAGGCGCCTCCAGTCCTCCCTCAAACTTCGGGCTCTGGGGCAACGGGCCGATCTTGTGGTAGCGCACCACACCTCGGATAATTTGACAAACAGATACTTATTGTACTTACAAATACCAGACATTGTGGCCGGATATGATGTTCGGATGCCCGATGCGGCAGCAGGTTTGGCGATGCTGGGCTTGTCGGTGTCGCGGGTAATGGGTGTTGACGGGTCGACGTGGCAGCAGTCTTTAGCTAGGAGATCGGGACAGAATGGGGGGATCACTACAGTGACGCACAGCCCGGTTAGCGATGAGCATTGACCGGTTTCCAGTCCAGCCCCCGTCCCGTAATGTGGGGGATGACTGGACGCCTCCCGATCCACGCTGTCGCGCCGCGCTACATTGCGCTGCACTGATGCCCGTCCACGCAGGTTCTGCCGGCCATCCAGGCTTGCCGGCGCGTGAGGGGGAATTCTTCATCCTCACCGCACCGCTAGCGAGTAGACAGCAGTGCGTCATTGACTGCGAGCGGCATACTCGGTCATGTCGCTTGGGCGGCTCGCCGGAGGTGGGAGGGAGGCCTCAAACAGTGGCCATGCTCACACGGAGGTAGCGCAGCAGCATGGATGGTGTCGCGCAGCGGGCAACTTGGGTCGATTCCTCTGGGGCTGTTCATGACATACCTGGTACGGCTTAAGAAATCGGTCTTTTGGAGCTGTAACGACAGTGACGATGAGGATGGAGAGGAGAAGCAGAAGCAGAATTGAGGTTTGTAGGCTCTCAAACTTTAAAATCTGGGAATGCTGCGCGCGATCCACTACTAGCTTCGATGTTTTATCCAACCACTAGTGCTGGTAATGCGGCAACTGGCAATGGTTGCTCTTTTTTGTTGCGGTTCTTTACAAAGAACAAATGAAAGGCGAAGCAATGCAGCACGTTCCATCTACTAGCTCGAGGATACTGAGGGCCATGTTGGTTGAGCCGCCAAGAAACCGGGGGCCGTATTGCTTGTTGTTTACTTACCTACCGCAGGTAAGGTATTGCGCCTCAGCCACATCAATAGCACCCGACATGGCCTCGCCTTTTTTTTTTTTTTTTCAACAGAGACCTAACAAGGCCTAGGCGAGATGGATGAATCTAAAAGCTCTTTGTAGCGCAGATGTGCTCCCGTGCTCGAGAGCTCACTGCTCGCTTTGCACGCGACCTTGGCCCCATATTCAATGTACGTAGGGTAGTTGACTCAAGGGCTGACATCTAACGTTATAAGTAGTAGTCAGCGACTTGGCCCGGGCAAGGCACTCCCCAAGGCAGGCTTCAGACCATTCGTCACGATTGATAAGCGTCAGTAATAGTGTCGAATTGAGCTGTAGTGCGTAAGTGACCAGATGCAATACCACACTCAGGTACCTATTAATGCATGGTAGAGCCCAACCCAAGTCCAAGGGTAGTACCCAACACCGGGGCTTTTGTCAACCATTCGCAGTGCCACGTGCCCACCCTCATAAGAATACCACCATGCGCTAGAAGCCGTTTTAGAAAGGCTGATTGATAAAACTGCTGCCCAACAAGTCTGCTCCAGTATTTCCAGCCACAAAAAAGCCACGACACCGTCCCCAGCGGTTGTGGAGGTCGGCTAGTTCGGGAGCCTAATCACTCGTGGATGGCTTCATAGTACTGAAGAGGGTACTTTGTATTCAGCCTGTCAGCAAGTGTGGCCGAGGCTGGCTTCAGTTGCTCTCAACCATACATCTTGTCCCCCACGCCCTCATCATGAGTGGGGCGTTTGCCGTTCCAGTACAGAGAACTCCTCAAAGACTCTTGGCCACGAGTCGTTCATTGTCCATTTGGAGATACTGGAGGTGTTCCGTAAGGTGGATAAATATCTGGCGGGGCACTGTCGGAAGCGGCCCCCTAACTTCCGCGTAGAGCCTTTCGTGAATCAAGCACCCCGGGGAAACCCGCACCAGGTCTGTAGTAGTACAAGTGTACTGGGGCTTAGATAGCACATGCAGTGTTGTTGCGATGCTGGCGACTAGACGGCCGCTCGGTATGGAAGTCGCGCGAGGTTATTAGGTCATTTGGTGGCTGGCGATGTGCTTCAAGCCTCTTCCGGCGAATGGGCGGTGATTTCGCGTCTCAGTTTCGACTTGGCCTTCAAGGAACGCTTGACAGCCGCTGCCCTCTGTGCGGACTTGTGGTTGCGTTGGGCGTTGCGTTCTTCGTGGGCTCCAGGGTCCTCAGCCTCCTTGCGGCATCGGCGTATCTCCTTTTCGCTTAGAACCCAGTCTGCGTGGAGGACCTCGCGCCGGAACTTGTTGCGCTTTTCCCAGAGGATAACTTCTTGGGCCGTGGTTCTCACAGTGACCATTTTCTCTATCCTGAACTGGATCTCGCCACGGAATAGAGACAGCTTGCCTTTGATGTCGACGACACTGCCAACTTCCGTTTCTTGGAGTGGCAAGCCAGGCGAGGATGATGCAGCCTTGAAAGATTGGCCATCGACTTGATTGAGAGAATGGACACCAGCAGTCTTATCCCAGGCTGGGACGTTGTGGCTGGGTTTTGCCGGGTTTAATTTGGGCGCTGGCGCATAGGAAGCAGTGGCTTCCACGCAGACACCGCTGCTGTCATCAATGGTAAAGACGCGCCGTCCTGTGAAGTCGTCCACAGCAACGACTACACCAACAATGCGCGCCCATCGTATTGGCAAGTTGCGGTGGAAATAAAAGTCCTGACCTATGCTTTGTTAATACAACATGGAAGTCCAGGTGAACAAATGCTCACCCTCAAAACCGGCGTGCTGCTCCAGGCGCGAAATATCGACTGCGCGTAGGAAGCACCAGACGTTGTGCGTCGGGGAGAGGTGAAAGCAGCATCGCGGGTAGGTAGCGTAACGTGTTAAAATACTCATGACATACGCGGCACGATCATTCCAAGCACTGATTCACATTGATCAGTAGAGCACATAATTTCAGTGTCCTGGAAAAGCTGGCCAAGAAGTTGTGGAGGATGATGAAGGTGATCAAGGGACCGTGAATTGACGTGGATGGGGTGCGATATTAGTTTTGCCCCACAAACAAACCAGCTCAGCACCAGAGTATCCGCAGGACCGTAGGTGCTTGGGCACATGATCTTCAAGTCGCGCGATTCTGGGAAGCCATTGATCATCATTCATGTCATTATATTCATTAGGTCAATGTAACCCGCAAAGTCCGCGCCAATGCCAACAGCATCATGGCATTGTCCAGGTCGTATCTCGTCCCATCCATTTTACGTCAGCGCCAGCGGCTCGTGACAACCACCTTACCTCTTAACACGTTTGCCTGTCTGCTTCCTAGGCGTCTCGGGATCACCCTCTGAAGACCTTGACGTCTGCCTGGCAGCCGTTGCCGCAAACGCTTCCTCAGGTGGTTCGTCCATGACCGTCCGCTTGGTTCCCTTCTTTTGTTTCTTGGCAGTGCCTCCGTATTTCTCGGCCAGGTTGTGCAGGAAGCTGTCTTGTGCGCCAGCCCTGGACGACTGTCTCGCCTGGATGAGAGCTTTGAGGCCATCCTCAGCGCTCTCCTGGTTGTTGCTCTTCCCGTACAGCTTGTCGTGAGCGCCAATTTCCTTGGCGTATTCCTCCGCCTCCTTGCCCTCCTGTGCCTTGGCCGCGCGAGCCTTCTTCATCCGTGATGCGCGCTGTCGCTCGCTCTCCTTGTGGTAGCTCCCAAAAGCCGGGACCTCCCTTTTCGCGATCGCTTCGTCGATTATCACCCTGAATCGGTCCTCGTCTTCAACCATGTCGCTGAGCATGACATGCTCGTAGACATGGCGCATATCACCCTCGCATAGCTCAAAGTAGTGAAGCAGGTCTTCCTTTTCCTCCTCTGAGCCTTTGTATTCCGTCCGGAACTTTTCAATCGCGTCGGCCGAGACGGCGTCCTCAAAGGCATTGCGATAAAAGTCGCTCCAGTCGAATCCTTCGGAATCTAGAATGGAATCGGAGGTTGACCCGGTCTCGTCATAGCGCTTTCGACGCTTGGGGTCGGACAGGATTGCATAGGCAAAGGCGACTTCCTGGAAAGCCTTGTTGGCAGCAGCGAGCTTCTTAGCATCGTTTGCGGGCGCCTTGTCTAGAGCACACTTCGTCAACAACGTTGCATTCAGAGGGGTCAGGTGATGGCCTCACCTGGATGGTGCTTCAGCGCAGCTTTGCGGTACGCTCTTTTGATCTGGTCCTCTGATGCTGTGTTTTCGAGGTCAAGAACCTCATACGGGTCAATGGAGGGCGGCTGACCCTCGAGCAGGTCTTCATGGTCTGACATTGTAAATCTTTGCGGTTGTGTCGATGATGGGAGATGACGAGCAATTCTGGGAGACGCGTCAAGCAACGCGTCGGAGCTTTGGTGGAGTAGGGTCTGGATACAGGGCGGGGCGGTACGGGGCAGAGCATGCCACCATGCGGGAAGTGCAGTGCGACGTCAAGTCATGCGGTACTCCGTATTGTGTACCAACTTCAACACTCACCAACGTCAGGCTAGATCGAACTCGCGTTGACAGACCAGGACGCAGTTATCATGGAAGCGCAAGTTGAAAGACAACACAAAGACTGCATGGCCAAATGCTTGGACCTCGCTCGCAATTCACCTCCCAAACCGACAAACTTCAGAGTAGGAGCTATGATCATCAGAGAGCGCGATCTGTCCACCATAGCACAGGGATACACCCTTGAGCTTCCTGGAAATACACATGCGGAACAGTGCTGTTTTCTCAAGTTAGCAAAGCAGCATTCGACCACCGAAGAGGGCCTGGCCAAGGCCATCACGGGGCCTCATGCCCTGTATACGACCGTGGAGCCTTGCTTCAAGCGTCTGAGTGGCAACCTCCCCTGTGTGGAGAGGATCATCCGACAGAGTTCCTGGATCAAGACGGTCTATGTTGGTGTTCAAGAGCCCGAGACTTTTGTTGGACAGAATCCGGGGCGCAAAATGCTGGAAGATGCTGGAATACAGGTCGTCCACGTCGATGGCCTTGAAGACGAAATCCTGGCTGTGGCCACAGCCGGCCATGTCAAGGACGCTTGAATCCGCTCCAGCTTGCAGGAACTTGGGCATGTTGCGGGACGCTATTTCCAAGTTGCGATCCGTGGCGTCACCATCTGCGTGTTGTGCGGGGAACTTGGGGCAATGATCACCGTCGCGTCTCATACCTCTCACGTTTGTGCCCCGAAGAAAGCTTTCATGCTCTCGAGCGAGCACCGTCTTCCATCACGAGGGTCCATCCACACTCCATCTGTGGCGGTCACCAGCTCCTCGGTGCCACGCTACCCCAGAAATAATCACATACGCAAAGGGCTCGCTGTCTCACCCGGGAGTCGAGTCGTGCGGTGTCTGAATTCCATCGACAGCTTGTTGAAAGGCCTCCCAATCAGCATAAGAATAGCTGAGTACCGCACATCAGCTACCAACCCCTGAATATCAGCCATTTTTGATCAACTTCACTTTGAACCACAACCAAGGGTTATCGTTGCATCATGTTCGAAGAACAGCTTGTTGCCTTTGAAGCTGGCAAGGGGTTCAGCCTTGTTGGTGCTGACCTTATTGTTGACGACGAGGACTACAAGGGCGTGCACATAGCAGTCGAGGCGTTAACAGCAGACTTCGACAAGGTGACCGCCCAAGGAAGGCATCGGAAGGTGGATCGTTCCGCACGAAGGTCCTCCAACGTTTGCATCATTGTAGGCACCCTGGCGAAATCCTCAACGATTCAGTCTCTGGAGGGCGCGGGCAAGATCAATGTCGCCGACATCCAAGGGACGTGGGAATCGTGGATCACCGCGTGTGTCGAAAAGCCAGTGGATGACTACGATTGTGGCCTGGTCATTGCTGGTAGTGACAAGCGAGGTGCAATATTCGGCGCATACTCACTCTCGCAGCAGATCGGAATCTCCCCGTGAGTTTCACCCGCACTCTCATCTTCGGGCACTAACTCGAATAGCTGGCATTGGTGGGCTGACGTTCCGCCCAAGCAGCACTTGGAGATATGTGCCCTTCCAGTGACGACAAAGAATGGAGAACCTAGTGTGAAATATCGCGGCATCTTCATCAATGATGAGGCCCCGGGCATGGACACGTGGTTTGCCGAGCATTTCGGTCCGTCCAACCAGTTCGATACAAGGGTCTACAAGCACATCTTCGAGCTCCTCCTCCGTCTCAAAGCCAACTTCTTGTGGCCGGCCATGTGGCGAGGGTACCCTCAGCCGGGACGATCATTCTTTGTCGACGACCCGGAGAACCAGAAGACCGCCGATGACTACGGTATTGTGGTAGGCACCTCACACCACGAGCCTATGCAGCGAGCCATGAACGAGTGGTCAGCCAACGAGCCTGGTGGCACGTGGCGCTGGGATACCAATCGCGAGAAGATCACGGATTATTTCGATTTTGGCGCAGAGCGAGCTGTCCCTTATGAGTCCTATATCACAATGGGCATGAGAGCCGAGGGCGATGGCGCAATCGGCAGCGATGATCCCATTGCCACGCTGACCGACATCTTGAAGGTCCAGCGTGGCATTATCAAAGACAAGTACGGCGAAAACGACGGCGAGATGCAGCTGATAGCACTCTACAACGAGGTTCAACGTTATTACGAGCAGGGCCTGCGAATCCCAGATGACATGACACTGTTGTTCGCGGACGACAACAATGGGTCCCTCAGAAGGCTCCCCACCGCGGAGGAGAGGAAGAGAAAAGGAGGCCTAGGAGTACGTATAGCACTGCACACTATGGAGTGTGAATGCTAACCAGACAGTATTACTACCACTTCCAGTATACTGGAGGTCCTCGGAGCTATCGCTGGATGAACAGCAACACTTTGGTAAGACATTTTATGGTATGCCTGGTTCTCATCGTTGACTCGGTCCAGGGGAAAGTCTGGCACCAACTGCGACTCGGCTACGATCAGGGTGCCACTCAAATTTGGGTCTTTAATGTGGGAGATCTGAAGCCTCAAGAGCTCCCCTTGAGCTTTGCATTTGACTTTGCCTGGGACATTGACTCCATTCCAGCGGATGGGTTCCCCAGCTATTTCAAAAAGCTTGCCGAGAGGGAATTTGGCGACAAGTATGCTCAAAGAATCGCGGACCTTTGGTACGGCTTTGAACGGCTCATCGCACTGCGCAAGCACGAACAGATTGAGGCCGAGACATTCTCGGTGCTCAAGTATCGCGAAGCTGAGACCATCGTTGGCCGATGGGCAGAACTCACCAAGGAAGCCGAGGCCATTCATGCCGAGATCTCCTCTATCCAAAAGCCAGCTTTCTTCCAGCTCGTTGTCCACCCTATCAAGGCCTCCTACATCTACAACAACTTGCGCATGACACAGACCAAGAATCGGCTGTGCGGGAAGCAACGGCGCAACACTACGAACCCCCTTTTGCACGAGTGCTTGCGTCTTTTCGACGCTGACGATGTCCTCACTCGTGAATACCACTCCCTTTTGGATGGCAAATGGAACCATATGTTACGCCAGCCTCATTATGGCTATGGCTCCCACGTCATTGGTCCATCGCGGGACATGATTGATGGGCTATCATGGGTCAGAGCCAACGCCGACTCGAATCCCAGCGTCGGTCAGATGGGCGTAGCAGTTGAGGGCCACACCGGCGTTAGCCCCGGCATCATCAACGAAGACGTCGACCGCACACATCCTTCCCGACTGTGGCTAGAACCTGGCGTCACCCTTCGGCCCATGAGCCCTTATGGACCTCAGGATCAGTACTTTGAAATCTTCCATCGCGGTACCAAGGGGTTCACATGGGAGGCCAGACCGCAGTACGAGTGGCTTACGCTAACTCAGTACAGTGGCACGTTGAACCCTGACGACGAAGATATACGGATTCACGTCACGGTCGACTGGAAAGATGTGCCCGACAAGTTTGACGAGAAGATCTTTATCGAAATCATAGGAAGTGTGGATGGGTACGAGAAGGTCAGGATGCAAGTACGAAAGCATCAGGCCCCCGAGGGCTTCACTGGCTTCGTTCAAAATGACAGCTACGTGTCCATCAACCCTGGGAAGTGGGTTACGGCGCCTTATATCCAACTGCCCATCCTCGGTCGTCAGGACGGTGGCTCGGTTACGCTGCCCAACAGCTACGACTTTAGTAAGCCAAAGGCCATACCCTTTCTCAAGTACGATATGCACACGTTCACCACGGGCGACAACGCGAGTGTTGAGATACACTTCCACATGACGCTGGAGGCAGATCCAAACAGCAAGATGCAGTACGACACTCGCTGGGACGGCGGCGATGTATTGACTCACCGTGTGACCAAGGATGGCTCAGGCTCGTACCCCAACGGCTGGACGTCGGCAGCCCAAAACTACGTCTGGAAGAACAGACACAGCATCGGCAAGGTCAAGCCTGGCCGCCACACTTTTGAAATCCGCTTCCGCAGCCTGAACGTTGCCATGGAGAAGATTGTCCTGGACCTTGGCGGCACAGAAATGAAGTATCTCGGACCCCCGGAGAGCGACCATGTCTCGTATGTGAAGCAACAGAGCTCGCCGCGCGAGGAGGGCTTGACAGAGTTTTCGAACCTGAGGATTGCGATTCATATGTAAACCTTTATATTCCAAGACGACTGTATCTGTCTAATTTTGAACCAAACCTACAGCGTACGTGCTCATTGTCGTGTGCTCACAATGCATTCATACCAGCCGTTGGCGCGCACAGGGGGACCGTCTCTGGCAAGGACTCACTCAGCGAGCCTTGCAGTCCGAACTGAGGCATGAGGTGTAGCGTAAGGTTATGCTGCTTTGAGAGCACGTAACTCAGCGTGGGATAATGCGCGTACTCTCCGCACTCTTTTCCCACAGACCTAACCGGCCCAAGCGGAATGATCCATGGGCTCGATCAGGCCCTCGTCTATTGGAGACAGCGATGGAACCGGTGAAGGCAACTGCTTCACGTGAAGCCTCGAACCGCTTAGCCTTCTATTTCCTATGATTTTCCCTCTGAAATAGTCGTGTCCTGACGCAGGGCCTGCTGGTTCGTTGCAACCTCGCACCATTTGCCCAGCATGGGAGCGCGAGACGTGGCCGTTGTCCCTGCACGGTCCACACAACCAATCCACGTCACTGTCCGCTTTGACAACGTATTTGAGGTTGGACATGCTGCAACACGAGTATTCATCGCGGCCAAACATGTCTTGTGCTGCTTTGCATTGCGACCAAGCTGTAGTCAGACGCTGCGTCTGCCCGTGCCCTCGGACGGTGATTCCTGTCTCCGGGTCATTGAAGATCATCTGGATGTTGACACGGCAGCGGAAGAGGCTGCAGGCGCAGAAGCGATAAATGGCCTTGTCGATACACATGTCCAGGCTTCTGAGGATGTCCCCGGTCTGAGTGAGATTTCGTAGTGACTGCGGAGGCCTCTGTTTCTCGTGGATGTGATGGATTGGTGGCATATGTAGAAGTAAACGTCGTACGGCCGAGTGTGTCGAGCGCATCAAGTTAAAGTCATATCGCAAGCTTCCAGAAGAAAAAGAGAGATACGTCGCGTGGGTAGCTTCTTGGTATGCAGACAATGCCGATTCACCTTTGAACGTCGGAAAGGTGCCTGCCTTGTTCACCGATCAAGCGCTCGACAACGCCCTTTTGGCCGTACAGATTGAAAATTTGTCAAGCTGCAATCCATCCGTCACATGGAATATGAATGTCGCATTTTGCCTTTGTCATGAAGCGGCTTATGTCCTTCCTGAAGCTGTGTGGCTCTAAGGGAGGACAGTGTTTGCGTCTTGTGGTAAGCGCGGGTTGAACAGGACAGTTCCTTGAGATGTAGCACTTGCAAGCAGGTTCGCATTCTGTGACACTTGCCTCGTCGATATCGCATGCTGTCCGTCGCCATGATATTGATATACGTAGTAGAAGGACAATAACTATGTGATAGTGCTGGATCTGGAGCTTTCGACTTGACGTACCTACGTGCCCAGAGGGGGCGAATGAAGATGTCTCAATGAAACCCACTATAGGCCCAATTCACGAATCATAGCCAAGCCCGAGTTGGTGGTACGGGCAATTGCCAGCGTGCAGCCGCAGCAGCAGCAGGTGCCTTCCCAGTTTATCTGTTACGCTTCAAGATGCAGTGGGTGGTGAAGCTCCAGGAGTCTAGTCCTTTGAGCGGGCATGCTTCAACTCAGGGCCTCAGGCTGCCTCCAGTCTCAGCTTGGGCTTTCTTTCCTTCTGCCCACGACCAGATGCCCTATTCACTGCAGCGTGGGCGGCCCCTATACGAGGTAAAAAGTACTTCTACCTGGGAGTTCTGTTGTTTTGCTCTACATCATCCGCGCGTCAACACAGCAGCTTACCTTAGCTCCCAGCTCCCGTTTGGCTGCCAACATTTAGCGTCACACAGTGTATACACCATACCGAAGGCCGGTCAAGGAGCGCACGTACCCAAGGTAGTCGAGGCTCTCTCTCTCTGTCTCTCTCCTTTTTCCCCCTCCTCTGCCCGCCTTTGATCGCTGACACCTTGCAGAATCTTGGCATCAGCTCTGTCGGACATCTTGCTGCCGTGTTCTGCGCGACGAAGGTCCCCTTGCTCACAACGCTCTCACATCCAAGTACAGAGAGCTGATGCTCTTACCCGACTCGCTCTTACCTTCCATTCCATACAAGCATATCACATTGCATTAGCCCTCGCAGTCGCCCAAAAGATTTCTCGCTGCACCCGAAAGGCAACTAGCTTCACCCGCTTTGGACATGGCTGATCGCGGAGGCCGCGGACGTGGAGGTCGTGGCGGCGGACGCGGCGGCTTTGACGGAGGAGGTCGCGGCAGAGGTGGTCCAGACGCCGGGCGTGGAGGACGAGGTGACTACTCAACTGGCGGCCGCGGTCGTGGTGGATTCGACGGTGGTCGTGGACGAGGCGGCTTTGACGGCGGTCGTGGTCGCGGAGGCGGTGGCCGAGGAGGCAGAGGCGGCGGTCGGGGTGCTCCCAACCCTGAGGAGTTGTTACCTTACAGGAGGTCAGACTCCCTCTCTTACGCCACTCGATTGGCATTGGCATTCTGCTGACCATAACAGTCCACACGGCCCTGCCCGCCCGGACCGGCAAGTCGCTGTTCTCGAAGATAATTTGATCGGAGTTGGTGCTGCAACACGTGCCTTGGCATCCAGCAGTCTTGACCAGAAGAGTGTTGGCAGTGACTTCTTCCCGTTGCGGCCTGCCTTTGGCACCGACGGGACCAAGGTGGTCGTCTGGGCGAATTATTTCCCCATTTCTGTCAGTAAATCGACTTTCTGGAAATACACGGTCGAAGTGTCAGAGGTCAAGGAAGGGTCCAAGGGAGGTAAGGAGGTGAAAGGTCGTAAACTTCATCTCGTCCTGGATGCGCTCGTCAAGACACTTGAAGGTACCAAGTCTGTCGCAGCGACTGAATACAAGTCGCAACTGGTCTCGACAAAGAAGCTGGATCTGAAGGCCGGCCCAGTCCGTATTGAGCTGCCTTGGCAAGATGGCGAGGGCGTTGACATCTACCATGCTACCATCAACGGGCCGACAGAGGTCGACATGGATCAGCTGTCAAAGTACCTAACCGCCCAGGACCACAGCTCTGACGATCATTCGTTTCCCAGATATCCCGAATCTATCGATGCGCTCAACGTCATTTTGGGTCACACCCCGCGGACCAATCTGAGTGGCGTCAGTGCTGTGGGAAGCAAACGTTTCTTCCCCATCGGTTCTGGCAACCCCCTTACGTCCGAGGTGGAGTTGTTCAGCAGCAACCCATACGAGCTCGGGGATGCACGACCTCTCATTGCTTCTCGCGGATTCATCCAGTCCGCGCGCATCAGCACGGGCCGTCTGCTACTGAACGCCAACGTCACCTGCGGCGTCTTCAAAGTCTCCGGCCCTTTGACAAGAATATTCGACAACCTGAGCCTCCGTGGCTTGGACTTTACCAATCTATCCAAGGAGCATAAAATAATCCTTCGCAATGCGGCAAAGATCCTCCCCAAGACACGGGTCAAGGTGACCATGATGGTCAGGGGAAAGGCTGGTGGCCTCAAAAAGGTGCTCAAGATGAAGGCCATCAATGCGCTGGTGTCCAAACATAACAAGTCGAAACATGGCGATCATCCTCCAAAAGTTGATGTCAAAGTCTCGGAGTTTGCTGGGCCTCGCCAGGTCCAGTTCTGGTTGGAGGAGAATGGCCAGGGCAAGTGGGTGTCTGTCTTTGACCACTTCAAGAACAAATACAACATGACTCTGGGCGACTATCCCCTTCTCGACCTAGGCAATGCTCAGAAGCCGAGTTTCTTCCCGGCGGAGCTTATCGAGATCGAGCCTGGACAACCCGTCAAAGCCAAGCTGAACGGTACAGAGACGACCAAGATGCTTCTCCATGCCTGCAAAAAGCCTCAGGTCAACGCGCGGCTTCTGGAGGACACCAGCCGTCAGGTGTTGTGCCTGGACGACAAATACCTGGCCAAATTTGGCATCACTGTCGCCAAGAACCTTTTGGCCATCGAAGCTCGGGTGCTCAACGCTCCCAAGATCCAGTACCGCGGCGGGGGTCCCAATACGAAAATCAACCCTCGCGATGGCAGTTGGAACATGCAAGGTGTCCAGGTGCACAGGGGCGGCAAAGTAAGCAAGTGGACATGGTGCGAGATCGGGCCCCGCGAATCGACGCCGGGTATGCAGACTGCAGTCAACCGATTCTCGCAGGTAGCAAAGGCTACGGGGCTCGACATTGGCCCCCCAACCCCCGCTCCTCACCATTTTATGCAGGCGAAACCTGCCTTGGAGGGCGATAAACTAGACAAGCTGTTCCAGTGGGCGCAGAGCCAGCGGATCGGGTTCATTCTCTTTGTCTTCTCCCCCAGGGAGGATAAGTCCGGCGTGTACAACCGAATCAAGGTGTACGGCGATTGTAAGTATGGCATCCACACGAGTTGCATGGTGTCCAGCAAATTTTTGCCCAAGCATGGCGGCACCATGGATGCGTCCTGGCGGCCCGAGGCTTACTTTGCGAATTGCGCGCTGAAGTGGAATCTGAAGGCTGGTGGCACCAACCACAAACTGGCCGAGGACGTCAAGACGCTGAAGCCTGAGGAGGCGACCATGATCGTCGGCTATGATGTGACCCACCCGACGAATATGCCCGCGGCGAAGACTGTCAAGAACAGCCCTCCCAGTCTGGCTGGCGTCGTCTCGAGCGTGGACAAGGAACTCGGACAGTGGCCCTCGACCGTCTGGGAGCAACAAGCACGCCAGGAAATGCTCGATAATCGCCTGACGACAACCTTTGTGCATCACTTGAGGATGTGGCAGAAGGCGAACAAGACGGTGCCCAAGCAGATTGTGATCTACCGCGATGGCGTCTCGGAGGGGCAGTTCCAGCAGGTGCTCGACATTGAGCTGCCCATGATCCGTCAAGCCTGCACGGAGGTGTGCGGCAAGGCCGCGCCCAAGCTGACCATTGTCGTCTCTGTCAAGCGTCACCACGCGCGCTTCTACCCAGCCGAGGATGGCAAACAGACCAAGACGGGCAACGTGGCCTGCGGCACTATCGTTGACCGTGGCGTCACGCAAGCGCGACTCTGGGACTTTTACGTGGTCGCCCACGCGGCGCTGCAGGGCACCGCCCGGCCAGCACACTACACGGTCCTCCTGGACGAGATCTTCCGCCCGAAGCACAAGGCCGGGGCGGCCAACGAGCTGATCAAGCTGACGCACGAGATGTGCTACCTGTTTGGACGCGCGACCAAGGCGATCAGCATCTGTCCGCCGGCGTACTACGCGGACATTGTATGCGAGCGGGCTCGTGCGCACCGTCCCGAGTTCTCTGACTCTGACGACTCGGCGAGCGAGAGCTCCAAGCGCAGCGCCGGGCAGGCCATAGCAATCCACCCCAATCTGGCCGACACCATGTACTATATTTAACCCCAACGGGAAGGCAGAGCGAACACGAGCGTGTCGTGGCCTTTATCAGCTTTGCTTTTGACTTTGTATAAGTCTTAGTTTGGTCTAATTAGTTTCCGTAGCCTCGCAGATTGATACATTAGATCTTGGCCTTCTCTCTCACCCCCAGCATCTTGAGGTGCTCGGCCGACAAGGTCGACTTGTCCTTCTGCGGAAGCCTCGTCCAATCCTCGTACTCTCTCTCCCTCGCCCACCACCGCTGCATCTGCTCCGTGACCCAGGCGGACGCCTCCTGTGCACAGTACCCAGGTGCCTCGAGTGGTATCAAGTGGCCATTGTCCCGTTCCGCCTTTTTCACCATGCCCGCGCGCTGCCCGCCGCTGCCCCCGATGCCTGTTCCCGTCAGACGCATCTTCTCGTCGCGCAGGACCTCGGGGGACATGGGACTCTGGAGGCCAAATACGTAGAGCACAGGTGGACGGAGATGGGGCAGTCTCGCGAGGATGGCTGGTGGTTCTGGTCGGTAGAGGGGGTAGGTGAACTTGTACCCGGTGTCTGGATCGACGCGGTGGTCAATGTCCGGGACGAGCTCTGGCTTGAGGATCTTGTCGCCGCCCGCGTCGTAAGCCGGCCAGGCGGGACGTAGAAAGGTAAAGACCTCCTGATGTTTGGTCGTCGTAAGGGCCACCCCGCGACCGTCGTCGCTGTCGCGCAGGCCGAACCGCCCCCAGCGATCGAGCACGCGGTCGTCCCAGGCGGCGTAAAAGGGGGACTTGCGAAAGCCGACCATGGCGGTCTGCCTGTCGGGCCAGGTGTCGCGGCGCCGGGAGGACATGGCGGCCGGGGACTGCTGCGGGGGTCCGGGGCTGGAGGCGTACTGCTGGATGACGGGTTCCATTAGGATCATGCCGGTGAAGAGGCGCGGGGCGCCGTTGAGGGAGAGGGCGGTGAGGGCGGCGGCGCCGAGGGAGTGGCCGATGGCGAAGAGGGGCGGTGGTGGGCGGAGGATGTTGATGAGATGGCGTAGATCATTGGCGAGGTCATTCCAGCTGGCTGTGGATTGTCAGCGGGCTGGGATGACTGTAAGCATAGACGAGGACATACGGTCGTTGCCGAGATTGGCGGCGTTGAGGACGCCGGATTGGCCCTGCCATGCTGCGTCGGCGATGATGATGCTGCGGATGTTGATGCCCTGCGCCCTGAGCGCGTGGTGGAGATCGTCCCATAGGGGTTCGTACAGTTCCTGTGCTGGTTAGCACTCATGACTCCATCGAGGAGAGATGTGATGGTGTACCTTGGGGAAGCCGTTTGCGTGGGCACCAATGATGGTGATGTCTCCCTTCTGTGGGGAGGAATTGTCCGTTGGGATGTACTGCTTTACATGTTGTACGAGGGTGTCTGTCTGAGTGTGTGATGTCGCCCTCGCGAACTCGCGGATGTGCGAGGTCGGGAGTACATGTTCTCTGATCTCGAAGAGGGAAGACATGATGTCTTGGGTGGGACGTCTAGAGTGCTGGGGGAAACCAACCCCGACCGATTGATATCTCACGTCGGAAACATGAGGCTGGGGGGAGGAGGGATGGAGTGAAACTGGGGATGCGGGTGGTGATGATGGAGTTGGTGGAACTTGGTGCCTCGGCTTATGGCCCGGGTCTCCCAGCTTGTATCGGGTAGCCTAAACAAGTCCCGAATCCCGAATCCCGAATCCCGAATCCCACCCTGCCCCTAATCCAAACCCAAACCTCGAAACCCGGTTCACGGTTCACGACGATGATGATTTGTTGACCTTGATCGTTATACATGTACTACCTATATATATATATATATATATATATGACCTCTGCTGCGCATCTCTCAAAGCAGAATATCGCTAGCCTCAAGTTGGATCCTGGCCGCCAGACAATGCCGCCCAAGATCATCCTGTTCGCTGGCGCCCCAACACCCTCCGCCGTCACCGAGTCAACCTGCACCATCCGCACCGTCAACAACGACCTCCTGAGATTCCTTGACCCAACCACCCCGTCCGTCACGAGACCGCCATCCCCAAAGCAGTCATACGCACCATGGCGCTCCCTCAGTCTCGAAAAACGACCGCTAAGGACTGGACTCGCCTTCTCACAGACGCACCATCCTGCCAGCTGGACGCAGGCCAACGATTTCTTCGCAGCAGCGACTCTCTCCTTTGATGAGAGTACAAGCCTGCAGACGGCCGAAGAAGGCGTTCTCACTTCATTCTGTGAACACTCATTGGCGAGCCACAAGCCGTCAGCAGCGGACACTACCACGAGCGTGACCGCTTCGCTGGATGAGACATCCTTCCTGACCGTGACGTCGAACCACACCTCATCGTCATTTCCCAAGACACCTTTACCCCCCTGTCACCTGTCAGACATGGAGGATATACCGTCTCCAAAGAACATCCTCTCCCTCGTGCCGGCCACCATCACCGTCAACCTCATCGCAGGCATCATATCCATCGCCCAGCCGCGCACCGTGACCACCCGGTACGGGCGGCAACTGTCGCTCGTGGAACTCCTCGTTGGCGACGAAACAAAGTCCGGCTTTGGCATCACCTTTTGGCTCGGCGGCGACTCCATCCCCGCCAGCGTCTTGGCCAACCTACGAAGGCAGGACGTTGTTTTGATCCGGAACGTGGCGCTCAACGTCTTTCGAGACAAGGTATACGGCCAAAGCCTGCGAAAGGGCCTCACAAAGGTCAACCTCCTCTGGCGAAAGGATGGCGGGGGGTTCTACTCCCGACGGGACATGGTGTCCAGGAAACAAGCCCTCGATCCCCAGCTGGACAAGGCGAGGCGCGTCAAGGACTGGGTCATTCACTTTGTGGGCGGTGATCGACCTGCCACGAGGAGGACGACAAGGGCGCGCAAGTCCTGGGACCAGCCACCGGACGATACTCAATGAGGATGACGAATTATATTCTCCATGAAAGTAATGGTGGATGTGTGGCGATGGAAAAATGCATACTAAAACTACACACAAAGACGAAGCAGTGCTGGCCACTGCATCGCCAGCAGAACAGGAGGCTCATGCACCGCCAGCAGGGTCAGCCTCCTGCTTCTTGGCCCCGGGCCCCTTCTTGACGCTCTTCCACCGCAGCCCGAGCACGAAAAGAAAGGCCATGCCCGCGCAGGCCACGCTGCTGTAAAAGGTGTTCCGCAGCCCGCTCATATAAGCCTCCAGCACGGTGTCGAGGGCGTCGACGCGGCCCATGCGCTCCAGCACGCTCTCGATCTCCGAGGCGCCGCTGTTGATGAAGATGCGGGGGTCGAGGTCAATGTCATCCGCGTTGATCTTGTCAATCAGGCCGTTCTGGAAGAGCGTCTGCGCGACGGCGATGAAGACGGCGCCGCCGAGCGCCTGGAAGAACTGCACGCAGGCCGTGCCGACGGGCACCCACTCCTGCGGCAGTACCGTCTGCACGACCAGGACGCCCACCTGGAAGCCGGCGCCGATGCCCAGGCCCGCGATGACCTGGTAGCCGAACCACTCGCGCAGGGGCGTGTTGATGTCCCAGGTCGTGATCATGCCGGCGCCCACGGTGAAGAGCGCCATGCAGGGGATGATTACGATGTTGTAGAAGCCTGTTACGGTGATGACGACGCCGGACATGATGGACATGAGCACCGTGGACAGGAGAAGCGGGAGGATCTTGATGCCGGCCTGCACGGCGCTGACGCCCTTGATGGCCTGGAAGTACAGAGCTGGTGGCTGTTAGCATCTTGTCAAGTCACGTCCACGCATATGTGTACTTACAAAGATAGTAGATGAGCGGAAAGAAGCCCGCGCCAAAGAACATGGCATAGAGCATCGCGCACAAGACGTCCCTGTTGGCGAACAGCCGCGGGGGCAGGGTGCCCCTGTCGCCCTGCCACAACTGGATACCGATAAAGATGGCAATCATGGCGCCGAACCCACAGAACAGCCCGATGGTGGTCGCGCTGTTCCACGCATACTCCGCGCCACCCCACTGCAGGGCGAGTAGCAGGCAGACGATGGCCGGGATGAAGATGGCGGTGCCGGGCAGGTCGAGCTCGAGGATGCGCCGGACAATGGGCTTTTGATTGGCGGCTGAGGTGGTGTTGCGGTTCGCCTGGAGGGCGAAGAAGACGATGAGCATGGCGAGGAAGCCGATGGGGAGGTTGACATAGAAGCACCAGCGCCAGGTGGCGTGCTCGGTGAAGGCGCCGCCCAGCAGGGGGCCGGCCACCGAGGCGATCCCCCACATGCCGCCAATGAGGCCAAAGGCGAGTGGGCGCTTGGCCAGGGGCATGGAGAGCGAGAGGATGACGATGGATCCGGAGAAGAGGCCGGCGGAGCCGATGCCCGCGACAGCCCGGCCGACGATGAAGGCGGTGGACGTGGGCGCCACGCCGCAGACGAGGCTGCCGACCTCAAAGATGAAGACGGCGCCCAGGTACACGAGCTTGACGTTGAAGCGCTTGTAGAGGCCGCCGTACATGGGCTGCAGGGCCGTGGTGGTCAGGAGGTAGGCGGATCCATACCAGCCCTGCGCAACAACGTTAGCCTATAATTTTTTTTTTTTTTTTTTTTTTTTTCCCTTCTCTCACTCCCTGGCTAACGTACAATGTCCTTGACGCTCTTGTACTCGGCGGTGATGGCGCCCAGCGCCGGGGCGATGATGGTCTGGTCGAGCGCCACCAGGAACACGCACATGCAGAGCGACACGATGATGAGCGCGAGCTTGAGGCCCGAAGGATACACGGTCGCGGCCTCTTCCGCCTCGTGGGCCGCGTCGGGCGTGCCTGTCCTCTTCTCGTCGGCCACGGGCTCCTTGTCGTGCGTCGACATGGTGATGTGTGTTTCCTTTTCTTGCGGGTGGAAGGAAGACTTGGATCAATGGAGCTGTTTGAGGGTGCGAGCTATGTGAGAACGGGTACGTAGCGCAAAGTCTGCTACATATATACCTTGCTCCAATTACAGTTATCGCCAATGGATGCGGGACCGACTCATTTCCTGTCAATCAGCTCGGCATTCTGGCAACAGCGATCAATCACGACGATGGAGCTCGGCCGAATGCTACGATTCAAAGTCCGCGACGATGTAGCGGTCATCACTCATCCCACACCTTTCATTGTACTCGAATCAGAGCTAGCTATCTATCCAGCTCAGTGGCGGTCAGAAGCAATGATCCTGCATGTCTGGACTGGCTGTTCGCAGGCTGGAGTCTGGACCGTCCGACACGAGATCTGCGTGTCACCCAGGGGGTCCCCCATCGACGCCATCGTGCGCGCGGACTTGGCAGTTGTCCGAGTGCCGAATCATAGGCCAGCTCGCAACTCCGAGCTACTACTGTACGTGTACACTCGCTGGCTTGGCACGGCCATAGGGCTGCATGAGGTCGGCCTCCTTCAATGTGCGACGAGCTGTTTGTCCGTGAGCACGGCTCTCTTTGCATTGTATGACTCAGAGGTCATCTCTCTCTCGCCAGCTAGATCCCCAGGGGTCGATTGCATCATGCAGCCTCTCACGAATGTCTCGAATGAGTGAGTGCTTGGAGAACCCGTTGGATCAGGGGGTTCATGGGTAAGTTGGCGAGCAGAAGATGAACCACCCTAGACTCAATTCCACCGGCTATACTGTTAATGTGACACGACCATGGCGACTTCAACGCAGCATCTATTCATCTACCCTGATGGCTCCCTCTTCCTCATCCTCCTCCCCGCCCTCGCCTGGCGGAACCCACACCAGCAACCCATCCTTGTCAATCTTCATACCCTCCGTCGGAATGACGCGGAGCATCTTTTGAAAGTACTTGTCTCGAACGACAAGTCCCGGTCGCACAAAGGTGCCCCGGACCAACGGCAGCAGGCGATATGTCACGGCCCGCCTGCTCATCGGCAGCAGGTGGACTGTCGTCTGCTTGGCCCCCGAAAAGGCAAACTCATCGCTCGGCTCCATGGTCAGGCCAAAGGTCAGGAAATGGGCCGATGCGTTCTCAATGGTAATGTCGAGGTGCATCAGGCTGTCATCCGGTGCAGTGGCGGCGGCGGCGGCGGCGGCGGCGGCGGCCGGTGGCGTCTCGAACACAGAGGCCAGCACGCGTGGCTCGGTGCTCAGGACCAGATACTGGCCTGCTGCCATGATCGTCGTGTTGACAGGCTGATCTTGCTCATCCTGCCGCTGCCACTGTATGACGATGGACACGTCCACCGACACAGGCTGCCGGTCGTCCAGGCTCATCTTCTGGGCTGTCAACTCGAATCGAGCTTCCTCCATCGTCTTGGGCGTCATGACTACACCCTCGGCAGGGATCGGGTGCTGCTTGATCACGTCGCAGCGTGCATGGCCCGCGCTGGGGGAGACCTTCATCTCCATGCCCAGAACCCGGAGATCCTCCTCGGCAAACGAGGCGTAGTGGCATATCAGGCACCATGCTTGCACAGTGCCCTTGGCAGCCATTGTCTCTTTTGACGCTTCGTTCCCGGTGACAATGTTCTCGTGGTTAAACAGGTTCGGCCATGGGTCGTGATGCAGTCGCGGCACGAGGTCGTAGTTGGCCTCAAACGGGCTGACGATGGCAAGCTGCACCGGAAGCATCTGCATGATCGGCGTGGCAGGGTCCGAGTCTAGGTGATATGTCGCGCGCACATGCAGGTCAAGTGTTGTTGGGGCATCCAACGGCTCCACCGCCAAGTCTAAGTCTGACGTCGCCGAGCTCTCCAGCTTGCCCAGCGAGAAGCCGGTGATCTTCGACTCTGCCTCCGCCACGCTGGCCGTCTGCTGCTCCTCCCCATTGCTAGAGAGCGTGAAGATGGGCGCCTTCTGACCAATCAGGTGTACATCCACCTTGACAGAAGCAACCTCGGCCTCAGCGTTATCCAGCTGGACTTTGAGTCTGATGGGCTCATTGGCGTAGTATTGGTTGCGCGGTTCAATGACTTGAATGTCCAGCTTGGGCGGCCGAGGCTGCACCTGTAGCACGTGTGCGCTGTCGCGTGCATGGAAAGGTCTTTTGAAGCCGTCTCTGTACCACCCGCGGGGGTGACTAGCTTGACCAAGCTTCATGCTGTATGTCATGTCGAATTGCTCGCCCCTGTATGCGAGCTCGAGAGATGCCGCAGAGATCTCCCCGGCCTCCCGCAATGGGATGCTCAGCTCGTACACACGGGTATGCCCTGGCACGAGGGTGAGATCGTCGTCACCCTCCAACAAGGAAGGCAGCCCGTCTTCAGAGTTGTCGTCAAATTGCTCCGACAAGGTCGTTGCGGATTTGAAGAATGTCCCGTCGCTCCCACTGCCAGCCTTGTGGCTGAGAACAAGGGGCTTGAGACTCCCGCCAAAGATGATCTTAATCTCGCTGAGTGCGAGGGGTGCTGCGCTCGCCAAGGCATTGGAGGTTAAGGACAGCTGCGCACTGCAGTGATCACCCGCCCTGCTCTCCTTGTTGTGAAACACAAAGGAAGCGTCCACAAAGGACTCATGTTGGTCATCTGTTAGCCTGACACTGGGCTTGTCCGTCAACTCAATCCCCTCCAGGGACCGGGACAAGTCGTAGGACCACTGCGGTCTCTGAGCAAATTGCTTGCTCATCAGTTCCCAGTCCAAGGCGATCACCAGGTCTGCTTTCCGTTCGGCGGCCGCGGCTCTCCGGATCAACCAGCACAGGTCCTCGGAAGCGCCATGCCACCCCTCGGGTCGGAAGACTCGACTTTCCCAGAGCGGTCGTAGAATGGACAAGACGTCCTGCCACTTCTTCATCCGACAGAACTCACGTGCACATTCCAGTGATAGTTCTGACGCCACCCTCAGCTGGTTTCGCGCCTCGAATTCTGCTTTCGCCCCGAGCAGGCAGTCCACAATCAGCTGCGCATGGTTCGTGCCTTGGCCCTCCAGTGGATTCTCCTCGTAGGGCATGGGGCACAAATATGTATCATAGCTGAAGACCTTGCCTTTCTGGTCAGGCGGTGATCTATCCTCCTCCCGAATGCGCGCAGCCTGTCGCCGTCTGGCCATGAGGGCTCTCGCCGCGATACGATACCAGTATCCTTTGTGGTGTAGGAGCTCAAATGGCTGGAGTCGATCGCCAAGGACGGCTTTATCCGGAGGCAGAAACATGGTGCCCGATTCCGGCTCCAACCCCTGGAGCTCGACCTTGCCCATGAGATCGGCCATGACCAAAGCCCATCTCGCCTCCCAGGCTTGCCAGCCGTAGTTGTCGGTGCCATGTCCACGTCGGTCCACAAAATCCGCCAACCGGTCGCGGTGAGCCTGCCATCTCTTCACAGCGAGGCTCGTCTGCTGTAGCCAGAAGTGCAGCCGCAGGCACCGGATGGCAATGATGTCCGCCAGCAGACGCGCCTCGTTCCATCGGGGGCTCCAGCTCGGGATCGTGTCCAGGACGTCAGGGCCGAGTAGCACTTCATACGCCTGCTCGTATGATTTCATCGCAGCGTCGTACTCCTGGCGAAACTCGCCCAACACGGCCGACTTGAAATCGTACCGAAAGTTCCAACCTGCCAATTCCAGTGTCCGCGACGTCCCCGAGGTCGGCGGCACTGTCGGTTGCGGCGCGATGCCCCGGGATCTCTTCTTCCGCGCGTGGCGCCCCAGGTCCCGATAGTATTCCACGGCGGGCCCGTAGAGGGCAGACAGGATATTGAGCATCACATTTTTCAGCTCGCCGGGTGACCCCTGCGGCGGGATGTAGAATAGCGATTTGGGGTCAAGGCCTGACCCGCGACGAATGTTCTCGAGGCGTTCCTGTAGCCCGGTGGCTAGCGTGGCGGGGGTGCTGTCGTCGTCTGCCAGCAAGACCACCGCCAGCTTGGTCTTGTACCCTGACGCTGCCAGTGCAGTCCTGAACGCCGCAATGTCGTTCTTCAGACGGTTGTCTTGTAGTGTCGTCGTCGTCGGATCGGTTGTGATTGTGTAAAAGCAGAGTATGATACTCGGTACGAGCTCCTGGTGTTTCTGTATCCATTGCGCATTTATCAGGCCATCCGGATAAAGTCGAGAACAGGTGCTGAGCGGCGAGAACGGCGAATGTAGTACAGGCAATGAAGTTGGAGCGGCCTCTTCCTTCTCGATCTCTGGTAGCTGCGCTTTTCGAGGCGGTAGGAGGACGGACTGCGACCCTGTCAGAAAGCCGCCTTCCATCACGAGAGCCATGGGGTCTTTACTCTGCCTGTGCTTTTCACGCGGTATCTGAACTTCTCGTCCCTATGCACGCCCTGCCAAGATCGCCCTGCGGCGTCGACTTTGTTGAACAATTCATTCAGCACAGTGGCCTCTCTCGTCTCGAGCCGGGGAAGGTCGGATTGTACCAGGATGCCCTGGTCCTTCAGGTCGCCTTCGACCGGGACTTTGGTGGGCTCGGAGCCATTGAGACCAGAGACGACGAGAAATGGGACGCTGTGTCCCAGGCTGCCTTCTGGGAAGTCGTCCATGGTCGGGCGCTGGTCTCGAGGCACCAGAGGTAGGGTCTTGACAGCGACAGGAGGGGCTTCGCGAGTGGGGAGGGTGAGCAGCGCATGGACGTATTCTCGTCAACAAGGTAATCTGGCGAGAGGATTTCTTGACTATAAAAATCGCTGGAGGCTGTCCGACCGCATCAGCACATGCGCCCACATTGAGGCCATGATGCAAGCAAGCAAGCAAGCTCACATAGGTGTCGTTCCAGTCCAGAGTGACCAAGCAATTGCTGCAGCTGCTGCTGCGGCTGCTCCACGGTGGATCCAACCCGCCCTCCACCATCCCTGCTTCAGTCTTCAGCGACTTCCAGGGCGCCCGAAGTTTCTCCGCCTCGCCCAAAAATTCAAGAGTCGCGACGACGACCTCTGGCGCGCCGTATATCAACGATACATACACACACACCTATCGACCGCCATGATTAGACCGACGCAGTTCCTGCTCCAAGGCTCCGGAAAGTACCGCCACGTCCGGCTCACAACCAAAGATGTCGGCAGGGGCTTTTACAAGGGTAACCGCACCGGTTCCATGGGCCGCCACACAAAGTACGGAACGTACCAGATCGACTGGAACAAAGTGCGGACATATGTCGTGCCGGATCTGAGCGGCTGCCAGGTGAGAAGATATGCGCGCCTGCAGAGGGGTACACCGAAGACTGACGGAAGAAACCCCCCAGCTCACGCCCTACGTGAGCGCGCAGATCACAAAACCGGAAAGCTCCTACAAGGGGATACCCAGCGGACCGCGAGACCCGTATCTATACATTGAGAACTGGAAGGACAAGAACCAGGTCGATTAAGGCTTAACGATACGTCACGAATACGAACGGGAAGACAAGGGAGGCTTCTCGAAGATACTGTATTACTCTCTGTATATCAATTGTACACCAAAACAAATAGAAGTGTCTGTCTGGGTTAGGGTATATGCGCGCAGACTCCTTGCTGCCAAACGCTCCTGGTAGCGAAAGTGGGCCATAAATGCAAATTCTGTCTTTCTTTCCTTCTCTTTGGCATGCATTCTTTTTCCTCTATTCCTCTGGAAGTGCGTTGTGATCAAGTTGCGATCGGCTTTTCTGCGCCAATCTGAGCGGGTGCGCTGCCGTTGTGGCCATTTCCCACTCGAGGGATCTCCTCTTGGGCGGTGACAAAGGTCTCGATCCCTGGTCTCTGGACGTCAGTCTGCGAATCAAGGCGCGGGCTGATCGGTCTGGACGCAGGGGGGCTCATGGCCGAGTCCAACGTGACCATGCTGGCAGTCTCGGCTTCTTTGTTGATGGAGAAGGGCAAAGCAATGCCGTCAATAAAGGGCCGCTTGCCCGTGGCTCCCACAGCGGGCACCGCGAGATTCTGCGCTGTCTTCTCAGATTCCCTGCGATTACCCATGAGGCTATCCATTGGCGTGTGCTCGTCAATGGGCGTCGCGCCAGTCTGGTTCTCGTCGTACACCATCCTGCTGCGGGACAGGCTCCTGCCTCTTGAGCCAGGCGTCGCGGGATCATTGTTAAACGGGCTTCGCGGTGGTTCCAGAGCAGTGGTGGACGGTGCTTGGGACTCAATGTCTGAAAATGGCCGCGCACATTGACCATCGTTGGGAGATACGGTCGTGGCGTCTTTGGGCGGCTCAGCATGGCTGGCTTTGCGCTCACGTTCGCGTGTGACGGTGGCTTCATCGTGCTTGGATCCCCAGAGTGACCAGACGGCCAGACCCAAGCTCTTGACGCGTTTCTTGTGATGCGATTTCTCCCCGATCCGACGGCGTCCGGCCAGTGCAGTGGGCGGCGGCTGCTCGCCCGGGAACGTGTGATATCCAGCCACCATGTCGTCGATAATCTTCTTGTGCACCTTGGCCTTGGTGCCAGCGTACTTGCTATCCCACAGATTCTTGGCCGTGAGCCATTTCTCAACCTGCCCAGCCTTGATGACGCCAACGTCCTCTGGCTTCAGCTTGCAGGCGTCGAGCTCTTCAGCTTTGGGCAGTGGATGGGTCACGCCATGGCGGGTGACTCTCTGCCGCACCATGTGATTCACAAACGGCGGAAGAGCATCGCCCGCCTTGCCAACGGCGCCCGACTTGTTCTCTTGCTCCAGGGCAATGCGCTGCTCCTCTTGTTTCTTCCTCTCGGTATGGTCCTCTTGTTTCTTCTTCTCGGTATGGTCCTCCTTCATTTTCTTCTTCTCCTGGCCATCCTCTTGTGTGCCCTCGGCGTCGTCACCCGTAGCCGATCCCGAGGTTGAGATGAAGGAGATGTCATCGTCATCGGGGATTTCTATCCCAACCCGCTGGGCTCTTGCCAGGCACCAGGCGCCAAACTGGGATGCGGAACGGTACATGTACTTGGCTGGACGGGTGAAGCTCAGTGTCGGCGCCACATGACACAGGTCCTCCCATACCTGGAGCTGGACGTCCGTTGGCTCGTACTTTGCGAGGTGGGCCCGTCCCTGCTCGTCCATTTTTTCCGGTGGCGGCGCGTACTTGGACGGGTTGGCGCACTTGTGCGCCAGGTATATTTGCTCATCGCGCAGGATCTCGGCGCCTCCCGCCATGATGAGCAGGGGCGGCAGGCCACCGAGCGTTGGTTGCAAGATTGGGCTGACCAACGGGTGATCAAGGAGCTCGTTTGTCGTGTACAATTGGATCTGATCCTTCAGCTTGACTGTCGTCCCGTTAATGTCCACGGAGAGGAACCTTTGTGGATCGTGGACAGTGCCAGCACTGGCCGTCTTGCCATCTTGTGCTGCAACGCGCTCGTTGCTGGATGTTGCCACAGGATCCTGCTGTTTACTTTGCAGATCTCCTGTTGTCAGTTTCCCGGCCTTGCCGCGTCTCTTCTTGTCCGCCTCAGTCACCAGCATGGCGGCATCATCCTCATTAGGTGGCGGCCATGATCGTGAAGGCTTGTGGTGAAATCCGTACTGGGGAATGTAATCCATAGGGGCTGGATTTCCCACACTCGGGAATGAGTGCGTCAAGTCAACCCAGGGGCTGATGAGGATAGCTCCGGCAGGGAGGGGAATACCCTGGTCTCGAAGAACACAGAGTGCCGCCATCACCATGCCTCCGCCCGCCGAATCACCAGCCAGCACAACCTCCTTGGGATCCTGTACAGTGAGCAGATGCAGGTACGCCGCCACAGTGTCTAGCAGACCACAAGGGAAGGGAAATTGCGGCGCAAGTCTGTACCGTGGCGCGAAGACGCGGGCCTTGAGCTTGCGTGCATGTCGCTGCATTTGGTACCGATGCTCGTCCACGCTGCCGAAGAAGTAGCCTCCACCATGTATGTACAGCATCACGCGGCTCGTTTTCCCGCCGTTGGCCTTGCGCTCCGCAGCGTCGGACTTCATCTCGATCCACTCAGCCTCCAGGGGCGCGTCGTCTTTCCTCCACTGCCACCATTCGCGGCCGCCGACGCGGCGAATACCATCCTCGCCCAGTTGCTCCTGGAGCAGACGGGCCGCTTCCTTGAGGTGGGCCTCGGACACGATCGCATCTTCGACCTTGACCCACTGGGGATGCGGCACCCATTGCGCGGTGAAGGCTTGGAGCTCCTCCACGGTATGGTGCGAGGCGTACTCGAGGAAGGACTTGACGAGGTGAAGACCCTCGTCGTACGACAGATGCGCTGTCGGACGCTCCTTGAGTGGTCCACGGTTGAGGTACTACAGACGAGCGTCTTGAGTCAGCGGCAAGAACTGGGTCCATTTGCATGAACTGTGTGCGATCCACCACTTACATGTGAGAAGAGGGTCGAGACGACCGTGGGCGTCACAGCCAATGAGACGGATGTTGTGTTGAGCTTTGGCATGGTTGCTCGTTCTCTCGTGTCTCGTCAGGACGAAACTGAAGATGTTGAAACCCAGACGACACTAGTGCTACGCGCGAGGAAGTCCCTCGTTCCTCTCAATATCCAGTCTAATCTGTCTGCGTCGACGAAAGGAGCCTAATTCCATTTCGTTTCCTCGAGCGCAAGCTTCATGATGTCATTTCCATGGAGTGAGACCCCTTATTTCAGTCACTACCGTACCGGCGCCGGCCAATCGCCGGTGGGGTCCCGATGCACGCATGCATGCATGGATGGTCCGTGCGTGGACCGCTGGCATAACGATCAACTCTCACCAAAATTTTTGTGCATGCGAACTTTGCAATGGGCGGTGCCCCTCCAACGCAACAACAGCACAGCGCCACCCCACCACGACATCAACATGGCGACTACATCGCAAGCCACGCTACCGCCAGCGGGTAAGTCTAGGGATTGTTTTTTCCAGAGAGGGCTAGACTGACTCTCACCAGCCGAACGCCAACACACCTTCGAGCAAGCCGTCGCCCACGCCCTCCATCTCTGGCCGGCCCTTACCCTCTCAGTAGCGAACAACTGGGGAGGCGAGGACTCGTCAGACAAGCGAGACTGGTTCGCCGGCGTCGTCGTCGACCTCTTTCCCGAATACACCGACACACCTGCCGCTCCCGGCGCCAAGGCGGTGGAGGAGCACGACTTGCAGGATGTAGAGGAGGTCCTGCTCCAGGTCATGGTGGATGAGTTCGATGTCAACGTGGACGACGACTCGGCCTACGAGGTAGCCACACAGATCATCGCCGCCCGTACGCAATGCGCACAGGGGCAATACGACGAGGCCAAGAAGCTCCAGGAACGCTTCAACAACCGCAACGCCAAGAAGGTGGATCAGCTCTTTAAAAAGGTCGAGGACAAGGATCAGGACACCGACTGGGAGTCTGAAGACTCGGGCGACGACGATGATTCCGCGGATGTCGAGATGAACGATGCGCCTGCTGCACCGAAACCGCCCAAAGAGAAGCCTGTGCCCGAGGTCGACGAGGATGGTTTCACAACGGTCACCAAGAAGAGGTAGAGAGGGAGCTATTCACGACATAGGTAATGACATTGTTTGCCAGCGAACAGACTGGACTGAGACCACAAACGCCTAACGAGAAGGAATCATGGACAATGGTACACGTACCAAAACTACTCCCAATCGTCATCGTCGCTCTCATCCGCCTTCTTGGCCGCCGTGTCCTTGGGGCTGTTGGGCGCTCGGCTGGTCTTCCCGGAGGCGGCGCCAACCACATCGTAGCTCGCCTCGCTGTCGGCTTGGGATTTCTCGTCATTTGACTTGCGGGATTCGGTGGGCTTGAGAGTGCTCTGGGCGGGCGGCGCGGGCGGCGCGGGCGGCTGAATGGTGGAGGAGGATCGGACGGAAGCGGGCTTCTTGCTGGCTGTCTTGTCTTCTTCTTCATCTTCGTCGTCCGAGTCGTCACCCCAACCAACCTCGTCCTCCTCGGCGGCAGCTGTGCATCGTCAATAGCTGTTAGACTGGGACCATGGGGGTCACTCACCTTTCAATAGATCTCGTCGCCTCGTCTCCGCAGTCTCGATCCCGTGCCTCAAAAAGTAGTAGCGCTGCCAGAAGGAGGCATACGGGATCTGGTCGGGAACCAGTCTCTCCATTGTCGACCTCAAATCAGGGTATTTGTCTAGATCACTGGCAATGTCTCCTGTCTTCTTCTCCACGTCGAAGCCCTTGGCCCATTCCTCGTACTCGGGCCCAGTGGGGGCCTTGGTGAACCCTTCGGTCGAAGTATGGATGACATGAAGTTGCGCATCAAAGCGCGAGGTGTGGATGACCCGCTTGCCTTTGGCGTCCTTGCTCTCAAAGAGAACCGTAGTGTCTTGGCTGCTAGCGTCCGTCGGAGCGATGCTCACCGCATCGCGCAGGAAGTCGCGTACATTGCCTCCAAAGCGAAGCAAGGCCTCGTCCGCGGCGTCCTCAGCCTTTTGCAGATCTCTCAGGCGCTTCGCGGCTTCGGATCGCAGTCGTTCTAGCATGCTCTCGGAAGGCTGCCCTGCGCTGGACGCCTCCCCGGTTGCTTTCTCAGCGTCACGCGCCCGGCTGCTCTCGGCTTCATTGCTCGGCTCCTGCTTCGAAATCTCCAAAACGTCGTGCAGCGTGAGACCTCGGGTCTGTTGGGTGATGTTCTGTCGAAGATCGTTGATTCCTTTCCCGGCCTCTTCGCGTACCTCGGCAAGCTCTTTGCTGGCCTGTGTGTAGACCGATTCGCCCTGTTGACAGTCAGCGCCCTGCTTCGCACTTGATTTCGAATACCTCGCACCTGTTTCACAACGGTCCCGAAGAAGCCTCCGATCTTGGAGCCCCATGGGCTGTTTGTGAATGCCTTGTACGCATCCTGGATCTCGGTGTTGAGGTTCTGCTGCGTCTGCGTCGGGTGCGCGTCGTCGCTCGACCCTCCCTCGCCTTCCCCTTCCTTCCTCGCGTATCCTCGGTCTTGCAGGTGATCGTATGCGAGGTCCATGACGTTGGGCTGCTCGTGTCAATCGTCCAGAGTGATCGGGATAGGCGTGTTGGCAGGGCCTGGGCTCGGTTCAAGTCGAACGACTGTCGTTAGTGATCCCTGGTAGTAAGTGGGGTCAAGAATGGGGCTTGGCGCGGATCACATTGGGCCCGGGGAACCTCACTTGAGGTAAGGTACGGATACTACTGGTGAGCATCTAAGCTTTGAAGCATGCACCGGCAGGTATATTGGACGTACATAGCTATGTCAAGTATTTCAAGAGACTCTCCCGGTTAACCCGAGAGTGATTATCTTAGATGGGTACCTTTTCTAGTTTTCCCTCACCAGTGGAAGCTTACTTGTACTACTTTTGTCCACCGACTGAACCACACTACCTCGCACATCTCACACAAAGTTGTTGGAACTACGTACTGGCAACCATGGCCGATGGCTTTCTTACTACCTTACTAAAAGGATATTGAATGTGAGCGAGACCGCCAATCTCACACCTACCTACTGAGGACCAGCTCAATGCAGCGGCAAGTATTGCGAAGTGATTCGCCCCCGTCCAGGGTAGGGTAGCCGCTTGCGGTGCTTGCGGGCATGACGTGATTCCCGACCCCCGAGTCCCTCTCTTCGTCTCCAAGCATGTTGAACATCCGTCTCTGTGCACGACTACGTACGCCTTCGGAAGATATGCATAACCTCTAAGCGCCATTGCATCTGATAATCGACCGTTCAGAAATAGTCGTCAGGTTAGGACAGCCACCCTATCTGGTCTAGAATCCGCCCTTGCAGCCCTTGGCTCACCATGATCCACCCGACCAAGCTCTGGAAACGTCTGCGACCCGATGAGAAGTGCATTCATTCACAAGCACCCAAAGGCCTTGACGAGCCACATGACGATCCGGGTCCCGGAGGCTAGTGACACCTATCGGCAGTCCATTCACACCTGGATCTAAACAATCTCCACAGACCGTCCGTCGTCCAGAGCACCCGATCAACGCTTTCGTCAAGATAGACCAATGGAATGAACGCTGCCTCGGCCTCAAGCTAAGCCCCAACCCGAAATCGTCCTCGCGATTGCCATTTCTGGGTAGCCGCGATCGAGGCATCGCCGTTCAGTGAATTTAGCGTGGTGACCAGAGCCAAGCAGCACTTGCTCGTGGCTGGACTAGGAATGAGCAGAATGAGAAGTAGGCGAGGTGAAGAACCAGATTACCGTGTTGGCATTCGTGGGAGGAATCAGCGCACCATTTCCTATTCGCAAATACTACGGAATCGTAACCAGATCGATTTTCCAAGAATGCGGTTCAGGTTTGCCATTGTTGCGGGGTGCTCGTGAAGATCGCGGCAGGGACCATGACGTAGGCTTCATGACGTCAAACCAGGCTCCTCACCAGGCGATCAAGCTGCAGCCGATCATGTCTGCCCGCAACTGCCCGCAACGCGTCACGGGTGACCTGAGGAGCTCAGCAAGTTGATTGTAGTCCCTTCTGTCCCTATCCGGCTCAAAAGTATATAAACCCTCGTTTCTGCCCTTCCAAGGCCTACTTCCTTCATCACCACATCCAAACTACAAACCCCAACACACACAACTTCAAACACCAACCAACACAACAACTTCAAATCTCTCAACATGGAGTCTATCAAGCAGGGTGCCAACTACGTCGCCGAGACCGTTCAGGGCGCTGTCTCTGGTGCTTCCAAGGAAGCCAACAAAGAGGTCGCCAAAGACCCCAACGCCCCCGTCGGCACCCGGTAAGTTCACCCTTAAACCAGGGGTGACGACCTCGATACTGATGCGAACACAGCATGAGTGCCGCCAAGGATGCTCTTGGTGACAAGACCGACGAGTCTAGCCACGACGCCAAGGCCGACGCCCACAAGGAGATTGCCAAGAACTAAGCAAACCGACATTTGATGATGCTCGAGCGACGGCGTTGAACCGTTTTAGCAGATGGGACAAGTTTATGAGATTATGAAGTTCTCAATGAATTAATAACCCTACCTTTTGACATGACCGTGCCCCATGAAAGTGTTTGACCTGCCTTTACATAGTGCCCACTTTGTTCCAATTTCTTGTAAGATCCGTACAGATGAATTTTTGTGCACTCACAAACACTCTGAGTCAAACTACTCAAGTACTGACATTGGGAAATTCACGGTCCAGTCTGGTAAAGTTTCCTGTGCTGTTGCTTCTAACTGACGCCGACGTGCCTTGTTAATCAACCGACAAGTGAGTGCCGACAGCGATTATCAGGCTGGGTTTCCTGCGCATTGCCAAGCCTAGATTTGATCGGACTGGGACCTGCATCATGTCGAGATGCTGGTATCAAAGGCAAGTGCACAGCGATAGCCGGGTGACTCAACATTCATCTCCGCTTGCTGACGACGCATCAGTGATTTGCACTGTGCGGCAGTGAACATGGCACGTGAAAGACGCCCCCGGGAGAGCTCCTGCGCACTCACCCCATGTGCGAACTTCCGTCTGAGCTTCCATTTTTCAACACTGGCGACACTGTATCAGTGAAGGCCAAGGGACTACAGCCAATCAAAGTTCGCCGCTCTCGAGGTGCGAACGTGGGTGGCCCCGCATGTCGGAAGGCCGATGCCAGATTCTGAATCCGGATCGTCCTCGCTTATAAATCGTCCATGCGCTGGAATCGTTGAGAATCAGCCCATCAGTCCCCTGGTCCAGGAACTAATTCAGTTTCTTCCTTCGCGTATTTACAGCGAGGACCATACGAGAATAACAGACTGACCCTTTAATTCGAGCCTGTACAACTCTTCCACACAACAGTTCCTTGCCAGAAAGCCTCCGTCTCCCGAGTTTGATCAGGCGCAGAATCAGCGAGAGCCACACCACCCTTACCTTGCGCAGAGTCGCAAACCATCCGCCGCACAAGTGCTTCATTCCGCTAATTGATGCGGCTATTTGTTGCCCACCTCGAGGCTTGCGAGCGACACAGGGCAACACCAGCGCAGACTTTGTCCCCGAAATCGGTGCAAAAGCGCCATTGTGCCTCGTCATAATCAATCACTGCAATTCGAACGCTGACGGTCCAGCCATTTCTGCCTGGGTGGTTGGCTTGTTCAGAGCGGTGCGGTGCCAAAGCCGACCCCGACCCGCCACCCTCACTAAATCCGACCATCCGGTAGTCGAGTCGTCCGCAGGGCGTCAGCGCAGCATCCCGCCCACGTCCTGACTGATCGAATCAGCTTGACAGCCTGGGCGTTCCTCATCTTGCATCGACTGGAAACACTCATCATCCATCCCCATCCGAACATATTATCGACGATATCACAAATGGCCTCCGCCGACGCTGGCTCTGGCGGCTCTCTGCCGCCCAACTTCTTCTTAACCCCGCAGCAGCAGAACTTGCTCTTCGCGGCCCTCAATTCGAACAAGCCACAGCAAAATGGCGGGGGACTGACTCTTTCGCCCAACTCATTCGAAACGTCGCCGATACAGAGCCGCCATGACAACCACCACCACAACAACAATCAGGCCCTCAACGAGAGCCCTTTTCTCGACACTCTCAATGAAGACCTTGGAGACTCGAGTTTCGACTTTTCATTCGCTGACGATCAACAACCGCGCATGATTGGTGAACTTCCCCAGACAGTCAAGTCGGAACCGTCGGACACAGACAACCACGAGAAGAGGAGCCACCCCGATGACGAAGAGGATGATTTGCAGGACCCCAAGCGAAGAGAGAGCACCGATAAGGTTCCCAAGAAGCCGGGACGCAAGCCACTCACAAATGAACCAACCTCGGTAGGTCCATCCTTGATTCCTCCCATGCTAGCAATGCGTGCTAACGTCCCTCGAGAAGCGCAAGGCTCAAAATCGAGCAGCTCAGAGGGCGTTCCGTGAGCGCAAGGAGCAGCATTTAAAGGACCTCGAGACCAAAGTCGAAGAACTCACACAAGCATCCGAACAAGCCAACCACGAGAACACGAAGCTGCGAGCTCAGGTCGACCAAATGAGCACCGAACTCAAGCAGTACAAGCAGAGGCTCTCCTTAATGTCCAATCCCACCAAGCCAGTCGCCAGGAAGGATCATACTTTCGGCAGCTCTGCTGTCGGCAATCTCGCCGACGTGAACTTCCAGTTCAACTTTCCCAAGTTTGGCGGCAGCTTGCCTGGCTCTACGGCCAACAAGCAGCCTCGCTCAGCCTCACAGCCCATCAGCCCGCAAAACAGCGTCGCCAGCCAACCGGCCAAGAGTCGCACCCTCGATAACAAGTCACCATCCACCTTCTCTGATACCCAATTCAAGGACGACCTGGCCAAGTTTTCTGGCATCTTTACGCCGTCCATGACGAGCTCCTCTGCTGGCAGCGCGTCGCGAGCGAGCCTGGACTCTGCACAGTATTCACTCGGCGGCGCAACTAGCTCTCCCTCGGCATCCTCCAACTCGAATGCCGGGCCGAGTTCGTCGTGTGGGACTTCACCAGAACCCTTTACGCAGTCGCCTCTTGGTTCGAAGCCGATTGAGACCATGACAACCATTGGCGAAGAGCAATCCAACACATCGTCGGAGCCGTTTGCGCAGTTTGCGAACATTGGTTTCAACAACAGCACCAACTTTGACTGGCTGGCGAACCAGAATGGTGGAAGTTTTGAGCCTCAGTTGTTTGGCGACTTCCGCGAGCCTCAGGAGAACATTCTGTCGGACCCCTCCTACGATGACTTCTTCAACGACGCACTCAACGCGGACTTCTTCACGCCGTTTAATGTCCCACCCGAATCATCACTTGGCAAGGTCGACACTGCCCACACGAGCTCGGCACCCAAGGCCAGTCTCATCGATTCCATTGATGCACAGAAGGAGGACTACGACGATAGTCTCAAGCCAGCTAAAGAAACCATGAACTGCAACCAGATCTGGTACGTGTCCGCTCCGTCACCAGCACCCGCCAAACTCTCACTAACCCATCGCAGGGAAAAGTTGCAAAATTGTCCCAAGGCCCAGAGCGGCGAGTTTGACCTGGACGGTCTCTGCTCCGAGCTCACGAAGAAGGCCAAGTGCTCTGGCACCGGACCTGTTGTTGGGGAGAAAGAGTTTGACTCCATCCTGAACAAGTACATGGGCGACTACGATTCCAAGTGCGTCGCCAACTCGCTCGGCATTGAGGTCGACCGCAGCACCAAGTCCAACGGCGTCGGCCTCCCATGAGAGCGACATAGGTGTTGGGCTTGCATTCGAACCACGATTTTGCATAGAGGGCGTTTTGTTCTTTTGAGTTTTGTACTTGTAGTCCGGGATGGCCCCGGGCACAGAGGACGGCGGACAGCTTTCGACTGGAACAATCGGTTTTCATTCGGGGAGTGGACGACTCGAGATCAGAGGGCACTTGACTCGCATGGTCTCATACAGGACGGATCGTCTCTACTTTGCAGAATGGACGCTGCCGTGTCGTGGCTGAGACGAATATCACGATGGATGAAGTGGATCTGGACTGACCTTGTTGATTTGGCGCTACAGTAGCAACTGGTAATGACATACTACATACCTACTCCTACTCGAGTTTCCGCGTTCGCAGCTGGAGTCTGGACATGCACGGACACGTTTGTGACTTTTCCCCACTGGCAAGGTCCGTGTTGTTTTAGATAATTGGGGGTATTTATTGTATTCTTTCATGACCCAAGATAATAACCAAAAATTGACTCCACCAGCATCAACATTATCTCCACGTCTAATCCGCTCGATGCATGTTCAAGTGACTGAAGAAGGAAGACACATCCTGCCAGCCGCCCCGGTCGTTGATCGCTCTGATGTATGTAGACATGCGCTGCTCACGCCAGGGGCCTTCCTCTGCCTGCCAGTGTCCAAGTAGGTTGGGGTGTTCCTGGTATGTGATGTGTTCCCATCCCAAGCCCCAAAGATTCCAATGTATATGTTTGTAAAAGTAATATCATCGTGTGATCATCACGCTTGTCGTCCAACTCGTGCTGCAGGTTCGTCTCCGTGCGCGTGGTGCCCGTCTAAATGGTCTAGGCGCTTTGAACGCCCTGTTGCCACGGCACTTGCCCTGTCGTCCTCCTCAATTCGTCTCAGCCCGGCGGTGTGCTTCGTCATGGAGCTGCCCACGCCTGGTAGGGTCTGTTGCTGTTCGCGAAACTAGCCGATCACTACACGAGCACCCTCCTTCCCTAACACACCCCTCTCTTTGGGCCGCGGGCTATGGTTGCGCCCCTTCTTCGACTTCAAGAAGCCGAACATACCGCCCGAGCCTTCACCCTTGCCATCCGCGGCGGCGTTCGCGTCCGTTGGGAGTGTTGCGTCCTGACGAGCCAATTCTGACCAGCTGCCACTGCCGTCCAGTGTCATCTGCACGCCGCCCGTTGAGGAGGCTATGCGGTTGGTCGATGAGCGCGACTTACGGGTGAAATCTGTCTGGTAGGCGGTAGGCAGAGGCGGCGCGGCCCTCTGAGGGCGTACAGGCTTGCCGTCGACTCCCGAGTGTTGCCCTGTGGACGTCATAGGGTCTTGAGTCACGAGGTAAGGTGACGCTGCAGGTGTCACTTCGTCCGTGGTCAACGCACGGGGACCATCCTCGTCCGAAGTGCCATCGCCAGCCGTGATCCTGCGTTTGTCAGTTCTTGCTTTCGCCATTTTTGCGACATCTAGCACTTACTTCTTGTACGCCGCTAGTGTGTAGTCAAATGGACGGAAATCTGTTTCGATCGATTTGTAGAGGTTGTCCTCACGGATCTCCTTCTCCGTGGCATCATCCTTCAGCTTCTCACGTGGCTTCTGGCGACGAGCACGGGCTTCCAATGGCGCCTCCTCCAGTAGCAGCTCCTCCAGATCGTAGGTGGCGTCGAAGTTGGTCTTGTCGGAGCTGGGTACGAACACTGGCTCAATCTGTTTACGTTCGAGCATGTTGAAGTCGAAAACTTTGAAGAAGTCGTGTTCCACAAAGCTCTTCCAGTCGCGGCCTAGTCGCTTGTCGGGGTTGGGCTCAAGGGCGGCCCCAATGGCGTATAGACAACCGAGGGACACCGGTGGCTGGGTGATTGGGTATTTGGGGTTCGCGGCTTGGATCGTCTCGCTGAGCGACTTTTCCGAGTTGCCCTCAAACGGACGTTTGTTGTATATGCATTCGTAGAATAGGACGCCCAGGGACCACCAGTCCGCCCTAACATCGTATCCGTTCCCAGCATAGACTTCGGGCGCTAGGTAAGCCAACGTTCCGGATTTGCTGGACAAGACTTTGCCGGGGACGATGTCAGACGCAACGTTCTATTGCGCATTAGCTCATGTATGCTAAAGGGGCCCGTTCCACTTACAAAGTCTGTCAAATGGACGTGGCCGTCAGCATCAAGGAGAACATTGTCTGGCTTGACGTCCCTGTGGATGATGTTTTGGCTGTGGACATATTGCAACGCACATCCCAACTCGGCCACCCAGAACCGAACCGCCTCCTCTGTGAATGTTTTCCGCGAAATATGGAATCGGAGATCGCCACCCGTCATCAGATCGACGACGAGGTACATATACTCAATGTCCTGGAAGCTGTATCGCAAATTGCAAATGAATGGGTGGTTGACATGTTCCAGCATGCGACGCTCTCGGATAATGTTTCGGACGCTCTCGGATCGCACGACTTCGTCTTTGCGGATGTACTTGAGCGCAAACGACAGCCCGGTGTCTTTGCGTTCAACAATTCGTACCTTGCCAAATGCACCGCGGCCAACGACTCGCAACAGGCGAAAGTGATTGAGGTTCACTAGACTAGGTTAACGTCAAATTCTCTCCACCATGCCAGTTGCATTGCGGTTGGGAGAACAATGGCAACTGCGGCGCCATAGTATGGGCTGCCCGTGAGGTAAGTGTACTCACCATCGCCGTTGAAATCGATCGGTTTGCCTTGACCATTGCCCATTTTGGCAGATCAGAGTCGTCAAGTATCGTCGAATTTAATGAAGGAACCAGGGCAGCATGGCGGGTACGGCACAGCTATGTTTGTATTCAACCCTTCCCTCGGCCAAGTGCTGAAGGAGTGTGTAGCCTGCCGAATCAGCTATCGCTTGAGGTGATGATCCGTATCGTCTTTGTCGTTCGTGAACAGGTGTTGCAGTCCAAGATTCGGAAGTTTGCTGCTCTCCGTGCAATGCCCGAGTGTGGTGTCGAGCCGCTGGGGCAAACAGCGATGGTGGTGGCAGTGAAGTTGAAAGCGATAGCTGGCGATTCGGATTTGTTCCTGGTGTGTAGTGGCCGTTGGACAGGATAGGATCCACGGCTGCGTTGAAGGTTCAGCGCTTGCGCCAATGATGGCAACCTCTTCGAATTTCGAATGTTTCGTCCACGGCTGCTCGTAGTTGGACGTTCAAAAACGCTTTTGGAAGGCAAGTCGTTCTGAGGGGAGCGAACCGTGTGAGCCTCGCTCGGTTGGAGAGGCAAGAGATCGATTAATGCGCCAGTCAGAGTTGACGACGTGGAATGAATGGGAGATATGCCTGCTGGAAATCGGGGGGAACGGGGGGGTTAAGCGTGTGGCAGCTGCTACGGCACTGCGTGCGGACGCAGTTACTGGCAGGCGGCCCGGCACAGTGAAGGCGACATGGAGAGATGGGGGCCCTTCAATCCGCCAAACAGGGCCCCATGACAGCCCTGGACTTGGCCGACCGCTAAGACCACCTGGGAGTGAAGTCACCTTGCATTCAGTCGACTTGATTGATGAAATAGATAGCGTCTAGCCCTCATTGACGAAGCTCGTCCGGTGTGTGAGATCCAGTCGGCTTCAGTGACACCCGGAACAGAATCTGGAGCTTGCCTCTTGGCCAGGCTCACGATAATATTGATGCAGCACTGGGCCGAGCTGCGGACCCCTAACAAGTCCATTCTGGATCGGCCAAGTCATTATCGTGCAGTACTGCCATCAGCCCTGAATATTGAGGCCACTCAACCTGGACGGACGCAACGTACCTACATACAGGTACAGTGCCCAGCAGATTGGCAATGCAGCTAGCCAGTCACCACAGACCGCACATCACATTGGCCTACGCACATGAAAGAGGCCAGCGACCCCAACATTACCTATTGCGATACGCCATTGTTTACCTGTCGTGCTCCCACCTGAGAAATTGATACAATTCGCCCCTCACCAAACGTGAGAGGTTCACATGGTCATCATGCACGCGGATCCGGTGCTGTTAGGAGGCATGGGCTCCACTCCGTCACCAACAACTGATACGTTTAGCTCACGACACAGCTTCGCCACACAGTCATGCTGACCGTTCCAAAATACATTTTGATGGACATCTTCCTCCCTCATTGCCCGTCCTCGCTCTGGTCAGTGGACGGGTGGCGGCAAGAAACTTTCGGAAGATTCAACTAGCGCGGGCAGAGCGCTGGAGGCCAACGGCGTCGAGTCATGAAGCTTGCCGGAACGACGCAAACTCTTGCTAGCTTCATCATCTGTTCTATCAATGCGCCGCGTCTACACTAGCGAAGACCCCTCCGCACGGCATCAGCAAGGTTTTTTTCTTCCCATTCCTTCTAGTCCGGTACGTGTACTGGTATATCACGGCTGTCTGCAACCTCTGGCCCCTTCCTCCTCCACGTGGCTCGAAAAACCATCACTCGGAACAGGGCACACAGCGTTTTGTACAACGGACCGTACGGCGCTATCATTGCCACTTGGAGGCTTTGGCTTCTCTGAGCAAGCACACAATGTCTCGAGACTCTGAGATGGAGGGGTCCTTGAGAAGCGGTCACGCGGTACCCCTGCAAGTTTGGAGCGACTGGCGGAGCCAATGAATCATCTTCAGCACCCCCTTGGACCAGCGCGGTAAAAGCAGGGGCTATCAGAATCGCATGGGCAGCATGCGGGAACGCCAATTGCCGCAGAATTGCGCCCTCCCTTTGCTTTTTGGACGGACACTGACATGTTACACATGTGCCGACTGCTCAGGAGACATTGATCAAGTCAATTTGAGTTAATCTGCAATCTAATGAACAATCATAGATCATCGTATCTGAAACATCTTCGATATCCACTGCCCACCATACCCCATACCGTTTCGACGGTCGCACATCTCAGCCTCTCAAGGGTTTCCCAAAGCGGTGTGTCTTGCATCAACAAAGCCAGCCCTTCGACAATACGTACGTACCATATATCGTCCTAAACTCAAGAGGGTTAGGATCAGGGGCAAGCTTAGACGAGCCCGGCGCCCGCTGCGTAGGGCACAGGAAGCGGCCATTTCATGGTGATGGACCATGATAAGATTCCAAGCCCGACAACGAGCGCGCGGCGGCAAAGCGCCTATGATAGCTACCCGCGTCTTTTTAGGGAACGAACGAACGAACGATTCCAGGGACCAAGCTATCGGAACGTGGCACAGTTGGCGGACGTCACGCTGGCTACTTTAGTAGACCGAGATCGGAGTCTACACGATAATTACAGAATGCATATTGAAGGGAGTCGAACTTCCTTGTTTCACCATTGAGCACACATAAGTTATCTTTTTTTCTTCTTCTTCTCTCGGCAATATCGGGCAGCCTGACAGACATGGAGGACATTGCTCTAGGGGTAGGCTCGACGCCTCAGTTGCGTCTGCCGCAACTCGCAGTTGACTGTTGTCGACCACGGGACATGTGCCATTGGTTCTCATGGAGCATTGAGAACAATGGCGACGCGGACAACTCATTCGAAAATCAAATCCACCAAAGTCAATTGAATAGCTGGCAGATTTCCAGAACAAGTGCCGACACTAGTCACTTATCATGATCCTGAAGATGAGGCCTGTATGACGTCAAGCAACGAAAGACCATCCTCATCGAAAGTGATCGGTCACCGTGTTCCGGTATCCCTCATCTCCAAAATCCCTTCCTTAGGACGACCAAGTGCCGAATATAGACTCCCGTCCACTATAACAGCAATACCGACAATGACTCCTCTCCGCTTCCTGGCCAGGGCATCGCCCCGGACTGTCGCTTTCGCTCGTCCCTTTTCCACCAACTTCGTCTCGCGCTTCCCTTACAAAGACTCGCAAGATCGCGAGTCCCTCCGCCCTCGTGCGCAGGAAGGCTCGCGCTCGACCTCAGACGATGATGTGGCCAATAACCCGGACGCGGCATTCAACCCACACAAGACCCGTCCCGAGACAGAGATGAAGGCCGCCGAGGAGAGTCGCGGCGATGGCGCGAGCCCGCTGGAAGCAAGTGGTGCGAACCAGTCATTCAACAAGCCGAGGGGAGACGAGAAGAGCCCGCATGATCGAGGGCTGGGCAAGGAGGTGAGGAAGGGAGGTACGAGCGGAGGCGCCAGCCCGCCCAAGAAAGGCGACCTGGGGAACTGAGAGGAACATGAGTGGCATTATACAATCATAGCTTGTAATTTTATCAATGCACCGATATGCGGAGAGATTCCTTTTCACTTGTTCTGATGAGCTATTGGGAGGGTGAGTTGGGACAGGTTTCCCAGGCTCTTCATGTCGACAGAAGACACACCATCCATTAATTCTCGGAGTGCTAGCTTTGCTTCGCAGCTAAACTGACGATGCGGTGCTTATCCACTGTTGAGATTAATCATCACGTGTGCATGCGCCTACGATGATATCACTCCTAGGAGACGTCAGATCAAAACCAGTCCACGTCTTCACAGCCCACTTCCACAACTCACCATCCGCGTGGCCAACATGAAGACATTTGAAGTTACAGAGGTACTATACACAGACAATGATGATATGCGGGCTCGGACTGACAGAGGCAGCCCTTCATCGACGTCCAGTGCGGCCTCGGCGAGGGACCGTACTGGGAGCGTCAAGCGAATGTCCTCCGCTTTGTGGACATTGTGTCGGGGGATGTGTACCGCGTGAACCTTTCCGAGGGACCTTCATCGCTGCGCAAGTTCAAATACGACCAGATTGTAACGTGAGTCTCTTTGCCATTTCAGTACGCCCGGTGGCTCATAGAAAGCGTAGGGTCACAGCCGATATCGAGGGACAACCCGACTCCTTCATCTTTGGCGGAAAGACCGGTGTGGGCATTGCAAAAAAGGACAGCAGCGATTCGCGCATAATCACCGAGTTTTGGAGTGATGAGGAGAAGATTGATGGCAAGAACGAGAGAATGAGGGCCAATGATGGTGGCGTCGACGACCAAGGCCGGTTTTGGGTGGGCACCATGTGTGATCCCGAGGTGACGGAGGTGAAGGCGATGGGTATGTTGCTTGCGCGATGCGAGGATGAGACTGCATAACTAAATGTAACAGGTGCCATTTTCAGAATTGACCTCGATGGCAAACTGAACCGGATCCTCAGTGGGCTCACCTGCCCCAACGGCATGAGCTGGTCAAAGGATGGCAAGCACATGCACGTCACGGACACGCCCACCAAGGCCATCCACAAGTACGACTTTGACCAGGTGTCCGGCTCACTGAGAAATAAGAGCACTCTCTACGACATCAAACACGAGGGGGCAATGGGCGCTGACGGGCACGCCCTCGATGAGGAGGACAACATCTGGGCAGCACTGTGGGGGACTGGGAAGGTTGTGAGAATCAACCCTCAAGGCGAGGTCACTGCGGAGGTCAAGGTACCCGTCCGAACTCCAACAGTATGTCCTTGCCGACATTGTTCCCTCTGCACAGGCGATGCTAACAGATTCAGGCTGTCGCGTTTTGTGGCGAAGACATCTACATCACCAGTGAGAAGGAGCCTGAGCCAGACAAGTATCCCGATTCTGCAAAATGGTCTGGCATGGTGTTCAAGTGTTACGTTGGGGTCAAGAGACGGGAGCTTCCACTGTGCAAGGTCAAAGCATGAGACCATTTCCCACTCCAAAGAGGCATATAGCGCCGATGTAGGAGACAAGATACTTGAATAAAAATGCGAAATCTTTGGCGGGGTGGTGGTGATGATGATGCCCCACGTTCTGGGACCCCGCGCTTGGCTGACCTCGAGTCGCGGTCCGCCCGCCTCCAATTATGCCCCGCCACATTGAAGCGCGCCAGTAGTCACTAGAGATATTCATCAAGAAGAGGGTCACGATCTTTATATGTGTATACCGGTCTGCCCCATTCCCGATATTCAGCGTGTCCTCGTCAAATCCGTTCCTTTCACAACAATACGCGAAAATGTCTGCTCGACCATACGACGGCAAGCTTGGCATCGTCACTGGCGGCTCGCGGGGTATCTTCTCCCATAACACCCTTGAAAGCCCAAGAGGCACAAGCTAACAAACCCAGGTATCGGTGCCGCGGTTGTTAGACGTTTGGCGGCCAAGGGCTGCAATCTTCTCATTGCCTACACCTCGCCGTCGTCGGAACAGCCAACGCAAGCTCTCATCTCAGAATTGACGTCGACGTACCAGATCCAAGCGACTCTCGTCCAGGCCGACCTCTCCTCCCCCACCGCGGCCAGCGCGACCATCCTACAGGCTGCCAAGGACTTTTACGCGAACTACAATGCCTCGAGCCCGTTCCGCGTGGATATTCTCATCAACAATGCCGGCGTGTCCAGCAACCAGACCATGAACGACCCCCAAAAGGGCGCGATCCAGGCGGAGGAGTTTGAGCGGGTATACGCCGTCAACGTGCTGGCCCCTCTCCTTCTGACGCAGGCTGTCGCCCCGTTCCTGCCCAAGGACAGGAGTGGTCGCATCGTCAGCGTGAGCAGCGTGTCGAGCTCCATTGGGTACCAAGGCCAGTCGGTCTACGCGGGCAGCAAGGCCGCCGTCGAGGCCATGACGCGCACCTGGTCGCGCGAGCTCGCGTCACGCGCCACGGTCAACTGCGTGAACCCGGGGCCTGCGTGGGGCGACATGTACGCCGAGGCGGGCGAGACGTTCTGGAAGATCAACCAGCCGTACGTCGACGCGGCGCCTCTGGCCGAGTATGATGGCGAGGAAGATGTGCTGGCCCAGCTCAACGGGCACGCGGAGCGGGAGAGGTTTGACAAGATTGTCAGGGAAGGCATGGGCGGCAGGAGGCCTGGCTTCACCAAGGAGATTGCGGGCACGATTGACATGCTGTGCTCTGAGGAGTCTGGGTGGACGACGGGCAGTGTCATCTGTGCCAACGGTGGCATGAAAATGTCCATTGCCTGAGAGTTAAGTATAATACTAGCGAGAGGACTAAAGAGACATGTGATTGTACCCCAATTTCAAATCCCCTTTATTGTCTTCCTGAGGCGCAGCCAGGGACATGTGGCGCAACGATTGGCGAGGGGCAGCGACGACCCCCGTAACCCCGCCAGTGACGCATCATTGTGGGTGATCAGCATGGCCCGATACAGAAGCTTGTCAGTAATTACGGGAAACGAATGCTGCCTGGTACCTTGAAACGAACACATGTCCTGTGTGAGAGCAAGCATTCTATTTTTAGCAGCTTCAACTAAGATTCTGCGTTCGCATTTCCCTCTCCCGAGATTCTACTCCATCCCAGTACAACGACGACGAGCCACCAAAATGTCTGATCTCAGTGCCAAAGGCCTCCTGCCCGGCGAGGCGGATGATACCTCATCCAAGCTTGGTTCTATCTTCCAGACTGCACTCTCCAACAACTCGTCTCCGGAAGCCTCTGCTTCGATTGACAGTCTGTACGAGGCCGCCGCCGCCTCTGACAAGGGTGCCGAGGACTTCCTTTGGACGCTGTGGTCGCTGTACATCCAAGTAGGCAAGATCGTCTCCGCGGACGATCCGCGCCAGGACACACTCGTGCAGATCGTGAAAGAACTGGCCGCGAAGCGAGATGACGAGGTGACCATGTGGAATCAAAAGACCAGGGTGTGGACTGAGCTGCCTATGCTGGCCCCCTGCATGAGAGACGCATGGAACGGTACGTTCTGCTTTGGCTCACAGGACCACCACGCAATGGAGGACAAGCGTTGACAAATGTTTGCAGAATCGCCGAGGTACAACGAGACCAAAGAGGACAATGAAACCGTCACTGCATGGATCAATGTGAATGCCTTTGCCGCGCGCCTTCTGGCCACGCATCTCGTCACCTGGGACAACTTTGCCCTCTGGGCTCTCCGTTCTGCCCTTGAGCGCGAGCTTCTGAATGACAGGGAGCGTGATGCCTCGCTTCTCATCGCGCACGCGTGGGTGACCTACGCCGGGAAGGATCTGAAGGACAGGGTGAACAGCACCCGGGAGCTGGATGAGGAGGAGAAGCGCATGTTCAAGGCCGGACAGCTCTTTGAGGCCGGCGAACCTGGGTTTACACAGAAGAGGTGGGATTTTTGGCGGCAGCGCATCGAGACGTTGTCTAGTACTGCGGACAGCGACGTCAAGAGCAAAGCAGACAAGACCGTCGAGACTATGAAGACTCTGTGAGATGGGATAGTAATAGATGGAACACCAAGTAATGCATTTTTGGTCATGTCAACGCCTCGCTTCCCATTGCCGTCCAACCCCAATCGTTCGTTTATTCTCTCTCATAACGCGTTACGAGTATAGCATATCTGGGTTCTCATCCTCCTCCTCATCTTCCACGATTATCTGCTTCCTCTTGCCGAGCTGCTCTCTGCACATGGGACACGTCCCCTTGCTCCTGAGCCAGGGGCCCACGCACTCGAGATCGTAGCGATGCTTGCCCGCACAGGGCAGTTGCACCACTAGCGGGTACTCGTCCTCAAGGTATGGGATTTTGCAGATGGCGCAGTCGTCTTCTGGCTTGAGCCGTCGTTTCGTCACGCGGTCGAGGGTATCAATGAACTCCTGGCTCACGCCATGGATCTCCCTGGGCGGATCATTGATGTCACCCTCCAAGCCGGAGATCAACTGCTCCAGAAAGTCCCGGTTGCCCTCGTCGGGGCTGGTGGTCTGCAGTGTGAGAAGTTGGTCTTGGAGCAGGCGGAAGAGATGTGCGTGGTCGACGGGCGTGGGCGTCGCGTGAGGTCGGTGCTGGCTCTGGTCCGAGTCGGAGAGAGTGTTGAGGAGGGCGAAGAAGGAGGACATGTCGACTCGTCGGCCGCGACGAGGCTCGGCGAACTGCACATTGTGCTCGACTGGTCCTGGATCAGCTGGGAGATGGCGAGGAGATCTGGCAGAGCTTACTTTCGTACTGGGTGGCCATGATGGCAGGCGAGGAGGTCCCGTAAATTGTCTATCCGACTGGCGCAAATAGGAGAGCAGAGGTTCGGGAAGATGGGAGAGTGGTACGGCGAGTGCAAGGCTGCGCAGTCAGGCAGTGAGGCGTTGTCGCAAGCCCGATACAATCTCCAACGAACACAAGTCCGCGTCGCGGGGGTTCAGCCTAGACTCACATGCCAGCTGGGCGTAGCGTCCTCAGCTCCACTTTAATATTTGGAAAGATGCTGAAGGCTGAAGCACCGAAACTCCGACGCATGTGCCATCATACATAGGTACGTCTTCCGTCCATCGCCTCATCAATCCCATCTCTCACTCAAAGACGGCAGCTATTTAGTACGTGAAATCTCCAAGATACATCCAGCATGCCGTCAACAACCATCTTTGGAGCCACGGGCCTCACAGGCTCCCACATTCTGGGCCAGATCCTGGCCGCCCCAACGTCTCCCCTTCACCCCGTGACAACCATCACCCGTCGCGCGCCCAAATCCACAAACGACGCCCTCACAGCCACCGTCGAGGAAGACACATCAAAATGGGCGTCTCTGGCCGCCTCCAGCGCCCCCGAGGTCGTCATCAGCGCCCTGGGTACCACACGCGCCGCCGCCGGCGGTGTGAAGAACCAGTGGAAGATTGACCACGATCTCAACATTGAGATTGCCCGCAAGGCCAAGGAGGCCGGCGCCAAGACGTTTGTCTTTATGAGCTCCGCGGGCACGCGTGGGCCGGGCAGCGCGTACATGCCGTACTGTCAGATGAAGAACGGCGTCGAGGACGCCATTAAGGAGCTTGACTTTGAGCACGCCGTCATCGTGAAGCCTGGCACGATCCTGGGTCCGCGTGAGCACACGCGCACGGCGGAGGGTCTGTGGCAAAAGGTCGTGGGCGGGCTGGGACATGTTGCCCCGGGCGCCAAGAATGCCCTGGGACAGGATGCGGACGTTATCGCCCGCGCGACGATTCGTGCGATTGAGGCGGCGGTTCGGGGCGAGGCCAAGGAGAAGTTCTGGGTGGTGGACTCGAACGAGATCCTCAGCCTGGGCAAGCAGGATCCTGCCGCGAAGCCCGCAGAGGATGTGAAGCAATGAGCCTCGGGGATTTGATCCAAGCGTGGAGATCTTGAGAGGCGGACTCTTTGGCGCGTGAGATTTGATATCGTCTGTGACACGTCAGAGGGCGTGGCGTGTTCACATCAATGTTTTGGAAGATGAATCCGCCATGGTGTGTTTTGTTCATCGCGTGTGGAAGAGGATAAGGGCCTCCAATCAATGTAACTTAGCTGTCGGGAGTTTGGGATAGTCAGTCGTGTTCAATGATTCAAGCCAGTTTCCAACGCTGAGTAACGCTGCCTCACAGTCACGAGGGCTCGGACAGTACAATTGAACCCCCATCGCATCATTGCTTCAAAGGGGAAAAGGCTGTATATACTACTAATTAGCCCGTGGACGCAGTCACTTACAAATAGACCATGCACGATGCCGCCGTGTCACATACACCGGCCCCTCCCGAGCCCCTCGACCCCCACCCAAGCCAAGCCAAGCCAAGCCAGCCCTGCTCCGTTCCGTTCACATACACCCTCACTTTTCGGCCGTCAGCCTTGCCTAGTCATCCTCTTTCCCTCATTGATTCTTCTCCCTCCTCCAACATACGCTCATTTCTCGCCGGACCCGACTATACCTCGGCCGTCAGAGGATACCATGTCTGGTCCAAACGGCCGCCCCTCCATCGTGGGCCAGGATGCAGGCCCCGAGGCACCATACCCCTTGACCATGGAGGGCAAAGTTATATCTGGCTTCGGCCGTGGATCAAAAGAGGTACGTATGCCAGCCTATCTTCCAACAGACCCGAATTCTGGTCGCGCATGCTCTGAAGCACCACACAAATTATCCCTAAAATCTCCTCATACAGCCCTTCCTCATGACTCATCGTTCTCTCACTCTACGACCGGAGAAACCTCACATACTAACACGCTCTAGCTTGGCATCCCGACAGCCAACCTGCCTGTCGATGAGAAAGCCACCCCCTGGATCACAGACGCCAAGTCGGGAGTCTACTTTGGCTACGCCTCGCTGCTCACCCCACCGGCCACCGACTTCAAGGTCTATCCCATGGTCATGTCCATCGGCTACAACCCCTTCTACAAGAACACCGTGCGCTCCGCCGAGGTGCACATTCTGCACTCGTTCGCGCAGGACTTTTACGACGCGCACATGCGCTTGCTGATCACGGGGTTCATTCGCGAGGAGAAGGACTACAAGAGCCTCGAGGCCTTGGTTGAGGACATCAACTTCGACTGCACAGTGACGAGGAATTCCCTGGACAGGAAGGGCTGGCGCCCAAAGGCTGTGGAGGTTGTGGATGGAAAGGGAGGTGACGGGGAGCTAGACGTTGCGTGGCTCGTCAAGCCGTTATAGACGTCAAAATACAATAGAAATCTGTTGTTTTTCAGCGTCAGGGTTGCTGCCCGCAGTGCCTGTAGCTGCTTTGCGAGGCGCCTGGTATATACTCCGCCTCTTTTTTAAAATAGAATCCCGCTTGAAAATCCCTAAACCGCCATATGCTCCTCATCGGGGCTGTATCTAGGAAGAAACTAGCTGTCGTCAGTGGAGCCATCAAAGCACGCCGGCAGTTACTCACATTGATGATGATCATCATGGGTATATCAAACACATCCCTCTTAATCGTCCAGCAGTACGCGCAATTGACTTTGCCGTCCTGCTCAATCCGCGAGATGCCATGCTCTCCGTCAATCATGGTCACTCGGCTGCTCAACATGCCTGTCCTTGGATCCTTGTGTGGTTTCACATCGGGTTCCTTCGGGCTGTACTTGACCAGTTTGCAGGTCCGCGTGACTTTTCCCCTAGAGTCCTCAAACGCAAGTTGTGAAAAGTCCTTATAAAATCGGACAACGCTGTCATCGTCGAGCAGCTCGGCAAGGAACACTGGCTGAGGACGACCCGTGTCTAGGGTCGCATTCTTGACACGTGGGGTGGCCGACGCCTCGGGCCGAGGATCTGCGCCCTCTTGCGAGGAGCCATTCGAGTTTGATCGGATGTGCACGTGGCGATTGGGTTCCTTTCCGAGGAGCACGTCCTTGGTCCACCCCGTGAGGCTGATGAATTCCTTGTTCACAGCGGCGACTTCCCCTGACCGTCGGCAAACAATCGTTGGCGAGGGATTGTGGTGGAGAAAGTCGTCAAATTCGACGAGCGTACGCTGGAAGCACTTTTCCATAAACACAAGATCCTCCTCTGTGAGGTCCTTGGTCGAAGCAATAAAGGAGGGTCGAATCTCACCAAGCGCCTTAGCTATGGCAAGAAGTTTGTCTCCCGGTAGCCTCTTTCTGAGCACAGAAACCATGTTGTGGAAGCCGGTTGTGTAAGGGTACGGCTTCTTGACACTCTCATATATCGACGCGGCATCGCGCTGTCGCTTGCCTAGTATGGACTGGTTCGGCTTGAGCTGCTTCGACTTGATCCGTACGTTTACTGGAATACTGCTGCCAAAGTTTCCAGGCGATCCATCAGCCATTGCTGTCGGTTGGGGGCTGGCTGTAGCCTCCGTGCTGGGACTGGCAAGACTCGTTGGCCCAGCTGCTATGGCGAAAGCATGAGGCAACCCATGCTGCAAGTTGCCTTGGTGATAGACTTGCTGCGGCTGCGGGTCCAGGCTTGAGTAGTCCTTTGCAAGTATGCTGCTGCCATCGTATGTAGACCCAGCACCGTTGCCGAATACATTTGCGTACTCGCTCGTCGGTGTCTGAGAAATGGAGTTCTCTCGTGGCGGGGTTTCAGCGCCCAGGCCCATCTTGTTCAAGATGCCAAACTCCCAACCAGCGTACTGACTCCCGAAGTTGAGCCCTTCCAGGTCGAAGTTGTACAGCGCCGGGTTGCTCGGATCGAACATGGCATTGAAGGCATCATTCGTTGGCAGCATGCTGTCCATTTGGGCGTTTCCATTCGTAGCTTGGTTCTGGAAGGATGGCGACATGTTCGCAGGCTGAGACCCGAAGCCGAGACCGTCTGGTAAGGCCACCGCTGACTGAGCTTGGCCCTGATATAAGGGGAACCCCGAGCCACTGCCTGTGGGGAAGAAGTTGCTGTTGGGTGTCGTTGACATAGCATCCGATGGGCTCGAGTTTTGGCGTTGCGCGTGTGGCCGCGATGCGCTCCCAGAGCCGCTGCTGAAGTTGGGCCCGAGCACCGGACCCAGAGCCTCTGGGGGCGCATCGTGAAGATACTTGGCTTTCTTTCGAACACCGTCTTGACAGTTCTCTGCTAATCCTCGCTTGACGCACCGTTGACACGGTCTTTCATCGCCTGCGCAACGTTGTTAATCAAATGCCCAGATCAACCAGGTGCGCTCATGCACGGCATTAACCGACGCACAAGTGTCGTATGCCACTTACCACAGGTGAGATGTGCTCGCTGGCAGGCAAAGCAGGCTCTCCGCGCCTTTTTGCGCCGGGGCCTTGAGGGGTCCTTGGGATCGTACTTCTTCTTGAGCTCGCCGCCCCCTCCACCGCCAGTGCTCTGCTCTGTCATCGTGTTATGTTCTTTAGAATAGGTCTCTGACTCGTCCTCATTCTCGGACAAGGCAGCGTCCGACACATCTGCACCGTGTTCCTCGATATCTTCCGGCATACTGTCTTTGCTTTATACGTGTGATCAAGGCCAGGATCCGGTCTGGCTGATCGCGGGGCCTGACCGCACAGTCCCTGTAGTACGCCACACAAGTCGTCTGCCTCTCAAGGCTCAAGGCGCCTCACTCCATACACACTCTTGCGACACCGTACGGCGCGGGCGCCTCCGTGGCACCACAGGGCTGGATTTGCTGTCCTTGCTTGGCCCTTGGGTAGTCGCAATCTCGGCGTGGCTGCGTAAGACCCTGGCCAATGCAAACCGGCCTGAGTTGTACGGACACGCCTGACAACGCAACAGAGCTGCTCCTGCTGCCTCCCGTCGAGCTCAACCAGGATCTGATTCCAAAAGTAGAGTCTCAAAGGATTGACTCGTATTGTCCGGAAACCGGCTACACAGCCGAGCGAAGCGGAGAGTACCTTTTGTGCGGCAGGACGCGTTGCGCGCAGCGTCGCAATACTGGGTTCGAATCCAGACGCAGCTACCCGTGGCGCATGTGGGTTGGTGTTCCAGCCGGCTAGGACCAAATTGGGTACGCAGGGCTCGAGGGGTAAGGTTCGTGTCGTGGGCAAGTCGCTGGCGTCGTGCAGAGATGAGATTTGCAGGCGTCGTCGAGGTCGCTCTATGTTGTCGAAAGAACTTCCAGTCGATGGCGGACCCGATCTGTCGTGGCTTCGCGGCCTTGCGTCTAGCTGACCAGGCTGTGGGGCTGATACGTTTAAAATTGCTCGCGCAAGGAATTGAATGTTGATGTCTGGATGGAACAGACTGAACTCGGTCACCTTGAGGCAGGCAATCGCAACAAGCTCGTGGACGGCTGCGGGTCTGTTGGGCTTTCAGCCGTGGATCGTCAGCAGCCTGGCAGCAGAAGGCAGGCACGACAGGGGGCCTGTTCGGCTGCAGCGCACTTGGTCACTGCGGGGTTTCCCACCGCATTGGGGGAAACGTCGGTGCTGCGATTGGCTGCTTGTCCATGGCCGTTAGGCCGAAGATACTTTCTGCCAGTGCAGAATTTACACTGCAGCCGCGAGTACCTCGGCCATGGGCAACCCACTGGCTTGCGAGCAGTGACCCACCCTCAGTGGGCGGCTGCGATGGCTCTTTCACGTTCACCTGGTAGGATTTCGAGGTCGATGCTGGTCTGGTCAAAGCATCGTTTAAATGCATGCTGCGTAATGTAAGTTGTATACTTTTGTGATTGTCTATTACTAGGGACACGGACACTGTCTGTGTAGTCGCTACGTACCTAGGTGCTGTAAGTAATGACATTTCTCACCGGTAGAAACCACACGTTGAACACCATGAAGGTTCCTCAAAACGCCATCTGAGGGTGATCAACATCAGGTTACATGTTTATTACAGCATCATGGTCATGCGTGGACAAGTCATCTGCATTTCCCAAGGCGTGGCAGCGACCATAGAGCAGAAACCCAATGGTGTATAAGATTGCCCCCTGACCGGTGCAATTAGGCCACAATGACAAGCAACGCTCAGCCTCTATGTGTGGTATTAGCCCCCTCTTCCTCGACACCAACCTCAGTATTGTTCCCTCGGACCGATGGATCAATATACCCGCAGAGACACATAGGCAAAGCCATGCAGATCCAGGGGCCTGGGAGCGTCATATAAATCCGTAGGCAACCTCGTATTCCAAGTTGTCCTACCGCGCTCCGTCCAGACATGGTGCTTGGGCCGGCATGTAGCGTCTGGTATGTCCAATCCTGTGTAAGCCCTTTGAACAGGGCCTCTCTGCTCTAAAGAACTGCCGACACTGTGTGTATTCAGCGCTTTGCGAACCGGCTTCGGTGCCTGATCCTCTTGCCAAAGTAAAAGAAGATGAAAGGAAATGGCGTCATCACCAGAGTGAGGAAGGCAAGTAGCGATGTTGCCCATTGATAGCCTAGAGCGTTGTACATCTGATTGCCGAACAAGGGTGTGGCGGCTAAGGTAGGTCAGCAGCTGTCACTGAGGGAGGAGCATGTGCGAGGAGCCTGACCTGCAAATGTACCACGCACAAATGAGTTGGCAGCCAGAGCACTGGCGGCGTATAATGGATAGGCATCGACCTGATCACGATGGTTAGTCTTTCCTGCGTGACAATATGCCGAAGACGTTCACATACCAGAAATGTGAATACGCCCGTAAAAACCAGTATAGTCCTGTTGCATTGCCACAAAAGTCAGTTAGGATTCACTCTGCAAGAAGCTGCCTTTGATAAGACACGGTCCGCTGAAGGCGTCGAGCCATCCTCACCGATTGGCCGTTCGCTCTGCATCAAGGTCTGATAAGGCTTGCGTCAAGTCACATCATATTGGAGACAAGGTGTGTTGTGGCCGCAGCTCGAGAAACACAGGGGTGGCGGACAAATGCAGTAGTGGTGCAGAAGTTTACTTACCCAGCGCCAAACAAGACTGACCCAATGATGGGCACGATCCAATGAACCCAGGGAAACGTCGACCAGCCAAAGATGAATAGGCCAATAGGTACGAGCACACCCCCAGCCAGGGCAGGCAGCAGGCGGAACTCGGGCTCGCTGGCACCAGCAACGCCAGTCTCTTGTTCGAGCTTGGCCACCAGGCGGCCCCTCACTCTGTACCACAGAGGATCAGTGGCGAGGCTGGCGACGGAGCCGACGCCGAGACCCAAGAACGTCAGCCCAACCTGCCACAAGTTGAAGCCGTGGTTTGTCCCAAAGACCAACGGGAACGCCCCGAAGAAGAGGTACATGATGCCGAGCAGCAGGGCGGTGAAGATGCACAGGTTCAAGCACATCGGCTCGAACCATAGGAGAAGGAACGGCCTCTTCAAGGAGTGACCAATGGCCCCAATGATCGACCTTTGTATCTTCTCGGAGGCCGACACCCATCGATCGTCTCCCGTCTCTCTGCGTATCTTGGCTGCTTTCCTCCGCAAAAGAACAGGATGATATGTCTCGGGCACCAGAAAAATGATGCACAGGAGAACTACAGAGACCCAAATGAGGAGGACATAATATGTCCATCGCCAATCGACGTTGTAGTTGATGAAGCCACCGAGCAGAGGTCCCACGGTTGGCCCGACCAAAGGCGCGACGGTGAAGATCGCCATGGGAACCTGGAGGTCTTCCTTTGTGAACAAGTCACCCACAGTCCCGCCTGACACAGCCAAAAAGGTGCTGCCAGCGAAACCGTCAAAGAAGCGAGCCACAATCATCGTGGCGATGTTGGGGGCCACCGCAGACGGAATGATCCAGATGAGGAAGATGGACCAGGACACGAGGTAGATGGGCCGGCGGCCGTAGAACTCACTCAGGGGGCTGAAGAGCATGGGACCTAATCCAAGGCCCAGGACAAAGGTCGACAGACCCAGCGTGGCGATGATGCGCGAAACGCCAAATTCTGCCTCCATCTGAGCATATGTCGACGTGTATATCGAACTTGTGCAGGTGCTTCAGCGGATGGTCAGTACAACGATTCAAGTATGGGCGGCATGCGGCGATCCTGCCAACTTACACGCAAAAGCTGCCACTGACAACAATCAAGGTGATCATCCATTTCCGAGGTGTGCTGTAACTCCGTGGGTTCAACGGATCACTGTCACCACCATCCCACACAACCTCAAACGGGTCCTGCTCTGGCGTCCCCCTTCCGCGCTCGCCCGCGTCGGCAGACACATCGGAGTCTACCTCGTCATCGCAGCCATAGCCGTTCTGCGATCGAGTCCTTGACAACGGAGTCGCAGGCCGCGAGCTACCTTGTGTCTGTTGGCGCGTTGCTTTCTGTTCCGTGCAGATCGGGGCCAATTGACACTCGGGTGTCTCACCCTGCGTCGTGCCCGGTGAGCTGGACGAATGTCTCGCCGCGGTGTCAGGGTTGGCGACCATTTGTCTTCTGAAGACTTCGTTTCCCTGCCTTCCAGTGATGGATCGGCCTGTTTTTCCCACAACCGCGCGCCGTGTGACGTCCACGTCAAGTGGCCACAGGTTCTTTATAGCACAAAGCTCCCGCTGCAGCCTGACATAAATTGCATCCGTCTCAGAGAGAAGAGCACAGGACGGGGCGGAGACAAATTATTCATCCTCGACTGACAGAGTACGTGACTACGTAAGTAGAATATCCACGGAAGATGAATGATTAATGATCCAATTGCCCATGTCATAGTGGAGTAGGAGTAGGACGGCCGCAACCGAGTCGAGCTTTTGTGCAGGCTGCTGGGTACAAGTAACTGATTAGTTCGCCATTTCCGTACAAAATCCGATATCAGTTATTGGCACCAATAGCAGAGGCACTACTCCGTAGAGTCTTGACTGTTGAATCTTGGAGTGCAGATTCGCTAGCATGTATCCGACAGCCTGCAGATGCGATTGCATGTCGCCGCTTAATGGCGTCTTCAGTTTCGACACGAAGATGTCTTGGATAAAGAGTAATCGCTGCCATTGCTTATATTGAATCCAGTACCACTAGCAAAGGTTGCCCATGTACGAACACAATCTAGCTTAGGTATACATGCACGAATTCACGAGTACGACCCTGTGAGGCGATGAGGCCTTTTGTGATTTCATCATTCACATCGCACAGGACCAGAGTAGGATGCGACTAAATATGCTTGCAAGTCTATCTGAGTAAATATACAGAAATGTCACCCATGTTCAAACACGTTGCGCCCCCAATGCTTCCCAACCACATCACCAGTGTGACCCATAGTTTACCATAACGCCATGAACATGCGGCCCGTCGCCAAGGTCAAACCAGCCCCCAAAACAGCACCAAATCATCAATAGCTCTCCGACAATCCTTGCTTAGAAAAGTCGGGCACGGACGAGTCGCAGTTGAAGCTCCTGTCCCACGCCTTCTTGGGCAGGATACCAGCCTTCAAGCCCAGCTGGTAGCTCCACTGCGGCGCGTCCTCCGTCTTCCACGTCCAGTACCACCAGCCCCAGCCCTTCTCAAAGCTGTGCATCTGCGCCTCGGCAAACATCTGCAGGAACTGCTTGTACGTGTCGCTCCACTTGCTCGGGTCCTCCAGCGGCATTGAGCAGGAGCACGAGTCGTCCTTGGTGGGACAGCTCGGTCCGTCCACCGACTTGGACGTGCCGTCCCACCGGGCCCCATTGACACCGGCGTTGAGGAGCGGCTGGCAGTCCGTGTCAGCCTGCGACCACTCCGCGAACAGGGTCGGCCCGTAGCCCTGCGTGGGATCCATGCTGAGCTCCGCCTGGTCGGTCCAACCCTTGCAGGCGTATTGCACCTTCTTCTGATGCGTAAAAGCCAGAAGATCCAGGTTGAAGATGGCATATTGGTGCACGTCCAGCACTAGGTCGTCGTAGCCGGTCATGAGACCCTGCCAGTTGTCCAGGCCCATGAAGCCATCGCCGAATATGACAAACGCCTCGACCCCATTGTCGCGGACGATCTTGTAGGCCTTCTCCGTCCACTGGATGACCTCGTCCGTGTCGAGGGACGTCATCTTGGGCTCGTTGACGAGGCCGTAGTGGGTGATGATGTTCTTGTACCGATCCTGGGCAAAGAACTTGGACAGCCGGTCGTGGATGTCGAGCGACCGCTGGCCGTTCAACTGGCCGTCGTCGCCCTTTAACCAACCTATGGGCCCTTCCCTTCCACTGTGATTCCAGCCATTCTGCCCACCAGGTGCGCTGTGCAAGTCAAGGTTGACGCGCAAGCCGTACTTGCGCGCCCACTCAATCGCCCGGAGGAGGTAGCGCCACGACGTACGGTACAGGTAAGGATCGCTGTCGTAGACCTCAACAGCCCAGTAGGAATAGGGGATGCGCACGTGGTCGAGACCCGCTTCGGCGATCTCCTGAAAGTCCTTCTCTGTGATGAATGTCGCATAGTGCTTTTCAATGACCTCAGACTTGGAAGCGCCGAGCTCCTTGCTCAGGGTGTACTCGTCTATCACGCCCTTATCAGAAGGATAACGGAAGAGTGATGGCGTAATGAACGGTTCAATGGTGAACCAGCCGCCCAGGTTCACACCACGCGCTGGTTTCTTGACGTAGGAACCCCATGCCTTGTTGAGGGGGGGAACATTGTCGTTCGCGCGCTTCGAGTCGTCCCATTTGCTGTCGAGACCCATGATGGGCAAGTCGCCGACCATCTCATCCGTGAACGTGACGTTGAAACCGCTTGTTGTTTCCCACGACCAAGGATCGAGATATGTGTTCCTCCACTTTTCTGGTATTGAGTCGCGGTCTACGCCGTCGAGGTTGGACTTGTCGTCGCTCGAGCTACTTGAATCGCCATTTTCGTCGTCGCTACTGCCGCCCTTCTTCTGGCTCACAACCACGGCGGCCACGATGATGATGATGAGCAGAACCAGACTGATGCCACCGATGATCCCTGTTTTGCATGTCTGATGAGTGACATGCCAATTGTTTGCGAGGAAGCGTACTCACACCATTTCTTCTTGAGCTTTTTCTTCTTCTTCTTTTTTGAGGGTCGGTGGTAGTAATCTTGCTTGTCGAAGCTTTGCTCACTCGATCGCCAATCCTCGTTACGGCCTCCCCGAAGCGCGGGTTGCGCCTTGCCCTCTTCCATAATGGCGCCGCTCACGATTCGTTTCTTCTTGTCCTTCCTGTCCTTCTTTGTCTGGGGTCTTTCAAGCTCCTGCTCCTGCTCCCCGTCGTAGCCATGATTTCTGCTGCGATCTCGTGTGCGTTCTCTCGGTCTTTCCGAACGTTCTCGTCGGTGCACCCGTTCCCTGCGGGGTTCCTGCTCTACTTCGTGGTAGTCGACGCGATCCGCCTTCCGTGTCCGTCCTTCCCTTCTCTTGTCGCGCGCATTCTGTCGTTCCAGCCGGGCCAGCGCATCTGCTGATAATGGTCCTGAGCCTCTGTTTTCTCCGGATGATGTATCTAGTCGTGGATTCCGCGATCGTTTCTTGCGTTGTCGATCTCGGTTGGTAGACTCATGGCGGCGGCCGTGGCCCTCAGGTCGCGAGGATGAGTCCCGACGAGGTCGTGATGAAGACTCGCGGCGTGGCATGTCGCCTACATGTAGCTGTGTGTCTTGGTCATGAAGTCATAAACCTCAGCAGTTAGCGACAATGCTGGGAATGCAAGTAGAGGGAAAAAAGTCTCAATAAAACGCAGGCGGGAAACTAGCAAGCATGCACCGCCCCCAATGCCGACGTCAGTGCAATCATGGTTTCGGCTGGGAAGGAGGCCGCTACCTGTTTGCATGTGGCTTGGCATCATGGGAGTGTTGGCAGGGCAACCAGCTTATCGCGACTTTTATCAGTGAGCCGAAGTGATGGGCCCCCTGTCGATGCTGGGGCTCCACTGCCAGCCTTCGTACCCCGCGATGGGCCGCAGCAAGCCGAACTATGTCAACGGGCAGGTGCGCCTTCGGCTGGGGAAGGCATCACATCACCTCTTTCTGATTTCTCGAGTTGCTTCTGTTCTTTTCCCTTATTTCCTCAGCCGTTCATTTGAAAGAACCTGATAGTCAAGATGCGTTCACAAAGTCTACGCCAAATGCGTCAGTCAATACGGCTACCCTGCCGTGTGGCAGCCGTTCCGGCAGCGTCACGCAGCTACTCGTCCCATCCGCCCAACGCCAAGTACAACCTCCCTATCGACTACGCCAGCACGTCCATGCTGGCACAGACCACGAGAGCTGCTCTCACGAGTGCCGAACTACCCGAAGACATCCGCAACGGTCCCACCAAGAAGATGAACCTCTTCCAGGCCGTTGGAGACGCAATGCACACTGCACTGGCAGAAGATGACTCGGTTCTGGTGTTCGGCGAGGACGTTGCCTTTGGTGGCGTCTTTAGATGCACGATGAAGCTGGCAGAGACCTTTGGTGGCGAGCGCGTCTTCAATTCGACACTGAACGAGGGTGCAATTGTTGGATTTGGCGTGGGCTTGGCGGCAGCGGGCATGAGACCCGTGGCGGAGATCCAGTTTGCGGACTATGTCTTCCCTGCCTTTGACCAGATCGTCAACGAGGCGGCGAAATACAGATACCGTGATGGAGACAGCGGCCGGCATGTCGGCGGCCTCACGATCCGCATGCCGTGCGGCGGCGTCGGGCACGGAGGCCTGTACCACTCCCAGTCGCCCGAGTCCTTGTTCACTCACGTCCCAGGCCTTCGAGTCGTCGTCCCACGATCCCCGTCTCAGGCCAAGGGTCTGTTACTAGCATCCATCCGGTGCAACGATCCCGTCATCTTTTTGGAGCCCAAGATCCTGTATCGCGCTGCCGTGGAGCAAGTCCCCGTGGGTGCGTACGAACTGCCCCTCTCCAAGGCCGAGGTCGTCAAGGAGGGCAAAGACGTCACGGTCATCTCCTACGGACAACCCATGTACAACTGCGAAGCCGCAATCCGGCACGCCGAGAAGGAGCTGGGCATCTCCGCGGAGCTGATTGACCTGCGGACAGTGTACCCCTGGGACAAGGAGACAGTCTTTAACAGCGTGCGCAAGACAGGGCGCGTCATTGTCGTGCACGAGAGCATGGTGAACGCGGGCGTCGGCGCGGAAGTAGCAGCAGCCATTCAGGAGGATCCCGAGACATTTGTGCGGTTGGAGGCACCCGTGTCGAGAGTCGCGAGCTGGAGCATCAACCACGGCTTGCTGTACGAGAAGTACTCTATCCCGGACATTACTAGTAAGTACCAGCCGTAAGTGCTGTTGAGATGAAGCTCTGCTGACTTTTCCAGGAATCTTTGATAGCATAAAGACCAGCTTGGACTATTGAGGATTAGCGTGGATGGGTGCAATGTTAAGCGTTCTTTGCATGAAACGGGTTCTTTCCGTAAACAACCTCTTCGCATGTGATGTGTGCTATGTGGAGGAAGATGCCGATATCACAGACACTAGAGGGGATATCACATTTGCCGACAGCCTCTCATGTCGAGAGAAGAGCTTGTGACTCGTGCTCATCCATGTCTATGGGCAGCGAAACGATGTGACAGTGATGGATGCATTTGTAGTCGGTGGCTCAAAGATCCGAGCATGAGCCTTGTGATGGACGTCCCCATTAGAATTCTGTTCGTTTGAGGCCTAGAGGCTGGACGGTGAACGTGGTCGTCGTCCATCCAGGTTTTGTGCAACACGCCTTGGGTGCGCTACCACATGGTGGCCGAGTACCGGGCCGCCGGCTGCCGCGAGGCCCCAGCAATCCGGCTCACCTGCTACGTATAAAGTGACAGGCCCGATAGTAACAGGCTCACCGTCGAAACACGTGAGCTTGCTTGTAGACTTTGAAGTCGTCGGAGGGCGAGACGTGATCGAGGATTGGGGTCCTGGAGAGCCCGAGTCCAAGAACGATAGCGGGGCGGTCACTGAGCGAGCGCATGAATATCGGCCAATCATAGTCGAGCAGACGCAACGTCGGCGCTTAACATCACGAACAGCAGCCAACCACCTCGACCATTGTCTCTCTCCCACCTCCAAGCCCAGCAGACTATCATCAGTCCTCATGCATGTGCCACCCATTCAGCATGCAGATCGACCAGCCCCCACGATGAAGACCTTGCCAATTCGTCGCCGCCTGCACGGCGCTAAGCTCTTGTTCACTGCCGTCGAGCTTCATCAGCCGCCCTGAGTTGATCTGTTCCTATATACCATTCGACGTTGCCGTCAAATCCGTGTTTCTAAACAAGATCCTCTGCTCCGTGTGTCGCTGCGCAGACTACTCAGGAGGTTTCATCACGCGACGATCCCTCCACCGCCCCGTATAAGGTTGCTTGAATCCTCGCTGGCCCCCCGTACCCGGGAATGCAAATATGGGCGTGAGGCTTCACCTGCTCTCCCTGCTTCTCACTTCACTCGCCTTGACAACACACGCTCAGGTAGCACCGTCGACACTGATCGCAAGGCGATTCAACCCTCTCAACGTTGACACGCCTTCACCCGAGGACGGGCCCCCGATATCAGCCAACGCACTCCGCGACAAGAGCTACCTGCCCGCGCAGATTGGCGGCATCGTCGGCGCCTACGCTCTATCCCTGGTGCTGGTCGCCATAACACTGCTGTCGCTCGCAAAGAAGAGGCGAGAGCACATCCACTCGGGCCACGACGTCGGCGACTTTGGCGACAACAAGGAGCTCTTGCCGCTACAGATTGTCCCGCCCTCGGATCAAGGTCTAGGCGACGTACCCAACTTTTCGTACCCGTCACCAAGGGTCGAGTACTTTGATTTCGAGCCGGCGCGCTACCCTTCACCCGTCTCCTCCGTCGGCGTGCCAGGCGTCAGCCCCTTTGTTGATCCACGCATCGTCGCAGCCGACAAGATCATGGCGCAATCACAGCTGGAGGACATGTACAAGCATGTCATGGAGCACGAGGACGCCAAGGAGAGGGGCGTTCAGCGGGATGCGCCGTCGTACCCTGCAGACTCGAGGGCCGCGAGCATCGAGAGGCCAGCGCCGGCGACCCTGGCCAAGAAGGAGAGGACCAAGCCGGCGAGTCTGAACCTCAGCAGCGCCAAGGAGGACCGCAGCACAGGGTCCAAGACGTCATCGCTGCTGTCGGCGCTGCGGTCGCCCAAGAAGAAGTCGGTCAAGGGCGTCAACATCTCGTCGCCCATCCTCACCCCCCAGTCAGCCTCCTTCCCGCGCCACTCGGACGCCTCGTCCATGGCCGCCATTCCCCCGCGCCAGTACGCCAACCTGCCCCCGCCTCCGCCTGTGCCTCACTCGGACCACGTCGCCATCGGCATGGCCAGGACACGAGGCAGTGTCGCCAACATCACGCCCGATCAGTCGCCCGAAAGCGTCCAGTCCATCGACGAGCGCATCGGTGCACAGCTGGACTTTCGTCGAGACTACGGCCAGGGCAAAGTGGTCTCCCAGCACGTCGCGCAGGAGCCGGACCCGGAGTCGGCCACGTCGGAGCACTCCCAAGTGCCCCTGGTCGGCCTTCCACGCTCGCCCAAACCGAACGCCACGTTTGGGAACTCGACGCTGCCGTCGTCCCCCAAGCCCGGCGCGTCCTTCTCGCGCCCTAATGCGCCCAGCGCCGTGCGCACTGGCGGCTCTCTTCCCCTGCGTGCCTACGAGCCGGCACTCAGCTCCCCGTCCGCTGTGCCTCAGACGACCAAGCAGACTGTGTTTGAGCGCAAGGGTCCTCTGTCGCCCATGGACGGGCGCACACCAGGGACGAGCATGCCGTACTCGCCCTACCAGCCCTTTACGCCATGCATGCCCATGACGCCGTCGCTGGTGACCAGGGAGGAGAGGAGGAAGATGAAGAAGATGGTGCCCAAGACGCCGACGATGGAGCTGGTGCAGAGTCCAGAAGACGTTTGGTGATTGGGGTCCTCCTTTGTTTGTTCTTGATGTGCATATTTGGTTTAGATCTTTGGCGCCTCGACGCCGTCCCCTCATGTCGCCGTGGGCTTTTATTCGACATTATTCATTCGATACATGGCTCACGGAGAAGTTGGCAGCCGGCCGTGACTTGATCCACTTTAAACATCAAAGTCAATTTACGTAGTCAAATCGTCCGGGGCCGCTACTGTAGGACCCCTACGGCAACCTCCGTGTCATTCCAGCCGGGTGCTGGGAATCCGGATGCGCCTGCAAAATTGCGCGTTCAGGCGCCCCTTCGAAATTACGTACGGATACCGTAGGAAGAAGCCGGATCGCGATGAGTGCCGGGGCGATTGAATTCGCGACAGCGGACGCTCTGTGGCTGGTTCCGGGTTGAGTGGTGACTCAGCTGCCAGCGTCGAGAAATCGTACGATAATATGGCGCTGTTCACTGCGGGCTGCTGCGGGCCCAGTAATTACGACTGGAGGTCCCCGACTATCACACCACTACGGTGGCCACCACCCGTCTGTCCGTCCATCCCCATGCACACTTCAGGCACCCATCCAACCCGGCTTCGCGCGAGGGTCTCGATGCGAGAGTCAGCGAGAACCGTCTCCCGCTTACCTCCTGAAGTAGCTACGTAGATTCAGCGTCCCTCAGAGGCGGAGGTCGCCGATTTTATTATTTTTCCCACGTCGAAATTCGCCGGTCGCAGGAAGCAGGCTTCGTCCATATACGCGGCACGTCTTTCTACTCTCTGTTGTGGTGAACACTCACTCCTCTTTCTCATCATCCACCACCACCCTCCTCCTCCTCCACCACCACCCACCGACAATCAGAATGACCGACGACGAGACATCCAACCTCTTTGGGTTCGAAGATCCCAACCTTGGCCTACTCGACGATGGCTCTACGTCGGGTGACATCAAGACCGACCCCTCCTCCACCACGCCTGACGATGGCCAATTCGACTCGACAGGCTGGGGGTTTCCCGACCAAATCCCCTTCACCTTCGACACCACCAGCACGGCGCCAGCGGTAGCAACAAGCTATTCCACCTCGGTCTGGGACTCGCCGCCCTTCGGTATGCAGACGTCGCCCTCGCTCGGATTCGACGACTTGTCACCGACAGCCACGGTCCCGTCGACGCGCAATCCCAGTGCGGGCTATTTGTTTGGGGGCCCCATACTTCAGAGCCAGCAGGCGCAACGGCCGACGACCAGAGCGAAGCCCTCACAGACAAACGCCTTCCTCGGAGCCAATGGCAGGCCGCAACAGCAGTTCCCAATGCTCACGCCCGCCGCGCAGGAGCAGCTCCGCAACATCGCCATGCCGCCTCACTTGCAGTACAACTCCCCGGGCAGCACCTCGAGTCCCGAATCGCTGGACAAGTCTGCCCTGGGGAGGAGCAAGCCGGGCAAGCCCAGTACCAAGAAGCGCAAAGTGTCCGAGCCCGAAGACGACGAAGACGACCTCGAGGACGACGAGGGGAAACCCGTCAAGAAGACATCCCACAACATGATCGAAAAGCGTTATCGAAACAACCTAAATGACAAGATTGCAGCTCTGAGGGACGCGGTCCCGAGTCTGAGGATCATGAGCAAAAGCGCACGAGGCGAGGATACGACAGAGGATAGACAGGAGCTGCATGGGTTGACACCGGCACACAAGCTGAACAAAGCAACAGTAGGTCTAGACATGACCGGGCAGTGCTCCTGGCACATTTGCTGACACAATCAGGTTCTGAGCAAGGCGACCGAGTACATACGGCACCTTGAGAAACGCCACAGCCGACTGCAAGAAGAGAACAGCACAATGCGCGCGAGGATAGCAGCGTTTGAGAAGCTGTTCATGGCGGGAGCGATGAACGGGTCGATCGCATCCTTTGAGCAACCACCGACCCCCATGCAGTACGCACAATGCGAAATGCCCGCAGACCTTTCAGAGTCAGCGCCTAATGCCAGCCCAGGCAGCAACGGCCCACCAGCGGGATTAATCCAGGTCCCGGAAGATATGAAGCGCATCATTGCCACGCAGATGGGCTCAGGACAAGCCTACCCTATTGACGAACAGCCGTTTCGCGGCCCGACGGTCGTCTCCCAACAGCAGCTGCAGCAGCAGCAGCAACAAGAGCAGGGCTGGGGGAACCCGGCTCCGTACTTTGGAAAGCTCATGGTTGGCTCGTTGGCGGGTCTGATGATCATGGAGGCTGTGAGGGAGGAGGAAACGAGCAACGAGAGCCCCGAGGGGCGAGGACTATTCGCTCTGCCCCTACACCTGGTCGGCCGCCTCTTGTCAAGTTTTGACTTCAACGTTATGGGCTACCACTTTCACACTTCGCTCAAGCTTCTCCTCTTGTTAGGCACCGTCATGTGGGTGTTCATCCCCACGCTGTTCGCCCCGACCGAGGAGAAGCCCAAGAAGCCCCAATTCTCGAGTCTGCAGGCATCTCCATCGCTAGCCTCGTCGATCCACGTCCGTCGGCAAGCGTGGCTCACTGCCGTACAGTCCGTTTGGATCCCCCGACACAGCATCTTGCTTGAGGCTCTGGCGCTGCTACTCAAAGCGGCCAAACTCAGTGCGCTGAACCTCATCGGCTCCTCCGGATACCAGCTTCTCAGCGGCACGACGCGCGATCAAGAGGCAGCGCGCGCCAGGGCATGGTCCATTGCCCTGGATGCGCAGCTATCAGGCGGTGACGTGGAGATCAACAAGAGCCGGCTGCTGATCACACTGCTCGCCTCTGGCACCTTGCCCGACACGCCAGCTCGGCTCATGCTGAAGGCCCTGCACATACGCGTGCTCCTTTGGGACTTTAGCCAGCACAAGTGGAGACTGGGCGCGAGCAACGCGATTGCAGCTGGCCTGGCGAGGTCAAGGTGGAACGAGGCTCGCCACCTGAACCGAGTCCTCGTCGAGACCCACCAAGACGGCGTTGTCCCGTACGACGATGAGCTGCCTAGCCACTTAGCGTGCCTGGTCGAGCAAGAGTGCGACGAGGTGCTGAACCATGAGCTGATCCAGCGTGCGCACAACCTGGCCTTCAACAAAGAGACCAAGCATGGCGTCGAGAATCCCATTGATGGGATGGACTGCGTTGTGGGCGACACCGCCATTGGCTCGCCGATGGATGCCGTCTCGGCTTGGTTCTCCATCCAGGTCCTACACGAGGCCCTGGCCGCCACCCTGAGCCGGGGCGAGGACGGGCCTTCTGCACGCGATGCGAGGATGGAACTGGCCGTGCATACGGCTCCCGTCGGTTCAGTGGCGCAAGCGCGCGCCATTGTGGCCCGCGCAGCTCTACCAGACCAGCACCGCGGTTCCAACATCGCCCTAGCCATCCAGACGGTCGGAGTCGAGAAGAAGAACACGCAGGGCCTGCCCACGCAAGGCGCCATTGTGGATGCCAACCCATCCGCGGCCAGTGTTGACATCCGCCTCGCACTGCGCTGTGCCACAGCCGTCGCTCACCTCCGCCGCTGCGAGACGCGGGAATCCGACCTGCAGACGCTCGATATCATCGAGTCGATCAGCATACCGAAGGATGGCATGTCGCTCCTGGGCTTCACGGCCGTCATGGACATGGTCGAGAAGACGCTTGAGCACAAGCATGCGGCCGAGATGTACGCATCAACGCTCGAGCGCCTGGCAGGTGGACTGCGTCTCTGGATTGGCGGTGCCGTAGCCGACGCATGTGGATTGGGCCCGACAATCCGCCACAATGTGGCCGAGCGATGCCTCAGCATCACAAAGAGCCTCGTGGGGATGGACGACGGGGACACGGGCTACGGAACGCTCAGCGAGGGGGAAGGTTGAAGCCGCGACGGGTGTTGCGCGCGGGATTTGTAAAATAGTAGCATGGACTGGACACGATCCATTTGTCAGTCGTACATACGGCACGGTATGGAGTTTGAAATGGCGACATTGCTTGAGGCATCACACCGGTTGGTTGTGGTTTGGAGATTCGGCGTTGGCGAAGAAATCACAACAAGAACACTCTGCAAAATCAACGATAGAATTTTCGATGGCATGCCATCCTGTGGTACATACGTCTCTTTGTGCAGCTGGCCTTGATTTACCGCGCTCGAGTCATCATGCAGGTCGTACGTCACAACGGGCAAGTTATCTTTCTGTCCGTCTTACGGTACTGTCACACGATTGTACAGTAGGCCGGGTCTTGGGGTTACAAGCCATACGCACTGTTAAGTCGGTGTGCAACAGGTACCTTATCGGACAGGAGATCCCTCATAATCCACCCACACTGCTTGCTTACTTATGACTTACTAGTCGTCCAGGTTATTCAGCAATTGGGGGCCGCGCGCAAGGGGAACGCTACAACGGAAGGCTGAGTCACTTTGGGCACGATATTGCAAATCCGCCTTTTTCCTTCAGACCTTGATCTGGCGGGACACGGAATGGTAACAAGATATGATTTGAAATGCGATAAATAGAGCGAGGCTCCTGTATTTTGCTCACGGAGATGAAGTGCTGCGGACTCTTGCCATGCTTGCTCATTGTTATTCTAAAGTGTTAATGAGCGCCCTGTTAAAAACTCTTTAGAAAACGCGCACTGAGCGAGAGTCGCGTACGAATCTTTACTTGAAAACACAGGTTGATACAATGAATAGTCTTTCTACTGCAGGAGAGACACCTGGCCCTGATGCCGGCGGCGGTGGGAGCACAGGGGGCCACTCCCCTGCACCACGCAAGCTGACAGGAAGGGTACTATCATGTAAGAACTGCCAAAGGCGAAAGATTCGCTGCAACAGGGTGATCCCATGCGCGAACTGCGTCAAGGTACGTGAGCGGGCACCAGGACCCAATTCATCCGTGTTGGACTGACGACAAGACAGATGCGCATCCCCTGCGTGCCCTCCAAGCCAGCGGCCCCTCGCCCCAAGATCAAACCGCAGACGACGCAGGACCTCCAGGACAGACTGGCGCGCTGCGAGTCTCTACTTCGCCAATTCGTTGACGACCCCGCCCAGACGGCCTCGGCGACTGAATCGGGCGGGTCGGGCAGGGAGTACAACACCACAACATCCAGCCAGAGCAGCGCTGGACGCATCGTTCGCGATGCGGATGATGAGGGGATCGGACGATTTGTCGATGCCGATATCTGGGTGGCGCTGAACGACGAGGTGAGGTCTCACGCGGCGAACAGTACGCGGCCCCCGTACTAACTGGCCAGATCCAAAACATGAAGGATATGATCGACCAGGATGATCCAGAAGGCATCTTCCCCCAGGAAGAGCAACCGCCAAACTCGGCCGGCATGTCGGGCGTTCCGTCTCCCACGCCAAGCGAACGACCCGAGCTGGACCCCGTGCAGACGTTCAAGTTGTGGCAGATCTTCCTCGACCGCGTCAACCCCCTCATCAAGATCATCCACGCGCCTACCATGCAGCCCATCATGATGGCAGCCTCTGCGGACATTACCAGCGTATCGCTAGATCAGCAGGCCTTGCTGTACAGTATGTTTGGACTGGCGGTGATGGCGTTGAAAAAGGACGAGATGGTGGGTATCGTCGGCGACGACCAGACAAAGGAGCAGGTGCTGCAGGGATTCTTGCGCGGCGTGAGCATGACCCTCGTCAAGTTTGACTTTCTGAGACGATACAACATGGTCGTTCTGCAAGCCCTCGTGCACACGCTCATTATACTCATGGGCCAATGCAACAAACATGGCTCGTGGGTGCTCTGTGGTTCACTCATCAGGATCGCCGTCAGCATGGGCTACCATCGCGACGGCACGCAGCTCGGGCTTGCGCCCTTTGAGACGGAGATGCGGCGGCGCATCTGGTGGCAGATCCTCACGTATGACACCAAGCTCAGTCTCGACTGCGGTTTCAGGCATAACTGCCTGCCCACGGATTTTGACACGAAACAACCACTCAATCTGAACGATGCCGACTTGTTTCCCGAGGCTACGCATGACCTGGTGCACCGTGAAGGACCGACGGAAACGGCCTTTGTCTTGGTCGTGCATCGCGTCGCGGCGTATCTGCTAGACGAAGAGTCGAGGCAAGTTGTGGAGGCCAGCACTCTCGGTCACGGTGGATTCGATGGTCCAGAGATCAACGCAGCCAGCATGGAGCGCAATCGCATCCTCGTGCAGGGTCTCGAGATGGATCTAATCGACATCGAGAAGCGATTCCTGAACCCTGTGGTGAGCAATGCCCACGCCGCTGCTCTTGGTATACGCCCGCACCTCATCGCGCGGCTGTACGACATGATGCGTCCAATGCAGGAGTCGCCTGACTGGGGCATTGACATCTTCTCCCCGCGGGACAACCTGTTCAAACTGATCCTCACGATTTGTGAGAATGCTAACGACGCGTTCGATCCCATGGATCGATGGGGCTTTGCCTGGTTCGCCCGGCTACACTTCAATTTCGAGTATCTGACCTTGCTGTCGACGTTCCTCTACCAGCGTCCAACGGGTAGCATGGCAGACCGTGGATGGGCCGTTCTCGAGTCCATGTATGCACGACACTCGCTTCTTTACAATTTAAAGCTCAAGGCGCCCGCCACACAGGCACAATTCGCACTCAAGGCCTACGCGCAGCGTGAGCGCGCCCTTGGGACGACGGAGCAGATGGTCGAGACACCAGAGTTCATCATGAGGCTGCGGAACATGATCGGATCGCCTATTGTGACACCACCTCTAGCTAGCATAACCACGCAGTGGTCACATCTCGATATGCTGAGCGTCAGTGGAGGATCAAGTGCGCCGGCAGGCCAAGGTCTGCAGGGAAGTGATATGTTTCTGCCCTTTGGCGTTGGCTCCGGGGAGAATATGGCGGACGAAGGCGATTTTTGGCAAGGGAAATTGTCGGATGCAGATTGGAGTCGAGAGATTGGCGCGGCGCAGGGGGGTTCTGTGAACCACCAGCAGCAGCAGTCTTTGCGACCAGTATCTCGGCACCCACAAAGCAGGACGCACTCAAGCTTTATGCGGTACGGAGGGGGTGCCTTCCAGGAACGGCAAAACTGAGGCCGACTGCTATCTTGCAGCGCTAGGGGTGATAGTGGTGATTGGCGGCTGAGAATGTACGGTAGGTCTGTGATCAATGCCTTTGCAGTCGACGACTGTATGTGATGGCTGCTGGCAAGTCTTCAATCATCCCTGGTCCGATCCACCATCTCGGTGGTGGTGCTGTCGCTCGTCTTTCTCTTCTTTTTCGCTCGTGGCTCGTCGCCCGCGCCGTCAGCGCGAACATCACCTTGACCCTCCTCGTCCTTCTCCGCTTCGGTGAACACCAAGTCTCCTTTCCGACCAAGCGTTTCTCGTGAAGCTTCTTCCATCAGGATGCCAAAAGCCAACAGCGCAGTCTCGTCCATGCTCTTCTCATCCCAGACTCGTGCCTCCTCTGGCCCGGCGTTCCGCGCATAGTACCCACTCGCATACGCGTGAATGGCCTTGAGAAGATCACTGTCGGGTAGCGCTGCGTTGCCATAGTCCGGGAAATCCCGTGTATGCGAGGCGTAAATGTCATACTCTGCATACCGGATGGGCGCGTTGAGGCGGCGGAAGAGGAGTTCGGCTGGGGAGACTGGGCTGTCTGCGAGGGAGTGCTTGATCATAGTTGCCTCTTGTTCGGAATCCGGAGCGCGCACCTTGCCGGCCACCGCATCGTAGAGAGTGTGGTAGTGGCGAGCAGGGAGTCGATTCCTGGCGTTTGCGTTTGGATTTGAGTTCTCCGAGACGCCAGTGTCTGTGTCGTCGAGAACACTGGGGCCCTGCGATCGGCCGTTGTCCATGGTGATACGAAGGAAGTTTGTCCTAGAGACAGTATTGTTCCTTGATTGCTAGCTCATGACTGAGATGGGGGAAGAATACCCTGTAACCCGAATGATGTATGATCAAGGAGGTGAAGTATGGATGTGAGGTTCAAAATGAAGTGGATCGAATAACTTATCAAAATACTTGACTTAACGTTAGTTAGCCAGTTAATATGCGTGCCTACCCTGCACACCTTCATCTTCGACAGCGAACAGACGTCATCCTCGCATCGTGAATCTTGTGTCTCTCACCACTCATTCAACAACAACCACGCAGCAACCAAATGAATGCAATCCTCTCTCTTCGCCCGCGAGCTCGGTGACCTTTCGCCCCATGCCTTCTCCTCGTCCTTCACCTCCCCTCTCCTCCGCTCCTTTGCCGCCGCCCCACAGCATCGCTTCAACGGCGAGCGCACGCACGATCCGCTCCTCGATGAACGACCACACAACATCCGCGCCCACGGCGCCGGCGTCGCCAGCCTCGCGGTCGAGAAATTCGACGGACGCCTTCTGGTCTCGGGAGGCGCCGAGGGCGCCATCAAGATCTGGGATCTCGAACAGTGCGGGAGCGTGTACGAAGGCACATATACGTTTCGCCCGGTAAGCACGATCCGTCGCTCCACCGACGGCAGTGGTCACTCGCACGGCATCACGCATCTCGATTTCTTCCCCTTTGATCCCGATGCATTCTTGTCCAGCGCGTTTGACAAGTCGCTCAAGCTCTGGTCGACGGCGCGCTCGACGCTGTCGGGGAGCTTTGATCTGAATGCGAGGATCTACTCGCACAGTACGAGCCCCATCGCCGACCATCTCGTTGTGGCTTGCGCGACACAGCACGCCCACGTTCGTCTCGTGGATCTCCGCTCCGGGTCGGCTGTGCAGGCCTTGATCGCGCACGGTGGTCCTGTGCTTGCGACGCAGTGGAGTCCTACGCAAGGGCATATTGTCACGAGCGGGCATGCTGACGGCAAGATCCGGGTTTGGGACATTCGCCGCGCGGGCGGCGTTCTCTCCTTGCTGGACCAAGAGGACTCGCTCGGGTTGGTGCATCGCCACAAGCACGCAGTGGCAGCGGGGATGGATCCTGGCCAGGTCAGGCCGTATAGAGAGGCAGCACAGGCGCACGATGATGCCGTAAATGGGCTTCACTGGACGAGTGATGGCAAGTACATCATCTCGGCTGGCATGGACAATCGCATTCGTGTCTGGGACGCAGCCACCGGCGCAAACACTCTCACGAGCTTTGGGCCCTTGGTGCAGAATCGCCATGCCAAGACGACAAGTATCGTCACCACGCCGCCCCGACTGTCTGAGAACAAGGATGTGTTGTTCTGGGCGAATGATCAGGAAATATTGGCGCTGGACCTGCATGACGGCAAGCTCATCACCCGTCTCCGAAGCCCAGGCGCTGTTAATCCAGTCGGTCCACGAGGCAGCGAGATGGGTCGCAACCGCATCTCCGCACTCGCATGGCGGAGTGCCGGCGGCGGGGGGGCCTCGGTCGGTCCAGTGCCAGGCGGAGGGAACAGTGTCGGCGCTCTGTACAGCGCCCATCTAGACGGGCAGATCCGGGCCTGGATACCCCAGATCCCAGGGCCAGACGACGAGGGGGGCGAGGACCCAGGTGACGAGGAGGACGAGGGCAAGAGACGGAAGAGAAAGGCCATTGATGACGCGTACAAGACCCTCATGGGCAAGAATATCCGCTTCACGTAGAAAACATCTAAATCCCAACCATCTATACCCTAATGACTAGACACAGCCATCCATCGGGATACGCTGCCTCGCGCATGAGCTCCCCCACCGGTGCCGAAAAGGGTACACTGGCCCCGTGCATGACCACGCCCACCCGCACCGGGTCTCTCACGCTCGGGAACAGCTCTGGCATCATGTTCCGCAGCACCACCCCTAGCGTCTGCGGTCTGCGGTCCTGACCGACGGCCGGTACCAGTCTCTGCACGATCCGGAACGACCCAACGCCCTCTCTGACCTGCGGATCCGACTCGGGGATGTACACGCGGAGCGGGACGTGCTTGAGCGGACTGGGCGTGTTCAGGAGCCGCGCGTTGATCCTGTGAAAGGTGGCGTGGTCATTGTCGACGACGGCGTGCCAGAGGGCCGTCGTGTCGTCCTTTGACATTTTCATAATCTGGTTCGCGTTGCCGTTGCGCACAAAATCGGCCTCCTTGGCGCTGTTGAGGAATGTGTCGCTTATGTCCCAGCCCCCACCCTCGCCGACCGACACGCGCCACGGCAGCACGGGGTCGTAGAGGTCGACGAGCACGCCGACAGCCAGGTTGCGCAGCTGCACGTCTTCATAGTGGAAGCTGGAGATGGACGCACCGAAAAAGGTCGACAGGCGCGGCAGGAGGAGCGCGAGGTAGGAGAAGCGTGGGAGGGAGGTGATGAATGGCGTGTTGGGGTGGTTGGGGTGCGTGATGTGGACGGGGACTGTCGATCGCCAGAGGGCAGCAGAGAGTGACGGAGCTGTCATTGTTGCATTGTGTGTATTGCTTATGAACAAGGGGACGACGGTAAATAGATGTTCATTAGGATCTGGTCGAGACTGTGGCCCGTACGTGAATTTGTAGAGTTTGTCGAGACGACAAACGCTGGGAGGATGCGAAATGTAAGCTGAGAATGTAAACCAGACCAAATGCTTGAAAGACAAACAAAGACTTCGTAGTGAAGAGTGGAAGGTGGTACGCAAAAAGTCTCGTAAATTCGAGATCTCATGTGTGTCGCATTTTATCGGCTCTTGTTGCAACCAGTAGCAATGGTGTAGTATGTATCGGGTAGGCTGACCAGAACAAATTGTTCACGCAAAGTGACGTGACCATGTGATTAACAAGGAAAACATCCTAACTGCCGAGACCTACCTTTTAAGCCCCTAACATTCACATCATCACATCACACCTTAAGTCACAAGACATATTTTTAGACCAATGCTATACATTAACTAATACGAACGTATCAAAGAGGCGTCATTCATCTCATCCGTCGCTAGGAACTTCTGGGTATCATCCATCTTCCACCTTAATTTACAAGGTCTTGTCGGCAGCGTGAGTCTTGTCACCACCCACGGTCTTGGAGCCGTCAAGGTTGGAGTCAACGCGGGGGTCGATCTTGTTCAGCATATCCGACTTATGAGGGCCGGCGGTTTTGGGAGCAGGACCAGTCGTCTTGCTGGCAGGGCCTGTGGCGCCCAGCCCAGATGAGTGGTCAAGGCCAGTACTATCAGTGGTGCCGGTAGTCCCGGTGGTGTGGTGGCCGGTAGTGTGGTGACCAGTAGTGCCAGTGGTACCGGTGGTCCCGGTGGTGTGGTGGCCGGTAGTGTGGTGACCCGTAGTGCCAGTGGTACCAGTGGTGTTACCAAGACCGCCAGTGCGGTTCGAGCCAACATTGCGGGAGCCATCGAGGTCAGAGTCGAGACGGGGGTCAGCGGCGTTGGCAGCACGCGAGTTGTGAGTGCCGTAAGTGCCCTCGCGGGCGCCGGAGTGTGTAGAGGTGGTACCGGGAATGTTCTCGGAGCCCATGCCCGTGTGGCTAGTGGTGGTACCGTGAGTACCGGTGGTGGAATGGAGGCCAGAAGTACCCATGTTCTCACCACGGTAGGCACCAGGAGCGGAGGGGCCCTTGCTGGGATCGGCCGAGCGATCAGAGTTCAAGCCGACGTTCTTGCTGTAGTCGCGGTCCGAGTCGACGCGAGGGTCGGCCTTGTTCATCATGTCGGACTTGTGAGGGCCGTCGGTGTTGGGCGCAGGTCCGTCAGCGGAGCTGTGGAGGCCAGAGGTGCCAGTGGTGCCAGTGGTGGAGTGAAGGCCAGAGGTGCCAGTGGTACCAGTCTGGCCAGTGGTGGAGTGAAGGCCAGAGGTGCCAGTGGTACCAGTCTGGCCAGTGGTGGAGTGAAGACCAGAGGTGCCAGTGGTACCCGTGTGGCCAGTGGTGGAGTGAAGACCGGTGCCGGTGGTGGTGCCAGGGGCAGCGCGGTTGTCCATGTCAGAGTCGAAGCGAGGGTCGGCAGTGTTGGCAGCACGCGAGTTATGAGTGCCGTAAGTACCCTCGGGGGCACCAGAGTTGTGCTTGTCGGAGCTCAGGGTCTCCTTAACCTTGTTTGCGAGACCGGACATGGTTGGTTGTTTGTTGTGTGAGTCAAGTTGAGGTAAAGTGGGAGTTGATTTTAGTTTTGGGATGAAGCTCTGTGAGGGTGAGAGTTTAGTTGTAGATGTTCTGGATGAAGAATCCTAGAGAAGCTGAAGGAGGAATGCGATTATATAGTAGATCGATCTGCCGAACCTGCCCCAACTCCCAAGAGCAAAGCCAGATTGCCGCCGGCAGATCCAGTCCACGGGACGCGACCCAAAGCAGCAATATTTACATCATCACGATCCAAAGCAGGCTTCAAGCGGCAAAGACGGATCTTGTTCCTCCCGCCGAGGTAGGTACAACAGCAGGGCGGGAAAGACCAGCCAGCTGGCAGGTAAGCAAGCGAACAAGCTCTCTGTGGCGCCTGGCAGCGATCGTAGCTTCCCCGAGATACATTAGCTTCCTGTATCAAGCCATCATGTTAGGATCGTCATCATCAAAAATCAAGCTGCACTCGCGCCCGGTATTCCCATCCATCCCTGCATTGCCTCTCGCCGCGTATTCAATGGGTGGGTCCCAGTTTTACCCCAATCTCAAAGCTTGGCCAAACAGACAAAGCGGCTGACCGTTTTCGTGGAGCGGTGACGTCCCCGGCCCGCTGGAGAGGCGTGTTCGAGCCCTGTTTTAGAAGCGCGCTGGACCCTTTGCACGTTTGAGGAAGTAATTCACTGCCGGGGATTGGAGTCTCATCGGAGAAGTCAGGCAAAAATAGCAGTCATGACGATATTCTGAAATGACCCTGGCATCAGCCACAGTGTGGGGGACGGTTTGCCTTCATTATGATGCCATGCTGGGTCAAGCAGGCAAGCTTATTGCCTGATCGGGTGGCGGCCCCTCCGTGTGTGGCTGGAAGGGTCCTCCCCGAGTGGCTGATACCGGCGCTGCTTTACTCGTCTCTGCTCAATCTGCCTGTTGAATGGGTGAAAGGAGACGGTGATGGTTGTACCCAGATCGAGACAATCAAGTGACATTCGTCTGGCGGGGCTGCCCAGAAGGGTAGGTTGGGGAAAGAATGCGGCTGAATGAAGCACGCCCAAATGGGATGGTAATGTGGCTAGTTATGGGTGCAAACAAACCGACGTCTGTAAGCAAGCACGCATCTGCTCAAAATACAACCTCACAAATACGGATGTTCAAGCTTTCTTTTGGAGTATGGCTGCCTTAGACAGCACCACTCTCTGTTGTCTTGGACTCTTGGCTGCGCTGGCTAGGAGCCTAAGCCACGCCCGCATTGGCGATCCCGTCGACCGGTCGTCGCCTTACCCACAGTTTTGCACGGCTAGCCACGATGACGGTGGATCGGCACCAGTGGCGGGGTCCCTACCGCACAAAAGCTTGTAATGTTGCCAAGCTGCCAACTTTTGAGCACGACAGAGCCCCTACGCGCTTGCGCGTCCTTCTCACCTGACGGGGAAAACTCCCAGTCATTCCCGCGATCTCGATCCGCCAACCTCTGCAGCGTCTCAAGTGGCGGTGGTAGGGAATATGTCCAGCTTGAAGATTCAGGATGCGAGCTCCGGTGCAGTCTACGAGCTTCTGAACTCTGCGTTGACCAGGCCTGGGTCGCAGGCTCCGAAGGCAAGCATGCGAGCGATGCCGAGGAGAATGGCATCGACTGAGAAATGCAAGTGACATGCACCTCTGGCAGTTGGAAGTATTGGCACACTGATGCAGAACCAAGGCTTGGTAGGGGGTATCTCGATCTGCTACCAGCACCAAACAAACATAACCATTCTTGCGCCAAGCTCCCAATGCCCATACAACGCTCCTCGAAACCCATCAAAAACAAACGGCATCGACCCGTGCCGGGCATCACGACTGCATTCCCTTCGTCGTCCATCATCATTACCACAGTCTTCCGCGCCTGCTTGCGTTCTCGTAACCTCTGGCACGGGCTCTAGACGTGACTGCGACGTCCCCAGCGGCGGCGCCTGGTGCCATCAACCCGCGCCGCGCGCGACTCACGGCCGCGGACCCAGAACAAGCCAATGAGTGCCGACACGAGCCACAGGAGCGCGGAGAGGAAGGTAAAGGCAATGACAGCCTTGAACCGACCGCAAGGATCGTCTCGGAAGGTGATGTTGCCCCAGTTGAAGACGCCTCCGCAGACGGTGCTGTTCAATTCCTGAGAAGCATGATGATTAGTCTTGACTTGTTCCGTGTCGCGAGTGGGGGATTCGACTTACATCAACGAGCAGACCAAAGGCGGCCCACCAGCACAGGCTGATGATGATATCAATAGGCCAGTTTGTGAACGTGTACGAGAAGGGGACCAGCCATATCAGCGCCAGGAATATCGAGAGCGCAGCCACGACCTCGGTGTAGATGTATCGACCGAGCGCCCACGAGCTGCCGCTGGACTGGTGGAGGAAGTGTCCGTTGATGCCGGCCACGATGGCAGCAAAGGCCAGCTCGGCGGCGCGTAGGACGAGGCTGACGATGCGATCGAGAGCCATGATGCTTGCTGTTGTAGTTGGACAATGTGATAAGTGTCGTAGCACTTGGAAGTCTTGTTGGACACCGGTTATGTGACCTGAGAAGAAAGGACAGAAGCCTTGAGAGTGTAGCCGACCGTGCTCACGCTTGTGAGCAGGGCCGACTATTATAGGTAACCGACGTTACCTGCTTTTCCCTGTCTGACGGTTCAGCGGACGCCATCATTGCGTTTACAGCGTACGTGTCAAGCATGATTTTCTTCGCCCTTTCCCATTGAGTGGCCAAGACCTGATGGGCGCTGAAGCGGCTGATGGCTTGCTTGGGTCAGGCGCCTACTGGTCAAGGTGAGGTCATGTGCCACGTCGACACCACACCGACCATGCATAAACCACGAAGGCTGCGCCATGTCTCACCATGGCCAGAAGCCCAGTCTTTAATGGACGTTGTAGACCGGATTCGCACGAGCCTGGGTTCCCCCCTGTTTGCTCGGCACTTTGCCAGGCCAAGAACGATTTGCCGCGTCGCGCCCAGACGCCGCCTGTGATTGACAGCTCAGCTTGTCGTCAAGACTTCCCAAGAGCACGTCGCATTATCTGCTTGGCATCCTCGTCGCACTTGACGTCATCCTTGTTTCAAGAGAATAGCAACGGGAAGTTCAACGGGGTTTGCAAAGCTGATACGTTCTTGCGAAGCGGTGTTTAGGAACCGGGCGGCGTGCTCTCTGCGTGAACAACCCTTCCCGCTTGACGGGGGATTTGACGAGCTGCCACATGCCCTGTGTGCCATAAGTAACACACGTCGGTGGCCAGCCTGGTTAACATGATCGCCCCGGGAAAACATGTTTGGGTTTCGCCGAGACTGGAGAGAGCACCACAGTGTCCTGAACCTGTCAGATACTCCTCTGCCACAAACTTGGAAGCAAGCAGCCGGGCTGATCTAGCGACACTTGGCCTGCAGGGTGAGTGAAGTATGGTGTCTGTGTAAGCCAGGCACCCTCAACACAACGCCCATGTTGACGTAAATAGAGTAATTGGACGAGGCGTGGTTGTAATACTTATTAATAGCCACAATGGCAGCAAAACTCTTGACCCGACCGGTCGATGCCTCGAGCCGTCGAGGTCGAGGATTTCCTAAAGGAGGATGCCCATCAGCAACGGCTGACGAGATGATGAGATCGATGACTTTCAGATATCAAGGTTTATTAATAAGGCTACTAAAATCAACGTGTAAAAATTGTGGTAGTTTTCTCGCTCTGCAGGGTAATTAGGAACGAGACGGACCGCTCGACGAGGACCACCCAGTGCGGCCTGGCTACCCTATTCGGGCAGTACTCGGGCACGCCAAGGTGAGCTTATTAGTCCAGTCCAACCTTCAATGGGGCGGACGGAAAACTTGGTTGCGAAAGTGCCGGAGTTTGGCGCTGCATCTCTATTGCAACCACATCGCGGTGATTGACGAATGTCACGAAACATCACGCTTTTTAAGAACAACGCCAACGACCCAGCGCTGCTCTTACTCTAGTCGCTTGATTGTACAACCAACGTAGAGCACCCCATCTAAGCCCGAACGTCAAGGGCCAGTTAGGTCCGTTCATTCGCGATCTTCGCCCGATGGCAATGCGCGTGCTTTTAACCGCGACGTGCATGAGCGCGCTGTAGGCAAGGCATCCATCCCGTGGACCATATTCGCCATGGGCGCCGATTCGAGATTCTGGGATCTCCAACCGAGGCCTAGTGGCCACTCAGTACGATCCGCCCAACGACATGGCTCGCCTGATCAGGCAACTCGCACGGGGGGCGTTGTGCGCCTCGCCCGGCATGTTCCTTCTGCTGCGACTACCAACGCTCAAGCACTGATTCGACGTGCCCGGAGGTGTGCATGCAGCAACCGTGGCGGGAGGGCTGCCTGTAGATGGCCTCGCATGCCGACTCGCAGCCCAGCCTGGCTCTGCAACTGGACAGCCTTACGCCTCAGCTTCCCAAGCCGTTTTGACCTTCAATGTCATCAAATGTCTGGACCCCTGCACCGTTGACGAGGAACCCTAGACCTTCTTCCCCACGGTACAGCCTTGATGGCAAAGCCAAGGGTCCTCTGGGATCGTCACCCCAGCCCCTTTTCCATCAAAGCCTGCTGGTAGCCCTCATGCTCGGACACGTCCGCGATAGGCCACTTTGTTCTATCTTTTGCGTGGCAGAGATTGATGTTATTTCGAGATATCTCCCAATCAGCCTCGTTCCAGTAGCCACCGGCCGTCTCTGTGCTACATCACGTACTGATTCTCAACCAAAAGGAGAACTCGCCGGGCCCTGGTTGCCCTACGTTTAGGACGTTGTTATAAGAAATCCCGCCTTCTCTAGCCGCAGGAGAGAAAAAACAGCGCAAGAGACCATGCTCTACATGCTCCCATCTTCTTTGCATCATTCTTCCATATCTAGTGTAGCAAGATGATGCGCGTGGCTGTTGCCGGGGGCGGTGGCCTGGGGTACCTGCTGGCTACCAGCATCTCGCATGCGGATAATGCATACAATGTCATTGTCCTTTCCAGAACGGTACGTTTTAGCCCCCTCCGCAAGCAAAGCACCTCTTTGCGTTGTGAGGCCCCCTTACCAACGCCAATCAAGCAACGGGCCGAGTACGTGGCGCACGACATTCAGGTGCACCCCGTCAACTACTACAGCCACGAGAGCCTCAACTACGCGCTGCGGGGCGTGGACCTGGTCATTTCGACGATATCGGGCCCGGAGCAGATCAACCTGATCCTGGCCGCCGGCGACGGCCAGGTGCGGTACTTTATCCCTTCCGAGTTCGAGGGTCCCCTCGCACAACGACCGACACAGGATGTCATGGATCGAGGCTCCGCTCAGGCTCTCGCCATGCTGCAACATCTGCAGAGCAAGAAGCGTCTGAACTATACCGTCTTCTCGTGCGGCGTCTTTATGGAACGGTTCCTGCCTCATGGGCTTGCCACACTCAACATTGGGTACGGCGAGGGTGTTGCTGGTGCTGGCAGTTACCTCTGCGACATGGCCAGCATGACAGCCGAGTACCCCGTGAGTACCCAGAGGGGCCGCACGTTCCGCCTCTGTCTGACGTCGGTGCATGACCTTGTCTGCTTCGTCATTGCTGCCATGGAGTTGGGCCCGAGAACGTGGCCTCGGGAGTTCACGATGCGGGGCGATCGTCTTTCGGTGCCGGATGTGACCATGACATGCAGCAGTGTCCGCAACGGTAGGAATGCAGAGCAACTTGTGTGCCACCTGGAGACCGTGGGCTGACCAGTATCTAGCGGCCTTTACGCACCATCCCCTGGAGTACTCCGACCTGCTGCTGTACCAGGCCCACTACGCAGAGGAGGGCGACTACGAGAGGACGGGATACTACCAGCGTCTGCTAGCTACGGCAGAGGCGAGATACGACTTCTCACAGGCGTCGCTTAATGAGATTGTGACTCGCAGCTCGTCTGTTCATGTGTACCCTGCAACATTCGCGCAATGGCTGGCCAGCGTGTGGCAGACGCCTCATGAAAGCGGCTCACTGTGACAGGGAGTCGAGCAGCTTCACTTCACTCGGCCAGCTAGTACTAGTCTGGTGGAACGGTTGGGCGATGTGATGCACGAATTGGCCTTGTGCTGTACACATGGTGTGTCTACATGACGGATGGATTCCATTCGCTGTGGCGCAGGGTTCTCTTCCCTAGATTTAGCTAGCGATTGGGGCATTTTGATATTTTATAAAACTGCTTGAGTCAATCTTCTCAGTCGTCTATGAATGTTGACTTCTGCCTCACTGTTCAAGCCCGTATCATTGTCACGCTGGCGAGCGCAGGGGATTATGCGTACGATCCCCTGAGCGGCCATCACCAGTCCCATTCAGAATTCTCACCCTCTTGAGAATAAGGGTTCACGACCCCCCGGGAATCTCTGGTCCATCAGGCGCCAATTCTCGCGCATATGCTATGGATGACTGAACTTCGAGGCTGTCTTGGGTATGTTCCTTACATGCTATTTGTTGGCCGCTTTGTACAGAGTAGAGATCGCCACCACATCTCGCCACCAAGGCACACTCGCCGAGAATCACTGTCCGCCAGTCTCGTACACCAATGCTGATTGATTGATTGTTCGAGTCCAGACGCATGTGTGAGGCACATGCCAGGGACATAAGGTGTTTTGGCGTGGTGGGAGAGACGAAGGAGGCAGTGGGGGGATGTTGTTCTTGGGGGGGTGGGGGGGAGGGGGTCTCAGGACTCAGGGGTAGGGCAGATTACGGGACCCAGAATCCACACAACAGGCAATGAATGAGGATGGAGGTGAGATTCGGCATCTATTATTAGCGTGCGATCTAGTCTTGACATTCGACTTCATGTTGGTTCTTGAACATCATGAATAGGACGCGATGAGAAGACAATGTCGAGGGTGTTTACGACGTGCTGTTCCAACGTCGTACAGGGGTGAAGCGACTGCCATAGCCGAGGTTTCTGAGAATGAGATGTCCAAGAGACATAACGCAGCCAAGCACTACGGTTATACAATCTTGTCCTCTTTATAATGAAAGAACTGGAAGCCGGCGCATTCCGACGGTGTCGACCCACGTATTAATACCCCGCGACACCGATCTGCGCGTCCGGGACCCCACCATCGCGACGTCACAGACTCGCGGCCACAACAATCTCCGGAGCCTGAACCATCATCTTCACCTCCCCATTCCCCCAGCCAATTCAAATCATCATGTCCGACGATCTCTGGGCCGAATGGTCCAAGGACATCCCCAAGCCCACGGACCCTTTCCTTCAGCAGTACTTTGCCGGCCGCACGAACCTCATCCACACCGAACAAAAGACCCGATCCGACGCGTCGTTCCGCACGAACCTGTCGCCCATTGCCCGTCGCGCGTGCACCATTGTCGAGCGCATCAAGCTCGAGGAGAAGCAGACGATATGGACGCCCAATTTCGAGGAGACCTTGGCGCAGGGGACCGATCGCACCCTGTTCCCGGGGATGATGTTCATGCTGGCCAAGGAGCGGATGGAGGGCACCAAGCTCTGGAACATTGTGCGCCGGATGCCAAAGGGCGCGCTGCTGCACGCGCATATGGACGCCATGGTGGACTTTGACTACCTTATCGACGAGCTCCTCAAACTGGAGGGGATGCACATGGCCAGTGACCGCCCGCTGACGACGCCCCAGGCCAAGGAGGATGCCGACATTCAGTTCCGGTACAGGGCCCAGGCGAGGACGGAGGGCAACATGTGGGACGACAGCTATGAAAAGGGCAGCTTCCTCCTCTTGTCCCAGGTGGCGGACCAGTACCCCGACGGGGGGCGGGAGGGCTACGCCAAGTGGCTCAAGAGTCGATGCACGCTGCACCTCGAGGACAGCACGAATCAGCATCATGGCATTGACGCCATCTGGCGCAAGTTTGGCAAGTGCTTCATCGTCGTGGCGACGATTCTTCACTACGAGCCCATGTGGCGGCTCTTTTTGCGGCGGCTCATGTCCATGCTGATGGAGGATGGTGTCACTTGGGCCGAGCTACGGTAGGCGGGACCAGATGCGCTACCTCTCTCCCCTCAGAATACTGGCTGACTCACACTTTTGCAGCTTCACGTGGCCCCTCGACTACTGCCGCGCCAAGCACGAGGAACCAGAGCAGGACTACATGAACATGTTCGACGTCCTCCAGGAGGAGATGGACCGCTTCAAAGCGTCGCCCGAAGGCCAGGGCTTCTGGGGCCTCACTACCATATGGACCAGTCTCCGCAGCCAGCCGACGCGGTCCATCATTGAGAACATGGACAACTGCATCACCACCAAGATGGCCTTCCCCCACCTCATCGCCGGCTACGACCTCGTGGGGCCCGAGGACTTTGGGCGTCCGCTCAAGGATCTCCTGCCGGAGCTCATGTGGTTCAAGAAGCAGTGCGCCATGGAAAAGGTCAACCTGCCCTTCTTCTTCCACGCGGGCGAGACCCTCGGCGACGGCTCCGACACGGACCAGAACCTCTACGACGCCATCCTACTGGGCACGCGCCGCATCGGACACGCCTACAGCCTGTACAAGCACCCGCTGCTCATCGACATGGTCAAGGAGAAGCGCATCCTCGTCGAGTCGTGCCCCATCTCCAACGAGGTCCTACGGCTCTGCTCGTCCATCAGCGCGCATCCCCTCCCGGCCCTGCTCGCGCGAGGCGTGGCGTGCTCCCTCTGCAACGACGACCCGGCCATGCTCGGGCAGGACACGACGGGCATGTCGCACGACTACTGGCAGGCTCTCCAGGGGTGGGACAACCTCGGTCTGGCCGGCTTGGGCAGTCTCGCCGAGAACAGCATCCGGTGGGCTGCGTTCGAGGAGCAGACCCAGGAGCAGTGGGTCAAGGGTGTTCGGGAGGCGAGCGTCGGCCAGGGTGTCAAGGCGGACCGTATCCGCGCGTGGCAAGTCGAGTGGGAGAAGTACTGCCTGTGGATCGTCGAGGAGTTTGGGGAGGAGTATGACCCGGACGCGGACACGGCTGAGCCGGCAGCGGAGGCTCCGTCTACCGCGGAAGCTGGGCCAGCATGAATGACCTGGGATAGAGGGTCGCGGTAGACGTGCAGTTCAACATTCGGGATATATAAAAAGGGGTACAGCGGACTTCAACAAAGGGAGCCCACCAAGCACAGCGAGCCATCGTGACATTGTGACACCATGCATTCATTGATCTGTCTCTTCTATATCCTGCATCCTGACTTTAAGTCATTCCCCTCCTCGCCAATTCCTCACGCCTGCAGCGCAGCCTCATCGCGCGCCGCACCACTTCCCTTCCGCCAGCTCTCCGTGACATCCACCCTGCGCTTCGCCACGCTCCCCTCGCCTGCTTTCCCCCAACCGCCACCGCCCGGTGTGCATATGATGACCCTGTCGCCCGCCTTCATGGCCGCGCTGTTCTTGGCTCCTAGGTTGATTTGCCGCTCCTCGTACTCGGTCTCATGAGGTCCCTCGCTGCCGTGGATGGCCTGGATCGACTGCTCCCAGTTGGACTTTTCCACCCGACGCACCCAGAGATTCAAACCGCAGGCACCGTCCCCGCCCTCGTTCAGGCCGTACGGGTGGTACACGCGTCTCTCGCTCAGGATGGACACCTGCAGCGGGATGCGGAATTCAATATCCCTAATCACACCATCACCGCCCTTGTGCTGCCCGTCACCACCCGAGCCCCCGCGCAGCGAGAATTCGCGCAGGATGACGGGGTAGCGCCGCTCAAAGATCTCGCTGTCCGTGATGCGCGTGTTGGTCATGTGGCAGTGCACGCCGCTTGTGCCAGCCCAGTCGGCGCCGGCGCCGCTGCCACCCGCAATCGTCTCGTAGTAGCCAAAGCCCTTGACGGCGTCCTGCCCGGACTGGTTGCCGCCAAAGCCAAAGGTGAGGTTGTTGCAGCAGCCCTGGCTGGCGGCACAGGCCTCAAAGGCCTTGAAGATGACGTCCGTGATACGCTGGCTGGTGAGGACGTTGCCGCCGACGACGGCGGCGGAGGGCGAGGGCGACAGGATGGACTTGGGCGGAATCTTGACGTGGATAGGCTTCAGACAGCCTTGGTTGAGGGGAATGTCCTCGGAGATGAGGCAGCGGAGACAATAGATGATGGCGCTGAAAGTGATGGCCTGCGGCGCGTTGACGTTGCCATAGACCTCGGGCCCAGTGCCGGCAAAGTCAAACTCGGCCTCCCCCTTGTCCGGGTCGATCTTGACCTGGAGCTGGATCGGGCTGCCGTCGTCCATGTAGTCGACGGCGGAGAGCGCCTTGCCCTCGAAGCGCTTGTACACACTCTTGAGCAGGCCGCGCACGCAGTCCTCGGCATTCTTCTGGATGTTGACCATGTAGAATTGCACCGTCTCCTCGCCGTACTCCTCGATCAGGGTCTCGATCAGGGAGATGCCCTTTTGGTTGGCGGATACCTGCGCCCGCAGATCGTTGATGTTGTCCGCGAGACAGCGCGTGCCGCTGCACCCGGGATACTGCGCTGGCTCGTCGTAGAGAAGCTCGGTGACACGCTTCTCATCAAACTTGCCCTGACTGACAAGCTTCTCGCTGCGGATGGCGGCGCCCTCTTGAAAGAGTTCCTTGGAGTGAGGGGGCATACTGCCGGCGCTGATACCGCCAATGTCGGCATGGTGCGCCCTCGACGCGGCGTAGAACAGGATATTCTCGCCTTTGGCGTCAAAGGCGGGCATGAGGAGTGTAATGTCCGGCAGATGAGTCCCTCCATACGAAGGGTGGTTGGAGATGATGACATCGCCCTTGTGCAGCTTCCCCCTCCAGATCTCCGCCTGGCGTCGAACGCACGTCGACATGGAGCCCAAATGCACGGGCAAATGGGGCGCGTTGGCGACCAGGCCACCCGTGGCGTCGAAGATGGCACAGGAAAAGTCCAGGCGCTCCTTGACGTTTGTGCTGACGCTCGTCTTCTGGAGCGCGCGTCCCATTTGCTCGGCAATGGCCATGAACCGATGACCAAAGATACTGAGCATGATGGGGTCGACCTCGCGGGTCGCATTGTCGGTGCTGGATGCCTCGCGTTTTGAGGCGGTCTCAAGGTCGATGATGACATGAGATTCGGTGACCAGCGCCTTGGCGTTGGGCGTCACGACGATCGTCTGCGTGCCGTCTGCCAGCATGGCTGGCCCAGGAATAACATGACCGACGCTGAGGGACTCGAGCTTGTAGATGGGTGTGCTCAGCCGTCCCCCGTCAAAGTAGACCTCTTGCTCGCCGTGCTTCTGATCCCCACCCACATCTTGACGCTTGATCTCCTGGAGCTGTTGATCCACGGTGCGCTCATTGTGTCGGAAACTCTTGCCGATACCACGGACACGGACGTCGTCGACGATTATGTCCCTGTCATCCAGCGTGAAGCCAAACTCGTAGCGATGCTGCTTCACAAAGGCCTTGCCAAACTCCCAGTCCTTCCCGTCAAAATTCTCCCGAGCCTCCTCCTCGGATGGTTTGATAATCATCAGCGCGGACTCGGTGCCGCGGTAGCGCATGTTGAGATACTCCTCAAATTCAATCTCCTTTTCTTCAAACCCTTGCTCATGCAGAGTAGTTCGCGACTTGTCTTTGAGCTTGTCCATCTTGGTCTGCAGCTCCTGGACGACACGGCCACCGTCTTCCCAGACCTTGGACTCGGGCTCTTGTCTCTCATCGACAACGTCCGCCAGGGCCATGCCGTAGGCCGAGAGAACCGAGGAGTATCGGTGCACGAGGATCTGGCTCACGCCCAGGGAGTCGGCAATGGCGACGGCGTGCTGTCCACCGGCGCCGCCAAACGTCGCCAGGCGGTGCTTCGCGGTGTCGTGGCCCTTGGCCTCGGTGATCGACCGGATAGGTCGCGTCATGGCCTCGTTAGCCACCGTGAGGAAACCATACGCAACCTCATCAGCAGTCATGGTCTTGCCCGTCTCCGCGTTGACCTGGTCAGCCAGTTCCTGCAGCACCTTCCGACTCGCCTCAGGGTCCAAGCCCTCGTCCTCATTCTTGCCAAAGATCTTGGGGAAGAACTCGGGCAGCAGGCGTCCCAGGTACAGGTTGGCATCGGTGACCGTCGCGGGGCCTCCCTTGCGGTAGCACGCGGGACCAGGATGGGCACCCGCAGACTCGGGCCCGACCACAAACAGGCCATTGCGGAAGAAGAGGCGCGAGCCACCGCCAGCCGCCACCGTGTTGATATCCAGCTGCGGCGACTGGATGGTGACACCAGCCGTCGTCGTCTCAAACACATGCTCATATCGTCCCTCGCCATAGCGCGAGACGTCTGTAGATGTGCCGCCCATATCGAATCCGATGACAGGCGTCTTTGTGTTCGAGTCATACGAGGTCATGGCGTAGCCCACGACACCACCCGCGGGTCCTGAGAGAATGGCCTTGAGACCGGTGAACTTCTCGACATCGACGAGACCGCCGTCGCTCTGCATGAACTCGCACCGCGCGCCCTTGGCTCCAGACTCCTGCTGCACGCTGCGCGTTCCCAGACCGCCCTCAAAGCCGCCTGAGAAGCCATCAATGTACTTCTTGATGGCCGGTGTGAGGTACGCGTCCGCGCAGACTGACGTGGCGCGCGACACGAGCTTGATCATGGGCATGAGCTCGTGGCTGAGCGAAATGTGCTCGAAGCCAACCTCCTTGGCTATCCGCCCGACGAGAGCCTCGTGATCCGGGAATGTGTATCCGTGCAGCAGACAGACGGCAATACTCCGTATCCCTGCGTCGTAGATGCCCTGCAGCTTCTGCCTCACGTCCTGCTCCTTCGCTCTCTTCAGTATCCGCACCGTCTCGCCCGACAAGCCCTTGACGAGCTCATGGCTCTGGGCGTCCTCCGTCCCCGCTTGCGCATCTGCCTTGGTGACGGTCCGTTCCGGGTCTTCCGCATAGTCCTCCAACGTGACGCGCTCCTCAATCTCCACGACCTGCTCGTACAGGACATCCGGCTTCCGTATGGCCAGGTCAAAGATCTTGGGTCGACTCTGGTTGCCAATCGTCAGGCAATCCTTGAAGCCTTGCGTCACGACGAGCGCAATCTTCTCGCCTTTTCGCTCCAGCAGCGCATTCGTCGCCACCGTCGTGCCCATGCGGATAGAGTCAATCTGGGTTGTATCGAGCGCCTCGCCACGGGGAATCTCCCGGCCGAGAAAGTGGCTCATGATGCGCCGGATACCCTCGAGCGGTGCATCGGCATAGTTGGCGGGATCCTCGGACAGGAGCTTGATGATGATCTCTTTGCCGTTCAGCTCGCCCACGCAGTCGGTAAAGGTACCGCCACGGTCAATGGCGATGCGGATGCCACGGCTCTTGTCTGTTGTGGACGCCATGATCATTGATGACTGGGCATTGGCCACGCTGAGAAGACTGTGTGTGAGCTGTTGGAGAAACAAATGACTAGAGGATGAAAGGAAGATGCTCAGGATAACGAAGAAGCAGGAGGTGATGGGAATCTCATGTGAGGATTACATATACCCCCATGGACTCGGCAAAGTGAGAGTTGCCGAGCGTGATGCATCTCGTGGAGCGTGATAAGCGGAGTTGAGAGTCCGCCCGCCATTGGGGTAATGGCGGGATCTTGATGTCATGCAATGCTTTCAAGTGAGCACAGATGCCTCATTCATTACCCCACCGTTGTGTCTCCGGCCTCGCAGCTGATTATGCTGCTTGGGGTGCAGCTGTATATCTTTAAGGCTACATTCCTGCTTGGAGGTATACTGAATTTTGTACATGTAAGGGTGTAAATGTACGGAAAGTTCGACCGTATGAGCTGGGAGGGGCCGAGCCAGGTGACCAAGGGAGCAAGACAATCTTGATCAGCAAAGCATTGGCCTGCAATTAGTTGCATGAATTTAACGTGGAAAAGCCAAGAAAGAGGAAATTGGAGAGATTCTTCCAAGATTTTGATTGAATGAAGGTGGTCGCGTCTCGAAGAGCTCAAATTGTAAATATATGTAATACACTTTCCAGAATCAATTCCATCGGCTGTCGCTAGTCGCCTCCGCTCAAATAGTCTAGGTGGTTAGGGCACCACGTTGTGGTTTCGCATCAGAACCGTGGAAACCCCAGTTCGAGTCTGGGTTTGGGCACATTGTTAATTTTTTTCGTCCTGCCAAAGGAGTGTTGAGGACCATGTCTCTCCTTGAATTTTACTTGGTCTCACGGCACGTTCCTTCCAAATAAGACACATGTTTTTTTTTTTGTTTTTTTTTGAAAGATCTAGGTAGGGCATTTACAATATTCCCCTCGTGACTATGTACTTAATGAGCACCGTTTCCTATCGGGCCAAGTGTCACACCTAAAGATCAGAACATCTCCCTCAGCTGAGGGAAGACAGTCCCGTCAGATCCATATACATTCCCCGACACAGGGCTCTGCATCTCCGAACCTGGCCTTGTTGAGCCCATCTGCTCGTCATTCACCGAGTGCTGCTGCACACCGTTGAGCCCGACATATCCCTCAAACATCCTCGACATCTCGCTTTGCAGCATGGACCCATTGTCGCCCGCCTGAGGCGGCTGTTGCGGGCGAGCTGGGACTTGAGGGGGAGCCCGTTGATAGGGGGATTGACTGGCGGAGCTGCCGTCCATGTGGCCTCGCGCAAGGCCGATCATACCGAGGGCAGCCGTCGAGTGTGCATCGTCATCTGGGTTGAGGCCGAATCGCGGCGCAACGTCTTTCAGTGATCGGATCGTCCGCCACAACCGCTGCGATACCCAGCTCTTGGCGGACAGGTGCTTGACCAGCTCCAGTGCCAGGTAGAACTCCTCGCGGCACACGGCACTGAACCGGACCGGTGCGTGCACAGAGGCCAGGAAGACGGCCGAGATGGCTGACGTGATGAATTGATGATAGAAAACTTGCACCTTCCGGTAGAGGTCTGTAGTGCTGTTTATGTGGTGCAGATATTGTATCGTATCTCGCGCCAGGTCGACGACACGCTGGGCTTGCATCGGATTCGTCATGATACTGGTGGCGCTGTAGAGGACTGGGGTGTACAGCCAGATGCGAAGCTTGGTGCGTCAGTACTGTGATGATGGCGTCGCGATCTGAGAGGACTCACCTGGTTGAGCCGTAGGTATGTCCAGATCCGCAAGCGCTGCAGGTTATACGAAGGCGTCGTCGATGTGAGGTGCCGCCGTTCCGCCGTCCAGTTCCGCACCCTGACCTCTTCCGGCACCGTCTCATACCATTGCAGCACCTCCGAGTCCAGTCGTTCCAGCTCCTCCTGTCTTAGCTCGCGCGCGAGGACTGGTTCAAAGTGGGTGACCTGACGCCATACCTTGGCGCAGAGCCTGGAATACGAGATCATGGCAACGAGAAAAGGGTGGTCCTCCTGCAAGCAGTGTCAGTATGCGAAGCATGTGCATCGTCCAGGAAACTCACAGGCATCGGTAATTGGGGATCAATCTCGTCGTCCTGAACCACATACGGTAGGCCCGTGGCAAAAGCCCACCGTCTGTCCAGTACATACGCAGACCAGAAGCTGTTGAGCGCGTTCTTTCGCTCCTGTTCATCGCCAATCTTCATGAGTCCAGCATATCGGTGGATGCCAAGCTCGAAGCACAGTCGAGTGACCTGTCCCATGACCCTCCACCCAAGCACATCGTCGTTGGAGAGGAAGCGATAGCCTGCCATCAGCGCCAGCAGCGGGAGGGTCGATATCTTGCTTGGCTCGGAAACCAGTTTGCGGTTTAGTACGTTTTCCGCACTCGTGTACAGCCGGACGGCTCTGTCGCTCTGTCCGTGCTCCTCCACCAGCAGGGCCAATGACATGACCATCTTCAACTCTAGAGACTTATCGTCGTTCAAGGAGAGCGGACTTCGCTGGTGGCGCTGCAAGTCGATAACGGCGTGCAGGCTACTCGCATGAGCAATCACGTCTTGGACGTCCAGTACCGGGTACATGATCCCAATTTCCTCATCATGGAGCCTGCACAGCCGTATCATTTCCTCCTTTGTGTAGTCCAGGAGCGGATCTGTTCGCCCGGCGTCGCCTGTCGTGACATGCACTTCTTCAAAGGTAGATGGAGCGCTCTGGTCCTCGCCCTCCTCTATGCCCTTGTACCCCATGTTGGCAATGGTGTTGTTTGCGATATCCAGGCTGTACGCCATGCTCGTCGGGCCCCGGTACGATCCATAGCGCACAAAGGACGGCGGTGGCTGCGGCTGTGGCGGCTGGCTGGTAGTGTTCGATTGGTACGAGGGTGAGGGAGAGAATGCCGGCAACGGTCGGTCTTGTATGGGTGCAAGTCGTGTCGAATCAGCCTGCATCGCCCTGACGGTATGATTCAGCCATTCCACCTGCTCTTGGAGACGATCGACCTGGCTCGACACAATCTTGAAATCCTCCGAGTCTTTGAAGTTGGTGGAGCAGCAATTGGGAGCGTAGAGGCAGGCGAGGTTCAGGTTGCCGCATCGCTGGCAGGGCGTTTCGCCGTTGCACTTGATCTTGCGGCGCTTGCATTCATTGCTAGCTGGGTGTTAGTGATGCCTGCCCCCGCGCGCACGCCGCTCCTGTACATACCATGCGATCGAGATGTACTGCCGCGGGAAACCAAGTCAGCATTTCACGTCTTGGGCTATGCAAAGATCAGGTCATAATCACCCTATTCCTCTTGCTGCGCGTGTTCTTGCCAGCCTGCCCGCCCGTCGCACTACCATCGTCTAGCGACTTTCGCTTGTTGTTGTTGGCGATGTTGGCGCTGACACCGTCGTGGACGCTGTGCGGTGCGGAATGATCCGCCGCGAGCGCGGGACCAGGACCGCCGGGGCTGGGACGCTGCGTCGCGTCGCTCAAAGGCACGGGGACGGGCGCCTGTGTGAGCTGATGCAAGTCGAAAGCCTGGCTCTCAATCTGCTCCATGCCGGCGAAGGGATCGGAGAGCGCCTGCCCGTGGTATTCGTGCGCAAAGGGCAACTGCTGCTGCTGTCGTCGCAATGGCAGTCGCTGCTCATCCAGCTCCTGTTCCGCGGCTTCCTCCAGGCGCTGCTGCTGGGTCGGATTGGGCCACGTGACCTTCCCCAGGATCCACAGCAAGCGGCCCTCATCCGCCATAGAGCCGATGGCAGCCACTGCAATGCCGGCAATTGGCAATTGACACTTTGCCAGATGATAATGCGCGAGGGCAGCGTGAACGAACCAGCCGAAGATGATGATTCCAGGCCCTTGCTCAAATGGTTCTCCCTACGCGTTGAGCTGTCCTGTAGCCCACCCCACGGTCGTCATCGTGGCGCCTCATTAGCATGCCCGAGGCAGACTTGCCCCTTCTGTGAGCAATTCAACTCTCCGAGTCTCCGAGGTGATGCACGTCTATCGATCCCACCATCCGTCCAGCAGCGCACAGTCAACACTCGGGGGAGCGCAGATCGGCGCGCACGCGAGCGGTCCAACATACAGAATCAGCCCTCGAGGTGGGTTTGCTTGGTCATCTAGCTCGCTGTCCACCGTTCTGCCAAGGATCACTTGCCGTTCTCGGTGGTCCTGTACGCCTCACCTGAGAGTGAGTCGAGCGGCTACTTCGCACGAGGAGGCAAGGACCCGCGTGACTATTGTCTTGCGATGATGCTATTTCGATCGCGCCAACTGTGTCACATACACGGCCCGCCAATTTCATAATTTCCCGCCGATCTCACGTTTGCAGTGTTGTAGCCGTGAGCCCGAGGTGAGATGAGCACACGGAGAATACATGTTGACGGTATGAGTCTGAAAGAACAGCTGTCCGAGAACAACCAATTATATCCGTCTTCCCCTTGGACCGACGGTACCACCTATCGCTATGTAAAGACCAAAATGACAGAACTCCCCACTCCGACTTCGCTCATGTGTATATGGTGAATAATCCGACGCTCTTTTCTTGTCTAGTTAGCTCAGTCCAAGTCTAGTTGCTCCAACGCCTGCGCAACAAATTGTCTATCGGCGTCGGGCAACCTCTCCTCTACCGACTCGCTCGTCGACCACTCGCCATCGGAAACATTGTCACTAGCCGCGTCCGAGTCCGTCATGGGCGGCGTCTGGAGGCCGTGCACGACGCGCGATGCACCCGCACCAGGCTGGTGTCGCTTCAGCATGCACATCTCGACGGTGATGCCGGGACCAAAGGCACAGCCAACGACGTAGTCCTTGACGTTGCCGCCAGGGGCCAGCTCGTCCATTTCCTTGCTTCGCAAACGGTTCATGACGCTGAAAATGGTGGCGGATGAGGAGTTGCCATGGTTGATGTACGTGTCGTAGCTCGCGCGCATGTGCTCTGGGGTAATGTCCATGGCACGCTCCGCGCCAGTCAGGATGGTGGCGCCGCCAGGGTGCATGGCCCAGTCAAAGTCGGACGGCGCGCGGTAGTTGGCGGGCAGATCTGGTAATTGCGACATGAGATCCTCGAAAGCGGGTTTGATAGATGCACCCGTAAGCTTGGGCACGCGGGGTGTCAGCACGACCTTCCAGCCTGTCGTCTCAGTTAGTTGGCGTGTTCGTGTCTTGAGATTGCAAGATCGACATACCTAGTGGATCAACATCAAAGCCCAGGTCGTCTTCAGTGTCGGGTAGGGTGCGGTGATCCCAGCCGAGCAGGTCGTAGATAGGTGTGGCCTGTTCGCCAATGCCATTGCTCAGCACAGCCGCACTGGCGCAATCTGAAAACAGGCACGCGCCTATCCTGGTCTCTTGCAGCTCGCTGATGCTGTCCAGCTCACTACGTGCCAGTGTGGTGCTGACCTCGAGCGCCACGCACAGGACGCGCGCAGGCTTGCCGCGAGCAGCATGTCCCAGGGCCAGGTTGGCACCTGTCCTCAGTGTCGCAAGGCCACCGCTGCAGCCTACACCGTGGAGCAAGACCTTTTCCACCTTGTGGGAGACACCGAGCTCCTTGGCAACGTAGTGGTCAAATCCGGGGTTGGCAGAGTCAGTGCAGGTCGTGGAGACGATGTGTGTGATTTGAGAGGCGTCAATGGCGGACTCTTTGAGTGCTTTGCCAGCAGCTCGGATGGCGAGGGGCACGCCATCGCTCATGAAAATGTCGTGGAGTTCCTTTATTGAGGGAGCCTTTTCCTTGTTCACCGAGGGGTGGTCGGGGTTCCCGATGGAAGACCGTGTATCGATGCCTGTGTACCGGTTGACGCCGAGGACCTTCTTCATGCTCGCCGACTCCGGGTAGAACCTGTCGCTCAGCGTGCTGAGAGCATCGGCCTTGAGCGCATAGGGTGGATACTCTGTGCCAAGGCCAACAATGGACAAATTCATGTCGCTGAACGAAGTCGATGACGCCATGACGGGCGACCAATGTGTGGTAGGTGAGGAGAGGCAGCAAAGTGTTTTCTTCTAGAGCGGTGAGTCTGGCTTTTGAGATAATGGGACGGTATAGTATAGATGTTTGTGAGACTCGTCAGACGTCAAGATGATGCGCTGCGCCTATTTCGTGTCGTGTCGTAATGTTGTGATAATGTGTAGCAGTCGGATGGGTCGCGCTTCGAAGAGTAGCTGGCAAGGTATCCCACTTGCAAAAGGCGATAGGCAAGAATGATAGGAATTGTTAAAGACCGGGGAAAGAGGCTTGACATGGGGCTTGGAGTATACTTTAAAGGAAAGCAATCGCTAGTCTTACCAGTGCTCCGTGCCTCCGTGCGCAGGGTGCCTGAACCTGGAGGCGGGTGGTTCAACCTCACCCCTGCGCCTGGTGGGGGCAATGACGCTGCACGCAGTAAGGCGAGGGGGATGTCCGCTGGGGTCCGCGACAATTTTTGGGGACTGGATTGCAGGACCGCGTAACGTACGCACATCATGAAGGATTCAATTGTTGGTGGAATCTGATATTAGTAACTGAGGTCAAAGGACCATCAAGCCACCCCGTGGTTACGTCCTTTGCAGCCCGACTTGCTGCAACCCAGCGTTTCAGAGGCATACGTCATTTGTTGAGCTGGTGGCTGTTGGTGGTAAGACATGTCCTCAACGTCACCAAGAGATAAGTAAGTAGAAGTCAAGACATGTACTTCAACAAGTACGTTTAGTAATTGCAATCAACATATCCTATCAAGGGCTCCAGGGGATGTTAAAACCGGGACACGACGTGCCGTTTCCCACTGCGTCTACCAGCCTAGCAGCCTAGCAGCCTAGCGCTTCAACAGCTGCAACTGACCACGTTGTGCAGCCAGACAGTCATTGTAACCGCCCTGTTTCACGTTCTGAAGCCAAGGAGGAATAGTTGCCTTTCAAGGCAGAGACATGGACGGATGCCGTCTCACTGCATCTCAGTCTTCGCTTCGTCCGTCACGCCCAGTGGGGTCTGTATTGGATCGACATGGAGCTGGTTGCAGGGGCGGGGCGCATGACAAGCCCAGTGGCCCACCCACTCCGATTGCGTCTATTAGATAAGGTACGAGCAACAACAAACTGAACTTAAACTGAAGCTCTGTGAGAAAAGAAAGCAGACACACTACAATACACTGTAGAATTATTGATTTCTTTTAGAGGAAATTTTTTCGAAGCTTTTCATCTTTATTTATGTACATTAACCATCAAAGATGATTGTGCAAGGACCAATTCCAGTAAGAAAATCAAACGCTCAAACACCGTAATCGTATTCCTGGGTGACCGAATACTCATCAATCTCGAACCAGTCACCCACCCTGAGGTCGCGTCCATGAATACTGGATGAAACGTCGACCTCAATGTCCTCCTCCTTGGCCATCTTTGGCTCCTCCCCGTCCGAGGTCTCGTTGAGCCAGCGTCGGCGACACCGCGACTTGAAGGCGTTGTCATCAGCCGGGTGGTAGATACCCTGCGACAGCCAGCTCCACGAGAGATGTTCGTCCTCGAAATGGACGGTGGACTAGAACTTGTCATTATTCCTCGACAATGATAATCCAGAGGGGAGTCACTTACGTCGCCGTACCACTTGATCTCGGTACTGGCCGCTGGCTTCCAGTGCCAAACATCGCACTGCACCTCCGTGTTGGGGACCGCCTCCGCATTGAACGAGTACGTCACACCCACGGTGGTGGCCGTCCCGAAATGCACTCCAGAGCTCTTCGTCTCCGTCCAGCCGACACTTTGCGTATGACTCTTGGAAAAGGTCACACTGGGGGTCAAAGTGCCAATGGAAGGAATCGTGATGCCAAGACCCGCGCCGATGGTGAAGCCCTCTGTCAACGACTCGCCCGTCGTGAAGGCATCCGAGCTCGACTTGTCCAGACTCGCCGAGTCGGACACAGCAAAACTGACACTCATCGAGATGGAGTCCTTGGCAGCCACGGCAAAGTCGTCATGTGTGTGGCGACTCACAGCCTTGTGCTCCTCCTGGAGACCCTTGTCGTGGAGCGCATTCAGCTCACCCGCATTGGGGGTGATGGTGATGTTCTCGACACGCAGGGCCGCGATCTTGGACTTTGTCGTGAGGAGATCAAAGCTGTGGAGGCCATTGCCGGCGGTGCCCTGAATGCCGAGCAGCATCCCTGAAGGCTGGTACGTCTTGGCGGCCGTCCTGTACTTGATGTACGTTGGGCCCCATACTACATAGCAAGGTTAGCTCAGTGCAGGACGGGCATTTTGCAACAGGTCACTTACCCAGCATCTTTCCTCCAGAGACGTACATCTCGAGACCGCCAATGCCACCGTTCTCGTGGGGGTACCAGGCCACGTGCTCAATGCGATCCTTCAGAGGATCCAGGAGCAGAGTCGCGGTGGTGAGGTCCTTGAGCATGCCCTCATAGTCTGGTCCCCGACCGAAGCGAGACTTTGTACCGTCGGTGTAGGAGACGGTGATTGCCTCGATGGTTTGACGGCCCTCGAGCTCCAGAGACACGGGCAGGATGCCCTCCTTGAACGCAGCGCCGCAGAAATGCCAGCCCTCATGTCGGGAACCCATGGAGAGAACCTGGGCTGGCGAGCACGGACTGGATGTGTCGCACTGGTCTGCTGGGCGACTGAAGCGCGGGTATTGGTAGTCCTGGACTTGCATCTCGGGCAAGAGATGGACAGATGGGGGGGGGTGGTTGTGGTTGGCAGTGACGCTGCCGACGAACAGGGTGGCGAACAGAGTCACCAGACACTTGCGAGGGGAAACCATTGTGACGGAAGACGATTGTTGTCTTTCGTGGAGTCTTGAGAGTGGTGAAGGAAGTTTGGTAAAGTTGAGGGTTTCTTGAGTGTCTGTAGGTTGTAAGGATGAAGAATGAGGTCCTGGTTTGTGGTGGAAATGGACGCCCTTATATACTCCAGAGAACCAGAATTGTAGATGGTCACATCCATCGAAAACAACAACAATGCCGGAATAACGCGTGCTGGGCTGAAGTTTCTTTCCCTGCGAGACATGTCGGGATGGTTTTCCTGACGGCAATGGTCAAGGCGGTGCTCCATTTGATTCCAATGGAAGGTACGAGGAGAACATCTAAACTTCAACTCAACGGTGGGTTCAGACCGCAAAAGCCTCCATCCTTTGGCGCCTTGTCGACATTTGCCTTGTCGACATTTGCTCGTAACCAGCATTTACGCCGTGAAAAGGCAAATTCCTCGTGACTGTTCGAGATGTTGAACAGTTGCCTATCTATCGAAGTTGGTCAGACATGGCTCTAATAGCACCGCGGATGCAAGGACTGGGCCAATGCCTTTGGGCTTCAAAGTTGACGTTGTGAAAACATGCCAGACACAAAGCCGAGCCGCGTTAGATCTGGCGTTCATAGTTCGTACATGCTTGGGAAAAACTAGGGTACTCTTGATCTAGCAAAAAGTTTTACTGGTCCCTGGCGGTCGGAAAGGCAAGGTCAAATGCTTGGTAAGTAGATGCGCCCGCCGTGCATGAACGAGCGTGATAAGTTGAGTGATGGACTGCTTGGAGTCCTAAAATTCTACCTCAGGGGAGAAGCTCAAGCCACCTAGGTCTATGCCATCCCAATTGGAGCCAAGTAGTGAGAAGGACAAGGAGTATGTCGTTACGTCTTAAGTAGTGCATACCCTGGACTCGGAGAAGAGCCAATCATTGGTACGAAGTAGTGGCCGACAGAAAGCGGATAGAAAACGGGTAGAAAGCAACTAGAAGGGGGCCATGAGCTCTCGGACTCACAGCATTGTTCCCGAGGACCATGAGGACTCGAGTCTCGCCATGGACTGTCGAATGGGCAGGAAATGACGTCATCTTCATGATCGACCGTACCGAAGCGAGTGAAAGTGTCAGCGCAAGCCATGTTGATTGATACCTGTAGGTACCGTACCTGACAACACCATCAAACGCGACCTGCTGGCCTCAAAGCAAAAAGACCGTGACTGGACATGACTGGAGCTTACCACCCATCACGCCATTTCGCGTTCTAAATCACCAGCACCTTGTTACACCCGATAGACCATTGCGGCGCCCGTGCGAAGCTCAACCCAATTCTCCGTCCACGCGCGCCAAATTCGCAATGGCCACGCTCGTCTCCCTCGCCAAGCTCCCCTTTCTCCTCCACGACATCATCGCATCATTCGCCGGCCTTACGTTTGTTCTACGCCCGCACAAACAGCTCGCGCCCTTGTCCGAGTCGGCCAAACTCATTTTGCACTGCTACGGCGGCTGTCTCCTTTTCACCAACCTCATCAGCCTCATCTTCCTCGTGAGGCCAGACGTCGACGAGACGACGAGGCTGGTCGCTTTTGCGTTTGCGTTTTGGCACGCTTGGCCGAGCTACCGGGCCATCGCAAGGTTGCAGCGCGGCTTGAACACGACAGGCGAGCTAGGCAAGACATTGGGCGGCCCGTGGATTCACCTGGTCGTACATGTTTTGTTAATGGTCATGTTCCTCAACACTGGGTTAGCGGCCTAGCTGGACCAAAGGTTGGACCGTTGGTGTCTTTACCGTCATACTACGGTACAGAATACGATGGAGCTCTTCGCTGCGCAATGCACTTCTTGGTCCAGCCGAAGAGAAAATGTCGTCTTGAGTATATACAATATAATTTGTCTGTCTGTCTATTTGAAGAGGCGCAGACCCTCTGCTTCCGCGCTAAGACCTCCAAGGTCATCGTCCTCATCACTCTGCACGTCCTCCTCGTTAAGCTCCAGGCGCTGCCCAAAGAGCGTGCCAAAGAAGCGATCAATGGCCCCCTGCTCCCATACCCTTCTATCCTCGGGTGCCATAAAATTCTGAAGCTTCTCGTGAACTGTAAAACGCATCTTGCGTCCCTTGCTAGCCTTGCGATCGACAACCTTGCGCGTCTTCACGTCCCGCGCCGCCGTGAGCATGACTGACGGCACTGTGCTGGCCTGCTCAATGGACGAGTCCACCATGCGCTGGTCCACAAGCTCCTTGAGCAGCTGCTGGTAAAAGTCGGCATCGTCGAAAATGTCCTCGTCCTCGGTCACTCTCTTGGCGGCCTGGGCTGGCGCACATGATCGGGGCACCTTGGTCCGCTTGACGAGTCGATACTCGGTGTCGTCGATCTGCTGCTCGAGACTGCTCACCAGGCTCTTCCTGCTGGAGGCATCGTTCACTGCGCGGACCTTTTGCGACCATTTCTCCAGATTCGCCTTGCGGGCTTTCGACAGTCTCTTGTCCTCTTCCTGAAGGCATTCCCACATCTGTGCAGCCGTCATGGATCTCTCCACGTCCCTCTTGCGCTTGCTGCCAGCCCCACCGGCCGGGCCAAATGTCCCCTTGAGCGAGCTGATGGTGTTGAGAAGCTTCACGGCTGCCTCCTCAGCCGCTTCGTAGGGCTCCGATTCGGCTTCCGAGGCATCTTCCACCGTGGGGAATGTGTTGGATGCCACAAGTGCCTTCTGGAGTCGGATCCGCAGGTTGAGGAGACCATCGTAGACCTTGCGTTGCTGCTGAATTGCCAAGCCCTTTTGGACGTCGGGGTTAGAGTGGCCGGACATGGTTTGCAGTTTAGGTCCAGCAATCTTTTTGGGAGCTTCGTCGTCCGAGTCACTCTCCTCTTCGTCGCTGCTTTCATTATCCTCATCCTCGTCCTCGTCAGAGGTGCCACCTCCATTGGCAAGCTCATCCAAGCCATCGTTCATGTCCTCGTCCTCGTCCTCATCGTCGCTCGCGTCAGCGCCATTGGGGTCGCCTTCTTCGTCCGAAGACGATGACAGGAAGTCTGCGGCCGTCGCACGCTTCGCCTTGGCCTTGGCGGGTTTTGAGCTTCCGCGGAAAGTGTATCCCTCAAAGTGCTCGGCATCCGACTCGCCAAGCGCGTTGTCGCTGTCAATCTCCGAGTCGCTTGCCTCTGCTTCATCTGCCTCGAGGTCGATCAGATCCGGATCGGCGTATGCTTCATCGCCTTCTTCATCGTCGTCCTCGTCCTCATTTTCGTCGCTCTCCTGGTCCAAGGCCGCTCGAGAAACTTTTGATCCCCGATACGCTGGGCCCAGTGACACATTCTCTTTCTGCCTCAGCTTGCTTTTTCCCACCGTTTCGTAGTGTTCCGTCCCGGCATTGGCATCTTCACTTGCGTCGCTGCCGCTGATGGAGCCGGCATCGAGGTCGGCCTCCGGATCGTAGTCTGCAGGCTTGTCAGTGATGCCGGTGCGCAAGCTGGCGGTCCAACTCACCCTTGGCAGCTTTCTCGGGCTCCTCGAAGAGATGCGCGCGACCTTTTGCTTTTGCCATATTGACTTGCTCGAGACAATCGCATGTGAAGAAAGGCCCCGCGACATGGAATTTTTAGGTCTTTGGCGGGACTGGAACTTTTAGGCGGTCGGAAGTGGCAGAATTCGTTCGTCGGAAGCCATGTCATGCAGGACCCACTTGGTCGCAACGCGGCTGGGAGATACTTCAGAGCATCGAGCTCGCAATGCCAGTGCAGACAGATGTGTTCATTTACATATTTGAATTCCTATCTGTCTTGAACATATGAATTGCACATATCTCGCCTCGGACCAGCTGCCATGGCTTTTCGACCAACATCCGCTCGCTTCCTAGAGCTCACACGCGGTTTGCTTCACGAGAACCCTCTGGTAAGTGAACATGAGTGGCGACACCATTGCAGTGATTGACTGTCTAGGGTCTTCCGCGATCAGGGACACCGCCTACATGGGGAAAACGACCGCAGAAACGAAAGATTAACGGCGTTGACAAGGTCATCGCAGTGTCCTCGGCTAAAGGCGGAGTCGGCAAGAGCACAATTGCTGGTCAGTACCGTCTCGAATGATAAGACTCGCACAGAGCTTACAATTCGAAAAGCAAACTTATCGTTAGCATTCGCGCGAAAAGGTCTACGTGCGGGAATCTTAGATGTAGACATCTTTGGGCCCTCGATACCGACCTTATTTGACCTCTCAGGAGAACCGCGTTTGTCAAGTAGTAAGTCCCACGGGCCCAACCATCCCGCAATAGAGGCTTACGACTTGCAGACAACCAGCTCGTGCCATTGACCAACTATGGCGTAAAGACCATGTCCATGGGGTACCTGGTTGGTGAGAATGCCCCGGTAGTCTGGCGCGGGCCAATGGTCATGAAAGCTGTGCAGCAGCTCTTGCATGAGGTTGACTGGGGAGGTCTGGACATGCTTGTCCTGGATCTTCCTCCAGGAACTGGCGACACACAGCTCACCATCACACAGCAAGTCATCCTCGATGGCGCTGTCATAGTTACCACGCCGCATACGCTGGCGACCAAGGACGCCGTCAAGGGTATCAACATGTTCAAGACGGTGGACGTCGACATCCTCGGGCTGGTTCACAACATGTCACTATTCAAGTGCCCGCATTGCAACGGCGAGACGCACGTATTCGGCTCGAACGAAAGAGTCGAGCGAATGTGCAACGACCACCGCATTGACTTTTTGGGTGACATCCCGCTCCATCCCAACATTGGTGATGATGGCGAGAGAGGCAAGCCAACGGTTGTTGCAGAGCCTACGAGCGAGCGAGCGTCAGCGTTTCTGAACATTGCCGGGGATGTCATGGCCAAAGTCGGCTTGAAAACTGGGTAGGCACATAAGCTTGATTGCCCTGTAAACTACCGTAAAACTACTTGGTGTATAACTCACAACCTGGACCCCCATGACTCCAAAATTGCAAAGATGAGCGCTGCTGCCGTGGAAACCCACTGGGACCGTTTGTTGCCCTGGTTCCGCAGTCTCCGCTGGTACGTAGACGCGAACCATGACGCGCGGACGTGTTTGATCTGCGTCTCACACAAAATTAGTCCAGATCCTCGTTTACTTGGTACACGTGTCGACTCCTCGACGGATCCTTGCGCATCGACTGGCCTGAGCCAGTGAAACCAACTGCAACTTGTTAGCAAGTGTTAGCGGTTCGGGGGGGAAAACCAAGCTGACTGACCTCTGCCGTGGACGCCTTCTGGCGTGCGGAACATGCTGTCCTTTTTCTGCGCCTTGCCAAACTTGGACTTGGCGTTGAACTCTTGCCACTTGTTCTTGTTGGTCTCGAGCTCCTTCTTCGCCTTGATCTTCTTCGGCTTGGGTGGTTGGGGCACGTCGTCCCTCTCAGCGGCCTTCTTCGCGTCAGGGTATGACTTGGCGCCGGCCGAGGACACGACACCCGGTGCTGGTGGCGCGACCGGTGCCGGAGGACCATCGGCCTTTCTTTTGTTAGAGACGGGCCGTATATCCTTGCCTCTCAAAGTCTCGACGTTGTCGTAACTCTTGAACTTGACGACGTATATAGGCGCTGCAGACGAGCCGGTGATCGACGTGATTTTGGCCGGGTAGAATGCCTTGTCGCCTGACAGCCATTTCGCCAACACGGTATCGTTCACCTGGTAGCTGACCGGGGTCTCGTCCTTCTCCTCGACATATGGCGCAGCTTTCTTAAAGGCTGGGTGATTCTCTCGCGACCATTTCTCGGATTCAGCGGGTTGTGGTGTGGGTGCGTTGGGCGACCCTGTCGTCGGTGCCTGCTTGGGCTGTAACTCAGCAATGCTGTCGTTGAGAAGCGCCACGAATTGATCTAACTCCTCTTTGAGACTCGCGAGCTCCTTGTTATCGGGATCGTCTCTGATTTGGCCTGCGACAATGTCCAGCTGAGGGACGTTAGTGAAGGCTGCAATCGGGGATTGGGCACACAAAGACCGACCTGTTCCTGGTATTGCTGTCGCTCTGTTTGCAGCTCTGTTAGTGACATGATGGGCGAAAGAAGTTGAGAATTTCGTGGTGTGGTAGGAATGCTTGTTTCGAGTTTCTGGTTGATGGACTTTGGGGATGAAGGGTCCTGTCAGACACGCCTGCTGGCTCGGACCCGCCCATGAGGTCAGGCGTGGGGTCGCTCAAGTGCGTGTGCATACGTCACGTGAGTCCTTGGATGACCATCGCTACACGTCTGCTGGCCGGCACTACAACCAAATTATCTTACTGAAATCGCTGATGAAGAGATATATGTACTGATTGTGTCGCACATGACGAGGCTGCCAGCACTTCTTCGCTCAGTGTGCGCGCGTTTTGCCGACGTTGAAATCAATGATTGTGTAAGCTCGTACCAACGACGAAGGTGAATGTCGTTGTAACATGACAACGCACAAAAGAACAACTATCCTGCGCCCTCGTGCGTATCTCTATTCAACCGTTTGTTTTTACTCAGGATGGCCCTCAACTTTTTGTCCCCAATGTGTCCGAGGGAAACACTTGAAAAGAACTGACAACTGTGTCTAGGGTAATCGGAGTATGTGGTCCGACACGGTCGGACTTACACGCTGACCGGCATGGAACCCCACTAAAACACCAACCCTTTGCGACCAACACACCCTCCAACCACCAGCTTCCCTGCTCCCGACCTGCCGGGCTCCCATCCGAGTGTGCATCCAGTACACAATTGCTCACACCGCCATCAATTGGCCCCGATTCCTGCCGTAATCGTGCTACATCAGCCTCCTATTCATGCGAGAGTAGGCATTGTTAGACAATAGATCTGTCACGTCCTGCTCAGCCGTACTTTTCCTTGGCTCGCTCCCCTGCCATTGAACTTCCTACCCCCATCATACATCCCGTCCTGCAGCATAGTACGGCCAGTATGGCGCGCGACTCCCAGCACGACGCTGGCGCGTCCTCCGCCAGCGCCCAATCAAGATCGTCCTCTGCGCAGCAGCAACAACGTCCCCCTCTCCCGCGGCAGGAAAGCGACTCAACAACAGAATCTCACCAGCGCCACAAGCATCACCACGTTCACAAGCAGCACAAAGTAACCGGCAGGCCACACGCACGCGTCGCCTCGTCCAAGGCGCTGCACGCCAAAGCACGGCCGCACAACGAAGGCGCGCCGCAGCGACCGACAACGCACCGAAGAGCCACGAGCGAGGTCAAGCTCACGTCATCGCGCAACAATTCCTCCGCCAATCTGGTCAAGAATGTATCCCAATCGAGTCTGAAGCGAAACCGCTCACACGGCGACGTCAAGCACAGCCGCAACAAATCGTCCGATAAGATAAAGCGGTTGTCCAGTGGCAGCGCAGGCGCACAGGCCCAGCAAGAGCAGCCGCAGCAGAGGCACAAGTCGAGCAAGTCGACGGTGCATTTTGATCTCGGCAGCGACGACGACGAGGAAGACAGCGGCGCAGGGGAGGAGGAGTGGGTCGATGCCAGTGGCTCCAACTCACCGCACATGTCGAGGAAGGGATCTCTCAATTCCAGCGCGCAATCGTCCGTACGGCCGGGCAACTCGAGACCACAGACCCCGAGCGAGCCATCGCCGTTGGCGTCACGCCCGCAGGACACAGGCAGAGCACCGAGTGTGGCTGTGCAGCAGCATCAACAATATCTTACGTCGAGGTTGTTACAACGGACACCCTCCACGGGAGCACCACCCATGATGACGAATGACAGCGCGGGTGCAGCGCCGAGTATATCCCCCCAGGACCCAGAGTCAATGAGGACAATACTAGGGAGTGGTAAGGAAGGTCTGACATCTCGCTTTGTTGACGATCCAAGCACGCCGGGGATAACGACACAAGGATCATTCTACCACACTCAGGAGCGCCAGCATGATGCTTTACCAGAGCGACCCAAGTCAATGGCTAATTTGTCGCGATCGGCCGAGGAGAACAGGCAGGTGGACAGAGGTAGCGATAGCGCCCTCGTCCCCACGCCAGCGAGGCGCTCTGCGCTTCCCGCCGAAACATCGCGTATTCAGCAGAAGCTGAACCTCCAACGCGCGAGCACCGCCATTGAGCCTAGCGTGCAACATACCACAGCATCAGTAGGCACACCTATCCTCACGGACCCAAGAAGTCGAGACTTCCGTATGGGAAAGCTACTGGAGAAGACGGGGATGGAGTACCTTGTGGTACGCCGGTACCAGAACCCCATTGCGCGCTCCCTGGCGCGCCTTTCACAACTCGACAGGGCAAAGAGGATACCGACGCGTCCGAACACAGCCACCGGCCCCAATGGAAAACAGCGCCCAATGGAGCTGCAACTACCGCTTCGCCATTCGCGCAACGTCAGCATGCCTGTTGTCGGCGGCGCACCTCCAGCCACACCGACCGCTTCGATTAGGACGACAAAGACAACGGTCGGCAGTAGTTTTGGCGAGGAGAGACTCAGTGGCTCAAGTGCCGTGGAGGGCGATGACGGGACAACGGCCGCACTGCGGGGCCTGTGGGAGAAGAGTGCTGAGTTGGTAGGGAGTGGTGATTAGCAACGCAGTGGACACTGGCACCGTTTGCACAGAATCGATACTATTAACTCTATGAGGTGCATGTGCTCTATTTGTTTTATACATTTGGCGACAACAAGTCGTACTTGACACATCGTTCCACCTGCGCCGGTCAGCACACGTCGCGACTGCGAAAGGGAAGGAAAGTGGGTACTCACATCTTCTATACTGGCCTGCATGAATTTCCTCGCCTCGAGGCCCATCCAGACGAACATCATGGAGAAGTCGCCGCCCCGGAGCATCTCACTGCCGCTCTGAGCACCAAGTTGTCGCAAGATGGGCACACTGCTACTCAGGAGGTCGACGTCTGGATTCAAATTCCGGCCGATGCCCTCGAGCAGCAGGATGGAGATGACGACGTTGACAAAGTCGCCCTCGAGGCGGACGTGGTGGTTGCGGACCATGCTGAGCACCTGCTGTAAAATGTCCCCGATCTTGACGTTGCCCAGGGCTAGGGTGTGGGACTTTACGTTGAGGACGAGGTGCTGCATCTTGAGGGCGAAGACCTCCTTGTCCAAGACGGCGTCGGGCTGGCGGCAGCGCTCGCACATGAGGTGGCCGGCCTTGTATCCGTCAAACTCGGCGACGGCCCGGAAGAGATCGAGAAAATTCGTCCTGTTGGTGGCGTTGAGCTCCGTGACGAGACCCGTGTCGATAAAAACAAGTTGCGGCCTGTAGCCCTCGTGGTCGAGCTTGTTCAGCTCGGCCTCCCATCCGGCCTTGTCACGGGCGTGCTTGAAGGGACGGAGGCGCTCCAGGACCTGTTCTGTGACATCGGCCTGTGGGCCTGGCCCGGGGTGCGCGGGTGGTGGCTGGCGCAACTTGAGATCGGGCTGCGCCGCTTGGTAGAAGCGAACCATGATGTTGCCGGGGTGCAGATCGGCATGGACAAAGTTGTCGAGCAGCAGCATCCTCAAGAAGGCGTCGAGGCCCTCGTCGGCAATGTCGTGCTGAAAGGTACCGCCTCCGTAGTCCATAAAGTCGGCAATGGGGATGCCCTGGGCAAACTCCTCGATGAGGACGTTGCGCGTGGTAAAGTCGGTGTATGGATAGGGGAACCAGGCCGTCGACCTGTCGCGGAAGTTTTGGCGAAAGGTGGTCAGGTTGGCGGCCTCGATGCGCAGGTCAAGCTGTAGCTTCATCATCTGGCCGAACTGGGCGACCTCGTCGGGGAGAGACAGCCACTCGATAGTCGGGATGGCGTTGAGGACCGAGGCGAAGAAGTGCATGATCCGGAGATCCCGCCGGACGGTGCGCTCTGTGTTGGGGTGCAGGACCTTGACGGCGACGTAGCTGGACGGCACGCGCTTCGGCGAGCTCTTGAGCACGGGCTCGACATTACGTCGGACGTTGTCTCGTAGCATGTTCTCGTCGCGCACGAGGTCCGAGTCGGCCGGTGCGACGAGGGCCGGCTTCAGTTTGGCCTTGTAGACCTGGGCAATGGCACCGACACCGAGCGGTGTCTCGTTGAACTCCTCAAAGATGTCCTCAAAGGCCTTCCCACCAAACGCCTGTTCGAGCGTCTTTCTGGTGGCGTGCATGGAATGGGCCTGCGAGTTGGAGTGCAGCTTGGACATGATCTCACACATCTCGTTGGGGAAGATGTCCGATCGCGAGGCAGCCCACTGGCCCAACTTGATGAAGGCCGGACCTGCCAGCTCCATGGCGTTGACGAGGAAGCCGTACCACCACAGCGTCCCAGAGCGCTCATTGTCGCGCTTTGGCTGGCGGCTGCCGATCCATATCGCCGGGACCGTGACGATGACGGGGACGAAGATGACGACCAGCTGGAGGAAGCGCAAGCCGGTGCAGATGGGCTCCCAGATGTACATGTCTAAATAGAGGACGAATTTGTGCATCATCCTTTGGATCCCACGCTCTTGGTCCGAAACTCCCTTTTTGATCTCCTCCCGTGACATTTCGAGCATGCGTCTCTCACCAGTGTCCTGGTTGTCGCCATTTTCCTGCTGCGAAGCCTTGACGAACACACCCGCACCGAGGGCGGCCGCGCCAGCCGATGCGCGTAAGGCTATCCTCCCCTTTCCAGCACCCCGTGGCGGAGGCGGTAGACGAAAAAAGGGCTTTGACTGTGTTGTGAGGTTCCGGATGGATGCTGGCGGCGCATGGGCGCATCGCTGGGGCGCCTCGCGGATCCCTGACCGCGCGCCGAGGCGGCCAAGGAGGAGCCAAGTCCTCATCATGGCAGTCTATAACATGTCGCGGCGGGGATGTAGAAAAATGAAAAGAAAGAGGCCACTGATGATCGTGACCGGCACGTCCAAGGAGAATGATCTCGAAATCTGCCCTGAAGTCGATGAGTGACGTCGGTGGTCCCGGCGGGGATAAATCGGGTAATCAGTCGGTCACAATGGCATGTGTCGGGCGTCATGGACAAGGATGCGCGCGTGGTCGCGAATTGCTCCGACGACTGGACGGACGCCAAAAATTTGTCCATCCATCATTTGCCCCCATCCAGCCAGCGGCTGCCACGCTGATTTTCTGTGATCGATCTTGTACAAACGCGTTTTGCTCCCACCTCGTCTCTACTACTATCATTATAATTCCTCTCCCAAAATGGGCTGGTTCTGGGCTGACACACCCGTCGCTGCCGTGCAGACGCCTGCCGGCCATGCGCCTGTCGCTCCAGGTCGCGAGCCACCAGTGAGTCCCCTATGCTGCCACCACCGCTCTTGATCTCGTCACTGACGATGCCCAGCCTGGCTGCCCGATGCACCAGAAGTCTGCCGACGCCCTGACACCGTCCAAACCTGTCGCGCCGCCATCGACATCAGGATGCCCCGTCCCGCACGACCAACGACCAGGAGCAGTGCCAGCGTCGTCTGGCGGGTGCCCCGTGCCTCACGCATCGAAGGAGAAAGAGTCCAAGTCGATACTGTCACAACTCAACCCCCTGAACTACATGTTCCCCGATCTCTCGCAGGAGCGCGCCAAGGACCAGACGTACGCCCTCCCGACGTCGCGTGAACCAAGCACCATCCCCAGGGGCTCGGGTGACGGCAACTGGGAATACCCCTCCCCGCAGCAAATGTACAATGCGCTGCTGCGAAAGGGCTACGAGGACACGGACATTACGGCCGTCGAGTCCATGGTGTCCGTGCACAACTTTTTGAACGAGGGCGCGTGGAAAGAGATCTTGGGCTGGGAGAACCGATTCGCCCGGGGCCTGTACAAGGGGTGGCAGATTTGCAAGCGCGGCGAAGAGCACTACGAGGAGGAGCTCGACCGGCATTGGGACGGTACCGACCTCGAGCCGTCCCTCGTCCGCTTCCAGGGCCGCCCCAAGGAGCTGACGCCCAAGGCGACCATGCTCCAGGTCATGGGGTGGATGTACCCTTCCAAGTTTGGCACAGAGCCCCCGTTTGACCGGCACGACTGGTACGTGGCGCGTGAGCAGAACGGCGAGCGCAAGGAGATCCGATACATCATCGACTACTACGCCGGCGCGGACGACCCCGAGGGCGAGCCCGTCTTCTTCCTGGACGTGAGGCCCGCGGCCACGCTGCAGGGCTCGGCCGAGCGCATCATCCGGTGGAGCAGTGATGTCTGGTGGAAGGCTATCGGGGGCGACGAGAGGGAGAGGAATCCCCGGAGTATCCTGTCCCTGCCAGGGAAAGACTGAGGCAAGGCGCGTTGGGGGCCTTTTTTGTACACTACTCACGACTGCATGTCTGTATACTGGCGTTGGGATTTGTAATGCTAATGCTCAGCTCTGCTGCTGTAAAGGATCTGGATACAACATATTGACTTACTGTAGGGAATTACAACTGAAAGATGAACTGACTGAATCCTCGAGTCCCTGAAATCGTGGCGCCCCACATGACTGCGGCTCCATTTTTTTATTTTTCTGCCAGCCCGCCGACTTTGCGAAACGCACGGACAAGACAAGCTTCATCCGTCCCTTCGTGATTAACCTTTGTCTGTACTATCTATTGTTACGCACCCCAACCCCCCGCGCTCTGACCGGGTTCCCGCCCTGGAAGCAATGACCCTCGAACCCGAGTACGTCCGACTGCACATCACGCCCCTCGACAGCGGCCTTCTCACCACCTACCTGCCCGCCTCCACGTCGGCGCGCAACGTCTCCTTCCACACCATTGAGACGTTTCCCGAGAAGCGCTACGGCTACGTCGACCTGCCCGTCGCCGAAGCAGAAAAGCTGAAGAAGAAGCTCAACGGCGCCGTGCTCAAGGGTAGCAAAGTCCGAATCGAAAAGGCCAAGCCGCCAGTTGACATGGGCTCGTCCACGAAAGAGGAGAAAAGGGTGAAGAAGGATGCGTCTTCCAAGAAGCGCAAGCGCGAGGAGAACGTCGTAGACGGAGTCGCGCTGTCGGGTCGCAAGGTCAAGCGTGGCTGGACAGAGTCACCCGCCGAATCGTCCAAGCGCAAGAAGAAGGACCGCTCTGTTTCGAAGGCGGACAAAGCTGAGAAGAAGGAGGAGAAGGAAACAAAGAAGGAAAAGCAGGAGAAGAAGCGGACAAAGTCAAAGTACACAGACGGCGAAGAGTGCCTGCTCAAAACCACGGTGCCGCCCAATGCGACGAGAAATCTACCTGAGGAGGACAAGCGCGAGAAGAAGAAGCGCAGGAAGAACAGTAGCAGCCGAGAGGTCACTGTGCACGAGTTTGAGAAGACGATCAAGTTCCCCGGCTTCCTGAAGGACGAGGGCGTCAAGGGGCGCGCTGGCGCCGAGGAGTACGTGGAGGGCGAGGGATGGGTGGACGCAGAAGGCAACGTCGTGGAGGCGGTCAAGGAGAAGGAGGTCAATTTTCCAGAGAAGAAGAGCAAGAAGGCCAAGAAGCCGGTCGTTGTGGAGGAGGACAGCGACACGAGCAGCAGCGGATCCTCGTCTGAGGAGGACGAGGAAGCAGAGCCAAAAACTCAGGATTCGGCTAAAGTTACCGCGGACGACGTCTCGAGTGATACATCCTCGAGTGCGTCTGAGGACGAGACCATGGTGGAAGCTGCTGCACCGCAGACAGAGCCGCAACCTGCTCCAGCCTCCGACTCGGACGACACAAGCTCTTCTGGTTCCGACAGTGAAGACGACGACGCCCCGGTCGCCAAGACAGTCGCTACACCCAAGTCTACAGCCGCACATCGTCGAACTTCGTCCTCCAGCCTCAAGATTGATATCCCCCCACCACCAGCCACGCCCGCCGGCACAGTCCATCCCCTAGAAGCCCTCTACAAGCGGCAAAAGGATGCGGACCAAGAAGAGGCGCCCGCTACGCAGTCCTTCAGCTTCTTCGGCAACGGCGACGATGACGACGACGACGACGCCCAGGACGACGATGACGAAGCAGACGAGGACGCGGCCCCAGCCGTGCCCATGACACCGTACACCCGCCAGGACTTTGAGTGGCGCAACCTGCGAAGCGCCGCACCGACGCCTGACACGGCTCACCCATCACGGATGCAGAACTTCTGGGCCGATCGCCAAGATGAGGACGAAGCTGAAGAGGAGGATGCAGAGGAGGGCGTGGCCAAGCCGAAGGATGCGACGAGCGACTTTCAGTCGTGGTTCTGGGACAACAGGCGCGATCTCAACCGTAGTTGGATGAATAGGCGCAAGACGGCGGCCAAGGAGAGGAGACACCGGGAGAACAAGGCCAGGGCATCGAGAGCGGTCTAACAAGGCACAGAGAGAGAGGCAGGCAGGCAGGCAATAATTACACACTGTTCATTGATTCCAGAAGAATACGTGTCTATATACAGGTATGAGGAAGAAGAAGAAGAAGAAGAAAAGAGAGGAAGAAGGAGGGGAAGGGCTATTCAGAACCCAAGTACTCAGACCCGGCCGTAGCCAGCGGTGTTGACCACGCCCTTGGCGACGTTGGCCGTGCTGGCGGCGGCAATCGTCTTGCCCTTAAAGTTGACGAGGAAGCCCGTGTCGGTACCGGTCAGCTTGCCAGAGCTGCCGTAGGCGTTGAGCTGGCAGGGACGTCCGAGGGCGGACCTGCACTGCGCGTTGGTGTTGGTGTCGGGGGAGGAGAACATCTGGCCGCCGCCGTTCTCGACGGTGGCCTTGACGTTCTGGAAGACGTTGCCCTCGGCGAGAACCATGGCACCCGAGGCGGTCTCAAAGGCGTGGCCCGGGTTGGAGTAGAAGTAGTTGTTGACGGCGTGCAGGAGGGTGTTGCCCTGGACCTTGGGGGAGCGACCGCTGGTGTGGTGGACGTAGTTGTTCTTGAAGGTGATCATGTCCTGGGAGCCGGTGAAGTACATGCCCCAGTAGTGGTTGCCGGAGCAGTCGGCGGACCAGCTGGAGCGGCCGTCAATGTCGCAGTTGGAGACGGTGACGCGGCCGGACGCCTGGTTGCCAAAGACCATGTGCTGGCGGCCGATGCGGGAGGTGGTGACGTGGTCGATCCAGACGAGGTCGGCGCCGTTGATGGTGATGGCGTCGCCGCCCCAGACAAACTCGGGGTTGAGCTCGGTGATTTTGATGTTCTGGATGATAATGTTCTTGACGTTGCTGACCATGCGCAGGCCCTTGCCCTTGATGACGCCCTTGTTGCCCTGGCCGACGATGGACTTGTTGGAGCCGACGGTGATGCCGAGCATGCCGGCCTTGTCGTAGGTGATGCGCGTCCTCGGCGCGTTGGGCTGGTAGTTGCCGCACCAGTTGTCCTTGTTGATGGCCTTTTGGCACTTGGAGCCGGTACCCCAGGGCAGGCAGCCGTCCTCGGTGGCCGTGCCCTCGGAGCCGATAAAGTCAAACGTCTTGGTCAGGACAATGTTGAGCGGCTCGCTGCTGCCCAGGTAGTTGACCAGCTCCGAGTTGCTGGAAGGGTACACGGTCCTGCCGTTGCCGCCTCCCGTGACGCTGGCCGCGAAGCCCTCCGCCTTGCCGGTGGCGGCAGCGACGGCGGAGGCCAGCGCCAGCACAGCCGAAGATAGAGTGATGAGACGCATGTTGGGGATGAGAGAATGGAATGTTTCACCGGGAAACTGTGTACTGCTGTTGTTGCTGGTGCTGGGATGGAAGAGTAGATCAAGTGAAGGGGACTTGACACGCACTTATATATAGTCTTATACGCGAGCGCACCACAGAAATAGCGGATGGGAAACAATCTACATGGCACCGGCGAGACCCGGTCATGGTACTGCCAATTACCCGGCCAATTTGTTCTCGTTTACCTGTTCGTGACTCCGTTGGTGAAACATCAAACGCGTGGAGCTGTCAAGACGTGAGTAGCGCGCATAACATAACGTGCTGCAGTCAAAGGCGTGTGACCCTGGCGAGTTTCCGCTTATTCGGCACGCAGACGTCTCGGCACCCATTGGCCCCAAGTGCCGTGGCCTTTCAAGAGTCAATACGGTCTTTCGAAGCCCCGGTCGAAGCATGGATGTTTCCAGGGCCTGGGTCCTCACCCCTGGGTCCTAACCCCTGAGTCCTGACTCCCACGCAGAGTTGACGGGTCCGTTTCAGGGAGCTCCTCGGTTCAGACCATGTCTTGGCCACCGCGTAGTAGTTCGATTTCAGAACGTCGACTGACACCCACGACGAATGCTGCGCGCCGAGGTGTACAAGTTGATGTGATACGATGCGATGCTATGCCATGCGATGCGACGTCGGCACTGCGACCACTGGTGCGAAATCTTAAAGCAGGGGCGGAGCGGGGACAGGCCGAGGTGGGGAAAGTCCCAATCCGGGCACGGGGCCGAGTACGAGAGCCACCTGATCATTCTAGCAAGCGGGCGAATGGAGTGATAACGTGGTAGCTCCGGGGGATAATTTAAAGTGATTGACATGCTAGTCTAGAAAGCGTTGGTCGTTGAGAAGTCAAGAGTCGAGACTACATATAAAGAGCGACATCGTGGATGTTCTAGCTCCATGTCAGTGACACGTGGAAGTTCCTAATGAGGCAATGTTTGAGGAGAAGCAATTATCGCGGGGAACGCTGGTTCCAGCAAAACAAAAAATAAAAAATTAAAAAAAAAAACAAAAAAAATTTACCGGCAACATTACTCAAAGTCTCACTCAACTCGTCGATATTGGCCTTGGAGCATCTTGTTGACATCGACAGGGGCAAAAAATAAAACAGTTGTTGGACGAACAGGGAATTGAACCCTGGACCACTCGCAGACACAAGATATGCCGAATTGGCTTTGCGAAGCGAGGATCATACCCCTAGACCACACGCCCTGTGATTGGTGATGGGATGCTTCTTTTTAATTTGGCTTATAACTTTAAATTCAAATTCTCGAGCTCCTCCCCTGCATTTTGACTTGACATTCCTGAACGGCTACTCTTAGTGTTTCGGAAAGACCAGCAAGATCCCTCATTTTTCTCAGAGTCACAAGCGCAGCCTTGGGATGAGAATGTGGAGAAACATCGCCTGGTCAACAACACGAGGGTCGTTTGTGCGAGCTGCCTCAAAGCAGCGTTGTTGTCACGGCTTCGATACATTCGCCAAGGTCGGAAAGATTTTCAGGTTCTGCAGGAACAACGCATATATGTGTGATACACTTTATATGAGGGGATGGGACTGTTTGCGGTGTCCATGTTTCTCAAGAGGGACTGTTAGGTGGATGTCAAGGACTCAAGGCTCCTTCTGTCAGATGTGCCTGGATGGAGGTGAACTCACAACGGAATACTGGCGGTGGGCGAGACAGGCGAGACAGGCGAGACCTGAATTTTAAGTGGACTGCTTTTCAAACTCATTGTCGTCCGCTTGTCTGCTGGCAGAAGCGCCGTTCGCAACACCTTGTCCTTGTCCCTCCGTTGTCTGCACGTGCCCTTCAAAGGGACCTGCTGTCCGCAAACACCATTCCAAAATAAAGAACAGTGGGGGAAAAGGTCAATCTGGCTGCAGAACAGGCTTTCACAATTCTCCCGCTCGAAAAGTGCAAGGCTGGTTCTGTTCTATCGCGAACGCCAAGTGTCACCGGCCATTCATCAGTGCGTTGACCGCGAACACAGGAACACTCCTCTCCAGCGCAATCTGGGGCCAAACACACAATCTCATGCTATAAAGGCAGCCATAGATCTGAATTTTAGGTGACTGCCTTCATCACAACTAGAATTACCACTCAAGCGCAATAGCCACCGACTCAAAATCACCATCGCTCATCATAAAATCAACAACACCACTACGTACAGTACACCTCCACCCGCACGAAAGCCATGTGTTACATTTTAGAGACACATTCGCTCCGCTGCGATGTGCGCCCCCTCTTCAGCAACGGCGAGAAGCCCATTGTTGACACTCAAAGCACCCCGCCCCCCTGCGACTGCGAGCAGGACACCGACATCCCCAACGCACTCAGGTGCCCTCAGCACGGATGTTGCATGCTGACGAAAACGACAATTTATTGCACTCGCCCCAACGTCTGCGAGTTTTGGGACTGTTACTTGTACGAGCAGCGTCAGCCTACACCTGCCACGCTCTGGACGCAGCACGACGTCTTTGACGGTCCGTTCCTGTCATCCACGCCTGGGCCCATTGCGAGCGAAGATGAGCTTTTCAATGAAGCCTACGATTTGTACGTTCACTATGGCCGTGAATTGTACTCTCTCCAGCAGACTATCACGTGGTGCAAGACGCTCTTTGCCGATTTCGACGCCATCTGGCGCGAGTGCGAAGGGTGCGTGAACACGCACTTGACCTTCGACTGCCCCTTTTTGACGGTCCGAGCCGAGATCATGGAGCGCATGTATGATCTGGACAGCCAAGGCGTTAAGGCGGCTCGCGAGCAAGCTGTACATGGAAATTTCTTGATGAGCAGTGCAGCCGTTCGGACTCCGTTTATGGGAGTTTCGCGAGTACACGATGTCGTCGAGCAGGAAGACGAATGGGACCATTTGGTCAAGTCGGCGTTAGCTATTGTCTGCGAGGAACAGTGCAACTAGATTATATCGCTTCTTTGGGTGGAAGAAAATAGAGCAGCTACAATGAGTCCATTTGTACTGTCACCAGGATAGACCGCAAGGAAGTGTGAATAAGGCGATTGAAATTGACGCTCCATGAACTATAAGACAAGAATGTGACTCTGTCGTAAACACATCAGGGCAAATGTACAAAGCCGCCGCCGGCTACAAAGTCTACCAACGCTCTCCCAGAGCGGGCGACTCTTGCATCAAATCTCGGCACAGGCAACACCCAAAAGGACGAGGCCAGCGCCGGAGAAGGCGTTGGCGAGGCCGAGTCCTACACCGGCCGCGGTGAGCGCGCCGCAGACGCCACCCTCCGTGTCACCGTAGCTAAATGCGACGTTGAGGAACCCAGCGAGACCACCGTCATCGTCATTGTTGACGCGGACACTGACGTGGTTGGTGCTCTTCCACTGATCAGCATACTTGGCACCATCGGCTGCAGGAGAGCAGTGTTAGCCAACAACTCCACTCTTCATAGAGATCATTCCCGGAGTAAACTTACGGTTGCAGTTGGTCTGGAAACCCGGGCAGCGGTCCTCGAGGTACTTGACGTCCTGCTCCCACGTGGCTATGCCCTTGTTGAACAGCTCCTCCATGGCCTTCTTGGCGAGGTCGAGCAGCTGGGCCTTGCTGCCGCGGTCGCCCGCGGCGTTGAAGGAGCCCTCGACCGTCAGCTTGATGTCGACGTTGTTGCCGTAGTTGGAGTTGACGACCACGGCCGGCACAGAGAGCTCCTCGCCTGGTGTGCAGCCCGTCAAGGTGCAGTGCTCGTCGATCTGCTGGAGGGTGGTCGAAGGCACAATGTTGCCAAAGCTCATCAACCCGTCGCCGATGCTGGCCTGGGCATTGCCGACGCCATCTTCGTTCTCCCAGATGAACTCGTTGCTGTCCTGGCGCGCCTCCAGGAAGGGGGCGGCCAAGACACGGGCAACGCCGGTGGAAAGGAGAGCAAAGGCTGTGGAGGCTTTCATTGTCGGATCTGTGTGTGATGCGGTGATAGGATGTGAGGATGGGAGTCTGTGCTGTCGGAGTGGTAGTTGGCTGGCCGGATGGAGGAGGGAGAAGATGGTTTGTTTCCAGCGACGAGATACTCTTGCTTTATAGGCGGATAGGATATCGGAAAGTCCATTGCGCTTTTGGCAATGATCAGTCGAGATGCGTCAACGTCATGAACAACTACATCCACTAGCTAGGTCGTTTGACGTTTCGGAGTCTTAGACAACCGCGCTTGCGACTCGTTGTGATACCTACCGCGTCCAGAATGAGAATCCTAGTTGAGGCCGCCTGTGGCTGATGTGAAGAGACGCCTGGTATCTGTGCCGATGGACCGATGGCTCATTCCTTCACTTGAGCATCTGTCGCGCCGTGACGTTCTTCAAGGCTGGAGCCTAGCGAGAGCCCACTTGGTGAATCCTGCAGGGTCCTGAATCGAAACTACTTTACCTCTGGTGTGGTCCGGGGGTACAGCGCAGGGGAGCAGTACAAGCCTGTTGATCGTGGATCCGTCACCACAGTTGGGCTGTTGGCTTCGGGAAGCGGCATCTGAAGAATATCGAGGGCGCTTCCCGAGCCAAGGGAACAGCCGAGGGCCGGTGCCCCGAGATGTACTTGTAGCAAATGGTATATGCTATTCTCGAATCTCGATCCATAACACGTGAAGAGTCCTGCTAGTTGAACATGTCGACAGCCCGCTCGCTCTTCCCTGGGAGCAAGGGCATTCCGAAGCATGAGGCTCAAGTTTCAACGCATCAAGATCTCGTGAGCGGCAGTTTGGCTACTCGGCAGTGATACCCTACCCCTCGCATTCGATCGGCACTCCTCCTGCAGGGCTCGAATTCGAAACGTCATGCATTGATCCTGATTCCTGGGGGGGTCGCCAAGACCAGAAGCGAGTAGGATTTGGTCCTGGGAATCCTTCCAGGATAGTTTGCACCAAAGGGGAAAGTAAGTACGTACTCCTCCTATATATAGTCAGGGATTTCTTGGCTTGCATCACACATTCACACCATGTGGGAAGTAGGATGCGGATCCTTGTTCCACGGTCGCGACGATCCACGAGTGTGATAATTGACATTGGCCTTAACGTTTTTCCCTCCTTGCCTTCATTGTTTGATTAATATGTACTTGACCTCGCGCATCCAGATTCCATCAATGAATGTACTTGGAAATTCCAGTCCTGCTCCGACACCGAACCATGGCGTTCGATGAGGCAGGCGGTGCAACCGTGTCGGCCATTGGGAAGATGAAATGCAAGTCTGATTGACTGGCTGCACTTGGATACAAGCATAAAGTCCAGTCGTCAAAATGAGGTCGTGTCTCCGTTTGAATTACGGATAATGGCCAAGACTCGAAATGGTGCCGTCGATCTAACTAACCTGACGGTTCTGCCAGTCTCGGTGATGATCAATGGGGATTTGGTTCACAGAGCTCACGTCCTCGACAGCGAAGGCGCCATTTCGACTGGCGACGTACAACCATCGGTGAACCATCGGTGAAGGCGTCAGCACTTGTCCAAGGATGAAGGCGGGCATGCGGATAATCGGACCTCGCTTCCTTGGCGGTTCGAGTTGGCGGTCAGCAGCGCCTTCAGTGAAAAGGGATCTCAACATGCTTCCCGTTACACGTAGCCATGGCCATAGTACTTTCTCTCGTCGTCTTCTCGAGAAAACATCCTGCCACCAGCCTCGTGAGGTTGATGTGCAGGACCTGGGCGTTGAGGGATGAGCAACGCACCCAGATCAGCAAGCTGGAGGTATGATCTTGCTTCAACACCTGGCTCCGGATCGGACGTTCCGTCTGACACCTGCATTGTCCCTGCATACAGATTGCCCCGTAACATGGAGACAGGCGGAGGGAAATCCGGTGGTCATGATGCTGCTGAGGGACTATAAGAGTGGCGGTGTTTCCTCGTCCTGAGAGCAGCCAGCATCCTGAATTAAACACACCATCCCCGAGAAACAAAGCGTACGTGACACCACTGCCGCGAACCGCACTCCACGCATCGCTAACGCGGTCCAGACACCATCCAAGATGCGCGTCACCTCTGCACTCACCATCCTCGCCACCGCGCCCCTGGCGCTGGCCATGCTCCCCTCGGGTGAGGGTCGCTGTGCCAAGAACCCGTACAAGCCCGAGGACGAGAGCCTCAAGTGCATCTGGGGCCAGCTCGCGGCTATCCTTGACTGCGCTGGCGAAACATCGTGCAGCGAGGAGGGCGCGCCTTGCTACGCGGACCAGTCGTGTGAAGGCTGCGCCTGGTATGTGCACTGCACATAGATCAGGAGCGGGAGGAAGGACTTGGGTTAGCTTTGAATCGAGTCTTGCCGGTCATTCCGTCACACAACACGCTCATCGATACAGTGCAACGAAATATTGATTCCTGTTTTGCAGGACATCTCAATCAGTCCTTGCTCGCCCGCACTGGGTACGGCGTATCCTCGTCTCTGAGTGATCCGGAGGGCGAGGACTCGGTCTGCGTGCGGTTGTACTCCACATTGTGTGTGACCTCCTTGGTCACCACGATCCGTCCATTGCCGTCCTTCTTGTGTGGGAATATCTCCTCCTGGCTATCGTTCGGGGTGCCGGTGGCACCCGCCGCGGCGTGACTCATTGTGCCAAAGTGGCCACTCGTGCCGTGGGCATACGCCTTGGATCGCGAGGGCAGGTAGTCGAGCTTGTGGGTGCGGAAAGGGGCGGACCCATGAGGAGGCTGGCCCGAGTGCTCGTAGATCCCGTGAGGTGTCTTGTTGCTTGACAAACCGAGGGCATGGTTGAGATAGGGGATCTGCTGGATGATCTGGCGGAGGCAGGGGATGCATGAGCACGTGATGAGCGCCGCGAGCTCCACGACGGACCAGATCATGGCTTCGGCTATGCGGTCTAGGTTGATCAGCGTCAGGGGGGGGAGGCAGGATTCACAGGGAGGGGGAAGGGGGGCCACGAACATGTAAGATCCTCTTGGATGCGACTGGCGTATATGATACGGATGATGGATATGATGCAGACACTATGACAGAGTGTTAGTGGACTAATGGCGAGACGAGGAGAGACGCTCACGTACAGCAGTCCCAGCGACAACATCACGACAAGTCCGAGTCGCTTCGTCCTGGCCATTTGCAGCCTCCATACCGTGGGGATCGGTTGGACGAAGAGGATGAGATCGGTGCACATGTTGAATACAAACTGTCCGGTCAGTCAACATCACGAAGAGATACTCATTGCACTCACTGTACTCCACCACAGCACGTTCATGTTCAGACACTCGCCGTGGACGCCAATCTTGAAGGCAGCCTCAACAGGTCGACAATGCAAGATGGCAATCAGCGACTCTTCAATCGCCTGGGCGATGAGAAAGGCAATGAGAAATTTGTTGAGCAGCAGAAGAAAACGCTGCGGCAAGACGCGGATGTAAAGGATGGCGAACGTGATCTTGGCCGCCGCGACGCCCCAGCTGAATGTAGACGAGATGCCGGCGGTGTACTGCAGGTGTTAGCAAGCGTCTTTGATGTGCTTTTTTTCTTTTCTCTTCTTTTGGCTCCGTCGAACTCACTCGCAGCGTAGCCTCGTAGTCCCGATCGTTGACACGTTCGCGAAGGCGGCCAAGCCCTCCGTCTACGGTGGCTGAAGGTTCAGCGTTCGTCGAGGGTCTCCTATGAGGTGAAGACAACGTACCGGTTATCATGAGGCCCGCCATGGTCAGCAGCAAGACATAGGCAAGCGTGACCGTGACTGTCCTCACGTGTCAGCGTGTTCGCCCCAAGACAAGACAAGACCCGCTGGGTCCAAGGCTTGACGTTAGAACTTAGAACCCACCATCGTCTTTCCCCAGGTTCCCCATCTTCGTGCGAATCCACAGGCGGGCCGCGACCAGCAGCGTCGTCAGCAAGATGGTCGCCGAGGAGGCGGCGAGGACGCCGTGAACCAAATCCTCGGCCATGATTTCGCGGTGGACAGCGTGTGTCTCTCAACCAGGGCGGGTCGACGCGAGACATAGCACAGCCGCAGTTGGGTTGACTTGACACTCGCAGCGGAGGAGGGAGAGCAGGCGAGCGCAGGTGCTCCATTTATAACAGGGAGTTGAGGGTCGGAGTATGGAGAGAATCCAAGCATTCATCACCGACCTGTCCAGCGCCACGCCGCGGAATGGTCTGTGGAAGTGAAGCGCCAATGGAGGCGCCGCCGGGAACAGGGGCAGTGCCTGTCGAGGTGTCAAGGACTCGAACCAACTGGCAACGCTGCCATTTCGCGAAAAATGAAATTGCCAAACGAGCAGGCTCTAGTCTAGTCCGGATGTCGCTCCCCGGGCGCGCTGGCGGGATGCAGCGCGATCAATGGAGACGTCGGATCAGCACCCCAGATTCTCAGCTTTCTCAGCTGGGATTAGGGCCCAATACCATTGGTTGGGCAACTTGGGAATGCGAATCCGGGGGGAAGAGGGAGGGGGGGCTGGACGCTTCCCCCAGATTGGACCCCGGGGGGGAATGGGCCGTCGAGGATGGACCGCAGGGGTCTACCGCCTGAAATGGCACAGAAGAAAGTAGACGATTCGACCAAGGAATGAAAGGGGGGGCGCCAGCATCTCGGGTGCATCACATCACGTTTCTTCAGCTCCGAACCCCTCGCCTTCTCTTCATGTTCCAGGGAGTCTGGACCATTGGGGGGTTGGACACAAGGCTGTAGACACTTGCTGATATCCCAGGATGTTGCGAGAGCCGATACTCGAGACTCGAGAGGCGTAAACGCCTCGCTTGGATGAACGAGCCAGCAGCGTGGCTTACTTATTTGCTTACTTTTGCACTGGTTGCTGTTTCCGGATCGACAGCTCAAGAAGGCTGAAGCTCTGATTTCCTCGAGTAGTCCACGCACGTCTCCATGCAGTCTATGAACACTACGTCTCACTACCCGCGGATTGTGACTACGGGAGAGGAGAGGCAAATCGCAATGCACGAGCCTCGATTGGTCAAACACAGCCAGGTCCAATCGCAAAAGCAACCCTTTTCAGAAAAGAACAGTTCATCATTATATTTCTGAGCCTGGTTTCAAAGACGCACTCGGTCGGCCATATTCATGCAGGGTCCGAGTCAAGCATCTGACGTGACCAGCAGGCAACGTCCGACAGTGTCTCGCAGTCATGATGTCCCATCCCCTGCTGCCTAGAAGGCCATCATTCCCCCTTGATCTTGCTATAGGCCTGCTTGACCTCCTTCCGGCCGGCCATCTCGTCCAGCCATGTCTTAGTGTTAGGATACTTGTCGAGCGACAAGCCGGCAAACGCAAACTGGCGCAGCCACGGCTCAAAGTGGTAGTCGACGGCCGTGACGCGACCAGGCAGCACGCTGCGGCCGCCCGACTTTTTCAGCTGGCCCTCGAGCACGCCGTAGCAGCGATCGGTCTGCTCCGAGTATCTCTTGAGCGCGTCGTCGTTCTTGGTGGCGTTGTAGTGGCTGGTGCCGTCAGCATACATGCGCTCGAGAAATATGATGAGAAAAGAACATGACCTACCGGAACCAGTTGGTCTGCCCCGACATGGGTCCCAGGGTCGTGAGCAGAAAGTACTCCCACTTGTCAAAGTCGACCTTGTCCTGCTCCGACTCGCCGACGGGGCCCAGCTTGTTGGCCTTGTCGTAGACACGGCGGACGTAGTTCATGATGGCGCCCGACTCCCAGGACACGACGCCCGTGTTGGGGTCCTCGAGGGCGGGGACGCGTCCATTCTCGTTGATCTTGAGAAAGGCCCCGCCCTTGACGCCGTTGGTGGGGTCGTCGCCAAACTGCCACTGCTGGACATTGTAGGGCACCTCGAGGGCCTCGAGGGCGATGGCGATCTTGATGGGGTTGGGGCCCGAGGAGTGGGCGTGGAGGACGAGGGGCTGCATGATGGGCGAGGTGATACAACAATGCTAGCTTGCTGATTGGAGTTGAGAGAGTTGAGGGAGTGAGCCAGAGCTCATTCGCCTGGCCAGAGAGTGACAACTATATATTGGAGCTGGGCCCGCAACTCCGTGGCGGAGGGCCGGATTGTTGTCGGCAAGACATGACCTCACCACGTTGGAGACTGGCTCTTTGTGTTCCCCAGATCACCGCACCGTCATTCATGATTTGTTGATGTTTGACCCCGACCCCATTTTAGTGGCTTGGAGTTTGGACCCTCGGGGTAGTCGGGCGTGGCGCTGGTGGTTTGTCTCCAACAGTATGACATGAGTGATTGTCCCTGAGCTCGCCTTCTCTCTCCAAGAATGCCTACATAAGCGGTGCTGAAACAAACAAGGCTATATAGTCCGCATATCTGACGTCTTTTGAACGAGACTCCACGGCCACGTGGTTTCACTTTGTTGACTCTCGAAGAAGCTCTAGGGTAGGTAGGCATCACTCACTGTCCCGACGAGCTGTGTCCTGCAGCCTGGATGAGTCGGGCAGACCTGAAAGATAAACCCCCAAAGATGGTCATGTTCTGTCTGTAACGACAACCGGATGTTCGGGTCTACAAATCTCGTCTGAAGAGATTGAATTGGGAACAGGTACAAGATCCTTTGGCTTTCCGCGGTGGTGGATCCTCCGCGGCAAACGTGGGCCACCAACAAAATCAGATACTATCTCGGTCAACGCTGTCGGTGACCGATAAGGACGAGAGGACTGGAGATGCTGTCTGCCGTACGAGGTCATATCGTATCGCGAGAAACGTATCAAGTTGCCCTGAAGACTCGTCGCACAACATTGTCCGTGTCTCGAATCAAGATAGCCTCTGCTATCTAGGGTAGGCCAGCCGTAGAAAGGCCGTGAAGTGATGTTCATGATTCACAAGATAAGACAGAACGAGCCCTCGACAGATAGCAATTATACACAGATGGAGAATATGCAGGGACCAACAGGGACAGGGAGGTCTTGTCTTATCACACATGTCAAGACTGTCATCCGAGACGACGCTTCGGTGGGCCAAGACTCGAAGGTCAATGACACTTCCGGAATCCCGCCTTCAAGTTTCCCGCGGCGAACTCTCTCCACACCTTCATCACCATCGCAGCCAACACTGACGATTGCGTGATTATGAGGACACCTCGAACCCAAGCGCTGTGGAGCGAGACTAGGAAAAATCGACAAATGCATCCAACCTGAGAGTCACCGTGTGACTGTCCGCGACTCCGCCACCATGAACGGCAGCACCGGCGAACGACCATACAGATCACACCTGCAGCCGGCATGCCTGCCCTGTCGTCGACGCAAGTCGCGATGCCAGACCGAATCCGACGCCACCGCGTGTCTCATGTGTCGAGCCCACGGCACCGACTGCGTCTACCCTGGCGATGCAAAGGTCGACGACCAGAGGGCAGCAGCCCCGGGCAACGTGAAAGCATCCACAACGACACCAGCCAAGCGTCGACGTCGGAGCAGCGCCCTGCCCAGGACGACCATCTCGGCGGCGAGGACTTCACGCGCACACCTGCCGCCTCGCCTGCCCCCGACCACCGTGTCTCCGATCATGGAGCGGACCAGGCTGCCCAACCTGCTGTCACCACTGCCACCCATCACCCACGCCCAGCCCCCAGCAGCAGCAGAAGCAGCTACCACGTCCATCGCAGGGCGAGCGCACCAAAATATGTACGACGAAGACCCGTTTGACTCTTCTGCGGATGACCAGGCCCAGAACCTGCACATTGTCGGCCCGGCCGTGACCAAGGACAGCCAGGTCCTGTCCGACTATCTGTCTGCCATCCCCGGGGCCACCAGGGGGACCCAGATGATCGTCCCCGTACCGGCGAACCGCTCACGGCCCGTCCTCTTCACCCGCGTCCAGAAGAGACCGCTAGGCGTGTCCCTGAATCGTAGTCCGTCCGCCGAGAAATTGGAGATCATCGAGAACCTCGTGGGCGCTGACGCTGCGGACATGATCTCGCTGTGAGTTGAGAGACCCGACTTCCACAAGCACTTTGTGACGTATTTTCCCTTGGCTAACGGAGAGTAGATACTTTGCCAAGGTCAATTCTTGCTTTCCCATTCTGGATGAAGTCCTGTTCAGGCGCCAGTACCAGGCGAACAAGGACCGGATATCACCCGCGCTCATTGCCACCCTGTTCGCCCACATCCTCGTGTACTGGAGGCACGCCAAGCCAGAGGGCCAGCATCGCCTGCCGGATAGCCGTTTCATTTGGAACCTGGCCAACGGTGCGGTGTACTCTGAGCTGCATCTTTCCCCAGGCATGTCCATCATCAAAGCCATTATTCTGAACATTGGCGGCCTCCCCACCACGTCCCTGATCGGCAACGGGGTTCTCCTGGGATCGGCCGTGTCCATGGCACTGTCGCTAGGTCTGAACCACAATCCACTGCCGTGGGAGATTCCGCAGATAGAAAAGTGTCTACGGATGAAGATCTGGTGGGCGCTCCTTGTCCATGACAGATGGTAAGCATCCAAACCGTGGACGAAGAGTGCGCAACCCACTGACCCGCTGGCAGGACAAGTCTTGCGCACGGCACGCCGCCACACATATCCAGAGCACAGTATGATGTGCCGCCGCCCACGCTGGAGTACATTGGCGACTCGGCCGCCTACCTGGGCCAGAACCAAGCTGCCCCCGTCTTCATTGCCCTCGTCAGCCTCACAGACGTCCTCGACAAGCACCTGCAGTACATATACAGCGTCGACAGGTCGACCGTCCGCGACACGACGGAGCTCGAACTGGCCCTCAACACCTGGGTCGAGTCGCTGTCTGGGAGTGTCCGCCTCATCATTCTCCGCGGATCGAATCTCGACACGCCAGGGGCGTCCAACCTCCGTCTAAGCTACCTCACCACGCGACTTCTCCTGCAGAGGATCGAACTAGAAGCGGACAAGCAGACCTACGAAGCCCACGACCAGCGTCTCTCGAACCGCTACATCCAGGCGCGGCGGACGGCAGAGGAGATCTTGCTCTTCACCCATGACCTAAAGCCCCCACAGCTCGGCGACTTTTGGCTCTCGACACATGCCTTCTCATACCCGGCCACGGTCAGTTTCCTGCTGCGCTGCGGTCTGGAGACGGCCAGCTCGCCCGCCAATCTGGTGCAGAGCGCGTCGTTCCGCATCGCCCATGAGCTGCTCAACGCGCTGCGGACGCACCAGGAACAGCATGCCTGGGATCTGGGGGCCGTCTGTCTGGCGCAGCACGCCGACATTGTCGACAAGATCCTCGCGGGCACGTCGTCGGCGCACGAGTCTCACGAGACCAGTGGCTTGTTTGAGCCGCAGGACTTTGTGCTGCCGGACGTGTCGATTATCGACCAGTTTCTGCCTAGTCTTTGGGACCCTCTGCAGAATGCATGGTAGGCAGCTGTTCCTTTTCGTGAGCTATTTGCCTGCGAGCTGGTGGGCATGTCTCGTGACAAGCCACGCAGCACTCTCCCCCGTATCGAGACTTTCCGCGGGAAACTTGTGCATGCACACCGCCAAGCCATGGCTAAGGTGTGGACGCTTGGGACGCCATCTGTGTGATGACGGCCGGGCTGGGAGCCCAGAGATAAGAATGGAGATGGATGGACACGTATAAAGAAGGAACTGGCCAAGTTGCGAATTGGATACGGGCATCATCTACAAATCCATCCCCCTACCCCTTTCCCCCTTTTTCATCTCCCTTCCACCCACACGCAATGGCCCCCAGCGCCATCGAAGGTACCGGCCATGACTCTGTCATTGTGTCTCCCCGCAAGGCCCTTCTGCCCATCCTCGACAAGCACGAAGAGGTCGAGCTGAAGCGCAAGGCAGACAAGCATCTCCTGTACTGCGGCTCCCAATTCCACCCCGATGTCATCACCGCCTGCGAAGGCATCTACCTCCACACCGCATCCGGCCACCGCATCCTCGACTGGACATCCGGCCAAATGTCCTGCCTCCTCGGCCACGGCCACCCGGAGATTGTCGATGTAATCACCAAGCACGCCACGCACCTCGACCACCTCTTCTCCGGCATGCTCTCGCCGCCCGTCATCGCGCTCAGCGAGCGGCTGTGCTCTCACCTGCCCGACGGGCTCGACAAGGCCTTTTTTCTCTCCACCGGCGGCGAGAGCAACGAGGCCGCCATCAAACTCGCCAAGGCCTACACGGGCAAGTTTGAAATCGTCGGTCTCGGCGCCTCGTGGCATGGCATGACTGGCAACGCCATCGGCGCCCAGTACCACTTTGGCCGCAAGGGCCATGGCCCCATGGTGCCGGGCATGCACATGCTCCCCTCGCCCAACGCGTACCGCTCCGTCTTCCGCACGCCGGACGGCGCCTACGACTGGGAGGCGGAGATGGCGTACGGCTGGCGCATGATCGACATGGCCTCGGTCGGCTCCCTCGCCGCTTGCATTGTCGAGTGCATCCAGAGCTCGGGCGGCATGCTCGTCCTGCCCGACGGCTACCTGACCGCCATCAAGCGCGAGTGTGAGAAGCGCGGCATGCTCTTGATTGTCGACGAGGCGCAGACCGGCATCGGTCGCTGCGGCGAGATGGTCTGCGTCAACCACGAGGGCGTCGTCCCGGACATTCTCACCCTGTCCAAGACACTCGGCAACGGTCTGCCCCTCAGCGCCGTGGTCACGAGCGCCGCCGTCGAGACGGTCTGCAAGGCGCGTGACTTCTTTTTCTACACGACCCATCTCAACGACCCCCTCCCCGCCGCCGTGGGCGACAAGGTCCTCGAGATCCTCTTCCGCGACGACCTCATCGCCAAGGCCCGCCGTTCTGGCGCTATTCTTCAGCAGGGTCTGCGCGAGCTCATGCGCCGCTACGGCTGCATCGGTGATGTTCGCGGACGTGGTCTGCTCGCCGGCGTGGAGATTGTGTCGGACAGAGAGGCCAAGACGCCCGCGCTCGACGTGGCCCGGCGGATCGGCGAGCGGGCGTACGAGCTGGGCGTCTGGGCGAACCTGAGCAGCCACCCTAGCTTTGGCGGCGTGTTCCGGATCGCGCCCCCGATCACGGTCACGGAGGACCAGCTGCGGGAGGGACTGGGTATGTTGGAGCAGGCGTTGCGGGAGACTGAGGGGAGCATTCCTCTGTACTAGGGTCTAGGTATGGGTACAGGTGTTGAGAGGGTTGGGGAAAGGGCTGGCGATTGTGGTCAAAGGACGGTAATGAATGAAGCTATGAATGAGGCCGTAATATGTCTGCGTACAAAACTCATGTCTCTAACTCCGAGCGCCAAACGAAACATGCCCCCTAATTAGCCTCGACGCCTTGTCCCGAGATTTGCCAGCGCCGTCAGCGTTCCTGCACCATCGGGTGTGTGATCTGCGTATCGAGTCCCATGATGCTACCGCGGCACGATCATGTAAAGGTGTGTCCTACATTGCTGCTTTGATGATGCTCTGACGTGCAGTCATGCTTGGTGTTCTCGTGGCAGCAGCTTATCGACTCGTGGCTGTGGCCCTGCCATCGATGGTGTCCCATGTCCAGGCCAGCAGTCCTGGCGCGAAGGACGAGCCCTGACATGTTGAGATGTGACCGTTTGTTTGCCTCTAAGGACAGATGCTGCGTTGCTGACCCGGTCAATTCACCCCCTTCACACCTCAGCTGGCCTTGACCTTGCGCGCCGGAGCAGCCCCATAGCCAAGCCTCTTGGCGATACCCTGCACAAAGACGCCGAGCACCATGAGGACCTCGAGGCCCAAGAGGCCAACCCAGACCGCGTTGAGGATCTTCTCTTCGTTGCCCAGGTGGAGGCTCCGCATCTTCTCCAGGAGGAGGGGGTACGTGTTATGCATGGCGAGGAAGGCTTCCAGGACGTAGAGTGTGTACCAGTACGGTCTGGCGCGGTCGGTTCGTCAGTCACGCAAAGCAGCGCAGAAAAGGAAGGGGAAACCCACCTTGTCTCGTCCGTCAGAAGCGTCCAGCGGAAAGGTTGCGGACTGGCCGTCTGCGAGAGCTGGAGGGAGAGCAGCAAGCCAACGGCAACAAAGGCACCGAGAAGAAGCAGTCGCTGCTCAGTTGTCGGGTCGTGGGCGAGCAGGGCGAGTAGGGCGTCCATGGCTTCTTACTTTAGTATGAAAATGTCTCCTCACAGACGTGCGGTGTGGCAATGACGGAGAAACTAAGCGCTGGATTATTTTTCTCCCTCTCTCTGCATCTCACTCACCGCGTGCCGCAGCAAGATGCAGACGTGGCATGAACCAGGGGTTCATAACTGGGTCTCGAACAAATCCTTGCAATGCGCTTCTCCGCTTTTCGACATGTCCGTTTCGTCAATCGTGCGGACGCCTTTCTCGTTGCGGATGGAGGGTCTCCGGAGTCTGGGGTAGCTTCATGCGTGACGATGTCAGAGGACAGACATGTCTCAGCCTTGAGTCGGCATTGTCGTGCAATATGACACGGTGTCCATTATGGTACGTCTTCAGTCCATCCGCATGATAACGAGGCGCTGTGAAGTCGTGAGCAGGGGCCCGGCATTGGCGCGCAGACATTGCACTGTCACTCCACAATCGTGCGTTGGGCCAAGTTGGGTTTCGCTTGACCAGAGTCGCGGTCAGAGTCTAGAGAGCCTTGCTCGAGTAAAAGGTGATTAGTGGTGCCGGCTGGGCGGCCTCTTCTCTATCCGCAAATTGAAACGACTGTGTAGTACGCTCCTTGGCTGGTCATCCCCAACCACCCATAAACGCCTGCCGTGAGAAATCCATATCCGACGCCAAAACAGCAAGAAAGGGAATCCCAACCCCCACCTGCTTCTCGTTTATCAACAACCCCGTGACCCCCTCACCGCGGGTTGGCCCTGGCATTGCCTACGCCAGCACTAGAGGCGCTCTCCCCGACCCTGACCTCATCCTCCGGCACGCCAACGCCAACGCTCGTGACACTGTGCAGCGTATTGTTCCTACCCCGGTCGCGCGGCCCCGCGACGTTGGCGGTGCCGCCGCCCGGATCCACGCCCACACTCAGGCTCCTCGTCGTGCTCGCGCTACCACTCCTCGTGTGACCAGCGCCCCGCTCGGCCCGCGCCCTCTCCTGCAGCGTCCTCTCCAGCTCCCTAATCTTCCGCTTGAGTTTCTCATTCTCCCTCTTGGTAGACTCGAGCTCATTCTTGTGATACTGCGTCTCCTCGTAGCGTGCCGTCGCTGGCACTATGCCCGGGCTCAGCTGTGATTCACTCGCTGTCATGGGTGTGGCGCTCCCTCCTGTCATGGGAATAGCGGACGGCGGCGGCATGCGTTGCTGCTGGAAGTAGCTGGAGGGGTCGAGGCTGCTGCTCATAGGCGGCGCAGGCGACGGGCCACGGCTCCGTCGAGAGGCGTTGCTGTCTTGCCTCGCCATGGCCATGGCATTTCGACCGTTGTAGGACGAGGAGAGCTGCTGCGATGCAGAGGAGGACGTTCGTCGGTGTCGTCGCGTAGTGGGAATTGTGAACCCCGAGCTAGTCAACAGGGAAGGCTCGGCTGGTTGGTCGTGCGTCGAGGCGGCATTGGAAGTAGATGAGTGGTTCGACGCTACGGATGCGTTCTGGGCAGCACGTAGCAGGGACAGCTCACGCGTGAGGCGGTTGACCTACACGTCGTACGTTAATATCTGGCGGCGAGCGTGAGTAGCATCGACGGCATGTCCACGTACCACCGCCTCTTGCTCCTTCTCCAACTCTATATGGAGCTCAGCAGCCGTGAGTGGGCGAGGATGGCGAAGGGGTCCAGGCCCAGCTTCGGCGTCGTAGGGCGCCCAGGGATGCGCGTGCGCAGTTGTTGACGAAGAGACGTTCATCGCGCTCTGGTTCGAAGGCAGGATGTTGAGTGTGGGCGACGCTGGCACGGACGGTGTTTGGACCTGGGGCGCTGGAGACTGGCGATCAGGCCTCGGGGAGGCCGGTACCGTGTTGAGATCCGGCATCTCGAGGTTCTTGGGCGTGGGAGACCCAAAGGGAAGAGATTCGGGGATGGGCGGTGATCGAACGCGGCAGCAATGTGCTGTTGTTCACATGGGAACATGGACGGGTCCAGGAAGTCAGCCGAAGCCTGAAGGTGACCGGAGTCACTGGACCCTTCTCCACTGCTCCAGCTCCAACGGCAGTGACTGTGCGGTGCGGTGCGGTTACTGCGGTACGTACGGAGTACACCCCCAGCAACTCGCTAAATTGAACTCCGACGGGTCCACTTCTGCTGTATGACAGCCTTAGTACTGCGTACTTAGTGCGGAGTACAAGACTACAAGTACAGCTTGGGAACGGCTTGGTGTAGTCAGTTTTCTAGAGTGAGCGATGTTTCGCTCCATCTCAATCATGGGAAATTCAAGCATCCGTACAGATCATGCTTTGTGGCCTCGTTCAATGTTGTACCGGGTGCCAGGCACCACTCGTCTCGCGACCTCCTTGTGGACTACCCGGGACGCTTTCATCTTCGATACATCCAGCGTCCATGTATTCTTGGCGAGGCATGAGAAAGAAACGTGGCAGCAGAAACTACACTGGAATTTTCGGTGAAAATGTAAGTCTTTGAAGTCGATCACGAAAACACCAGAAATACAAACATTCATCCAAGTACACCACTCTTACTTGGATTTCAGCGCTTTCAGGTGTTAGGCCTCGTCTGTGTATGGACACAGTCTGCAAAAGGAGGTCCCCTATATTCAATATTGAATAGGTTTATAGCAACTCCCATACCTTTCTGGTACATTGAAAGGTAATCGCCGCTTTCGGTTAGGATGCGGATCAAGCACGTCGGTTCCATCATCCATGCGGCGGACAGGTTTTTTTTATGCGGTGAAGATAAACAGAGAACTGCCCAGGCAGTTGAAATGACCGATGTAGTACATCTTATCAACCACTCGGCCAGCAATATTCTACTAGACGTTTGTGAGGTTTTCGTAAATCATCCAAAGATAAAGCCATCGAGTAGAACCAAAATAATATGCATGGGCATCATGCCATGCATCGCGTACATGTAGTCGAGGCGGCCCCCTGTGACCTCAAGCGCCCATATAGCAACAACCTGATCACTAGATCTCCAGCTGGACAGTTCACTTGCTATCATCAAATTCGCTTGTTTCCACGGCGACTTCGTGCCGCTAGAGTTGGTTCAACCCGCCGCATGCGAATTAATTCGTTCAAACGACAGCGTTGCCATCCGGAGTGGAAACTTGATAGATCCGAGCACGAACCAACTTCCATAGGCCTCGCAGCCACGTCGGTCCGATGATCGTGACTCAATACTTGCTGCATCAGGAAGGTCTGTCTGTATGTATATATTCAGTCCACCGTGCGGAAACTATCGTGACTCCATACCCACCTACCTGGAACTGAGTTGTTGTCTCTTTTCTCACAGCTATCCCCGTTCATGCAGGGACAGCATGGTGTTTGCTTCCTCTTGGTGGATCCTGCAAGCTTAAATGCCTTCTTTTTCACTTCTCAAACGTTTAATTCTAGTTCATTGGTCGTCCGCTCACGTGCAGGCTTCGTTTCGACCCCCGTTCGAAGGCATCGTGTAACGTGATCTCCAATCGACCACCTTTCGGGACTCAAGCTGTCCCCGCGCCGCCACCCGCTCCAAAACGACGAGAGATCATCTCTCTGTCTTGGGGCAATCTCACATTGCCAAGCACGCTGCGCCCTCTTCTAAGGACTATGTTTGTACATGCAACGTCACGAGTGTCTGCCCATCTCTCACCGGTCGCCACGTATCCAACGTCGATATCAAGAAGGGGTCATCTTTTGATGTTGATTTTCAAATCCTCTTGGTTTCGCTCTCCTCTATAAAATTAAATTCATATATGAAGCATCATTTTCACCCTACTTTGCCAGCTTCCTCCTACTCACCATGACGGGCGAAACATCTAAACCAGAACCCACCAACAGTCCAAGCAATTTGAGCGACGACAGAGCTGCTCTACTTGCGCACATGAATCAATTTGAAGAATATGTTGCATCGCTGGCGACTCAATGGGATGGGCTCGTCACACATCTGACGCACGGGAAAACCATACCAGAAGCCATACAAGACGCCAAAGCCGGTCGTGACGGAGGGGAGGATACTGAGATAGCCCTCCGCAGGATGGCGCTGCTAGAAAAGATGCGGTCAGTACTATTAAAACGTTCCGATTGAAAGCTCCTCGGTTCGTCCGCTGACAGTGGTGATCGTAGGAGAATGCAGGAGGAGACGCGGCGCTTTGCAGCAGCCATGCAAGAAATTCGGAGCAGCGCTGAACCGGCGGTGAAGACGGAAGCAGATACACGCAGCACATGATGAACAAATTCGACTATGCTGCCGAGATTTTTGAAAGGATCAAAGACATGCATGTGGCTTCGGCGCCGCCCAGCGGGTAGGAGATGGAATCGTCTTTTGGAGATGCATGATGATGATGAGATACCGCAATTGGCGAGTACGTGAAATTACCTTGGCCTCCAGCAGCCGATCTTGACTCGCTGCATCCATGAGACGACTTATACCAAGACTTGTTTGGCTCTTTGCTAGCTTAGCGTTGTTTCCTCACTTCTCTTCCCGCCCAGGTCCTTGTTTTCTCATCCCTAGATCAGGGCAAGCTTCCTCACCGGTGTGGAGTTTATTTGGTTTTCCGCGAAGGAAGATCTGTGGAGTGTCTGCAATCTAGGTGTGGTATTCCATGGGGCTTCCAGCATTCCTCACCGCCTCGACGGCGTTGATGCGGAAGTTGATGGGGACCTTTGTGAGGAAACGTCCACATCCGGCTGTAGCACCGTACGTGCTCTCTCGACAAAGTCGCAATGCTGGTGAGCAGAATGTGGCCATTTGTGATTTAGTATCATGTATGAACAGCCATGAAACCCTTTCTGTAGTCCTGTGCAGTCTTTAGGTCTTGCAATGCTTACAGCCTTACTGGCTAATGGCTATGCTTGACACTGGCTCCATCCATATCGATCAAGCAATCCCCTGCTACGACTCAACGCCAAGCGATTGGCAAACACATTCACAAGCAATATGCACTCAAGGCAGCGACACTCAAATTTGTCTGCAGGGTCATCTGCCAATGTGCGTCCAACAGTCCACGGTCAGTTTTCGAATGCCTTCCTCCCCCCTCAGCCGCCTGGTGTGACCACATAGTTGCGCGGCCGAATAGACAAATGTCAACTCTTCGCGGGGCACGAGGTAGGAATGCTGACTGATTTCCCAGACCTCTGTCGCGAACGCAGCTTGTGAGGTTTCAGGTTTGTCCTCCCGCACCATCATCACCACTGCCACAAGTCAGCACAGGTCGACCCAGATGCTGGCGGCTAGGCGTGACCTGACTCGTGCTGCATGCAAAAGGCATTGTATATCATGCCACCTGCCTCGAGCGGGACACCAGAAGCTGCGTGGAATACCTCCCAGGAGAGTCAAGGGAAACGTGGATAGAATCAAACTGATGGAATCAGTAGCTCTGGTGACGTTTGCCATTGGCCCAATCATTCACTCGTCACTACTACGGCGAGGTCGATCTACCACATGTCTCGTTTGAACGAACAATAAAAAATAATCGAGGAACACCTGCTCCCACGTTTACCCTGGTCCTATTTCAATTTGGCTTCGCCAAGATCAGGATTGGGTTCTCCAAGATGACATCCAGGGTCCACCCCCCTCGTGCATCGCCATCGGCACTCGTCCAAGAAACATCGAATTAGGCAGTTTTTTCAAACAGAAAACAGGTAGAAAATCCACGCTCAATCATCAAACGAGAACGCCCCTCATCTCGCCAATCAACCATCCCCTCAGCTAGGTAGAAAACCCGCACTCCCATCGCGATCACAGACAATGATGTAATCCTGACCTATGACTTCATCCACTACCTATCCTCTGTCCAACCCCCCGACGTCGTTCTTAAACGCACATTATAGACGCGAGTCTGTTCCCTCTTCTTCAAACAACCCCAAAACCATACACCACTACACCAAACCACCTTTCCACACAACACCGCCCAACATGCCCGAAGGTCGCCAGTCCCCTCCTCCCCAGGCCCAGTCCGGCAAGCAGCAGCAGGCTCCCCCCGGCACAGGCCAGGGCACCGACAACGCCCAGGGCAAGGACCAGACCAACAAGGAGCAGCTCGAGGTGAGAAGTCTCGCCAAGCCCAATCTGATTGGACCCAGACTAACAATGGACAGAACCTCTCGTCAAACCCCAAGGGTCCCATGGAGGATGCTCTGAAGGACAAGACCAAGTAGAACGGTCGCGCACGGATAATGTCACGATATAATGTCTGTCACGGCAGGGTCGCAGCCAGGAGGAAAGCTGCCATTAATACAACACTTGACACCATGCTACTTGACCCTGTGCTATAATCTCCTTCCCGGACGAAAACAAACGCTCAGCAGTCATGTTCCTGATATTTGTGACGGTTACAGACAGGTCAGGTTGCGTAGTGGTGCAATTTTATCCAAAGGTCAGCGAAAGCTCACAAGTATGCTCAATGTTTTTGAGATTTCTCAAATTAGGTCTACGGATAGTAAAACACTGTTCTGATCGAAAATCGCGTGGCGGTCATAGGTCGTGAGCAAACGTCATTTTCTCCCATCCTTCAACTCCTGAATACCTTCTCATATTTTCCAGCCTACTTGTCCAGCGACTGGGACTTGACACCAGGGACAGGGTCTGAGGGGGCAGGGTTGGACGGCGTCATGAGGCCGACGCGGTCGCCGGCGTCGATGCTGGCCTCAGCGGCTGCTGCCGTCTCGAAAGGTTGCTTCTCACCTGCCGCGGATTGGGGCGGCGGGTTTTGCGTACCAGAACCTTGACCAAACATCTTCTCGAGTCCAGAAGCTTTGTATGCACTGCCGCCATGCTCCTCCTTCTTCAGCTCAGCCAGGCGTCGGGCCTCGGCATGCACCTCCTGAACCTGTTTCTGGCCCTGGGTGTAGAACTGAACAATCTTTTGGCCGGTCGGGGTGTTAGCGGCCTTCTCAAAGTACGAGCTGATTCCGGTCAGGAGCGAGTTTGTACGCTCGCTGAGGCCATAGCTCTGGTCGGTGGCCTTGGCGCGGTCGCTGGCATGGTACTTGGAGTCCAAGCCCTGGAGAGTGTTCAAGAAGCGCGAGGATACGCCATGTGTAGAGTCGAGCTCGATCGCACGCTGGATGGCGGCATCGCCAACAACGTAGCCTTGGGACAGATACTCGGCCAGGATGCGGGCGCGAGGCTTCTCCTCCTGAGTGATCTCGTCTGTGTCGCGGTCGGCGTTCTTGGTGAAGTGCGAGCCGTCGTCCGTGTTGTCGCCCGAGGTGCTGGTGACGGAGATTTGGTTGGCACCAAGCTGGGTGTTGTTCAGGAGAAGGGCAGTCTTCGAGGCGGTCTCCTTCTCAAAGGTGACGTCGGCAGTCTTGGTTTCGCCCTCTTGGACGACCTTGATGTCGGCGATCTTACCGCAGAAGCTGAAGAAGTCCTTGATCTCACTGTCACTGGTGGCAGGAGCAATATTGGTAACGTGGACTGTAGCGTTGGCCATTGCGATGGTTTTGTAGGATAACACGGTGATGAAGCTTGGGGTTGTACGTGAATGATGTTGTTGTTCTGTGGATTTGGATATGACAGAATGATAACAAGGGTAAGATTGAATCAGGGAGAACCGCGACTACCTGTACTTATGTGAATGACGACGACATCAGCTAATTAGAAAGAATCACTTGACGATGGCAACTGCCTAGCGAGAAGGAGGGAGCTTGTGCGGGGCAGGCGCGACGTCATCGCGTGTGTTGTTGCCAGAGTTGTGGCGGTGCTAGCTCGCTCTCCAGTGGCTTAGCCACCTTGTGCCCCGGTAGGCCGGTACAGAAGCTCCGGGCCAAATTGGGTGACGAGGAGAGTCTCTCTCCAACATGTGACGAATCTTGTTGAAAAGGGAAGGGAAAAAAAAGGGGGAAAAAAGGCCCTGGCTGTTTGACATGTGAACATTTCCAAAGTCTCTGGGGCTGTTCAGTGTTTTTAGCCTTGGTTTTCGATCGAATGGGGACCCCTTGGGCCTCGACGCCACTTGTTTACAAACCATGTGATTTTCAGGGTCTCCCCCTTGGCATGTCAGTGGTTGGGCGAGGGTTGACATTCAGGAAAGCACACCATCGAACCCAAACATCAACACTTTGCTTTCTCCGCGGGGGACCAGGCTTCAATTTACCTGCTTACTTTATTATTAAATAGACTTAATTTAAACTATCAAGTTATTTTAATCAGTCTTAGCCTTTAGTATATCTAATAATTAAAACAGGAAATAATCAGCGATCGCATGCATTGCGTCGAGAAGCCAATGGTTCATCGAGGATGTTGTATACTGTTGCGTATATACGCAACATATACACGAGACTGGAGTAGAAATTTGGCTGCCCTAGGGAAGAACCTGGTATGCGCGGTACATAAGTGCACTAATATTTGAAAGCTCACATTTCCCAGCCAGAGGTGTCGTGCATGACGACATGGTGATACAGACGAGAATTTGGAGGCCAGGGCGGGAGAGGAAGACACAGGCCGGCTTAACCAATCCCCTTCAGCTTCACCAAGATGAATAATGAAGCCAATCAGGCAGTTGTAAGCGATATGATGATAGGACGGCTGTTTGCTAGTTTAGGGGAAACATCTTTCGTCTAGTTGTATGAACCCAAGGCTCGGTCAATCTCTAATTACACCAGTCAATTAACCTTATAAATGGAGACATGGTTAGAGAAATGCCTCCGGATTGTGCGGATCGTGCTGTCAAGTGCAGAGCACCTCAAAACCGCCGATAATACAAGAAAGTAGGAATTAGGGCAATAGTTGATTTGAGTCTCCTGTCTTTGATGTATGAACTGGCCCCTTTGATCGAAATCGCTGAAGATGTGAGCGAGGAATAGAAAGTCTATCCAGGGGATAGCCAGAAGCAGAAGGAAGTCCAAGGATGCTCCTAGAAGCTTCGGAGATCAGGCTGTAAGGACTATCTATACTCTCCAAACCGGATCTCAGACCTAAATCGTTTTGACCTAGCAAGGCCGTTCCTCCTGCCAGCGAACACGGAGGATGTAAAGCCCCGGCCCACCCTAGCCGGTCAACGTCTCAAAATACTTCAAGCACTCTCTCACCTATCAAAGACGTGGAATTACATGCGAGCAGCGGTGGAAGAGCATCTTCCCACGCCAGTGACATGTCATGGATCCTTCCTTTTGCACCTGCCGACCCTCCCGCGCCTAGCTTCGAGGATTCGACTCCGTAGTATAGACTTCCGTCAAGGTGCCACTATAATAACAACCTAGTAGGGCACCCAAAGACATCTGGTTGCGGTGCACTGCACTGATGCCTGGTTCTAATGCTTTCCCAGGGTGGTGACCGCTTCAATAAGACCATCTGCTGTATGATTATGTCTTTTGCGGCTGTGACTCTGTTGTGAATTTTGACTTAGGCATGGGGTTAGGGACAGTGCAGATGGACTACGTGCTTCTTGCTTCTGAATGGATGAGATGCCTGAAGGTACAGGGTGCATGCGTCTCGTCACTGTCGTTCGTAGCTGCCAAAAGCGGCGGGGCTTGCTGCCAGAGTTGAGGCCCGCACAGCACTTCCCGACTTTTGGTGGAATAAAAATAGTACTTCCATTACTGGGTAGCTAATGTGGGAGGGTTCTTTGTTCCTCGGTTTCTATTTGGTCTGGCCGGCGGTAGTCCCTCCCCGTGAGATCCAGACTCAGAGAACCACGGGCCCTGGAGCTGTCAAACGGATGCTCTCCTTCTCCCACTGCTGCCTGGGCAGACAAAAGCAAAGCTTCGCCCCGGCACCCCCAGCATTCCGCGCTGATCCTAGACATGACAGTGTCCTTTTGGGGGCTCCTTACGACAGCCAAAGGAATACTGATGACTGGACCAACGGGGCCCGTACTCTTGGTTGTGCAGGTAGGGCCGAGGCCAATGTCTTCAGAGGAGTAGCGCCAGGTCGGGGTATATGCTTCGATGAGCTGGACGTCCCATCTCTTCTCATGAACGAAGTCTTGCGACGCCCTGGCATATAGCAATCTGCGCTTTCACGAAGCAACGGTCAATGGCATAATCTGGCCAATAAAACGACAAAACTTCGATTTTCCTTTTGGCCCAAATCATGCCTGGTAGTTACGTGTACGTAATTATTGCGCAGTTTAGCAGGCGCAAATCATAAGCAGATCGCATCCTGGAACAAAGCCCCGCTTTTTTAAAAGCAGGAACAGACGGTGGCAGCCTTATTATCCAGCATGCAGGCAGCATGCCAGCGAAGATCAAAACCCCGGAGTTTTCTGTCCTAGTGGTGAGCAGTCGGCCATGTTCTTAGGCGACGCTGACGTGATGATGGCCTTCACTGCCTACGAGGATGACCAATTTCTTTGTTGTTGTTGTTGTTGTTGTTGATGTTGTTGATGTTGTTGATGTTCCGACTGATTACACTGTGACGTCTCTGTGACAGACCCAATTGCCCATTAGAACTACCTTCAGCTCCTATGGACCGAAGTCCTGTCCACGTCCTCTTCCGTATAAATACTAGGAGATGTAGGCGCGACGCCAACAAAACAAAGTTGCGCCATCACACCGTGGCCATGTCGAGCGTTACCCATCTGCGCGGGCACCTATGGAAGGTGCCACCCCGAGTGCCTTCCGGCATAAGATTATTTTCGACCACGCTCCGGCGCGTAAATCATACCAAGCAGATACCTGCGGCAGGACAATTGCGAGCAGCCTCCCAGCCAATGAGTATATCGGCCTCTAGGCAAGGCGGAAACCCCGAGCCTAATACCGAGGGACTATCGAGAGAAGCACCAATCGGCGGCAAGCGATTCGCAGACTTGGAACTCGTTGGGCATGTATTCATAGTGACGGGCGGAGCACGAGGGCTTGGTCTAGCCTTAGCCGAAGCACTCGTCGAAGCAGGCGCAAAAGGTGAAGAAATACAAAGTTCTTTACGAAGCTGAACACAATCTATTGACAGAAATTAGTCTACTGTTTCGACAAGGCTGCGAGTCCAGATCAAAAATGGAACGAAGCCTTGGAGCGAGTGGTCCCGGAATGGGGCGGCCACCTGGAATATCGTCAAGTCGATGTGCAGGACACACCGGCGCTTGAAAGACTAATCGGCGCAATCGCCGAGGAAAATGGTCGTCTCGACGGAGCTGTCGCAGCTGCAGGGATTCAGCAGATTAAGCCTGCGTGCGAATACACTCCGGAACAAGCCGACAAGATACTCAAGGTCAACTACACTGCAGTACTTATGACGGCATCGATCACGGCACGCAAGATGATGGAATACAAGTGCCACGGGAGTATCTGCCTCGTTGCTAGCATGTCTGGCTCCGTTGCTAATAAGGGTCTAATATCGCCCGTATACAATTCATCCAAGGCTGCCGTCATTCAACTCGCGCGCAATTTGGCCATGGAATGGAGTCCCCTAAAGGAAGATGGAACTGGAGGTATTCGAGTCAACAGTCTGAGTCCGGGACATATTCTGACGCCCATGGTGCTTAAGAATCTCGAGGAGGTCCCGGGGCTGAAAGAGAAATGGGCTAGGGAGAACATGATGGGGCGCCTGGCAACGACAAGCGAGTTCAAAGGCGCCGGTTTGTTCCTTTTGAGCAAAGCGAGCAGTTTCATGACAGGATCGAATCTTGTCGTGGATGGAGGCCATACGGCTTGGTAGCATGTACTCTGGACCCATTACCTAGTGAAGTGACAGTGAAGGACAGTTTAGTGTCAGACATGTAGCTAGCATGAGTGTCATAAAGGTCACAAAGGCTCTACGCAGTATATGGTCACTTTTTCTAGGGATGATTGCAGAGACGGCGTCTTCGGAAGTCACCGGCGTCTGCTGATTCAATTATTCATTGTATAAGAGTCTTGTTTTTGACGCGGTCTGGTCGCAAACTAGCCCATCTGATTCTTGAGTTTTGTCTGTCGACCACCGGCTACGTGACTATTCTTTTGCACCATCGTGAATTGATTAGGTGCCCCGTTAAGGTGGGAGAGGTCTACTGCTACCTGCTTGCATATCTGGGCTGATGGTGTTTGCCCGCTTCTGGCGGTGTGCGTCTCCTCTAGCACGCGGATGTGGAAGACGCGTCGGTCCAAAAGCTCCCCTGTGGGATCACAGCTCATGTTCAACGGCTTGAGAAGCGGCTTGTCATACAAACGTGATGGGTCAAGCTAGACACCGAACCCAGGCTCAAGTGTACGACCTGCCATCGTGAGGGTACATTCATGGAAGGCTACACGGTAGATACCTCTTTAAATTGACGTCTGAGTATCTGTGCACACCCGCAGTGGTCTATTGCCAGACCTGCTTTCACTACGCATTTCTTCAACTTGTGACCTGCTCACCAGTGCACACAGATAAACACTACCCTCACCATACCAAACATGCATTCCACACAGCCTGACACACAGCGACAACATCAACACACCTAATCACGCGCACGGTTCATCATCACACCAGTCGGGTCCTTGGTCTCCGTGTCGCCCCACTGTGCATCCCAGCCGTTGTCCGCCAGGTACACCTTCCATGCGGCGTCGTCATCGTCAAGGTTGCGAGAGACATCGGGAATCACAAAGAAGGCCACAAGCGCGCCGAGGACGGCAAAGGCCGAGCCAACCAGGAACGCGACCTGGTCGCCCTTTTCAGGGTTCGAGGCGTAGTTGTTGAGCAGGGCGGTGAAGACCTGGGTGCCAATGGCCGCACCAGCTTTGGAGCAGGCTGAGATGAAGCCCATCATCTGGCCACGAATGGAGGTCGGGAAACACTCAGAGGCCGTGAGCACCACAGTACTGAGGGCAGTCAGTATGAGCGATTCAATGTTCTGTCAAGAGCAGCAAGGCTTACCTTCCAGGGCCAACCTCACCGAGCGTCAAAAAGATGCCATACAGCACGATGAACAGGGGGAAGATGGACTGGATCTGCTTCATGGCACCACCGAGCACGAAACCAAGGACGGCCTGCATCATGAACCCAAGGGCCATGGTCTTGCGACGACCAATCCTGTCAGACAGCACACCACCAATAAAGGGACCCGGCAGGTAGAAGCAGTTGATCAGGCAGCCCCACCCGAGGTTCTTGACGAGGCTGTTGCCGGCGTTGGAGCGGGCGATGATGGTGGAGCTGAAGATGCCAAAAGGGATGGAGATCCAGTTGTAGAGGAACCAGCACGAGGCGACACCAATCAGCGGACGATAGTAGCGCTTCACGGCGAGCAGGTAGGGCACCTTTTGCTTGCGCATGGACGACTTGCGGTAGGCGGTGGCCACGGCCATGCGGATGCGGAACCAGAAGATGCCGAGCGGAGGGATGGCACCGAGGGCAAAGGCGGTGCGCCAGACGATCTCGTACTTGCCCTCCTCGCGATTCACGCACAAGAGCAGCAGCAGGGGGACGAGGGCGGCCCAGACGTAGCCCAGCGAGGCGGACAGGGTGGCGAGCATGGCGAACATGAAGCCGCGGTGCTTGCGGTAGGCGCCGGACTCGTCGGTGGCCTCGGCCGCACCGGCGCCCGAGACGGGGTACTCGCCTCCCGCGCCAACGCCGGCGATGCCACGGGCCACGACGAGCATCCAGATGAGGCCCTGGGGGGAGGTTCCGTTGGCGGCGGCAGAGAGGGCGATACCGAGAACGAGGAGGACGGTGGTGGCGATGGCCCCCGTCTTGCGGCCGAGCTGGTCGACGATAACGCCGAAGAAGAGCATGCCGATGATCATGCCGATGAGGAAGGAGTTGCTGAGGCGCGAGGACATGTCACTCGTGAGGGCGTCGGGGTAGAGGACCTTGAGCATGAGCTGCAGGTTGCCAATGACGGCGGCATTGCTGTTGGGAAATGTGTGAGCACAAGAAAAGGGAAGACATCGGCGCTGCTCACTATCCATCACTTCCAATGGCCAGGCCTGAGAATAGGACCATGAGCCAGACGGAGAGTTTGCTGTAGCTGCCCTTTTCGGGCTCGTCGATGCTGCCCGTCTCGACGTTGGCCTCGTCCTTGTCGGACGCGGGCTTCCTGACGTCTACCGGTCCATGGGGGGCCGTGGCCTGGATCTCGGGTTCGGTCGTGGCGCTCATCTTGATTTGTTCACTCGGTGCATTCACTCAGGCACGCACTATCCGCTTCACTTTCAACAAGCGTCTCATGCACGGAGGGATCAGCGAGACAACACCAAACAAAGGCTCTCCAGGTAGTGGTGAGGATTCAGGACGGTCGTACGTTCAACCAGTGTCGGAGGCAGCGTTGTCCGGGTCGCTCGCCTCTTATGAGGTGGACTATCAGTCTACCTTACCTGCCCGCTCGAACAGGGGCCCCAACCGATGCGTCGGGTCACCTTCATGGGCCTCACCCACAGAATCGAAGCCTGACCCTAGATAGCGTCTGACAGATAGGACTGGTATCCGCAGGACTGCACCTATCGCGAGCTTCGCAATCCTTCAACACGCGCGTGTTTGTTCAAGCGAGGCTTGGCCATGTGGCAACAATATCCGCCCGGTGTGCAATAGCGTCACTGGCATGCCCCAGTGATCGGGTTCACATCTGTACTCCGAATGGACAAAGAAAAGTCAGTGCAAGGGTATGAACATTGTTGCGCGGTTTTGCTGGCTACTGTTCCTTGATCCTTAGCCCCCTGGTTCTCCAAGCGGGTCGGCACCTCGCCGTGTTATCAACCCAGGAATTGCCTCTTTGGGACAAACTCAACGGCGTGCGCTTTACCGACAGGAGTGGGCGGTCTGCCGACTACCGTCGGAAACTTGGATAACCGACGCACGGAAGATGACCGATGGGACGGAGCCGACGGGGGGGGGACATTTGCGACTTAGCCCAAGGGCTCGTTGCGAAAACGGTACGCCAGCCGACTTCGGCCGTTGTTTTGCGATACGGCTCACGAACGGTTACGTGAGCACGGTGTGATTGACGTCCGTCCATGTAACGTACCTTCTCAAGGCTCCGTCCGGACTCCGGCATGCAATCTCCACGCTACCGGGTACGCTGAATGATGCAGATCCAGTGAGCGCCGCACCATCCTTCTCGCTATTTGGTCTTGAACCGTGCGACAATGTCGTTCGTGACGGCCATCATAGATCTTGGAATGCATGACGATGCGATCACTTCCAATTGACCCGGTCTATATACCCCGAGAGCGTGCAGCCCGACTTCACCCACCCATTTGCAATTCAGCCGCCGTGCGGGGTGTTCTAACACTCGTGGAGTGGCAGCATCATGGTGAACATTGCGCGTATATATTGCTGGTGTCTGCAGTTGTTCAGTGCTGGTACAAAGTGTTGAAATCAACATGTCATCTGTGAAGAACTCACTGCAGACCCCAGCATCATGACCATCAAAGTGGGCGTCGTGGGCTACGGCAACGCCGCCAAGTCGTTCCACATCCCCTTTGTCCAAGCGGTGCCGGCCTACACCATCACCGCCGTCCTCCAGCGCGCCGAAGCCCCCGTCGAGAAGACGCCCGGATCCCACTGCACGGTCGACCTGCCCGGTGTGCGGCACCACCGCACGGCAGAGGCGTTCCTTGCCGACAGGGGCATTGACCTGGTGGTCGTCGCAACGCGGAACGACACGCACATTGAGTTTGCGGAGAAGGCGCTCCTGGCCGGGAAACATGGTGAGGACATGGCTCGACCTATCTTGTTGTTGTGTGGTGCTGACGTTGAGGGGAAGCCATTGTCGACAAGCCCTTTGCACAGTCGTCTGCCGACGCTGACAGGGTGATCAGGTTGGCGGATGACAAGGGTCTCATCCTGACGGTCTTTCAGAACCGCCGATGGGTGAGCAGCTATTTTGTTTCGTCTCCAAGGTGCTTCCTTGCCAAGGCAACGCTGTCGCTGACTTGCGGTAGGACAGTGACGTTAGGACGCTGCAGTCTCTGCTCGCCAAGAATGCCCTGGGCAAGATCATGGAGGCGGAGCTTCACTATGACTTTGAAGCGGCACCGTGGCTCAAGCACATGACGGCAAAGGAGTACACGCCCGGCGCCGGGCACGCATTCGGTCTGGGCACGCACAGCATTGACCAGGCATACGTCCTCTTTGGGCGGCCCAAGTCTGTGACGGCCTTTTTCCGCAGTCAGCGGGGGATCGACAGCGAGGTGGAGGACAGCTTCACAATCATCCTGCAGTATGCGGACGAGAAGCTGGTGACGGTCAAGACGTGCGTCGTCTCGTGCATGGAGCGGCAGCTGAAGCAGCTCATCCGGGGCACGGAGGGATCGTGGATCAAGGTGCGTGTGGTCCCTCGAGGCCTGCCGCCTGAGATTGGTGTCGCTGACAGAAACAGTGGCAGCAACGAAGCACATGCACGCAGGAAGAGCAGATTGCACAGGGCGTCAAGCCGCTCGATCCAGCCTTTGGCAAGGAGGCGCCGGGTCTGGAGGGCACGCTGACGACGTACAAGGAGTTTGACGCGTCGTTCCAGACATACAAGCCCGAGACGAACAAGTACAGTGGTCAGGCGCCCAGCGTGCCGGGCCACTGGGTCGGGCTGTACGAGAGCCTGGCGGATGCGATCCTGGGCAAGGGCGAGCTCAAGGTCAAGGCGAGCGAGGCGCGCGATGTGTTGAGGATCATCGAGTTGGCGAGGGAGTCGCACGAGAGGGGGGTGACTGTTGCGTGGAAGTAAGTGATATGGATACTCGCAGCATGTCGACACCAGCAAGGCGTGGTGAAGGGAGTGAGAAGCACAAGTGAGAAGCACAAGAGCTAGACGCATGGGTCCTCGAATAGATCATGGAGAGTTTCTTTGCGAGGCGAGCAATTGTCACGCCAAGCACGATCATGGCGGGCTGGGCTGGCTTCCGCGCTGACAGCCTGACAGCGGTAGAGCTGAGCCTTATAGGCGATATAATACGGGGCTCATGAGTGCTGGCTGGTGCTAACGACAATCCGCGGGTGAGCGAGCGCTGTCCAATCAGAGTGCGCCCCCTTCCGGATCGGGTTGTATGTGACTGCAGGGTCCAAGACACGAAGATTAGATTAGATTCACTTTGATCTATGAGAATGAGTTGAGATCACCGACACATGCATGGCATGCAAGACACTGCAGAACAGAACAGACTACACGCAAAGAAGATCCAGTTGACCCTGACTCAACAAGGCCATGAGCTGGGCTGGGCTGGGCTGGGCTGGTGTCCCATCCACGTCCCACTGCCGTCCGGACCTGCATATGTGTGGCTTTTCAGCTGACAGGCAGCCAAGGCTTCAGTCCCAGGGGTTCGCGAATGGCCTCACGAGTCCACGACTGGAGGCACCGCCGCCAAGGCGCCAGCCGCCCAGCACATCACTCAGCCGTCCATCGTGTCTTGTCGTGAATTTCCCTCCAAGCTTCTCTTCAACCCTCGCGCGCCATCCTCAACTCTCACTCGCGCGAGTCCTCCAGTCCAGTCCAGAGTCCAGTCCATCCATCCAGACAGACAGACACCATGAGACTGTCCGCCCTCCGTCTTGCACTCGCTGCCATCGCGACTACGGCTCACGCTGCTGCGTCGGTCGAGTACGTGACTGACCTGCCCGCCTACTCACTCCTGGTATGTACCGTACTCCTTCTCTCTCCCTCCCCCCGTGCTCCCGCACTGACTGACAACCATCTCCAGGCTGAGTGCGCCTCCGCGGCCATCTCGTACCCCATCCAGGTGCAAACCTATGTCGGCTCCTGCGACGACGACCGCCCCGGTCTGCAGTCCTGCATCTGCCAGAACGCAACCCTCTCCGCCGAGGTCCTCTCCTCCATCCGCGACGATGTGTCCGCCTCGTGCGGCAGCACCGCCTCGGGCGACCAGTCGAGCGCCGAGGCCGTCTGGGACCAGTACTGCGACCCGGACAAGACAGTCGACTTCAGCACGCCCTCCAAGAACATTGTCAGCGCCTACATCACCGACCTCAGCGAGATGCGCTACCTCGCCCCCTGCGCCTCCACCGGCCTGAGCTCCGCCGTCATGGCCGCGCCGCTGTCCAAGTGTCCCGCCGAGCCCAGCCTCTACGCCCCCTGCGTCTGCTCCAAGGACGGCGTCGCCGACATGGTCTCGAGGACCATCTCAAAGTCCGTCAGCGCCTCCTGCTTCAACGACGAGGACGTCACCCTCGCCTACGACTTCTTCTCCCACTACTGCGACATGAACCAGGGCACCACCTCGTTCCCCACGCCCACCGGGCCTCCCGGTGACATGTCCTACCACGTCACCGCCCTGCCGCAGTACGCGTCGCTCAACGACTGCGCGCAGTCCGCCGTCTCCTACGCCATCATGGGGCAGACCATCTTTCAGTGCCCCGAGGATGGGCCCCAAGCCCTCGCGAGCTGCGTCTGCATCAAGGACGGCATGTCCCGCCGCATGAGCAGCACCCTGACGAGCGACGTCCGATGGTACTGCGACGTCACCGCGACGGCCGACGTCTCCTCCGCCCTGGATATCCTTGACTATTACTGCAGTGCCGCCCGCGACGAGGTCACCGCCCAGGTCACAGTGTCGACGAGCGAGAGCGCCTATCCAACCGCGGAATCGGGGACCACGAGCAGTACGCCGCCTGGGGAAACGGGCACCAGCGGCGACGACAACAGCAGCGGCGACGACCAGAACAGCACCAGCACCAGCACCAGCAGCAGTAGCAACGGCGGCGACGGCACAAGCAAGACGGCCGTCATTGCAGGGAGTGTCATCGGCGGCCTCGTCCTCATTGTCGCCATCGTCGCACTCATCTGGTTCATCCGTCGTCGCAAGATGCGTGCCAGCACGCAGGAACAAGTGCCCTCCGCACCACCCTCCCCGCAGCAACATGCAGAGCTCCACGGCGCGACCTCCCTGAAGGACTTGGCCAACCGCAAGGAGCTCGGAGACTCGTACATTAGCGAGCTGCCGCCGCAGACACGCACAAACGAGCTCCCAGCCCAAGGGAACGCGGCGCGTACGCAGCACTTTGCCTCGCACGAGCTGGAGAGCCCCAGTGGTGGCGTTGGTGGTGGATTCACGCCGAGTGCGCCGACCAGAAGGGCGGCGGGCGGCATGGGCTGGCAGTCGGGCCCGATGGACGCGTACGAGATGGACGCGACGCCGAGGGGGAGGTGACGGCGGGCGTGATGTACTACTACGTACGTGCATGTACTTGGGGATCTACGCGTAAGGTGTCGATGACCTGCATGAGCAAGGGGGGTGGGTACACCACCCACGCGGGCGGAGGGAACTAAGGAGCTTGAACACGAGCATGCATCAGCCTTGCAGCCTCTCATTACAACAAGCACCACGGCGAGTCTGCCCCGCGACTCCATGGCCTCTTCCCTCGCCCATCACCGATACAGCGGCCACGCGAGGGCATTCATTCAAAAATGCCCACGCCACAAACCACAGACAGCGCCATCCTCTTGAAACCCCTGGTTCTCCAACGTGCCAGTCAAGGAGTCCGTCACAACGTCGGCCCCCCCCCCACCCCAGACCAGAGGCTGCTGAGCGCATCACCGACGCCGAGGGGAGTCGTGGTAGAATGGTGGCTGGCGTACGTGGCTGTCCCACGCGCTGGAACGTCGGGCGGGTCGTCAGTAGTCATGGATGTTGCATGGGCGCAGGTCTGTGAACACTGGGTGAGAAGAGTGATAGTAGAGATAGATATCCTGTACAGACGATTGTGAAGGAAGACGACGCAGACCCTCCCATCCTCCCTCACAGACAGACCTCATTCGACCGCCTGACCTCAACACCGTCCATCACCGCGCCAACAACAACGCAGCCCTCGGGCGCAGCGACCCTGAACACCGTCTCAAACCCTTTCCTGTCCGCCCGCCCCATGTTGGACCACGCTCCCCCGCGCCGCACATGGACATTCCACCCCGTCACATCCGTCGCGCCGTTCCAGGACACGTAGCCCTCCACTTGTTGCTCGTCTTGCCGAGCACTGTCGTGGATCTTCTCCACATGGAGGCGCGGGTCCCAATCCGCGGGTGTGGCATGCCACTCACTCTTGAACGCGCGATAGCTCTGCACCGTGTCGTCACGCCCAAACCGCCCTTCCCACCGCACCTCGCCATTCGGCCCAAACTCCTGGATCACGGGGACCGGTCCGTAGCACATGAGCTGGTTCCCGTTCTCCAGGGCGGGATCGTAGCTGCCTTGGCTGCCCACGTAAAAGGGCTCGTCCCCCCGCACACTGCTCAGCACGGTAGGCGGCTTGGAGGCGTCGGGCGGCAGGTCCACCCTGAGGACGAGACCTCTCGTCGGGGCTGTATCGTTGTCCTCCTGCATGTTGTGGTTGTCAAAGATGCTGATCGTCATGCCGTCCTCGGTGACATTGTGCGCTCGCGCCTGGTGGTGCCACTTGAACCGATCCGCCTCGGCCAGCGGGCCAAAGTCACCCCCCTCGCCGCGCCCGCTCAGCTCCCAGAGCACCTCGCCCGTTTTCCGGCTCAAGAGGTACATGGCAAAGGTGTGCCGACTGTTAATCAGCAGATTCTCGCCAATCTCCTGCACGGAGTTGATGTGGAAGTGATCCCAGGGGTGGCCCTTTGAACCATCGCCCATGTACGACTTGATGGGCAGTTTCGACGCCTCCAAGGGGATGTGATCTTTGGCGCTCCACGTGAAGAGTGTCTCGCCCGTCGTCATGTTGACCTCATAGATCAGGCTGTCGGAGAGCCAACCGTCCTCCTTCCCACCAATGGAGGTCAGGTTCACCTGTGTATTGTTGTACGCGACCATGTACACCGTCCCTCGCTCCGTCATCTCTTGCTCGTGAAAGTCCGACAGCCCTGGTGCCTTCTTCCCTGCCCCCAGGGACTGCAGCGCAACATTGCCGGAGAAGAGACTCGTTTGGACTTCATATGTTTCGTCAATGGTGTAGAATTGGCCGTATCCGTGACCGGTGACACTCTCGCCGAGCCAGACAGTGAGGTGAGGCTTGCCGTTGACCTCCTGGACGCGAAAGTTGTTGGCGCCATAAGGCCCGTCGTGCGCATACACCAGCTCGTTGTCGTCCGTCATGATGACGGGCGCACTCTGCACGAGAACACCCGAGTGACGCCTGTTCTTTGCCGTGAAGATGTAGTAGCCCTTGGCCAGCGCCCCTTCGTTCCGCGTAATCGTCATGTTGGGTGGCATCCACGCCGAGGATTTGAACGTGCGGTAGGGCCATTCCTTCCCGTCATGTACCACGACCTCAACGTAGGGCCAGGACTCGATCCGCGCCGGCGCGAAGGTATTGCGCCATCCAAAGGCCAATGTAGAGGCCGAGAGCAGGTAGCCTGTGGTGAGGAAGATCAGAATCGTCAGGGTCGCTATCCGCACAGAACGCGCGGCGCACAGGTCGATCATGGTGCTGCTTTTCGGTATGGCGCTTTCAATCTGGCCAGTGCATATCGACGTGTAGCGGCCACCTGCGACAAAAAACAGGTCATCGAGCAAGAAGAGCGAAAGAAGAGGGGGCAAGTTGAGGAAGCATGAAATAGGAGGTCGAATGAATTGGTTAGGAACGCGCAGAGTCAATCAATAATCTCCAGAGCAAGCCATGGGCCGTGGCAACAAATAGCGCGGGCATTCCACCCTCCAAGGCGAGGCTAGCGCCTCGATAAGGTGGCGGAGACGCGCTTGCCTATGTTGCCGTGCATACCTTCTATAATTATCCATCATGGCAGACGGTTCGTCGGCGCTAGGGTTTATTGAATCTTGGGAGGAGAGCCAAGATACGTACCAATGGTCCGAAAATGTGAGTAGTCATGTTGCGGGTGCGGGTGCGGGTGCAGTGGGAGTGGAGCGTTTTGTACGGTGACACCGTGACAGTCCAGTCGTTCTTGCCTCAGTCGATATCGGCAAGTTGGTGCGCCTCGTGTGGCTTTGCTCGTGTCAAGGGAAAAAGGGGCGCTCGCTGCCGCTGCCTCTTTTCTTCACCTCCATGTCTTCTCCGGTCCATTCTCATCTTGACGCTCCTAGTCCTCCCACAACGCGCCTTGACAAACTGAAACCATTCGCGAAGAAATATGGCTCGCCGTCTGAACAAGCCGTCCATCAGCAGCGCGACTCGTCCTCTCCATCTCCTTGACTGACAAGGGATGCCTACTTACTCTTGCAGTCTTATCTCCACGCTCCCATGCTGGGATATCCACTGCATCCCACAATCCACATCGCGCCCTCTCGGAGTGGAGAGATCCGAGCGTTGACCGTTGACGTCCCCCGTCATCGGCCCTCGCCCGACGCGACGATGCAGTACGGAATCGGATATATAGCCAGCTCTCCCGTCTCCTCTCCTCTGCGATGATTGACTTGCCAAAGCCCGCCGTCCATCATGGAGAAATCAATGAGCCTCGAGGCCCAAGGCCTGGTCCCCCGTCGCTCATCAATCTCGCGACGTAGCCACATTGCTCTCTTCGCGCTCACTGCGTTTCTCGCAGTCGTCTTCTTCTACCAGAGCCTTGTGCTTGATCATCTCGACATCAGCCATCGTCCTCTGGGCGCCAAAGGGCACCCCGACTTTGACAAGGTCCAGCAGTGCTCCATTGACAACCTCAAGTCCGACACGTGGTTTCTCGACAATGCCGTCCCCATCAAGCCTGAGGAATTCCTCGAGCGACGCGATCGCCTCGCCAAGGCCCTGGACAAGAATGGCGTGGATGCCTTCATCCTCGAGCCCGGCTACACCTTCCAGTACTACGGCAACATCTCCCAGGTGGACTGGGAGCCATGGGAGCCCGAGGAACGGCCCTTTTTGATGCTCGTCATGCCCCAAACCTCGGACGAGGGCGAGGTCACGGCTCAGACGGCTTTTCTGTCGCCTGCTTTCGAGGCGGGACGTGTCCGCATGCTGGGCATCCCCTCGCGCGAGGAGGAGCTCGACATTGTTGCCTGGGAAGAGCACTGGAACCCGTACACCACCTTGCGCGAGTCGCATCTCTTCAAGGACATTGAGGAGCCTGTGCTCATGGCGGACGAGGAGATCCGGGATTACATCGTCCGCGGTCTGGGCAAATTCGGCTTCACGACCGTCGGTCTGACACCAGAAGCCGAGCTCGTCCGCCAGACCAAGAGCCGCGCCGAGGTCGAGCTCCTGCGCGCCGTCAACACGGGCACCGTCCAGGCGGTCCGCGCCATGCGTCCCTGCCTTGTCCCAGGGCTGACAGAGGATGAGGTTACCACCATCCTGGACAACTCCATGCTGTCCATCGGCTTCAGCCTCTTCTTCAACATTGTCCTCTTTGAGGAGCACGGTGCCCTGCCCCACGGTGGCTTCGTCACTGGTGGCGCCCAGCTGACCTACGACACCATGGTTGTCATTGACGTCGGTGCGCACTACCTGGGCTACTCGTCCGATATCTGCCGCAGCTTCCTCATTGACCCGCCATGCGACCACTTCAAGACGAAGGATCCCCTGGCCCAGGAAAAGGACGACGTGTGGCATATTGTGCTCGACGCCCAGGCGGCCGCCGCCGCTGCGTTCAAGCCCAATGCGTCTGCAGCGTCCATCGACATTGCTGCCAGGTCGGTCATCGAGGATGCCGGCTACGGATACGGGTTCACCCATCGCCTGGGCCACGGCATCGGCATCAAGGCCCACGAGTCTCCCTACCTCAACAAGTGGAACAAGGACGTCCTCTTGCAGGCGGGCATGACCTTTACCGACGAGCCGGGCATCTACCTGGAGGGCAGATTTGGCGTGAGGCACGAGGACATCTACCTCGTGACGGAGGGTGGCGAGGCGGAGCTGCTCTCCGGTCCCCTCGCCCGGGGTCTGCGTGAGCCGTGAGCGTGGGACCGGATCCGCCTAATTCAGGAATAGTGCGTAGAGAACGTCGATAGCAACAAGAAAAGAACCATATCCGAATCCTCATTACATTATACTCCCCGCTATATGCTCTTCTATAGGAAATCCAGGCACCACGACAACGCCACGCCGCTGATGCAACCACGGAACGCCCTCGCCAGCCGGCACCGCTCGATGTGCCAGGCTGCAGCTGATAAATGTCGATTCGCGCGTGTGCTCCCAGTGCGTGATCTGCAAACAGCACTCGGAGACCGCCTCGGGAAACGGGGACGAGCTCAGGGTCGCGCAGAGCCAGGCCATGAGCTGCGTGATGGAGGTGAACGCCAACAGCCACGCCGAGGTACTGAGCCGGATCATGCCCTCCTCAACCTCGACGTGCAGCAGGCGAAGGCCCGGCGAAAGGACGGCGTCCGGATCGCTGTCGTCCCAGAATGACATGCCCGCGAAGCCCTGTCCCTGCTGCGACGACTGCGCGGCCGCGCGGAGGGCGTCCCGGACGGCACCGACCACCACGTGGCTGCATCGCGGCCACTGCTTCGTCGCATAGTCGCCAATGGTCGTCGCGACGCATTCCCCCGCTGTGCCGGTCACGGCGGGAAACGCCCCCACGTCTAGGTGGCCCTGCTCCATGATGCGCTGGCGCGGGTCACACTCGAACCGGAACTGCAGTACGTGATAGCCGTCGGTTGGCGGTGGCATGCGCCTCTTGAGTAGGATATCCCACGCCGCCGACTCCATGAGGTGCATCTGCACATGGTGCGGCGAGTACAGTACCGTGCGGATGCGACGCACAAAGTGGGCGAGCGCCTTGCCGTTGAGCAGGTGGGTGCCAATGGTGCGGGCAATGTCGTCCGGGTTGCCGCCCGGCGACCGCGCCTTCTTCTCCGTGTCCCACCAGCGACAGACGACCTGTAGGGCGAGGTGAATGTCGATCCCGTTGGAGGCTTGGGTCCATGATGTCGGTCTCTGCGACAGGCCGGGCGCTATCTTATCCAGGACGCAGCGGGACAGCTCGGGTCCGTTGAGGACGAGGACCATCTGGCGAATAGGCCCATCGAAGAGGAGCGACAGCTGGCGTCCATGTTGCGGGTTGGACGCGTAGTAGAAATCCCAGAGCTCATCCCAGATGTGGCCGGTGAACTCGGTCATGAGACGGTCAAAGACCCTGTCGAGATTGACCGGCACCTTTTGGTCGTCAATGTAGTAGTACGTGAGCAGCGCATTGCCAAGCCGGTCAGCAAGGGTGGTCGCAAAGGCGGCGACGAGACATCCTGCAATGACGTGGGGGAGTTGGATGTCGATGCTTTCTTCGCGGCGGCGGCAGAAGGAGAGGCTGGGCACCGGGGGCTTTGCGACGTCTCTGGCTGCTGCTGCTGCTTCATCCGCTTGGCGTCGTGGGTGCGTGGTGTTGGTGGTCCCAGGTCCGTCTACGGACTCAGGGTAGTCTTCGGGTGGCATATCTGGTCATGATCAAATGAGGGAAAAATGAGACCTGTACATGGCACCAAGATGTCCACCGATTGCCCATCACTTGCCGGGGGGTGGTATTGCAGCAGGAAGAAGAGAAAAGAGAGGTAATAGTTAGGGATCCGGAGGGTGATTGTAAGTCGCGGCCTTACTCAGAGGCTGACGAATTGATTCATGCCTAGGGAAAAGTCTTTTCGTCCGTCCGTCAGTCTGGCCTTGCGACGACGACTGTCGTGTGCCGACGAAAAGGGTGACGTTGGCACCCAGGGGAAGGTTGCGCGTCCCCCACCCGCGCGTGCGCACGTTAAGTTAAGCATGTGCGTGCCCAAGGTTTTCGCTGGGCTAGACCAGCGCGCGCCACATGCCGAACGGGTTTGTGGCGTCAGAAAACCGCGCAACTGCACGACACACACTGCCAACAGATCAAGGCATGGATTTTCCATAATTAACGGGCATACTCCATAAAGACCTTTGCGACTCCTGGCCTTTGGGCCTTGGCCGTGATCCTGACGGGAGAAGATTGGCGCGATCCGCCCACAACCCAGCGTTCCGACTCACGACCGGAGTCTGGAGCCCTGCGGGAACTGTGGCTGTGTGCCTACGCCAGCTCGGCAATGGGCCTGGCTCAAGACTATTTTTCATCTTGCCACGACTGACGAATCACATAGCGATCGATGCAGATTTCAGTATCGAAGAAAAGGGGTTCTCGGTTCAAGACGATTGGCAGAGCGGAGAACGACAAGCCTGGCACCAGCCGCCCCTCGAGGCCTTTAAACAACGGCATCGCGCAACCATAACATTCACTTGAATGCGCTTCCGGGTACGTATATCGCACAGTCGCAATGCCCCACAAATGCGCGGACAGGCATGAGATTGTCGATAGCTGAGCTGACAAGTCTTGTACGGCGCTGACTCGCTGAGGTGTAGATGGTGCAGTGGACGAAATCTGACAATTCCGATTCCGGTCGCTGTCAACCGGCAGAGCATCTGCGCAACAGTGATACTGCCTAGATCGATGGGTTCAGTTCACACACATGTCTAACTCCACCGCAGTGCCGGCATGTCGAATGCAAGGCCGTCGAGCGCCAAGACATGCTTTAGACGTCGCTAAACAAGAGTATCAGCTATTCGACACTAAAGAACTCGTCCCCAGCCCACGACCGACTGGTTGCCGGCCGGCATGGCGGCGCCATGTACTGACGCAGCTATATCCGCAAAGTCTTTTTATCGTCGACCGCCTCAGCTTTGTGTTCAAGTCGGCTGGAAAGGCGGACATACGTATATGGAAAATATCGACAAATGTCCAGCCGTCAACTCTCCCTCGTGCATGTAGCGTCCAAACTTCGGAAGATGCACGAGATCGTCGACAGACAGGAGCATCAAGCTTCCTTTCACCTGCGCTGTAGGGTAAGTCATCAGTCACCGAGCCGAAAGCGAAGACTCCGTTGACGAATACCGTTTACTGGCGAACTGACCCTCGTTGAAGACCCTGTAATTGTCGTGTGTGAATAACTGGCGATTTTGCTGAATCGGCAGGACATTGTGGTGAAATGTAACTGCCATGCTGACGCGGCGCGCGGCGCGCGGCGCGTTGGGCAAGGACCGCATGCATTGGAGTGTCCCTCTGGACTCACCCGATGACAGTCCAAGATGCACCCTTCTTCAATAGAGGAATTCGATGCGCGAGACGGACGATTTCTCTCACTCACAGCATCATAGGTCTCGGTGCTTCTTTATGATTCCTCTATTGGCGACTGCGCCACTCCTCCTCCTCCGTCCTCGTCAACTCCGCGAGGTAGACATGTCCCCGCAAAAGAGGACGCCTACGCTATCAAGGTTTCACCGATGCATGCACGCCGCCATCCAACATAGATGCGAGTCCTGGCGCCATCCATCGACTGGCTGGGTTCCTACATCAGCTCCATTCCACAGCCTGTTCGCGGCCTGGTACAGGGAGAGCGCAGCCGATGTCTCCGGGAGGGGTTACTGCGCGCCAATTGAGTGGCACTGTGATGGACGGTCGATCTCGCGTCATCCACGGGGACTGGAGGGCATCGACCTCACACTGCTGCTGGCACCCCTCATCACGCGCTGTCCGTCAGCACCTCTTGCACACTGTGGCCCGGGCACCCCTACTCTCCAAATGTTTTCCCGTTGAACTGTATCGCCCAATCTGATGCAATTGATGATAACGAGAGTCATTGACTGATGAACTACCTGCTTGGCTACCCAGTCTAGGGCCCTGTAGGCCAGTGGGTCTGACCAGCTTCCCCAGATTCCGAGCGCTCTACCCCGGACTGTCTACTGTCCTGCTTGCAGCAGCACGGCGCTAGACCCGATGCAGTCGGCAGTGTGAGCATGACCAGACCTCCCAATGCCTGGACCCTTCGAGCACAGCTACACGCCTGGCCCATTCTCCAATGCGTAGTCACGCGATCGAACCGGCTCACCCCAAAACGCAGTCTGAGTAGCAATACAGTCGTACCCCGCTCGGTCTGACGAAGCTTTGCAGCCGATCTCAGGGGCACGGCAGCTTACATGCTCACGGGCTGGTATGGTGAGGTACCTTTGACGGGCTGGTCGGTCACACTGGCCACACCGGGGGCAGGCGCGATGCCTCATGTACACCCCGAGCAGACGGCAAGTCACTCCCGTCTCCGGATTTCGGTCCCTTCATAGCCCGCCTTCCCCTCTTCTTAAAGCAAGCTTTCCCCTCCTTCACATCATCAGCTCCCTTCTCTTCTCTTTCATCCTCGCATCACCCATTGCTTGTGATTCAGTACATTGTATCTACCGAAAGGTTGGTATCCTACGACATGACATGGACGCATTGCACAGCTGCAGCGATGACGGGCAATTGATCAAACATTTGTGACGAGCACCGCTGACTTGGATCTCAGTGCTTAGCTTTCCACCTCACTACCACCCTAAGCACAGCAACAAACCACCACCATGACAGAACCGCTCACCAAGGTCGACTCCGCCGTTCAAGGCCTCTCGTCATCACCTACCGAGGAAAAGACAACCCGCCGGAAAAGCTCTAGTGTGCCTGGCGTGTACAACATCCTTGACCTGGGTGAGTGAGATTGGCGTCGCGCGTGTGAAATGTCAGTCTGATCACGAGCAGAGGAGGACGGAACGGAGCTTGAGCTCGCCGTTGAGACTCAAATGACTGGCTGGTAAGTAGCTGCGTCCAGGCTCGCCAGCGGCGTGCATGTATCTGACAACTCGCAGGAAAATCAACAAGAGCCCGTCCACCGTGGAGGACCCCGACATCCTCAAGCTGCACCTGACAAAACCGCCCGTGAAGCGCATTGACCTTCACTTCCCGCTGGGCATGGAGGTGACCGCGCGGAACATGAGAGGCGTCACTATCAAGGATGCCCTTGACGTCATCTACAAGGCCTTCCGCAAGAGGGTGAGTTTCATTCATTCGCCCAACAGGGACATAAACTGACCTGAACGCAGTCCGACGACGAACTCGACAAACCCTACCTCGCAGGCTTCGAGTGGGACAAGGAAGAGTCCTGGACCCGCCTGGTCGTCCATCTGCAGAAGCAGCCCACGAGCTCCATGCCGAAAGGCGGCAACGCCGGCAGCAAGAAGAAGAAGAAGGGCAAGACCGAGGGGGACGAGTAATGACTCTCCCACCGCCCCAACACCCACCTGATGTCTGTCTGTATCCAATAGTCTTCCCCTTTTCAACGTGTGTTCTAGTTATGGCTCAGCGGGTACGGAGAGGGTTGAGCCTGGCGCGAGCGGGATATTGTGATTAGATATTCTCGGTCGGGGCATTGAGCGGCCTGTGTAAAGACGCCTTGGGCCGTTTGGTGTATTAGTTGCAGGTACTGTCATATTGCAATCAACGGTCCTCACGGCCATGGTGCATCCAGCTGTCTCTTGCAAGTGAAAACTTCCCTAGAAAGATCACTCGACAAAGACCACGTCAGTCTTGTATACGTACCTGACATGATGGAGTGGCTTATCGTCTTGCCTCTCCATGAGATTCGTTCTCGGAGTCCGACGCCGAGGTAAGAGGCGATCCGTGTGGTGTAAGTGATGGCGTACTAACAGCGTGGGTAGTTGCGCGTGAGCCGAGTTGTTAGTACGCAATTACACCCGCCGCGGAATGCGTCCGGGCGGCCCCAGCGCCGAGGATAGCCGTCTCCTCCCGCGTCTCCTCTCTTTCGCACGTCCCTTGGGCCAACGATGTGGAAAGATCGTCTTCCAGACACGCGCAACGTCAGGCCGCATAGAACACTTAAAAGATGGGACAGTATCGCCCGTCGTTGGCTGGTGATTGACCACACGGTTACACACACCTTTCGTACGCGTCGACCTGTCACAAGTGCACCACCACCATGCCTTTCACAACCTTCAGCACCGCCGAGAAGTACAGATACCAAAATGGCTTTGATAGCCACCTAGAGTACGCCGCGTTGACGGAACCGGGAGCGGTGCCGAGACTAATCCGCCTTCCAGGTCATCCGCCATTGACGGTGCCCTCCCCGTGGGCCAGAACTCGCCGCAGAAGCCCGCGCTTGGGCTCTACGCTGAGAAGCTCTCCGGAACCGCCTTCACCGCGCCGCGCCACGAGAACAAGCAGACCTGGCTCTACCGCATCCTCCCGTCCTGCGCGCACCCACCCTACGCACCTACGCCTGAGGCGACGACGGAGCAATGGGCCAAGGGGGAGGAGCTCAAGTACATACCCAACCAACTCCGCTGGGACCCCTTTGACCACGACCAGTCGAGGGATCTGGACTTTGTCTCCGGGCTGAAGCTCGTCGCCGGCGCGGGGGATCCCGTCCAGAAGCAAGGTCTGGGCATGTTCATCTACGCCGCAGGCAAGAGCATGGACGAGACGTCAGCCTTCTACTCGGCGGACGGTGACCTGCTCATCGTCGCGCAGGAAGGCGACCTTGACATCCGCACCGAGTTTGGCTGGCTGCTCGTCCGCCCCATGGAAATCGCCGTCATCCCGCGTGGCGTCAAGTACCAGGTCTTCCTCCCCTCGGGCCCCGCGCGCGGCTACGCCCTCGAGCTGTACCAGGGGCACTTCAAGCTGCCCGAGCTGGGCCCCATTGGCTCCAACGGCCTCGCCAACCCGCGCGACTTCCAGGCCCCCGTCGCCTGCTTCACAGAGGACGCGGGCAAGACCGCGTCCGAGGGCGGCCGCCAGCACACCGTCACCGTCAAGTTCAACAACGCCCTCTTTGCAACGACTCAGCCGCATACCCCCTTTGACGTCGTCGCATGGCACGGCAACTACTACCCCTACAAGTACGACCTGGGCCGGTTCAATACCATTGGCACCATCTCCTTTGACCACCCGGACCCGTCCATCTTCACTGTGCTCTCCGCGCCCTCCGCCCTCCCCGGCACGGCCGTGGCCGACTTTGTCATCTTCCCTCCGCGCTGGCTCGTGGGCGAGGACACCTTCCGCCCGCCGTACTACCACCGCAACACAATGTCCGAGTTTATGGGCCTCATCACCGGCGGGTACGACGCTAAGCGCGGCGGTTCGGGTGGTTTCGTGCCCGGCGGCGCCTCGCTGCACAACGTCATGAGCGGCCACGGGCCCGACGCCGCGAGTCACGAGGGCGCGCGGGCGGCGGAACTCAAGCCGCAAAAGGTGGGCGAGGGAAGCTGCGCATTCATGTTTGAGAGTTGCTTGATGATGGGCGTCAGCGAGTGGGGGCTGAGGACGTGCAAGAAGGTGCAGGAGGGATACAGCGAGGAGAGCTGGTCAGGCGTCGTGACCCATTGGCAGGGCGCCAAGGGGCTGGAGATCAAGTCTCATTTGGTATAGGTATTCGGAAGTTGAAAATCAATGTATATGTATTTCAGTCTCTTGACCAGAGAAATGACCCGGTGATAAGCGAGGTATCGATGTATGTCGTACTCGAAACAAATCAGCGTTGAAAAAAGCACAGGCTTCCACACTGAAGCCCGATTCCACCACATATTCGTGGTTCGATCCGCTACTAAAAGTATGAAGTGTAACGCCGTTAGTCGCCTAAACCCGAAAACATAACATGCGTCTAGACCCCCAATGCCAAGATAGATTCTGCCGGCCGAAGGAGACCAGCGACCAGGGTCTCTTCCAGGTCCATCGTACCTTGACCGCCTAGCGGCTGGCCACCAAATGTTCAATTTACGGCTTCGTCCTTGGTGCTCAGGTTCAGATAGCGAAGCTTGACATCTGTGATGGTCAAGCTAGAGAGGCTGAGCAATCTCCATGGTCGGGACTGGTTACTGCCCGTGAAAGTACAACCGCCCGGGAGCAAAACTAATCGTCTGCGACAGGCATTGGAATCCCTCGAATCCTCAAACCAAGGCCACGATGCAGCCAAGTATTTGTCGTCCTGCGGCCCGGCCCACCGCGCGGTCCAGGCACAAATCATCGAGCCTCGAGGCTCGGTTGGAATTAAAACAAGCGCAAGACCCGGTCGTGCATTTGCGGCCAACTGCGGACCGGGGCTTTGGGTCTGAGGCTCTGAGCCTGTGAGGTAGGTAGCGGACCGACCGCGTTTCGCTTCTGTAAGTGATGGATTGATATCAACTTGCAAGTCGCCACAATAATCGCATTCGTTGCAGGGTTTTGCAGGATGCTATCTCATCGCCCATGGGCCAAGGCCTTGCCTCGGAGGGGTGCTCATTGTCCATAAAAGCGTGCCTGCTCGCCGACAGCATTTGGCGCCCGAGACAGGTCTTGTCCACGCATTCTTGTCTCTATCAGGATGTCGCATTTCACTGCTACGCTCGGCCTCCTGGCCCTGGCGACACTCGCTGCCACTACAGAGGTGAAGGAGGTTGACGTTGCTGTCGTCGGCGGCGGCGCCTCTGGTGCGTACGCAGCCTTCCGTCTCCAGGAGGACTATGGCAAGAGCATCGCTTTGATCGAAAGAGAGCAACGCTTGGTATGTAGATGCCGTCCAAGTCCCATGGCCAGAGCGCCCAGAATACTAACGTGTTTAGGGTGGCCACGTGAACTCATACAGAGATCCTGCGACTGGCGAAAACTATGAGGCGGGCGTCGTGGCGTTTGCCGACATTGGCAATGCGGCAGATTTCTTTGATCGCCTGGGCATCGAGCGCGGTCCTACTAGGCAGCAAGCGGTGGCGACCACCTACTATGATTTCAAGACGGGCGAGGAAGTGGACTACACGCCCGCGTCGTTGGCTTCCATGTTCGCTGCGATTGAGAAGTTTCTGGTGCCCGTGGAGAAGTACGAGCCACTCTTCCAGGACCCTGGATTCTTCAACTTCCCTGCGCCGGAGGATATCCCTGAGGATCTCCTGCTGCCCTTTGGAGAATTCCTGACTAAGTATGATGCTGAAGATGCCATGCCTCTCATCTACAGCAACACAGCCCTCGGTCTCGGAAACGTGACCAACGAGGTGACTCTGTTCGCTCTCCAGGCCTTTGGCGGAGCCAATGGACGTGGCGCCGTCGGGCGTCAGCCATTCTTCTCATTGGCTTCAGGCCGCGTTCAGGATCTATATGATGCCGTTGGCGAGGTACTCGGCGACAGCGTCCTGTACGGCAGCAATGTTGCATCCTCCAAGCACACAGAGAAGGGCGTTGAGGTCGAAGTCAAGGACCTCGAGACCGGCGAGTTCACCAAGGTCTTGGCCAAGAAGCTCCTCATTGCCATTGAGCCGTCCCAGAACAACTTGGCGCCTTTCGGTATTGACGAAACCGCGCGCGAGGTGCTGTCCAAGTTCCACTTTTCCGCTGTCTACACGGGTATCATCGACAATGCCGGCCTTGAAGATGGGAGGTCGTACTTCAACATGCCGTCTGCCGCTGCGCCTGACCACTCTCTTATCCTGCCCGAGGCGCCCAACACGCCTAGAATCGACTGGTTGGGCCCGGGACACAAGTTCCGAATCACGCTGGTGGGAGAGGAGAGTTTGTCTGCCCAGGATGCCAAGGACATGCTGCAAGGCGACTTTTCTACGCTTGTTGAGGCTGGTGTGATTGACGGTGAAGCTGGCGAGAAGGTGTCCTATGTCGACTTCAACACGCATGGGCCAATGCACGCACGCGCGTCGGCTGAGGATGTCGGGGCTGGCTTCATCCAGGACCTCTATGCGCTGCAGGGTCGTCAGAACACATGGTGGACGGGAGGTGCCTGGGCCCCTGGCTTCCAGACATTGTTGTGGCAATTTGACGATGTGATCTTGCCCAAGATTGTTGAGCAGCTAGAGTAATAGGTTGTACTGCAAGTATAAATAATGCTTGAAGCGTTTTATGTTGTGAGGAATCAATTTGATGCATGCGTGCCTTGATGCGAGGGCACATGATCAGAAGTCGTGAGCTTCGGGAGTCCGGGACTGACTTGGATGGAGTCGCGACTTCCACAAATGCCTTCCGAGATTAAGCCGCCGCTAGCCCAGTTCCGTCCTTGGCATGGAAGCTTCAGGCACAGTTTGCGGGGGTGCAGCGAGTCGACAGAAAAGAGCGGACAGCTGGTTCGTATTCCTCGCAGAGTCGCAGTCTACGCACACAGCATGGATAAATCCAGAAAACGCCATGGGATTAATTCTTTTGCTCTTCCTTTTTTTTTTTTTTTTTTTTTTTTGAAGAAAATTAATTTGTACACCCTGGACAGGACAACCTTGGTGGGCGCCTTAGGGTCGTCCGCTAATGTACCTAGCTTTGCGCCTGCGCTGAGGCTCTTCAGCAGGTAATAATGGCGGACCGTGACAGGTTGGAGGTGGGTGGAAAATAAAAATGTGACGACAGACCCAATTTTTCCCTCGCCCATCATCCTCTCCGCTGGCTGAGATCATTCTTTCAACCTTCAGACCCTCCTGTTGACTGCATCGCATCACGGAAGGTCACCAGCCAGGTGGTCCTCCCAGCATCATCAGTCTTCACTTCCTTGGTCACCATTGCCCCGTTCCTTACCTACTTACTTTCCATGGTCAGCCCGCTAAGCCAACCGCCCGCACCTTATGTTGCCTCGCAAACGCACCAAACTCAACCCACGAACCTTAAGCGAAATCGCAAACAGTATAAAAGCATCGCTCACCTCGAGCTCTTTTAGACAAAGGCATCCATGCCTCACGAATTACGTACCTGAAGAGTCATTCAAATCAAGATCCGGAATCAGGGCTTTTCGTCAAACCCCATCCCGTCTCGCCAACCAACACCCGGATCTTGATCAGACTCGCCATCATCCCCTCGACCCAAACCGCATCGACATCTCCGACGACCACACACCACTCGCAATCATGGTCACCACGTCCGTCGAGGCGCCTCGCGTCGCCCGTAAGCCCATGCAAATCAAACCCGCCATTCCTCTGCCTCATCTCAAGCGTCAAGCTGCTGCCGCAGCTGCTCGCCAGCGCGCCATTACTCCGGCTTCGGAGACCAAAGGTAGTGATGCTGCCAAATCCGACCTTGGCTCTTCCTCACCCACCAGCCCGGCCACAACCACAACAAAGGCCAATGCGGAAAGTCCCATGGTCCATGGCAATCCTTCTCCACCTCCCACTGCGTCCACCGATGGTCACACCGTCGCTGAAAGTGAGTGCCCTCTTCCAGTGTTGGCTCTGGCCATGCGCTAACTTGTCTCTAGATGCGAATGATGCAACCTCCACGCCAGATGCTACGCAGCCTTCCATTGCTTCTCCTACAACCAGCGTCGAAGAGACCAAGACGCAACCTCAGGTCAATGGCCACATGCACCAGGAGAGCACGCAGGCATTGAACGGACATGTCGAGGAGTTCACGCCGCGTCCTGGTAAGTCCATGCCGTCTAGCTTACCCACTTCAATGCTTACTCGATCAGCGTCCTCCATTGCCAACGAGAACATCCAAGCACAACCCCCCGCCGGCGACGGAATGTCGGCTCCTGTCGCTCACCATATGCCAGCGCATGCAGACGGGCCCCCAGGCTCCCAGTTCACTCCCAACGGACCTGTCTTCACCCACAAACCCCACCCCTCTCTACAGTTTGGTGCTCTCCGCGATACTAGGGACCCTTCGCCCGATCCGCTGTCTGCCGGCCTTGTGCCGCCTCAGGGTATGCCACTCCACGCAGGTCGACCACCGTTCGTGCCCCATGCCTCAGGCGGGTTTGCGCATGGCGGACCTCCCCCGCCTGGACTCCCTGTTCTTCCTGGCAATGAGATGGGCGCATTTGGCGGACCCAACATGCCATTCCCACCCGCGGAGTCCTATTACCCTGGGGGCGCATTTCCACACACCACCTACAGCTACCACGAATCTCAGTCTTCGTCGATCCCGGAAGATGTTGGCCCATATGCGCGATTCGCCCATGGCGGTCCTCGTCAGCCACCTGGTTTCGGCGCAGACGTACAGGGACGAGGGACCGTGTTCCCAGGCACTCAACCAAGTCCGACTCCTATGATGCGTCCTGACAGCAACGCTCGTGGCCTGGCTCAGCACGTTTCGAGGCATTTCGGCGATCCCACCTTCTCAGACTGCACGCTCGAGGTAGTGTTTCCAAGCGCGCCTGACGACAAGCCTAAGAACTGCACGATTCTTGGCCATCGCCTCGTGTTTTCGCGCAGCAGCCTTCTGTACGAGGCGATGCAGAAGCAGAATACCCAGTCCCTCCCTCAGTCCCTAGTTTACTACATAGGCAACCCCTTGGTCGAGCCCGATACCTTTCATCAGGCCATCCACTCCCTCTACGGGTACCCCCTACTCGAGATGCCTCCACTTGCGGAAAACTGCACAGCGTTTGGCACTCCCGAGCAGCAGTTTCGCTATGCAGTTTCATACGCTGCTGCTGGAGAGGCTCTGAAGTGGGGTCCCGTTGTCTATCGCGGCTGCGAACTGGCGGCGCGGCTTATCAATGTCCAGACGTTCGAGAAAGCTTTCGAATTTGCCCTGGCCGACTACGAGGACAAGGGCTCCTACGAAAACTTCCGGTTCTACGAAGGCTCGCGCATCTTGCTGAGCTCCGTGGTCGACTTTATGCTTCGTGAGCTTCCCAGGGACTTCGTCCTCGACACCACCATGGCCAACAGACCCGTATTCGTTCGCCTGCCATATGATACGCCTTCCCCGAGCAAGCGCGCTGCTAAGGATTCATCCTCGCCTGTGGTTGTGAAGGGCCACCGAGCATCTGGCTCCATGTCTCAAAGTCGCCAGATACAGTTTGGCGATCTGACCATCGCCAACGATGGTGACGATGCTGCGCAGGCCACGCCCAAGCTTGGTCAGCATGCCACCGCTTCTGTCAACGTCCTTTTCTCACACGTTCTCATTAACATGCCCTTTGGCTATCTCAAGATGTTCCTTGAGGCTGTGCCTGGACACCACAATGCCTGGGCCAGCGGCGAAACGAGATACCAGGTTGTCCAGTCGGTTGTTGCGGAGCGTGAAGCCCGCCGCTTGCGCGCGCTGGACGCCGTGGTGGCGGGGCGTGTACCCGACTCTATTCCTATCCAGGCTGTGCTGCGAAGCCCTGAGCCGTCGCACTCGGCTCCGTGGGGTATCCTTGGCTGGAAGGAAGAGATAAATTTCCCCAACAGCGCCAGCGGACCGACCCTCACCCGCCAGTGGGCGCCTATTCAAGATGAGCGCCGCATCTCAGTTGCCGCTTATCCCTGAACGCGGCCTGATGCTGGAGGCTGCTACAATATTTTGGAACTCGAGAATCCATGTGCACTTTAGTAGCCCTCTGACCGACTGCGTCGGCATTTTGGCATGAGATGCTTTGCATAAGGACGCCCTGTGGAATGTGATTGCTCTACAGGATAGGGATGATGCCGATTGCCCCTGCCGGGTCTGAAAGGGCATACGCGAGGGGGCCGCCTGGCGTTCGAGAGGGCCGAGGCCTTACTCGGCTAACCTACATGTATGTTAACGAAGCTTTTGGAATTGGGTGGGTCTGGGGAGACAGGGTAAGATACCCTCAGAAAGTCTATGGACTCGGCGAAAAGTGGTTCGTGATTTTCAGGAGTCAGGGGGGCAGGGATAAATGATGCACTACATCGCATAGTGAGATCACCAAGATCTCTCGGATACAATGGAACCTCGTGAATATACCACGGATTTGTGACTGCTGACTATCGCCTGATCCAGAGAGGCTGTGAATACCTGGTGGAAATTTATACTCATGCGTCTCCGGAGATTACATTTGTTCAACACCCAACCCTCATGACACTGAGGATTGTCAGGTGCGAGCATCGTTTGCTAAAGACCCAGGAGCAGCATTTTCAATGAAACAAGAACTTGTATTCAAGTGCAGTCAAGACACAACTTCGTGGATATAACTTTGCTATATGTAGATCTCTTCCAGCCCAGTTGTTTCCTTCCTTCACAGCGTCATGAAAGGTGGGGTACCCCTGACCAACAGCTTCCCCACCGAGCGTACCTTCCCCAGGAGCCAGAGCCCCAGTGGACCGACGGCCAAGAGCAAGAGCCTGCATGTGCGCGGATGCCGAGGTTACCTTCCTTCAGTGCTGGTTAGCACCGCGAGCCCAATCTCCCATCATCAATGCTATCCCCTCATTGAGATCCATCTCCCACAACTTTGTTGCGCATAGAAAGATTGACTCGCTTGCGACCGGCGCGACATTCACCTTTGGATGACAGCACACGAGGACGCGACTCCTGTGGATGTTTTGGAAGCTTTGTTCCAGTTGCGCGTCATCGCACGCTGAGCTCGAGCATTGAGGCCCAGGCCACCCACGACGTCCACTTCGACACCAAAATTCATCGGACTACTGCTTCTAAGAAAGAGTGGCCCATCATGGCGTCCGCAGCAGCCAAAGGCGCGGTGCAAGAGCCACGCAGTCCGCCTGCGTCACGACCATCGACAACCGACCCGATCCTTCGCAACACCCTCCGCTACACGGTGTCGGCCGATGAATACGCCGCGCTTCACAAATATGTCATCTCGCGATCGCGGGCCCTGCGTCGGGCGACGCCCAGTCCGGCCAGTGTCGAGAAAGCACTCCGACCAAAGAAGGGCAAGGATGACTACAATGTTCGTGCCGTGAGGGATGCACTACGGGTGTTTGTTGTGACCTGGCTGGGGATGAAAGGCTGGGATGCTGTCGCGAAGAGGTTCCAGGACTCAAAAGAGTAAGTTACGAGTCGGCTCTCTGGGCTTCGAGCAGGACTGACAATGTTAGGAAACCCCCGAAAGGCAAGACCCCTTTCTACAAGTCGCCAGCTTTGAGGCTGTCCCTCTCGCTCTCCTCGATTCTGTTTCTTTACAGAATCTTGTTCCGCTTCCTGAACCGCCTGCGGAGCCACCTTTCAACTGCCCAGGTCGAGCCCTTTCGACGACGAAATCCGCGGGCAACAGCTACGCTCACCTCGCCGTACGCGCCGGCCGTGGGTGCATCACTGGCAGGCCTGGCGTTAGGTGTCTACCCTTCAGCTCAGCTGCGCGTTTCCGTGGCAATTCTTGCCATGTTCCGTGCCCTAGAGTTTGGCTGGAACATGTGCGAGGGCGAGGGGCTCGTATGGGGAGTGAAGGGTGGTCGGTTGAGGGAGCGGCCTTGGTGGTTTGGCAGCTGGATGTTGCAGCCATTGGCATTCGGCCAGCTGTTCCATGCTACAGTCTTCGACCCTGAATGCGTGCCAGCGGTGAGTACGCTTGTCAAGCATGTTTGTCAATACTGACAGACCCAGGTATTCAAGAACTTCCTGTACAACAACACCACAGCGTACCTGCACAGTCGGCCAATTGACTGGCCAGCTCATCTCAAATGGCCCAGCATCATTCAGGTGTTTGAGAATATCGCTGAGATGGCGAAGCTTAACTGGCCGTACGTCGTCCATCTGCCCAAAATGTGTACAAAACTGACCGACTGTAGCGCCTACATCTCTCCAACCCTGTTCCCTAACAAAATCGATGTCCTGCCGCCGACATTGACGGGAGTCTCTCCCCTGACATCGCGAGCTCACCCACTGATCACATCTCTCTCGTGCGCAACTCTTCATCCCACCGACCCGTCATGCGCCCGAACTTACCTCACGTTCTGGATCAACTCATTTCCCCCATTGACACGACTGTTCCTCATCGCATTTTCAGCTCTCAAAGTGCTACCTCGCCTGAAGAGCTTCTACCACTCACCTCTGGCCACCCTTCACACGGTCATCTCGGCATCACTTCGAATGTCCACATTCCTCACGGGTGCCATGTCCACCGCCTGGGCTTCCATTTGCTTCTTCCAGAACTTTCTCCCGCGCCACGTGCTGTCCACCCAACGCTTCTTCCTCGGTGGTTTCTTCGCTGGTCTCTGGGCGTGGGTCGAGCGTCGTCACGGTCGAAGCGCATTCCTCTACACGGCGCGGATGAGCGTCGACAGTCTTTGGAAAGTAGGCGTCAAGCGTCGCTGGTGGAAGGCCATGCGCGGAGGCGATGTCTGGGTGTTTGTGCTGGCACTCATGGTCACTGGTGTCGTGTATGAGCGGGATGCCAAAGCAATTCGCGAGGCGCAGTGGCGCAAGGGCTTGAGCTTTGTGCGCGGCCAGACATGGAGGGACTGGAGTGTTGAAGACGAGAACGAAGATGTGGAGGGAAAGGAAGAGTAATGAGCATGGCCATTGGCGATTGCAAGAATTAGCGACTTGACTTTTGATACTTGATACAACTAGTTTCAAAAGTGTGGCCTAATGGTGTTGAAGCTGCCATCTGCGAAAAAGAAATGTCTAGCCCTGGACATTTATGAAGATCTGATAGGCGTCCCAGGGCGTCGACTATCATATTGTTCTCGTGGACGGAGATCCTTCCTCATGACTGTCGTCCGTAATGGCCATATCTTCCCATTTGTATCGGGTACGTTGTATACATTCGCAAGGAGGCCAATAGGACGGTACCCCTTTTTTGTATACCAGCTCACATTTGAGAACTGAGAGTGGCGCGTCAGTCAGCGGGCACAGACAGTTCGGATTCAGGGAATGAGATGCAAACCTTTGGGACTTGTCCGAAGTACGCGACTGCTAATTCCTCGTTCAACTGATCCTCCTCGCACAACGTGTCGAGAAGCAAGTGGCGCACATTCAGGGGTTGGCTGGCCGACACGAATTCTGCGTGCTTCATAGCCGAGCCCCCTATTCCGAGACCCTGTAATGCATGCGACACATAAAGCGTCTTGATCCAAAGAAACTGGTCAGAGGGCAGCTCCGAGACGTCAGGAGGTATTGATGGGTCGTCTTGGTAGAGCGCAATGTGTCCAATTGGAAAGAATGGAGTCTGGCTCGGTTGAGTTGGCTTCCCGAAGATTGATCTGCTTGTATCGGCCAGTGTATCACATTCCTGTCACACGGGTCAGAGACTTTATGTGCCTTGCCATGTTTCCACGTACATCAGGACATGCCTTTTTATGGCGAGTGTTGTACTCATGCCGCCGAGCTTCCTCGTCAGATAGAGCCTGGAGCGCGTTAGTTCCGTTCTGTTCTGGCGTTGCTCACGGCACATGTTACAAGCCAATATATGCAGATCGCACCTCTAAGCTGTGCATCCCGCCATTCGGACGCCACTTTGGAAGAATTCCATCCGCAGTGCCTTCGCTGAGTGGTCAGTCGGCTGATATGGCCAGGCGACTCGGGGTCCCAGGGCACAAAGTTCAGAGACGGCTGGGACATTTTGTGGTAGACTGAGCTGGATGATTGGAGGAGGCTTGCGAGATGGATTAAACTAAGTTGTGCAAGAGATTAAATGACTGACTAGTCTGCCGGGTGTTATTAGCTGATTGTCTGCTGCACGAACTTGTTTCGACGCATGTCATTATATATGTTGTTGGAGCCTTGGCCCTTGGAGGACACATGGCAGAGAATCCTTGGCATGGTTCTGTTGAACCCCTGCAGGTCTTGTCGATCAAAGGGCGTATCAGCGTCAAGAGACTGAATTGCAATAATGACATGGTAACAAGGGCGCAAAATGCGCAAGATTTGACATGGCATTTGAATAATTAGTCAAAAGCTTAGTAGCAATCTCTGTCGAGCATCACCTATGTGTTCCGCTAGGGGCTTGACCAGAGACTCATCTTACCCTGTCACCGGCGAGGTCAGCACTCTGAAGAGACAATCCCGGGGAATGAATACCGGTTCAATTTCTGGCTTCAAATTGATTGAAAACCGCTCGAATTTATCACTCCACAAGCACGTTTTTCAACACCAATAGCCCCGAACTCACGTCGGGTGAAGGGTCTGGTTTAGGTGTGAAGAACATCACAAAAGCTTTAAGCTCTGAGATTGGTTTTATATTCGATGATGTGTTTAATAACTTGCCCGGTGCGTCGTATTCTTTCAAAGACGGGGGTTTTTTCTTTTTCCTTTTTTTTTCCTTCCTGCATCTTTGTCACCCTTCTGATAATGAAGCCTCATTGCTCACTTGCGTGGACAGTCAAAGAGCACGATGCAGGCAGACTTGAACGAAAGCCCTAGCCTCGTCCAGGTTCTGAATATATATAATATCAATCACATTCAAGTCCTAGATCTGTCCTACCTCGAGTCCATCAATATGTATCAGCAAACACCAGTAATGATCCCACGGCAGGCACCGCTCTGCATCCCGCTTTTTCTTCAGTGGGCCCAAGCGCACGCAACGGCGTACAATGAAGGCAAACTACCTCCCCAAACCACGAAGAGAGTGAAAACATACAACACTCCTTGCCCAAAACGAGTTCAACCTCGACGGTCAGCCAAAATCAATCGCAATTACGGCGAAGGCGACGATACCACGACGAACCGCAAACGTAAGCTCGGCGCTGACACGGACCCGGAGTGGCAAGCCACAGACAAGAAACGGCATTGCACCATGGCAGATCTCTACAAGAAGGTGAGTGCCACAGTTCACAAATTGCAGCAGGTTGATGTGCGTGGTGGCGAGACAAATTGTGTCTTTGGCTTCAAGCCATGGGTGTGTGCGAGCTGCGAACTAGAAACAGAATATCAGATACAAAAACTGGGGCAACCACCCTTGGAGGAGGTATACGGCAATGCACCCAAAGCCGAGATGGAGCCAGACGAATCTGCCGTGTTGCTTGATTGGAACGACAAGGACATTCCCGATACTCACTGCTTCTCCTGGGCGGAGACGACCTTTGCCATGGACGTATGCGACATTCCCATGGTTCTCATAGTATAGAGACGCATTGTCATGCATCATTGTAACATTTTGTAGAAGAATGTGCAGTCTCCTTTTCTGCCATCCGCGAACCGCGCATAGCGTGGGCAGCATCCCCATTCCGTCCATCCAAACCTGGCATAGAATTGACGCGCCGGTGTCTCGGTGGCCGTGTCCAGAAGGAGCATCTCCAGCTTCATGTCGTCCCGGGCGAAGCGCTCCGCCTCCTCCATTAGACGCTTGCCGAGTCCATAGCGGCGATGGTCCGGAGAGACAAGCAGTTTCTTAATCTCGCCCTTGTGGTCGTGCGTTTCCTTGAAATAACGACTAATCTGTATCGCGGCGAGTACGTTGAAGGGGTCATCGTCTGGAGTGGCAACGAGCAGTACCGTCGAGGGTTCGGAGCCCGTCACGCCCTTCAGGCTTTCCCTCCACTGATCCTTCGCCCGGTCCTCAGACAGAGGCGCGAGGAAGCCAAGGGATGATGTTGACGGTTCATCGTTGACGCAGCGCTGGAGGAGTGTCATGAGCGACGGCAGGTACTGCTCTGCGTCGTACGTGTCGGTGACTTGGGTGATGACAAGCTCGTCGTCCGCGTGATCATTCATTGTGGGCTCGCTGTGCACGTGCGGTTTCAAGCGGGTGCGAGGTGCGCTGCCAGAAGTTCTCTGACGTGGCAATCAAGATTAGGGAGACGCGATTGACGGGCAGTCAAGGACGTCTCGTCGAATCGTCCCATCCGACGTCGGGAGATGTGGGTCGTCGCATTCATCAAGACTGAGATTGTGGTCCAAGAACACTCGCGCATGAATTGAAGACAACGTATACAGGAGGCTGGGGAAAATCGTTACGAACCCCAAGGCCAGACAGCCGCCTCACTTTGAGGCCTTTGTCCAGGATCCACCATCATGGAAGAGATCTTGGACGTAAACGCCACCACGGTTCTCCAAGCGACGCGCGCCTCGCTCTTTGTGGCCGCATTCTCATCCCATCACAGCCCCAAGTCGCGAGCGGTCAAGCCTCTGTCGTTTTCCCCCGGCTTCCACCATTCCCGAAATGGAGTACCGAGCCACGTTGCGCGTGCCAACTCAAGATGGCGGTCAGTCCGAGTTGGGAAACGACGAGGCTGGGATTGGGTGTGAAAAGGACCCGCTGTGCCGCTCTAGGATGGAGAAAGAGTGTGTGTTGGCGCGCTCCTGCAGCAGTGCATCGACATGCATGGCACCTCAGGAGCTCGGACGACGCATCACTCAGGGGGGCCTGAAAGAAGGCTCGGATGAATGGGCTAGTTGGTGTAGTCTGGTGATCGCAGGAAGTAGTACTACGTGTTCACGTTACCTGGCTTCCACGACACAGCCAATCCAATGGTGGGTGGGCAGTTTGCACTAACACAAAAGCCAGCCTCTCACGCCCAATTTCGTTATCGCACGTTCCTCGTGCCCTGGCCTGTCAATGCAGCAGAAAAGCGCCACGAAAACATGCATGCAGACATTGACCACGCCCAGTTCTCATTGCAATCCTTTATTGGCGGCGCATGAAGCGCTGCGAGGCCGCTTTGCTGCTGCCAAGTTGCGGCCTGACCTTCGCAGACCAAACAACGGTCACCGACATGTCGAGATCGCCAACCACCAGTTGGGGCCGCCCTCCCTGCCGATTGCATCGTGCGTCCAGCGGGTCCCGCTCCGTGAGTGGACCTCGAGGTCACGATAGCTTGCAATAGCAGACCGCAACTCGTCGTCTTGTTATGCATCTCCCGGTAGAACTGTCCGGTTCAGACCAGGACATAGGGCCATCAACTGTCTATATGTCTATAAAAGAACAGCTTCCCTCCTCCCTTCTAGACTTCTCCTTTTTCTCTCCCTAAGTAGACTTTTATAGTCGAAACCCCCCGTCTTCCAACAACTTTCCAACAACTTTTTTAGGTTTCTACCTATCCCCCCCAATCTTCAAATCCATCAAGATGGCTGGCAACTGCGGATGCTCTGCTTCTAACCCCTGCAACTGCGGCGCAAGCTGTAAGTCTTCCTGCTAGCCGTCTCTCTTCACCAGCGGACGGCCTTGCGTATCTGTCAACATCAACATACTAACATCCATGGAAGGCACTTGCACCGGCCACTCATAGCGGTGCGCCCCTTTCTTTTGTCTCAACTACACCAACGAGAAGCCCCCATGAGCGCAACGCTCTGCCACGGGGGATCCCAACCAACCAAAATTGTACGGATAGGATACATCGACCAAACGACCAACACGAGAAAAAAACGACTATTATGAACATGAACGAACAAAAAAAATGAATAACGGATTGCGACTTTTGGGATGACACGGCATGACATGTATACAACACATCTCACCCCGCGGTATCACGACACTATCACTTGACGACTTTGACGACTTTTTGGATGATGGGGAAATCCCCCTCGACGAGCGACTTCTGCCCAGGGGCTCTCTGACCGGACGCGGTCTGGGTTTCCTTCTGGGTAGGGTGGCGCGTGGAGGGAGCATGACGGACGCTTGATGTGATGCTTTCGGGATCTCGTCGGAGTTTGGGAACGAGGAAAGGGAAGATGGGATGGGGTCGCTGGCCGTCTAGATACTATCATTGAATCTCCTATGTTGATGAAAAAAAGGGTTAAACTGGCTCTGACCCGTGTCATTGCGTGTCCGATTGCTCTCTCTAATAATACTAGCTCTTCTCCATGGGGCCTTGCACTTGGACGGGAGGAGCTTGCGAGGCGTCGCCCAAACAGGAAAGTAGCTGTAGGGTAGCTAGAACTGCAATTTGCATGTGACTGCCCAGCCTCTCCGCAGAATGGCGCACATCCCGGCCGACGCTCACGCGCTCGCCATTCCGCAGCCATCCTCGGCATGCCGATCTGAGCTTGGATTCCCATCACGCAAGGCTAGAACATTTCTTCGCCTTTGTTTGCCCAGCTGCCAAATTTCCCTCTGTATATACTTACTGCCTTCGGACATGGTCCTTCCATGAGAGCTCGTGACCTATCCGTCAAGCGATGCTAGTCTAAGCCTCGAGGTGAATGACGTCGACGTTGCCGTTTTCCAGACTTGCCTGCGCTGATCCCGACATTGGAGGTATCCAGATCTGCAGGGCATGGCTGCCTTTGTAAGTCCAGTCCCTCATGCCCACATCCCCTCCATGTCTCTCTCAAATTCCCATCATCGCCGCCAGCCTCAGCTTTCATCACATGGCCGGGTAGCTACCGCGCCATCGGCACGAGCTGAGGGACAGGTCCAGTCGTCATCACAGAACGAACCCTGAACTCCACCAAATCTCACCCCCACAATCACCACAACCTTCAATTCGAGTCGCATTTCTTATCAGACTTGACCTAACCTCCAACACCAGGACACGCCGTGGACTACCCAAATCTCACCGTCCGCGCCCATGAGCTCACGCGACGGAGTTAGTGGCGCGTCACCGCCCGATCACCTCACCTCGTACCTCTCCGCGCCACCCACGACCGCCGCCTTTTCCCCAGCGACCCTCTCGGCAAGCACGCCGTCACGATCAGCCCGTCGCTCGACGATCCTCGTGCACCAGAAGAGCCCGCTGCTCCTCGCAACCCCACCACAGATCACACGCGCGCTCGCCTACTCGCATCCGTTCGTACTGCCGCTCAACACCTTTTTTGGGCTGTTGACATGGAGCACTGGCGATGCCTGGCAAAGCTTCCTCTTGCTGTGCGGCTTCTGGGCGGTCGTGCTGTACGGCGATGTCGTCGTGCGGTGGGCGGGGCCGATTGTCGTGGGCATGGCCCTCATCGGCGGCATGTACGGAAGGAGGTACAGCCCGCTCAGCAGCAGTGGATGGACCGAGCCAGCTCGCGACCTAAAGGACTCCGTGGCACAGGCAGCCGCAGCAGCAACAGGGAGCACGCCGTCGGGAGCCTCGGCGGAGAATGGTACCCCGGATCGACATGGAAAACACTTGCGCGGTAACTCCGAGGTCACAAACACGAAACACCAGAAAACGCTCGACGAGATTGTAGAGACGCTCAAGGAGCTGACGGCGAGGTGCAACGCACTGATGGAGCCGCTCTTGGAGATGACGGATTTCCTGAGCACACAGCGCACACCCACGAGTGCGACGACGAAGCCGGCCCTGACCGCCATGTTTGTGCGGTTGCTTATCGTGACACCCTTCTGGATCGCGCTGGCGGCACCACCGTGGCGGATCGTGACGACGAGGCGGGTTGTGCTTGTGGCGGGCACGATCGCCTTGACGTGGCACGCGCGGGTGATGCGTGTCTCCAGGACGATACTATGGCGCAGCGGCAGTGTGCGACGGCTGGCCTCTGCCATCACGGGCTTACAGTTCCAGGCACCGCAGCTTGGCAAGGACCCGTACGGTGCCGCGCACGAGTCCTTGACGACTTTACACAGGAAGGGGGAGTCGGAACTCACGAGGGAGCTGCGTCGGCCTAGCCAGATGAATGTGAAGCATCGGAAAGGGAGGAGCTCGCGAAGCGCCGGCGTCAAGTTCACATTCATCATCTACGAGAATCAGCGGAGATGGGTCGGCCTCGGTTGGACAAACAGCCTATTCGCATACGAGCGGCCGGCGTGGTCAGACGAGAACTACAATGCAGTCCCTCCCAAGGACGATTTTGAGTTGCCGGATGTCGAGGACGGGGCAAACATGAGGTGGCGCTGGGCACCCGGCAGCCGATGGAAGGTGGATGGTGTGGCTGACGACCAAGGGCCAGTGGACTATGATGGGGAAGAGGGGAAGAATGGATGGATCTACTACGACAGCAAGGTATGCATGCAGTCTTGATCAATGGTGTTTGGGGGTTGTTGCTAACACGCAGGCAGTGGCAGAATGGCCGTCGAGGCGCAGATGGCTGGGGGCGATGGACACGCCGGAGAAAGTGGTATCGCGATGCCGAGCTCGTCGAGGCGGACGGGCCTGAGATCCACGAGCAGCCAAGCACGCCCACGGCATCCACGGCATCCACGGCATCCACGCCAGCCGCGCAAACCAACAAGTACCCCACGGCGGGGGAGAAGATGCTCTCGCCGATGCGTTCTGAGCCAGCCCTGCCCCTAATGGACACCACGGCGGCGGAGAACCGCCCAAGTACCTCCGACTCGAAAGACTCGCGCACTGGTGTCGACGACGCGGCGTCGGTGTACAGTACCTCCTCCAAGTCCTGGGCTGGGCTTTCGGGGTTTAGAAAGAATCGCCCCGGGTCAGTCGATAGCAAGCGTAGCAGGAGACGCGCCACGAGCGATGTGCTGAGTGAGGAGGAGGAGGACCACTTGAGCGGCTTGGGGATCGAGGTGGAGATGGAGCTTCAGAAGCAGGGCAAGGACGGCGGGACATGGGGCATTGGCGACGAGGCGAGGATGAGCCTCGAGTAAGTATCATAATAATATGTAAGAGATGTCAATGTCTGCATATCTTACCTCGCCAGACCTTGTTGCTTGCGTCCTCAGTCAGATCACAAGCCGGTCTTGGAGAATCGCGAGCCCCACAGAAATGCGGGGAGACGAGTAGGAAGAAGGCATAACGTCATCATCGTCCATCGCGCGATCATTCCAGAGTCCAGACTAATTCGGCCGTCCATAGTACATACGTACGTACCGACAAGTGAATAAAAACCCAATTGGCCGTCCCATCCTGCACAAGCTTCCTTCACCTCTCCAGTCTCTCGCCGATTCCCAGGCTCTACCATCCGCAACGCATCACAGTCTCACTTCATCAGCTCAGTCCAGTCCAACATGTCCAAGTCGAAAGCTCCCCTCTACCTTGGCCTTGGTGCCGCCGGCGGTGTTGGTTACTACCTCTACAATGCGGGCGGCAACGCGAAGGCTGCCGAGAACAAGTTCGAGAGTGCGTAATTACCACTTCCTGACGCCAAAACGACACAACACGTCGTGGATGGCACGATGACTGACACTGAACAGGCGATGTCCACAAGGCCTCTGCCAACATCAAGGCCAGCCTCCCCGGCAACGCGCCCAACGCGCAGCAGGATGGCGCGCACTACGGTGCCAAGGCTGGAGCCAAGGTCGACGATGTGGTACGTTGACTCCCATTCACTACAGCACCCGAATTCTCGCAGCAGAAGCACCTTGGAAGGGAGATGAAGACACCGTGGAGACGATGCGTCGCAGGCTGGGCTTAGCCTGGCCCCAGCCCAAGAGGTTCAAGTGGATCATTCGGGGAGCTCCAGCTCCGGGTGTCGTTACGTCACTCGGCTGTCCCTGCATCATCAGACCTCGCCAACTGGGCAACAACCAAACCCACACATCGCGCCGAAAACACCTGCTAACAGCAATCATTAGATCTCCGAGGCCGACAAGCAGGCTGGCCGCGCCAAGTCCAACGCCGAGGCCTACGCAAAGGACGCCAAGGCCGAGGCCCTCAAGGCTGTCGACAAGTTCGACTCCAAGGTCGAGGACGAGGCTGCCAAGGCCAAGTCTGGCATCTCCAGCTGGTTCGGTGGCAGCAAGTAAGGGGATCAAACAATGATGAAACGGAGTCTCAACGAGTGGCCCAAACAATGATGATGAATGGGCGTTTCCCTTTGTAATGATACAATAATGGCTCGCCGCGCTTGTTGGCGGCGGCGAATATTTATATACCCACTCTAAACTAGGAACGCCAGACCGTGGACTTTGCTTCTCGTCTCTACCGTACCGTGCTTTGGAACAATTCTCATGCCGTACGCCTGGAAAGAAGTCTAATGGGTACAGATGCACTCTACGCATCCAGCTCGGCGGCCACCAGCTTCAGAATCTCCTCGACCCCCTTCCTCGCGTTCGTGGGGTGCTTGGCCACCGTCTGCCAGACCTCGCCGTGGCGCGGCTCGTTCAGCACGCACTTTGTCACCACGTCCGCCTTTTTCTCCTCCGTGCCGTGCTGCGTCAGGAACTTGTAGTACCACGCCCAGCCATCGCCATTGTCGCTGTCTAGCACGAGGGCCTTCTCGAACCAGCTCTGCGCCTTGTCGAGCTTCCGGTCCGCCCAGAAGATGCGCGCCACCGCGATGAAGAGCGCTGCGTCGCTGTCGACCTTTTTGATGGCCTCGAGTGACCGGGGCTTGCGCTGCGTCCGCGGCTCGAGATGCCAGATCTGTTCCACCCACAGAATGCCGCTCTTGGGCACCTCTTGCAGCGCTCTCGCCATGATGGACTTGGCCTGGGTCATATTCCCGCTCCGCCTCTCGAGACGGACGGACTCGCGCCATAGCTCTGCATTCTTGGGCACCGCGAGGCGAGCGCGTTCCAGGACGGAACGAGCCTTAACGGTGTTACCGGCATTCTCCTCCAAGCGAGCATATAGTAACCATAGGGGCACGGCCTTGGGCACGGCCTTGACACCTTGCGCGTAGGCCTCGCGTGACTGTCCTACCTTGCCCAGGTCGTCGTAGATTTGCCCCTTGAGCATCCATAGCTTCGCCGTCACGGGGAACAGCTGCAGCGCCTTGAGGTTGAGGTCTAATGCCGTTTCCAGGTTCCCGAGCACCCGCTCAAACACCACGCTCTTCATCCACACGCGGTCGGTCGGTGCCTGCTCCCGTGCGATTTCGAGTAGTTTCCTCGCCTGGTCCTCGTTATCGTTCGCCGACTCTAATTTCACGGCGGCGAGCCAAATATCCTCGTTGTTGGGGTTCTGGTTGAAGGCGCGCTTGAGCACCAATCGTGCGCCGTCGACCTCGCCGGCCTGCCACTTCTCCTTAGCGAGCATCATCCATAGATCCTCGCTCTTGGGGCAGGCCTCAACAGCCTTCTCGAGGACCTGCCACAGGGATTCTCTTGTGCCGTGATTTCTCTCTAGGTCGGAAGCAGCCGTCCAGAGCGTCTTGCTGTTGACGAACACGCGTAGCGCGTAGGCGTAGATAGCACGAGCCGTCTCGTAGCGGCCCCTGTTGATACTCGCCCGCGCGTCGTCCATCCAGGTCTCCTTACGGTCGTCGTCCTCGTCGAGCCCCCAGCCAAGGGTCTCGCGGATAATAGCCTCGCAGGTGACGAGGGCGCCCTCCTCCTCGCATCGCTCCGCCTCGGCGATCCACTCCTCGCGCTTCGGCATGGCGGACTCCTTGGCCAGAACCTGCACGGCACGCTTGAGGACGTTGACCTTCTGCCCCTGGCCGAGCTGTTCCTGCAGCCGCGCGGCAGCGATCCAGATCTCGTGAGACGTCGGGCACGCCTTGCGCGCCTTGTTGAGCACTTTTTGCGCGTTCTCGGGCGTCTCCAGGCGGGCAAGGGCCAGCCACAGGTCCGTCGACAGTGGGATGAGTTCGGTTGCCTTGGCGAGCATGAGCTTGGCGTCGCTCTCATCGTCCTCCAGGTTGACGGCTTCCTTCCACAGAGCCTCCGACTCGGGTATGTGGTCGAGCGCCTGCCGGATGACGCGCTTCTTGTTGGCGGGGAGGTTCTCGAGACGCATGGCCTCGGCCCAGAGGCGGACGGATCGGTTGTTGGCCTCAATGGCCCTCCGCGCGATGACCTTGGCATTGTGGGAGTCGTTGTTCAGACGGATGTTCTCCAGCCAGGCGTCCTCGCTCTTGGGACATCGCTGACAGCCCTGATCGATAGTCTTCCGTGCCGATACAATCTTGCCAGCCAGCTCCTCTAGACGCGCGGCCGCAATCCATCCGAGCGCATTGTTGGGATTGGACTTGACCACAGAGGACAGCAGCTCCCGCACACGGTTGATGTCGCCCACCTGCGCCTGGCCCTCGGTCATTTGTAGCCTATTCAGATCGGTAATGTAGCCCTGCGCATCGATGCTGGTCGCGCTGCCGCTCGTCGCATCGCCCCCGCTGACCTGCGACGCAGCCTCGAGGCGTGACTGGAGCACCTTGCCTCTGGCCGCACCAATCTGAGCGAAATTCGTCATCGTCCCATCGGCCGAGTCGCCGCCCCCCGCACCACTTGACGCATCCCCATCATCCGCAACCGTCGTGCCCATGGCGCCCAGATCCCTCGCGCCAGCGAGCACGCTGTCCGGCACAGCGTAGAACCGTTGCCGCAGCGCCTGTCTACTTCGCCGATTCTTGCCCGTCAGATCGCCGACTTCGGGCAGGTTCGCCCACTCGTCGTCCGTCACTGTGCTCAGCGCCCTTTTCAGGTCCGTAAACTGCTGCTGGATCTTGGGGTTGTTCCGCTCATACTCCTCCCTTTCGGTCTGCTCACGCGCCTCACGCTGTCGTCTTCTTCGATCCATCCGCTCCTCGACCCAGTCCCAGATCTTGTCGGCCTCCTCGTCATCCTTGTCGTACACGCCGCCCGCAAACAGCCCAACCTCGTTGTCGGGGTCCTGGAACCGCTCGTCGTCGTTGCCGCCGTCGTCTTCCTTGTCGTCCTTGTCCTTCTTGGCACCGTCGAGACCAAGTTGTGCTGCGCGCTTGGCGAGCATCTCCTTCATTTGGTCATCGCTGGGACCCTCACGCGCAGGACCAAGATCTGACCGGGTCGTGAAGCCCGTCGCACCACGACCAAGACCGGCGACATAGTTCTCGGGCGCCGGCTGGCTGAGGAAATCCCGCCGAGTAGCCATGGTGGGCGTGCGTGGGGGGAGAGGTGTGCAAAGTTGCAGATGGTCAATGGATGGATGGCTGATCGCAGTTTCAGTCGCGTTGGAGGTTGTCAAGCTTGGGTGGTGCCATTAAGGCCGATTTGCACGCACAGGCTTTGGTCTACCTGTACAGATGGTCGCTGAATTGGCACCACTAGCAAAATAACACCATTCGTTATCGATAAGCCCTCCAACCCAAAAAGTTTATCCCACCGTCGACAATGTCGCCGTCACCCCACGACAAGAGATTTCCATCCCGCCTCACCGTACCAACGATCCACGTTTGCCTGGTCTCTTCGCAAGCCATGGCGAAAGTGAAGACGCCCAAGCGCAGCGGCGCATCCTCGACCCCGTACGAACGACCCTCGAAATCCGCCGCCGCCGCCGCCGCCGCCGCCAAGAACAACGTCTTCAAGTTCAACACCAATGTCGGCCAGCACATTCTCAAAAACCCCGGTGTCTCCGACGCCATTGTCGAAAAGGCCTTTCTCAAACCCACCGACACCGTCCTTGAGGTCGGCCCTGGTACCGGCAACCTGACAGTCCGCATCCTCGAGCGCGCCAAGAAATGCATATGCGTGGAACTCGACCCCAGGATGGCGGCTGAGGTGACGAAGCGTGTGCAGGGCACGCCGGAGCAGAAGAAGCTCGAGGTGATGCTCGGCGACGTGATCAAGACCGAGTTGCCTGCCTTTGACGTCTGCATTTCAAATACCCCCTATCAAGTATGTGGCTTGATCTACTGCTCTCGTCGAAACTACTGACAAGGAGCAGATCTCCTCGCCTCTCGTGTTCAAACTCCTCGCCATGCCCAACCCTCCACGAACCTCCGTCCTCATGTTCCAGCGCGAATTCGCCCTCCGCCTCACCGCCCGGCCCGGCGAGACGCTGTACTGCCGTCTCTCTGTCAACGCGCAGTTCTGGGCCAAGATCACGCACATTATGAAGGTCGGGAAGAACAACTTCCGGCCCCCGCCACAGGTCGAGTCCAGCGTCGTGCGCATCGAGCCCAAGATCGGCAAGGACAGGCCCAACATCAGCTGGGACGAGTGGGATGGCGTGCTGCGCGTCTGCTTTGTGCGCAAGAACAAGACCCTCCGCGCCAACTGGCTCGGCACCAAGGAGGTTGTCAGCATGGTGGAGCGGAACTACCGCACGTGGTGCGCCATGAACGGCGTCGCCGTCGACGAGAGCATCGTGGAGGACGGGGACGACGCGGTCGGCGACGATGTGGATATGGAGGCTGATGGGGACGCGATGGCAGTGGACGAGGATGAGGAGGTGCCTGATTTCTTCAAGGAGCGGCAGCAGCAGAGCAGCGTGCCCAAGACCAAGAGCAAGCGCAAGAAGACCAGGGTCCACGAGCTGGTCCGCGAGAAGATCCGCAAGGTCCTCGAGGACGTGACCGAGTTGGCGGACAAGCGCGCGGGCAAGTGCGACGAGACGGACTTTTTGCGGCTGCTGCACGCTTTCAACGAGGAGGGCATTCATTTCTCATAATCAGCGCGGCTCACACGACGACAAACGGTGTGAATTGTGGCGTTTCAACGGCGTTTGGGAGAATTGGGCTTTCCGGGGCAGCCAGTGCTTTCATAGATGATACAGACGGGTGTGTCACAAAAGGTGTTGACGACATGAACGAACTTTTTTTGTCTCGTAGATAACTGAGACTCACTCAATCACACCGTGAGATCATAAAGCAGTAGCAGTATAGCAACGATTTGATTTGTGGTATTTTTGGCGTTCCCATAAGCCCCCAGAAGTGTACTTGTACACTGTGTTCAAAGTAAAATATTTTCCCCTGCAGTCTGTCGGTCTTTTGTCATGACACGTTATAAATACAACAACGCAAATTTTGAACCGCTCCATCTATCGCTAATGTCGGAGCAAAACAAAGAAGATTCCTTCCAATGATACGCCCTGCGCGGCGCGAGACGAGGCGAGGCTACGCCAGAAATACGGAAAGGGAATAGGAGAAAAGGTCCAAACACCAACCAGTGGGTCGCCGCCCACATAACCAAGTGAAGAGGATTGCTCCGTTTGCTAGCTCGCTCCATGCTGATGCACGCTCGATTTACACAAAATGGAAGACAAAGGGAAAGAGGTGGCAGGCTTCAGCCCTCGTGCGTGCCATTAGGCCTCAGGGACGGGTCGTTGGCCGAGTTTGGCGTAACGTGCGTCCGCCCCGACACGGTCGCACTACGGACGTGCGTGCTCAAAGGCAAGCTGTACTTGACGACGCCTTTGATGATGAGGTCAAACTCGTCCTGGTAAATACGTTCCCAGCGCTCTGATCCGCCCGATGTGCCGTTACCTGGGTACGAGAGCTGCATTTCGCCCGAGGAAGAAGACGTGCCCTTGTGGAAAAGTGAGCCCTCGAACGTCAGGGGGCTGTCGAACTCCGTGATCCGCCCCAGAAGCACATTGGGTCTGACGGCGTCATCGTCGGGCAGGTCATTGATCGGATCGTCGAGGACGTGGAAGTCGTCCGAATCCTGAGGCACTTTCCACCAGTCTGAGTCTGTACCGGCGTGCTCAGACTTTGCAAAGATTTCCAGATTCGCTTGGTCCACAGTGACGACGACAACATTGGGATTGTGTGCTTTGACTGTCAAGTCGAACATGAGGACCTGCTCGCTGGTCACCACATTGTTGATCGATGTGATCTCAATGTCCGTCATCGGTTGCGAAGTGGCAAACATAAAGCCAATCGCGCCCGTGATGACGAGCAGGAGCATCATCGTGAGCACGAGGCATGCTGCAAACCGGTTGAGGTACGATGGGCGGCGGTCAAAGGATTGAGCTTCAGCTTGCCTCAAGCTGTGCGGACCCCTTCGTCGACCGATCCCTGGCCGGCGCGCCGACCCCGGCCCCATGAGAGGCGTGCGCTCATCGTCCGCTCCCGTTGTTGCCTCGTCGGCATCGTAGTTGGACAGTTGATAGTTGGATCGCTTATGGCTCAGTCCATTCGCCAAATAGCCTCTAGGACTGGGCGGGCCTGACGAGTTGCGGGACTGCTGGCCAGCAAGCTTCGATTTCGCGGCATTCGGAAAAGGCGACTCGTTGTCGAAAAGCGAGGCATGGCCGTTCCCAGGCTGCCGTCCCCAACGCCCAATGTGATGGTGATGGCGCACGGTACCTCGGCCCGAGCCACCAGCGCTGCGACCAGTGCCTTTCCCATCATCGTCGGCATTGAGGCTTTCGCTCCCCGGAGTGGCAAGCGTGTTCACAAATTTCATATTCTTCTTCGGGCCGTGCGCGGGGGGCCCCGAAGTACTTTCCATGACACCATGGATGGACCGGAAATGCTGGCGGTCTGCCTGGCTGGCCATGCTCGTAGCACTTGGCGTTCGCGAGTGAAATCGACGCGCTGTGCGCTCACCGGCATCCGGGGGGTTGGAATCGTACACAAAGGTCTCTTCGGAGTCAGACGTGTTGGCTTCATCGACGGCGCTCGCAATCTTGGCCTCGAAGACGTCTGCTTTCGAGGATGCTAAACAAGGCGGACGAGTTAGCAAATTGCTCCCATGAAATGGACTCAAAAGAGACCGGTGTGTATATCTCATCGATGGATGGGGTAGTGGTGCAGTCTGGATTGAACAAAGTTTGGAAATGCGGAGTCTTACCATTACCAGAGCTAACGTTGATTTGTTTTCTGTTTGGCTTCTTTTTCTCTTTCTTGGGCTTGATGGTTTCGGCGCTAGGCTTGGCCTTGAGCGCATGTCCTTCGGATGACTTTGGCCCCGATGCCAGTACCACTTGCGGTATGCTGGCCACGGTCTCGGTCTCGACGGTCATGTTCTGCGAGGGATTGTCCGACTTCCCCTTGAACTGTTTCGAAGAGACAGCGCTCGATTGCCGCTGGACCATTGGTGGGGGGCCCGAGCTGGCACGTCGATCGGCCCTTGGTGTGCTGCTGTTGGTATCGCTGGCTGTCTCTGTTTCAGAGTCTACAACCCTCGCTTTCGCTTGTAGAGTTGGCGGATCATTGGGCACGCCATCCGACTGGCTTCCAAGTCGTTCGCCGACTCGCGCCATGAGCGCCGCGTCGCTGGACGGGCTGGGGGAGTTCGGCAGGCTGACTTCTTGCACCGTCTCCAGGGCGCTGCGCGCTGGCGTCCTTGTGCCCGAAGGTACCGCCGAGTCTTCCGTGTCACTTCCCGAGGTCGTTAGTAGAGGATCCGGCGCTGAAAGTGCTGGCTTTAATGAGGGTGAAGCGCTCGGGACGTTAACCGCTGGGAGCGCGTCTTGTTCTTTCCGGCGGCCGGCGGCCCCTGCAGCCTTGTTGAGTGGCGGAGGGGACCTGAGACGAGGTGAGACAGGCCACCGCGGGCTTTCCCTTGACTCGGACGCTACCGGTTTTCGGGGCGTTGGCGCTTGGATTGGAGGGTCTGAACTCGGAGGAAGCGAAGGCGTGGAGGTGGAGGTGAGACTCTTGGAGGACGCAGTGCGTATCGGCGCGCTGGCGCGTATTTGCATCTGGCGCGTCGGACTGATTTCCTGCTGTTGACTGTTCTTCCGTGACCTCGAGGTCAGAGGAGTGGCAGATGTTGTTCTTCGGGGATTGCGGTTTGGCGAGCCCTCTCGAGACGCAAGAGGGGACGGTGTCATGGAGGTAGTAGCCGACGACTGGCGAGAGTGCTTTTGCGAGTCGGGTTGCGAAGGATCACCTGCTACGTCGCCGTGGCTCACCGACGCCGGCGGCGTTTGTCGGCGAGGACCACTGTTGCTCATGTTGCTGTTGCTGATGATGCTGGCACTAGCCGTGGCGGGCGCGTTGGGGGTCCGTGGGGTGGCAGGCGACGAGGTCGATCGTGCATATGCCACTGGGATGCACCTCTAAAGGTGATTCGAGTAGAAGACTGGATGGGATTGGATCATGTCGCCCATACAGGACGTGCTGATGCCCAACCCCAGAAAAATGGTGGTTGAGAAGGTCAGGTTTATGGACGCTGTATGTGGCTCGTCGTGCCTGCTCCTGTAGGTACGGTACGTGTACGTGCGTGGGTGGTCGGTCGTGCTGCTGCCGGTTGCCAGGTCTGTCCAGCGTCACAGGATTACCAGAGGCACAGTATTGTCCAGACTGTTGGGGCGCAGTTGATGGGTTGGAGAAGCGCAACGCTGTTCAGATGGCGTATTGTATTGTTGGCAGAGACGAAGAACGAGAGAGGTGCGCACGGGCTGACTTGACAGCCAAGAACGTCGAATTGGTCGGTCAAGTTGGGACTGGGGAAGCGAAGGGACCGGTGATGGGATGGCATGGGCGACGGAAGATTGTGAGCCAGCATGACACAACCTGTCGGGTTGTCCAACAAACGATGACGGGGATCCGCGCCAGTCGATATACAGTTAGAGCCGGGTACAGCGCAAGCCTGGTAGTGCACTGTTGCTGGGCCGCCTGCCCTGCACTGGCAGCACGGCACGCACTGCATTGATGACGGTGGAGCAATCCCCTCCGGCTGCAGACTGCGCCGTGTATCGAGTACGCGTCACCACACCCAGCGCACCAGCCTGGCGCAAGTACCTCTCTCTTGCAGGCATCATCGTTTGGGGGCCTGTGCAAATTGCTGGGATTAAAAAACCACTTCACCACAGCGTCACCAGTCGGCGCCTTCCGCTGCAATTCACACTCTGGTCACCCTGATGCAACGCACCGCGCAGCCCAGTCTGGTGATTCTCATTTTAAAGTTTGGACTATTAGTAAATGCATCAAATTTTCCAAGTTGCGCAATACAGTTGCTGTGTTGCGGCACTACTAAACGAGAGAAACGTCCTGCAGTAACAAGTGATTATCCGTGTCTTACTCGTGTCTCGATGAGTGTAATAGTAATAGGAAGTACAAGTGTACCATAGCAGCTCCTGCATGTGCTTATCCTCCGAGGCTCGAATTAGCACCGCACGACGTACTCTATTATTCACTCACTGTGCCTCGACCGAAACCTAGCCCTGGCTGTAAGCAGGGACAACGCACTCCGCGGAGCCAGACGCAAAGATGCCATGTGACCGCCTTGCCGGAGGATCTCCATAGGTGCTTCTACTACGTATACCACCACCACTCGGCTGTTCCTGGGAAGCTCTTAGCTGGCGCCGAAACAGGCTCGACGGCATGGCTCAGGTTCCTGTGTGTAATCATCGGCAATCTATTCAGAACAGGAAGGGGTCGACTGACCAGACCCGAACGACACCGCCATTTTCACCATGACCGTACATACACGCAGCCTACGAATATTATTGAACGAGCCCTAGAAATGACTGGACCCTCCCTTTCGTTGCTCCACAGTCTACTTATGCTCATGCTCAAGCACAAGATGATGAATTGGCACCGCTGGGCCGCTGGCAGCAAGCAGGCCACACACCTGTTGACAACGGGGAAGGTGCCGGTGCTAGCGGGCAGCCGGACCCTGCACGTTGGTCCCGTTCAATCCGGCCACTGTTGTCAGCAACAAACAACAGCATGAAACCTCGGTCAGAGAGGCTGCTTCTCCCGTCTTCCAGTCGACGGAGAATCGGGGAAGGCAACTGGAGCTGCGCAGAAACGCGTCAGACCCGGAATCGGTACGCACAATGCGATATTTTCTCCTCGACCTATCAGTGATATTTGGTCGATGGACTATGCGACTTATTATGCTCATGTACCCCGCAAACAACCATGCCCGTAGGCTGTAGGGCCACTGCGTGAAATGCAGTCGTAGGTTTTGCTCCGCCAGCAGTGCAGCAGTGCAGCACTGCGAGAGCTGAATCACGATCCCCCATCCCATTCCTGCCATTTCCTGGTTTCTGGCGTCACCGCTCAGTCAGGACTCAATCGCGCCAGGCGTTATCGGCTGGGAGAACAAAGGCACATATGTGTCATTTGTTGACAAACTTGACATGTTCACAACGAGTTGACCGACGCATCACGGCATGGCCGCCGCCGAGACTTTTGTGCCTCCCGCTATTACTGCATTCGGCAACGGTACCTGATCTTCCATCATGTTTCCCTAAAAGGCCTCGGCGCATAAGGCGTGGCAACATCAAAAAGGCACAACCTACTTCGGCGGATCGCGTGTCAGTTAACCTCACGCAGGATGTCGGACGTGGTGACAGCCAGGTAATCATGCCTCAGGACTCAAAGGGCATTCTGCTGGTCAGATGTGCTGTCAATGTAGTTGGGGCGCTCCCATTCCCCCACTATCTTCATAGGAAGCTTATCATTGCGTGAGCATGGGTTCCAAGAAGCTGAGAAGGCTTCAATCCTACGTTGGAGGACCGGGTCGCTATCTGGAGACGTGCTGTATGCGAGTCATTGCCATCAGATGTTCCTTAAACTTCTTCAGCGCAGTTTCGTGGTGTTCCAGAAGAGAATGCCGAGCTTCGACACTAGGGTGAGGTGGGCATGGCTTGTCACTGGCGCAGCAACAGGAAAACAATGCCGAAATTCTCTTCAATATCAGGTGAGCACTCCGTAGGCATTTGGGATACGTATGTCAAATTATCAATACGTAGCATTTTACAGTAGCACCCATTACTTTTAGGACCGGATCTGTCGTGCGGGTCGGTCCGTTGCGACGGACGTGGCTGCAACTATCGCACATGCAATTGAGCTAACCTACAGTTCGCAATGACAAGCTTGACAACAATAACGACGTGGGATGTACGGTTACCCTCTTCTAATTGTGTTCGTAAAGACAGTCAAAATCAATAATGAAGCCAAATTTAAGACAGGACGTATCCCTAATCATGCCACTGAGGAAATCAACCGGGTGGAATGGGAGGCATTGGATCATGGAAAGCGCCGCGTCCAAATCGTTTGCCGCATTCTTTTGGTCAATCATCAGAACTAAGAATACCAGGTAAAATAAGCAATAAGTTTGAAAAAAAAAAAAAAAGGAAAGAAAAAGAGAAACGTCAGCTGCTTCCGCCCGCTTTGACACACGGATGCCATTTTGGTCTACGTGTACATTGTCCAGCCTCTGAGGCTTTGACACGACACCCCTGCCATGCCATGCAGCAGCCTCGTCGTGACGGTGGTGGTTTGGGGCCTCACCTCACCACACCACAGACAACGATGGGCGCAGTTCAGGCCGCTATTCATATGCTTTTGCACAGCCTAGAGCATCCCATTAAAATGGCGCACAGCATGCCATAGCTAGCTTCCGCTGCGAAGCACACTCGAGAGACCAGCTGCTTTGTGCGGCCTGAAAATCTCGACGGATCATCCCAATCTCATAAGACACTTACATAAACTGATACAGACTTGTAGATAACGGTTTGCATAGAATGAGTGATAGCGCTGCAAGTCTGGTCAACCAGCCTCAATATACGTTGACACGACAAATACGACCCAGTGTCGCAGCCGTTGTGGCCTTCTGCAAACGTGAACCCATACAATGTCTTCAATCTCCGGACCAGCCGACAAAACCGTCCATGCGCCGTCATTGACCGTAATGATGTATACATGTTTGCCTCCTGAACGCTGACCCAGTCGTACACAATATACCCAGGACCCCTCTCCCCAACGACACCATGTATCCAAGTGATTACTCGTGAAAATTATCCCAACCCAGGCCCTATAGACAAATCCCTGCCAAGAATGAATGATCGCAGCGCTTCGATCGGACTCTACTCGGAAGTCTGGTTGCCCGTGCCCGTCGCCTCGTCCTTGCTGTCTTTCTTGGCCCAACTCCAGCTCGCAGGAATCCAGCTCGCCCGCTTGTCATTCTTGCCGACGTCAGGGTTTTCTTGCACAAGCCGCAGTGGCCGAGGCTTGCCGCCGGAAAATGTCGTCCCCTTGTCGCTATGAGATCGCGGAGGCGACTGCGAAGGCGGCGTTGACAGGTCACCGGAATCTCCGCTGACACTCGAGGTCTCACTGCGCATGCCCGGAAAGTTTCCGCTCGAGGCGGTCGTGTTGCTGCCCGATGGATAACGAGCTGCTGTGTTGGGGTTGTTGCCGGACATGGACGCTGGCGAGAAGAAGGACTGCGAGTGACGGGGGTTGTTCAGAGATGGTGAAATGGGGCCATCTGGCCCCTTGTACATCTGGCTCACAAGGCTTGCCGCTCCCGTGTACTGTTCACTCTGTGGTCGCGATCTTCGCGTGCTGGTTGATCGGGTGAGGTTGTTGATGGGAATGCTGGGCGCCGTTTCAGGATCGGTATGCGCCGAGTTGGCAGTCGACGTTTTGGGAGGCATCATCGACATGGGACGTTGCTTGGCCTTTGCAGGTCCCCCAACAGCCATGGTCTTGGCTCTCTGCAGGAAGGTCTGGCTTTTGTCCTCAGGAGGCGCGGGAAGGTCCTTATTCGTATCTGCTGCTGGCTTGATTTCTCCCGTCGAAGTGTCGAGGATCGACTCAAAGTCCTGGTGCTGCAAAAGGCGCTCGATGATCTTGTTAATGTACAACGTCAGCGCCTTGTTCTGCTCCTTCATCGACTTGAGTTCGCTCTCGAGGCGCGACTCAGTGCGCGGCTTGTCGCTTTCGCCGTCAGCCTCGGCCACTTCGCTGAGTTCGTCTGCTAGAGAGGAGCCGCCAGTCTTGCCCTCGAGCGCAGCGAGTGCATCCTGATTCGAGTTGGCGCCCATGTAGCTAAAGTCGGTTTGACCAAAGTCGCCCTTGAGTGTACGCTCCTGCAGAAGCAACTGATAGCTTTCGTTGTCCTCCATCAGACGCGCATTCGCCATACGCGCCTCCATCAGGAGGCGCTCGACTTCCTGCAGCCGCCCACCGCCTTGGTTCTCCGTTTCGACGAGCTTGATCTGGGCCTCGGCGAGTTCGAGGCGAAGCGACTCGATGAGCTTGTCTTTCTGGAGGATGAGCTTCGAGCTGTTGCGCGAGTCACTTCGCTGCAGAGACGACGGCGGTGCGAAGCTGTTGCCATCAAGAGACGGTGAGTGATTCGCTATCGTCGTTAGCATGAATGCGCGCAAGGCCATGTAAAAGCAGGACTAACCTTGGCGCGAAGGCCTGCCCTCGTCTTCACCGTTGTTTCTTGACGCCAAGCTGTCCTTTAGGCGCTGTATCACAGTTTGCATCTCCTCTTCCCGATTGGCCATTTCCTCTTTCTCCTTGAGAATGGAGCTCCTCTCCGACTCGTAGATGGATTCCATCTCTCTGATCTGGCGCGTCGCCTCGCGCTTCTCGTTGCTGAGCGTTTCGATGTGCTCCTCGAGTTCGTGCACCTTCTCCTCCATCTTGGCCGATTCTTTCGTAGAGTCCTCCAGCTTCGATTGCAGCACGTCGATTTGCTTCTTGTGTTGCTCAGACTGCTTTTCTTCCTTCTCGAGTCGTTGCTGCAGATCCTCGACTGCGGCTGCGGCGTCTGCGCGAGCTTCCGAATCGGCGCCGCTCATGCCGCCCGTGTCTCGTCGCGTGATCGCTGCTCGAGCTGACACAGGCGTGCCTGTGCGAACTGATCGTGTGCGGGCGTGTCCACTGGCAGGTGTCGAAGTTGAGCGCGCTGAGTTACTGCGCGACGGTGACGAGCTGGGGGACGAGCCGGTCTCCGCGTTCGATACTCGCCCGACGCCTCCAGAAGGAGGCTTCTTGGGGGCGGTGGACATGGTGGGTGCTGGCGTATGGTCGTGTAAATAATGCTCGATGGGTGCTGAAACTACGTCGGCCAGTAGATACAATCAGCGTGTGGGTAGCGGCGACTGTATATCTCGAAAATACGGTGTCGGGTTGCTTGCTTCGAATCCTAAGTTCTGTAGTGATATCGAAGGACCCCTGGTCTGAGGTCTTCACAACAAAGGGGACAAGGTGGACAGTCTCCGACTGGGGCGCCACACGGTGCTGCCCCGCCGAAACCGATGTTTCGTGCTTAGCGTGTTTGAAAAGATTGGCTTCAGTATGCAGCGGCGCGCAGTCCCTAAGGTGTGGGTTAGAGATCTGTGAGGAAATAAACGAAACCCAGAGCATCAAAGTCTATAAGAGATTGTATGTCGACGACGATCCAATCGCCTTCGTCATTCATGTACAAAGCCGTTACGATCCGGTGCCACCTCGCTACCCTGCGCCTCACCCACAACCCCTCGCGCCACACAGTGCGCAGCTACTCGATTACTGGGATCCCAGATTAAGGCAAAGAGGAATGCAATTTGCTCGACATTGTACTATTACAGCACCATGTCTTAGCGGAGCTTGTGAGCCGCCTTGAGCAGGACATGCAAACCATGTTACATGCATAGGCATCACAAAGAATAAACTTGTAGCGGCGGATAGATCATTGTATTGTTTCATTTGGGCCAAGATCTTGTATCTGGTCACATTGACGAGCCCGAAACAGGGTGTGCGAGCACCCACAGCCACCTCATTTCGCATCGCATGACTGGTATCCTCAAGAGCCCAAAACCAATTTTCCGAAACGCCTCCTAATGCATTTTCCGTTGGCTCAGACCACTTAAGCCTGCTGGTCGGCGAGGATATCGGAGTCACCGGCGTCGAGGATGGCCATGGTGCCGCAACGGAAGAGCTTACCGCAAGCGGTACCAAGCTCAATCTGTGGAGGAACGTGTAAGCCGATGTGCACCCTCCAAAGTCTGGAAAGACTTCTTCTCTGGGTATGCTGTGGAGGATCTCTCCAGGACAGCAGAGGCAGATGCAGAAGCAGAAGCAGAATCTACGAGGCTGGGAACTTACGTTGTTGCCGCCAAAGTGGTGGATGGGGGCCTTGGAAAGCATGGAGTAGTACTCAAGCTCGCTCTTGCGGAGAGGAGGAGTATTGCCAGCAATGATGATGAGCTTGGCCTTGCCGGAGCGGAGGGACTTGAGGGTCGACTTGTAACCAAGGGTGACTGTACACAAGTTAGATTGAGGAATTTGATGCCGTTGAGATGGAGCGTACCCTTGCCAGACTTCATCACAAGCGCAAGCTTGGAGTTGAGGGAGTTGGCATCCTTCTTGCTCTTCTTGACGGCCATCTTGTCGTTGGATTGCTGGGCGTTCCTCGAGGTGGCTGTTGGTGATGTGGTGAAGGTTGGATTGACAAGAAGTTCGCTGCGTGCTGCAATGGATTTTGCACTTCCACCAGACCATCACGGCATGGTGGGGCAAAGGGCACCATCCGGCTGGCCAATCAATACGAGCTCCACCAGAATCGTTAAGCCCTAAAGTGCCGAAGTTCACACGACGCCACCACTCTTGAGTCACACGGGCTTTGAAATCAGGCGAATGGGTGGATTTGTCAGTGCAGCGCTCCAGGAGGACTTGGGTCTTTTTCGCCGGACGAACTTGCATCTCCCCTCGATCAACATCACCACCCCCACGACTCATCAGCAATACCGACAAGATGGCTCGCCGTCCCGCCCGTTGCTACCGCTACTGCAAGAACAAGGTGAGTTTTTGAAGGATGGGGAGAGCGTGGACGGCCTCGAAGCTCCCGGCTGAGCGCACCTGTGCGCTTCTCTGGTTGACATGCGTCACGAATTGTTGGAACAGAAGCATCTAACATCATCACCAGCCGTACCCTAAGTCGCGCTTCAACCGTGGTGTCCCCGACCCCAAGATCCGCATCTTCGATCTCGGTCGCAAGCGTGCCAACGTCGACGACTTCCCCCTCTGCGTCCACCTGGTCTCCAACGAGTATGAGCAGCTGAGCTCTGAGGCCCTTGAGGCTGCCCGCATTTGCGCCAACAAGTTCCTCGTCAAGAACGGTGGCAAGGAGTCGTTCCACCTCCGTGTCCGCGCTCACCCCTTCCACGTCGTCCGTATCAACAAGATGTTGTCGTGCGCCGGTGCCGATAGATTGCAGACCGGTATGCGTGGTGCCTTTGGCAAGCCCAACGGCACTGTCGCCCGTGTCAACATTGGCCAGATCCTCATGAGCGTCCGCACCCGTGACTCCAGTATGTTTCCCCCTTCAAGTTTGCGATGCCTACGTTATACTAACTCTCCACAGACCGTCACCTTGCTCTCGAGGCCTTCCGCCGTTCGCAGTACAAGTTCCCTGGTCGCCAAAAGATCATCGTCTCCAAGAACTGGGGCTTCACCCCTCTTCGCCGTGATGAGTACCTGGAGCGCAAGGCCGCCGGCCGTGTCAAGGTTGACGGTGCCTACGTCCAGTTCCTCAGCAACCACGGCAACCTGAGGCAGAACATGCGCCGCTTCCCCGAGGCTTTCCAGCAGGAGGCTTAAATGGAATTGGTACATGGGTTATGGCGTCAATGAGGAATGTTACATAGACTCTACGGGGTGTAACGACAATTGATTTGAGGCTTTTGTCTCCGGCTGATACCAAAGGCAGTGATCTTTCGCAGTGCATGCATAATTGGCGACTGGCGAGGAAATACAGAATATGTTGATGAATCCTCTCGCGTATCGAAAGATGTAACTCTGACCTTGAGTCTGCTCTCGCGGGCTAGTATCATTATACAGACTTGTACCACACACGTAGCGAGCGCGCAGAGCAGTCGTCAGAGCTAGGCACATCCCCTTTTCATGTATGTTGCAGTAAGGCACTGCTACCGGTACCTTATCCTATGGTGCATTGCACTTCCCTAGCGTACGTTGTAGATCTCACAATTGCGTCCATGGTGCTTTCAGGCTCGTGGCATCAAAGTATAAGACGGAATAAGGCAGCAGATAAGGCCGTAAGGTAAATTGTCTGCCTTTGTACCAAGTAGCTAGACTTATGAAGGCATAGGGAGAACACAAAACATAGAGTTGGGTTGGATGAGGCAATACGCAGCCAATAGCGCTGCGTCCACTCTCTAGGCTGGCTTCAGTATCCGTACAATGACGAGCAATATGTGCACGTACTGATTGTCAGCGTCGGCTGCTAGTTTTCTACCAGCAAGCAATGTTGTCGCATCACGCGCGAATACGTATCGAGGCTCGACCGCCACATTATCAGGCTGATCGGGACAGACGGGAGAGGCGGCTATTGATTAGTCCAGTCTTCCGTCAGCGTTTGAGGAGGTGACAACGCACGCGACTACTTTCGCTGGACGACAGCTATTCCTGGCAGACCGCCCCCACTCCAGTCGCAGATCCTCCTCCCGATACTGTTGACTGAATGACGCCCAAATCAGGTACTCGAGTCAGCTGGGCCTCTGCCACAGGTGTAGCCACCCGAGCCCCCCAACAGAGTCGAGACGCCATTCCGTCAATTCCCTGTTTCCCCTTCTCAAGTCACAAATTAGGGGTATCGGCGAGGAAACCCCTCGTATACTCCTCGGGCCTTCATCAGATACTAACAGTTTCCCTCAACATCATTGATTGCTGCATTCGTCGACGCGGGGACTTTATGGCTCGTTAAGGCTACGGTGGTCCACTGTATCTTATCACCATCTGCCGTTATCAGCAGACCCCAGTCGATCAGTACCATTCCCCGATAACCGTAACCGCAAGCCATCGTCATTAATACAGCGCACCACGTCCTTTGAGCTGAGGCACATTCACTTCTCAACAAACGCCAGAAATCAACATGGCGTTCCATCAGCCGACTCGCCAGGCCGTGCAGCGGGCATTTCGCCAGGAAGACCGCGAGACTGGCGTGTCCCAAGCCCGCCCATCGGTGGACCCGCATCGTCTCGATGAGTCGCAGACCAGCTGGGTACTCTTTGCTCCCGCTACAGATGCAGGGACAGCGACTACAGCAACAGAATCCGATTCCAGCGCAGCACGTCCCGCGAGTGTACAAACCCCCGGACGATCGAGGGTGAGCGATCTCGGCAGCCTACGCACCGCTGCGAGGTCGGGGAGCGATGCACCGTCAGCGGCTCCATCGGTAGATGAAGCAGTGGTCGAGGAGGACGGGGAATTAGACAGCCTCGACAGCCACCTCCCTTCTTTTCGCTCACTTCCAGGGAGGCACTCCCATTCACAGCAAGGCAATTACCAAGACGCAACTGTCTTCCCCGGCCACGATGGGCTTGGCTCATTCAACTTGGACAACCTTGCGTCGGCGGCAGAGGCCCAGGACCACCTCTACCAGTTCGAGCAGTTCAACCCGAAGCGGAATCGCCGACGAAGGGAGAGTTTCGAGCACCCACATATTGACTGGGAGGACGAGCGGGTGCGGGAGACAGAGAAAACGCAGCGGATCGAAGCTTGGCGCCTGGAGCATAGCCAGGTCCTCCTGGAAGAGATCCAACGAGAGACCCGGCGAAGACGGAAGTCTCAGGCTGCTCTCCGACATGTGCGGGCAACGCAGCCTGCCGCGAAAGCATCGCAACCCATCGATGATTCTGACAGTATGACCTGGCATGATGAGGACGACGATGTGTCGGCAGACCAAGACGCTGATGGCTTCCTCGCCGCATTTATGCAACGAGTCATCAAGAACATTCTTGGTATAGATGACCGCATGCTGTCAATACTATTTGGCGAGGGCATGCCGGAAAGCGAGGAACTGTCGAGCACGCCGCGAGCCTCGCAGCTGAGCGGCCAGATTGCAGAGTCAAGTGAGTCGTGGCAGACGCAAATGCTGGAACGGGTCTCGCGAGAGCTTGGGCTGCTGGTCAACCAACTGTCTCACCATCCCGGAGCTTTCTCAACGTATCAGCGGATGCAGCAAATGCCTCTGCCATACGCTGGCCTACCTGTGATACCTGAAAGCGGGAGTGTCTTGGACACAAAAGACCACCGTGATGCATCATCAGAACGGCCCAAGTCCCCCGAATTCGCACCAACAATACCCCAAGCCACTCGAGCCCTGAACATCCCAGGGCGTCACGACACGTCGACTGAAGAGGATGTGAAAATGGGTGATGCCTTCACAAAGGAAGAGTGGGAGCGTGACCTTGACATCAAGCTAGTCTTCAAGTACATCCGGTCCCGCTTCACCTCTCGCAGTGCAGCACCTCAGGCTGCCACCAACAGCTCGTCCAGCATGCAGGACGCAGCCGCCAAGGCCGCGCGCGTCCGTCAGCATCACCCATTGATTGCACGTCCGCGCACGGCGGCCGAGCGGCGATCGTTCAAGGTGGTCGCTGGACCGAGCAGCCCTGTCGCCATGCGCCACAACAGCAGCTGCGCCAGTCAGAGCACGCGGCGATCAGCGAGAAGGAGCAGCGTCTCGTCGCGGCATTACTGGGACATTGGCGGCTCTCTGGGGACTGGATCCATGATCGCCCCAACAGGGCCGATGGGGAGTTGGGGAGAGGTCTGACGGCACTGGGAGTGTGCATAGTGTACAATATTATGACATGGGAGCATATGCAGCGCGTCATCTTTAGGACATATTTGAGAGATTACAGTATACACAATGTTGGTGTGATAGAAAGCCGCCATTGCTCAACTTCCTGTCACACACCACCGTCGCAACACAGTTAGTCGAGTCATCATTTCGCCTCACGTGTGATTCGCGATTCTAGAATCATCGTCGAGATCGCCGACAACGCGCATGTTGACTACCATCCAATAATTGACGCAGCCTCGCCGTAGACGAAAGCATCTTTGCGTGATACACAAGGTAATATTGACTTAGAAGCAGACACACCGCCCGCTGTCGCTGACTCAAGAGACGGGGAATGCTTGCAGGTAGATTCTATTGGTGAGTGGTGACAATCACTGAGAAAGTACTATCAGGAGAACGCGCGCCGCGTAAAGCCCCTCGTCGCACCAAAATGCGCGCGAGTTATAGAGAGGCATCTCCCCAGGGTACTTAAAGGTGGATCCTACTGGGCGCTGCTTTATCGGTGGCTTTCCACATCAGTGTGGCCTTGGAACTGCGCACTCGCTGGAGGATTGAAATTGATCGCTTCATAATGCGAAGAAGCAAGGTATTGCATCAGACCAATCGATCTAAACATTTCCAATTCGCTCAACGACATGAAAAAGTCGTAGTCCCCGCACACACACTAGTAGCCTCCAGTCATTCCTGGGGTCAAAACCAGCGGCCCCGAATTGCCTGACCTGGACTGGCGCAGCGCGTCGGGACGTGTCGCAGACCCCCACAAGACGCTGGCGCCCGCCCGCCTCCACGACCAGTTCCGACCAGCAATCGCTGTCGACGACGGATCTTCGTCCTGCATCTGCGTTCGTCTGCCCTGCGCTGCCTTGACTGCTTTCCCGCCTATAAAGATTGGTCTGCCCCTCGCTCTCATTCCATCAATTGTTATCATTTTTTTTTGTTTGTCGTGGGCAGCGGGCAGGCATTGAGCTCAACAGCAAAGCGCAATTGTCCAGGCCTCTCGACTGATCTCGAAATGTTTCCTTGGTCAGTCGTCATCCGCGCCAACACATTGACCCATGGGGTCGCTTGCCATCATCTGGACTGACTTTGCGCTTAGTGCAATGTTCTAGAGACCGACGACCTCATTGCACGACCGCTTTGGTCCGAGCTGGCTGCTCGTCCTCGAAGCGCGCGCCCAGCGACGACGGAGCCCACGAGGCCATGATACCCGATGGCGACGAACGCTTACGACCGTGAAAACTGTGGTGCGCCCTTTGCCGACATATTCAATGACCCTGTCGCCTCCCTACCCCGACCTGGCACGGTTGGCCTTCCCGGAGGAGGGTGTAATTATGTCGACCTGAGTCCTGGTGCTAATGGCGCCAAATGTGGTTGCCGACGTTTCTGGGTAAGGTCCGCTGAGATAAGCCCAGATATTGGCGGCGCAGGGTGGTGTATGTGCAATCATCATGCCTGCTTCCATGATGATGGGCCTCGAGATACTCCTCCTCCCCTAGAGGCATATGGACCAGGACAGGAGAATGAGCGCCCAAGGACAGGTCGCGAACCTCTGAGCCCCATGGTGGACCTTGGACTGCAAATGCCGCCGCCTCCTGTGGCCAATCCTCGGATGGACTTCCCAATTTTTGACGATGGCCTAGGATTGTTTCGCAACATCTCGGATCATGCCCCCCTTGCGGAAATCCATGGACCACAGGATGCCGCGAACCCTCCTGGATCTCTTCCCGATACGTTGGCATGGGGCGACGCGGGAGCCTCGCTTGCGCCGTCAATGCCAAAGAGTGTCGTCCCTCCTCACACCATCTGCCCCTCCCAGGCCACGTCTACTACTTCCTCCGTCAGGGGCAGATATCTTCGTCCGTTTGCTGGAAAAGGACTTACTACACTTGACATCCCCAAAGAGCTGCCATATTGCTCACCATCACGGTTCCTTCCAGGGTTCTCGCAGTCATCTCAGGTACCAAAGAATGGCCTAAGCAATCCTACCGTGGTCGGAGGGGATACACAGGCCGAGATCTGCGCCCAGCCATCTCAAGGCGTGGATCGTGAGACCTTCCAAAATTTGTCTGATACTGTTGGAGCCCATGAGCAACGCTTGGATCAATTAGAGACAGTGTCCTTCTCGGCGCCTGCCCACGATGACTGCCAGGAAAAGCATGATCACACCGACCTGCGGATCACCGATCTGGAGAGTCGAATGGAGGAGACAGAAAAGCTCAATGCCGCCAGACTGGCTGAGAAGAATGATGATGCTACAGCTAGTGTAGCATCATTCTCAACAGTCGGACCAATCCACTCACAAGATTTCCAAAGCCAGTTGCAGGCCTTGCAAGCGCAGGTCACATCGCTGCAATCGTCTCTGCCAACATTCATTCATCCTTGGGAGGTGGAGGTCGTTTTCTTGCCTTTCCCGCTCAAGAGGCTGTGGCTGGAACCTCACCAATTCAAATCAGAGTCCAATGGGCTTGACGACTGGACGCAGATGCCTATGACTTGCAGCACGAATTCGAGACGCTCAATGTCCCCGTTTCCAGGTGACTGGGCGCCCAAAGACCACGATACCGAATGGCTCCTACCTAAGGCCTGTGGTGATAAGAGCATCATTGACCGAAGGTTGCGGAGTCGGGGTCTGATCAAGACAGTCTCTGTTAAAGGCGGAGATGCACGCAGTGTCCAAACCGCTATGCGTTCGGTATTTGGTGACACCTGGAAAGAGATGGGGCTTCCCTCCGCCCCTGAAGCCCCCGGCCCTCCACAATCTCAGTTCCTTGGTCTACAGTCGTCTTGGATCCCCCTGCGCAAAGTGCACAAAGATTCTCGACTCAGATTCCTCACCCCGGCGGAGATGCTCAACCCAACTGTTTGGGACGTGCAGTTTCTCAACTCTGTGATGATGCGCGCTTCCGAGCCGCGCCTTTTCATCACTCATCCTGACGCCTATCTTCAAGACTTTCAGTCGTACGAAACGGGCTGGACCTGGCAAAGAGTGCGCGAGCTCACTCGCGTCTACACGGAGAACGAGTCCTCACAGCAGGTGCCCGAAGCCGATGCGCTCGAAGACTGCTGGGCCTGGACCGACACCCTGGACGAATTACCAGGCACACAAACTTCCATGAGCATGCGCAACGAGCGCAGTCGCCTTCGTGCTTCTACTGGATCACCTGCTGTCCAGAACATGACGTCGTGGCGGTCTAGCAGCCCCGTTGTGGGTGTATCGTCGGCCGGCCAATCTCTCATTCGTCGTAACAGACGGCCCTCTTACATCCGGACTACCTCGGTTCCGCTGGAAGGTGTTGGTGGCCACCCCTCACCCATGACCACGGCACGTCGAAGGGTCATGTCAGGTGGCCACAGCAGGCGAGCATCGCCCAGCGTCAGAGGAGGTCCACAGTTCGCCGTCAGTAAGAGACGTCGGGCAAGGTCACCCAGCTACGCACGCTTCACACCGCGGTTCACCACGTCGCCGAGCCCCATGCCCATGTCGCACGAGCGACACTATGTCCGAGGCACTACCCCCTTCGCCTATGCGACACCCCACAGCAATGCGCCCCTACAAGAGGCGCGTACCATCCGTGCAGGAAGTGCCGCGCCTGTTCCTGCTGAGTACATGGCCGATATGGCCTACGACGAACTGTACGAGATTGAGATCTACGAGAGCGATTCGGAGATGTCGTTTGGAGAAGACGAAGACGACGATGAGGAGGACGAGGAGGATAACATCGCCTCGGCAAATCTCAGCGCACTTGTTCCCCATGCCCAGCCACAGCGGCGTACACACCTGCCGGAAGATGAACCCTGGCCGGGAATCGAGGATCAGGAGCAGCAAATGTCGGATGGTGAGAATGTCGACCCTGCCGAGGACAGGCGGAGTGTTGCGAGCAGTCAGCCATCAGAATATCCCAGCACGAATCGCGCGTGGCCGGAGGATACGGCTGCCGGTTTTCGCATCCACGAGGATGCGTGACTATATCTCGAATCGCTTGATACTGCTGTACATGGTTCGCTTCTGTTGGCTACGAATCGAAGAAGGCATGGCGTTTGTTGCGATATACCACACATACGTATAGGAGTTTGTTGGCAATCCTTTTGGCTGGGCAATTTAATAGATAGCAGATCGAGGTTGCGTGTACTGTAGTGATCTCTACTTCTGTACAATGGGATCTTCTCAACTCGTATGCAGTTCTCACACATGTAGAAGTCTTGAATGAAATTCTCAATGACATAAATTCATAGCGCTGGTCATAGTTTGCAGGGGGGGTATCGACCACCGCCGCACGTCGTCTAAAGTAAACAAATTCGCAGGAAAACAGCCTCACTCCGTCCCAAGCCATGTGTATCGGAAACGCCATAACTCTAGTTTCCCCATTGGAAGGAAAAAACATATCTCAGTACCATGTTCCCTTGGGGTCAAGCTCGTACGCGATCCGACACTTCTCCGCCTGGCAGAGCGTCGATCGGTTCAACGACTTGAACTTGGGCCCGTCTGGCCCCGTCACGTAATGATACTGTCCGAACAACCGCCACTGCCTGATGTCGGCCAGCGAGTAGACCTCGTCGCCCCAACGACCAGAGAAATGGAACCAAGATGTTGGCGCAGAAGGGTTCTCGGCGGCTGGCACCAGAGACCTTGACTCGTGGTGAGGGAAGGCGGTCTGTTGATTCAGGAGGACGTCTTCAGGCGGAACTTCAGGTGTGGTGTCCGGGTTTCTGTCGAACGATTCGCGGGTGTAATCATAGTGGTAAGCGTATCTGTTTAGCGCTGGATCCCAGAGAGGGCCTTTATCTGTAATATCCCGCAGCAGATCAAAGGGGATAATGTACGGATGAGGACCGGGCAGCGGGTACATGGCATGCGATCCAACGGCCGAGTAGATGATGGGTCGGCCATCGCTGGATTTTTCCATAGCCTCCCACGCGTAGGCCTGACCGCCCTCGTGCTCAGAAAAGTACATGCCCCTGGGCACGCCGTTTTCGAAACGGACCATGCAGTGCTCCCAGTCACCGACGTGGTTCCCGAACCGGACGCCTAGCACGGTCTGGCCGAGGTTGTACGAGTAAAAGAAGAACCAGAATGCGTCGACGACGCCGGAGCCCTTGTCGACGACAACGAGCACGGCGGGAGCAGCCGAGTAGCCATCAGCGTCGGGCTTGTGACCGCGCGTGGTCAAGCGCTTGGCCTGCTGGAGGTCCGAAGGAAGCGAACGGGGTGTCTTGCGCGGGTCGGATATGCGGTTCAGCGGATGCGCCTTGTCGACATCGTACCACGTCGTGGATTCACGGTCAATGGGCAGATCACCGCTCTTGTGCTTGTGAGGCGGCGCAATGCCAACGCTCGGGTCTTCCTCAAACGGCGTAGGGATACTGTCATGGCTGTGGAGCCAGTCTGGCCGCTGCTCGACGTCATCGTTGCTACGCAGAACAACAGACCCGCCGAGCTTGTTCAACTGGTCCAGGTTGGATAGTGACCATGGTGTTTCGGTTTTATTGAGAGGCATGCCGTCAACGTAGACGGTCATGTGCTGGACGTGCTCCTTGATGTCGGACGGCCAGAACTCCTCGCCCGAGTAGAGATGTACTAGCGGCGCATACTGGTTGACATAGTCCGGGATCTCCTCGACCACTCGTCTTCTCTCGTGCCTGTCCCGCTTCTTGTCCGCCCTCGGGGGCTCGTCATCTTCCCAATTCGTCGCTCTCTTCTTCAACTCGCCGCGGATCTTGTCGTTCTCCTCCCAGAAGCCGTCGACGAGGTCATCCAGCGCTGCGGGGTCCTTGCGAAGATGGTGCAGCCCGCACAGCGAGATCCATCGACAGGCCTGCCGGTCGAGGAAATAATGGCTGCTGGACACCCAGCGACGGTCGCGTGCGCGCTTCTCTGCGTCGGGTTCGGTGGGGTCGAGGTATCGTGGCACGGCCCATGCAGTGAATGAGGCCAGTGTCACGAGCGTGACAAGGATTATCAGCCGCCGAACCCAGATCACCGCCATCGTGGGCCTTTTTCGAAGTGAAGACGACGGAAGATCGAGGATTTCCCACAGACAAAAAGTGGACAAATCAGAGGTGTCTGGGACCTTCGGACGTTTCGTGACGATTTAGACTTTGGTCGGGACCCGAGGTGCCCGTTGGCAGCGTCGCGGGGATAAATGGATTCGTCACAGCTGACGACAGCCTTCTTCGATGAAGACCTGGAACCGAAACCAGATCGAGCAGCCGATTTTGCCGATTTGATATCTTGCAAGCGCACAGCAGGAACGACTTTTTCGCGAAGGGGGGATACGAGAGTGGCTTAGGTGAGCGCAATAGTCCGGCTAGGAGCGCATAACGTCTACATGGACGTTTGAAAGGATCCCCGGACCGTGCGGTGTAACGATAGGGAGCAGAAGAAGAGAAACACGAATAGGGAAGAGAGAGTATCAAACTCGGACCCGGGGGGAGGCAGCCGACTTGAAGCGGTGGAGGATGCGCGGAGAGAATCAAGGACGACCAAAACGCCGCCGGAGTATTGGAGAGAGGCTTCGAGTGCTGGTGCGGCACTGCCAGCATCACCATGTGGGGACACACTGTGTGCATTAAGGTCGCGGGGCCATTGAGCGCAATGGACTTATCAGAGCCAACGATAAGCACATGAGGCCGGACGCAGGGGAACAGTGGAGAGAGCACCGACCGCCAAACCCCCAAAGGCGACGAATTGACAGACACCCCGAAAGCCCCAATGGGGCGCTTGGCGCCTCGTGCTCTTGTCAGTCTGTCCGTCCTCGCCCCTCTCGCTGCACACGTTACGAGTCAATGGCTACCTCGAGGCGTTACGTGACCACGGACTAGAGATCTGCCTTTCCTTGCTTCGTGCGCATCTGCCATGCGATGGACGACGCCGCACCGGGCCGTTATCGGCGGTTGGTGGGGGAGAGAATCGCTTTACGAAGGACCCCTTGGCCGCAGACAGTGCCAAGTTGCTCTAGACCGGCACGCGGCTTTTGGGCCTTGGAGAAACCCCTGCCTGTCCTGACCCCGCGCACCACATCAGGGCCCTGGAACTGGAGCCTGGGAATTTATCTAGGCGAGACGTGATGAAAACACGCACATTCACAGGTATGCGCGGGTGTCCAGTGAGCCTTCAATTAAGCTTCTGCGTTGTGGTTCCTGGAAGAGTTGATCCAGGTCAACAAAGTTGTGTCAATCGGACTGATTACCAAATCGTTCTCGAATCGTGCCTATCGAGGTGCGTGCATTGTAGACCACGCACAGAGCAGAACACCGGGCTATTGATATTTCTGCTGGGTTTTCAATATTTCGACGCTGGTGACAGGGGCTGATTCAACAGATCGCAAACGTTCTCGACCCTGAGTCAGTTGGTTGGATGGGATGTGTCTGGGTCTTTGATATGTAGCCTGGGTGGGATCTTCCGTGGCTCCATTGAGAAAACCACAATGCTGCCGCAGATATGGACCAATTCGTGGCGAGGAGACACGCAACTCGTGATACGATCACGCGCATGAGCTACCGTACAGTCAGAGTCAATGTGTGCATACATCTACACGTACTGTTCTTTTGTACAGGGTAGGCCATGTGTGTAAGCTAAGTTACACGGAAGGTATCATGTCCACTCACTGGCTGGGACCAGGAAATGTCAACAAGAACGTAGTACATACAAAGCACTTCCATTCATCAGGCATTCGCCATTGGGGTATCATGATCAGACTCCTCTTCGTCTTCATCCTCTTCCTCACCACTCTCCCCCTCCCTCCCCGCATCACGCTGACCGCTGGTCAAATCCTCCCAATGTACGGGCGTGGGCGTGGACAACGGAGGCGCCGCCGCCAACTCCGCTCTTTGACTGCCCTCTATATGCTTCCACCTCGGCCTGCCAGGCGGCCGGCCCGTCGTCGTCTTCTTCCTCTTCTTCTTCAGGCGGCCCGTGGTGCTCTCGACGTAGTAGTTCTCCGGGTCCGTAATCTGCTTCTTCCGCCGCGGGCGGTAGTCGGGATCGCGGTCGTCACGGAACTGCTTGCCCTCGCCGTCCTTGGCGTACACGGTGACCTGGTCGGTGTGGCCCTTTTGGATCTTGAGGGCGATCATTCGCTCGAGAAAGTTGGCCTGCTGGATGCGCTCCGTGGTCTTGCCCCGGCCAATGGGGATGTTGATGTTCCATTCCTTCTTGATGGGCGCAAGGGTGTCCACTGTGCCGGACTTGGGCACGAGCATCTTCTCCTTGGTGGTGATCCGTGACGAACTGGCCGCGAGAAGGTCAACGTCCCCTGGCAGATTGCGTAACGTCGGCAGTTCCGCCGAGCCCTCGTGCTGTGCGAAGACCATGTCTGTGCCAATCATCTCGGACCACCGTCCCTCAAAAACTCTCCCCCGGTATGAGAACATTGGACGCTTGGAATGGAGATCCAGGACTTGGATCTCCTCTGCCTGGTCCGAGTCCAGGCCCTCCTGCTCGGCCTGCCTGGTAACATCGTCTTCCGGGTGTTGTAATTCAGGGTCGATATCGGGATCGAGCTCGTCTTCTTGCTCGACATCCGCCTCGTCATCGTCGTCGTGATCGTTCGCTCGGTGCGCGTGAGCGCCTGGCCCGCGCATGTTCGACGGGTCATTGGGTGGTTTCTCCCATTTTCTGTGGCGGCCACGGCTGGCAAAAGTATCCTTCAGGGGTGCAGCCTTGAACTCGGGATAAGAGAGATCCACAGTGAGGTAGTAGGTCTCGACCTCGGTTGTTGAGTACTCATATTCCCACTCGTCCTGTTCTTCGTCTTCGATGCCGACGGCGGTCAAAGGGTCGTCTGCCACGCCTACGAGAGCCGGATCGATGGCGATATCATCCATTCTGGCTTCTCATGAGACGATAGCGTACACGTAACAGTGATGGCAACATTGAGCAAGTGCCGTCCAAGCCCACGACGCGGTGAACAGGAAAGATGACGCGACTCCGATCAAAAAGCTGAGAACCAGGTCCATGTCCTCTTTCGGAAAACCCAAAGGCGGTCAGAGGCGGCAGATTAGAGACACGCAGGGGTTAGGCGGGGCATTGGTGACTTTCGACAGCGAATGCCCCGCCGTGGAAAGAAGTCCAGTGACTGTGACTCTCCAGTGAACCTTGATCGGCGCGAAGCAGACTTGTTGACTCACTGGCGATGCGTATATCTTGTCATATTGGGTGAAAGGAGGCCAGATTTCCCAAACCGAACACACCAGACTACTCGACAAGATGCCGACCGTTCACTTGCTCGACTACGTCGCCGGCAACGTCCGTAGCTTGGTCAATGCCATCGAGAAGCTCGGCTACGAGGTGGACTGGATCAAGACGCCAGAAGATGTGCCCAGGGCCGAGGTACGTGTTCTCAATACCAGACGAGACTGGAGCGTATGGCTGACATGTTCAGAAATTGATTCTCCCCGGCGTCGGTCACTTCGGTCACTGCATGTCCCAGCTCGCGCAAGCTGGTTTCCTTCCTGCCATCAAAGCCCACATCGAGTCGGGCAAGCCATTCATGGGCATCTGCGTTGGTATACAGGCCCTGTTTGAAGGATCGTCAGAGGACCCCGAGGTGCCTGGGCTAGGAGTGATCAAGTCCTCGCTCGGCAGATTCGACGCCACCGACAAGGCTGTACCTCACATTGGCTGGAACAGTGCCAACACTGGCGGCGGCAGCCTCTACGACCTGCGCCCCGATTCCAAGTACTACTACGTCCACACCTATCGCGAGGCGTACAAGAAGGGCGAACTCGAGAGCCAAGGTTGGTCCGTGGCCACCGGCACCTATGGAGGGGAGACTTTTGTCGGTGCCGTCGCAAAGGGCAACATCTATGCGACGCAATTCCACCCGGAGAAGTCGGGCGTGGCCGGCCTCCGTACCCTTCGCGCATTTCTGACGGGCGAGGGGGCCAAGAACCTCGGAGCCGCAGCGCCTGCACCCACAAGCGAGTTCAAGGACGGCCTGACGCGCCGGGTCATCGCGTGCCTGGACGTGCGAACCAACGACCAGGGCGATCTCGTCGTCACAAAGGGCGACCAGTACGATGTTCGTGAAAAGGGCGACGACCGCGACGTCCGCAACCTGGGAAAGCCAGTCGAGATGGCCAAGAAGTACTACGAGGCTGGCGCAGATGAAGTGACGTTTCTCAACATCACCTCGTTCAGGGACTGTCCCCTTGCTGATCTGCCCATGCTCGAGATCCTTCGCCAGACATCCAAGACGGTGTTTGTGCCTCTAACCGTTGGTGGCGGTATCCGCGATACGGTCGATACCGACGGCACCAAGGTGTCCGCGCTCGAAATTGCGACAATGTACTTCAAGTCTGGAGCGGACAAGGTCTCGATCGGATCCGACGCCGTGCTGGCCGCGGAGGAATACTACTCCCTGGGCAAGAAGCTCTTTGGGAACACGGCCATTGAGCAAATCTCGCGCGCCTACGGCAACCAGGCTGTCGTGGTCAGCATCGACCCCAAGAGGGTCTACGTGCCCAACGGCCGCGACGCGACCCGTCATGCCACCATCGAGACCAAGTTCCCGGGACCCAAGGGCGAGAACTACTGCTGGTACGCCTGCACGATCAAGGGTGGCCGTGAGACACGGGACATGGACGTGGTCGAGCTTGTGCAAGCCGTCGAGGCCATGGGTGCAGGCGAGATCTTGCTGAACTGCATCGACAAGGACGGGACCAACAGTGGGTTTGACCTCGAGCTCATTGAGCAGGTCAAGAGCGCCATTGAGATCCCCGTGATCGCGTCGAGCGGTGCCGGTATCCCTGCGCACTTTGAGGAGGTCTTCAACAAGACCAGGACCGACGCCGCACTCGGAGCCGGCATGTTCCACCGAGGAGAGTACACTGTGAGCCAAGTCAAAGACTATCTCCAAGAAAAAGGCCTCGTGGTCAGACAATACGAGGGCGACTTATGACGGGAGCAAGAGGTGGAATAATGGTACAAAATTGGTTGAATGGTTTTGAATGAAGAGATACTATAGACGGGGTGTGAAGGGCTGCAAAACGCACTAGAGATATTTTCAAAGGCGCCGGATGGAAAGAATAGGAAGAACGCAATATCAGACTCCGTACGACCATGAGTGGTATAGCAGTACAGATCCGTCGGGACGCCAGCATACGTGAAAAAGTAAAAAGTTCCTCTCCGCGACATCCTACACTTCCATACCCATGAACAGCCAGTCGCGGCTGGTCACGTCAAAGTCGCCTGCCCAGTGGTCGAGAGTGGTCATCTCGAAGCCAACCCACTGCAGGCTCTTGGTCAGCTCCACGGCGTCGTGGCCAGGAATGCGGCGGTCAAGACAAGTGACGATATGGGAGCAGTCAAGAGGGCCGTCACTCAGCTCAATCAGAGCCATCAATCTGTCAAGCGTCAGCAGTGTTTTGGGGGGCAATCCATTCAGCAGGAGACTCACCCTTTCTTCAGATCCCTGGCCATAGCGCCTTCCGAGTCAAAGAATACGAACAGTGTCCGTTCGCGGCCATTGTCGGCGACGAACGCGCGGAAGCTGGCGCCGCCAGCAAAGTCCCAGACCTCCATCCAAGCATCAACGTAGAAACCCTTGTTGGTGCTCGGACGGACGGCGACATCGCTCCCGCGGCGAAACGAGGCCGGGAAGGTGTCGTCGGGCGGCGGCGTCGGCAGTAGTGAAGTTGTGTTGTTGTTATAAGCACCCGAGTAGCTGGAGCCATACTTGGACGTCTCCCTCTCACCAAGAAAGGCCGTCTTCATGGACTCGCAGAAGAATCTCTCACATTCTTCCCTAATCGACAGTGCTGCCCCCCCTCGCCGGCTGCGCCCGGAGCTGCTCCTCCTCTTCTTGGGGAACAGGGCGACGTCGTTGGACGAGGTTAATGCGGCGAGGGGGGGGCTTGTTGGGGGGGAGGGTAGTCCTGAGGAAGGGACCTCAGGAATACCACTCGGCCCCTGCGGCCCCGGTAGTGCAGTAGTGGAGGCCCTTGAGCGAGGCGAGAGAGGCGTCGACGATGTAGGCGGAGGCAAGGACGTTGACCTTTTGGACAGCGTCCTCGCCGTAATTACTTAAATTACTACTGTAATTCATCATGGGCGCCATTGCTGATGGTTGGATGGGGGGGTTTCGGGGAAATGGAGTGTCGATTTTCGGGAGAGCGAAGAGCTTCGAGTCTCGTGCGGTAGACGAAAGAGCTTTAGCGAGCTTGGAACTGGCGTTGATGTTGGCGGACGGATCGATTGACAGAATTGTAGCGGTGGTGGTGAAGAAGAGACAGAGGAGAAGGCGAGAGAAAAGATGGGAAAAGTCGAGTGGCCCCGGTGTCTGAGCCAGCCCGAAGCGGGTCCAGTCTGGGCTGGGCTGGTCTGGCCACCCCGGTGAACAGCGAGAGGCCCCGGGCTTGGTGGGCTAGTACGGCCGCCGCAATTAGCAGGTGCGGCGGGGTCAGCTGCCCGTGGTGTGTGCTTCCGGCTGGTGCGGAGTATCGTCTGGCTAATCAGAGAGCGGGGCCAAGCCTGTGCTTACCCGTCTGCGGCCATTGACGAACGTTTCTCCTCAATCCGTCTGGTGAAACCATGTGCCTCTTGACACAATGGGCGCTTACAAACATATGAGATTGAGGGTTGCATGCACAGCACTGCAAGTGGTGCTTCAAACAAAAGGCACCCATTTGAGCCTGGCGCAGAGACAGCGTCGTCTTGTTTGGTAAAAGGTGTACAATGCAGTCAGGCGCGGATGCCAACGCCAAGAAAAGACATATCCACTACTGATAGCGTGGGATTACGGGCCCGGAGCTGAGGAGGTCGTTCGTTGCTTTCAATGTCGATGCCCTGACTCAAAGCTGGGCGTTCATGCTCAATCTGAACGCCTCATTATGCGTGGTCTTACCCCAATGCTGACCTGAGGAAGCAATTGGCACTACGGAGGCAGGGCTGTGATGATCTCCCAGGTATAGACAATCAGTCCACGCTCATTTTTCTTCACAAAGTCCATAGCCTCCGACTCTCCGCGAGTCCAGCGGGGAGGGAGCGGGGCACCCGTTGACGTAAACGGGACGATGCTTTGAGCCTACGCGCGCGTTAGCAAAGTGAGCCTCAACACACAATTCAATCAATGAGTTTCCGACAAGCCGTAAGAAGAGTGCAAGCTGTACAAGGATTTCTTTCATTTCCCAAGCAAACGAACCAATTCTTTACGAGTACGTGACACGCGACAATCGTGAGACCAACAAAGCTCACGCGATGCAGGGCAGCAGGTCCAACGTCTAGCCACCATGGCGGAAACAAACACCAACAATTACAAGTTCAACCACACCATGTATGTAGCCACCCAGGAGTCCATTGCCCAGGAATGGCTGACTTAACCAAACCCCATAGGATCCGCGTCAAGGATCCAAAGGCGTCGGGTATGCGCACCTTGATAACCACCCTCCATGAGCGTGCCCGTGGCTCGCGAGCTGCATATCTGACCTGGCATAGTCAAATTCTACGAGCTCCTGGGCATGTCCGTCATCAAAAAGCTCGAGTTCCCGGACAACAAGTTTGACCTTTACTTCCTCGCCTATGACGGCCCTACAGCGCGCTCGCAGGGCGCTGCTCCCATGGACCGCGAGGGCGTCATCGAGCTCACGCACAACTACGGCACCGAGAACGACGACAACTTCCAGGTCAACAATGGAAACAAGGAGCCTCACCGTGGGTTCGGCCACACATGCATCAGTGTCGACAACATCCAGGCCGCCTGCCAGCGCATCGAAGATGCGGGATACAAGTTTCAGAAGAAGCTCACTGACGGCAGGATGAGGAACATTGCCTTTGCCCTGGACCCCGATGGCTACTGGGTCGAGATTATCGGACAGAACGACTGGCAAAAGACTGGTGATGTCAAGGAGACGGACGTCGGGACGTACCGCATGGTATGACAGATTTCCCACACCCTGGCGCTCCACATTGCGCTGCTGACATACACTGCAGAACCACACCATGCTCCGCGTCAAGGACGCCGCCAAGTCGCTCAAGTTCTACAAGGACATCTGCGGCATGCAGCTCTTCCGCACAGTGGAGAACAAGGAGGCCGGCTTCAACCTGTACTTCCTTGGCTACTTGGGCAACAAGGGCCCTCACACGGAGCCGCCCAGCGACATCCAGACCGCCGAGCGCGAGGGTCTGCTCGAGCTGACCTGGAATTACGGCACCGAGAACGAGGCCGACTTCAAGTACCACAACGGCAACGACGAGCCGCAGGGTTTCGGACATATCTGTGAGTGTTACACGACGGACATTGTGGCGCGATGGCATACTGACAAATTGGCAAGGCATCTCGGTCGACGATCTGGAGCAGGCGTGCCAGCGCTTCGAGGACCTGCAGTGCAACTGGAAGAAGAGGCTTACGGACGGACGCATGAAGAATGTTGCCTTTTTGCTGGACCCTGATGGCTACTGGATTGAAATTGTGGCGCGGAACTTCTAGGTCCGCGAGGTGTTGGTTCCCATCTAATTACAGAGACGGCGAATTAACCTTTTCGAATATCGTGAACGGATTGATAGAGCCGTCATTCATCGTGCCCCTGCTCGAGATAATCAAAATGTCAACAGCCAAGAAGTGCTAGACGAGACTTGCATGACCCTAGCTAGGTCCCTGATTTATAATGGGTCTAGTGGAATTGTATTTATCTTCCGAAAGCAAACGTTCTTCGCTTTTCATATTTCCGTATTTCTATACGGACATACTCCATAGGTACTCCTGCTGTTCTCAGAGCAGCCACCATGGCTCCCAACAAGAAAATGACCACCGTCACCGCAGCTGACGTGTTTCCCGCATTGTACATGTATCTGTTCCTCATTATCGAGGTAAGCATGGAGTCCCGTCCTCTCACGGCGACACACTGATCATGTAGCCGGGCATCATTTGGATCGCACTGCCTCTGATATTGGTCGACCCATCTCACCATTTCCACTCCTTGGCACCCGCAGGTCTCACGTCCGGTCCGTACTTTACAACATCACCCTCGTCGCCACCCGCCAGCTTCCTGCAGGTATGGCACACCCCCCAGACACGGGAGCTTCTGTATCTCTACGTCGCAGCCATGGCCTTTAGCGCCGTCGTCGAGCCCATGCTGCTGTACCTGGCGCGATACAAGCTGCACGACGCGCGGGACACGGAGCTCGTCGCCACGGGCGTCCTGCTGAGCTTCCTTGCCTTTGACGTGTTTCACGCGGCCGCGAACTGGGCCGTCGTGGGCAGCGAGTCGCTCACGGGGGACATGTACGCTGCCATCAACTTCTGGATCCCCGTGGTGTGGGTCGTCATCAGGAGCATGTGGCTTCTGGGCGTGGGCCGGAGCGTCACACACTGCAAGACTGAATAGCCGCACTGCTTCCCCACGGAGGCTGCCATGAATGATTCAAGAAGCTACTACGTAGCATCACCCCACACCAAGGATATACCTGAGCCTGGCGTGAACCCCGCGGGGAAGCTATGCAGCTAGTGCAGCGGAGCGTGGGGAGCATACTACTCACATACATGCAGAGGGGACGAGACCCTTAAATCGGGAAGAACATGTGCGGCGTATTTGGGAATGTCTCCTTTGAGCATTTTCCAACGTGGGGGGTTGTCCAGGTTAGATAATGGCATTATGTGCCTGTTTGACCAGGCGGCCTCGTGTCGCCTTGATCACCCACGTACCACATACGCAGCATGCCATTGATTGTCGTGCCACTTTGCCCGATCGCGCAGACTCTCTTCCCTTTTACTTTTGCAAACTGAAAGCGATCAAGAATTAACCTGTAGAATATCATGCTCAGGATGTCGCGTCCAACCATTCTAGTACCGGAGAAACTATCCCAAGAAGGTCTCGCCTTACTGTCACCACACTTTGACATCACCGTCACAAGCCTCACCCCCGAGGAACTCATCGCCCAGATCCCCTCCTACCATGCCCTCATCATCCGCTCAGAGACAAAAGTGACGGCCGAGGTATTGCTCGCAGCAAAGAACCTCAAGGTCGTCGCGCGAGCCGGCGTTGGCGTCGACAATATCGACGTACCCGCCGCGACCTCGCGCGGTGTCATCGTAGTCAACTCACCCAGCGGCAACATTGCCGCCGCTGCCGAACACACCATCGCCCTGCTTCTCGCTACGGCACGTAACATTGGTCAAGCAGATGGTGGCTCGAAATTGGGCAAGTGGGAGAGAAGCAAACTCGTCGGCATAGAGGTGGGCCGCAAGACCCTTGGCATCATCGGCTTGGGCAAAGTCGGCATTCGCGTCGCCCGTATGGCCAAGGGGCTGGGCATGAAGGTGGTCGCGGTCGATCCGTTTGCGAGCCCGGATATGGCGAAGCAAGAAGGCGTCGCGCTGGCGGCTGACCTGGACGCGATGCTGCCCGTCGTGGACTTTTTGACGATACACACACCTCTCCTTGCGACGACGATGGATCTCATCGGAGAGAAGGAGTTGAGAAGAATGAAGCCCTCGGCGCGAGTCCTCAACGTCGCGAGGGGCGGAGTATACAATGAGGAAGCTTTGCTGAACGCGCTGGAGCAGGGTTGGATCGGGGGCGCTGGGCTGGACGTGTTCACGTCCGAGCCGCCCAAGCAGCATTCCGCGGCTGCGAGGCTGACGAGCCACCCCAAAGTCGTGGCCACGCCTCATCTCGGCGCTTCCACCGTCGAGGCGCAGGAGAATGTCTCGCTGGACGTATGCAACCAGGTCCTCGCCATCTTACAGGGGGGACTGCCCACGAGTGCCGTCAACGCGCCCATTATCCTCCCCGAGGAGTACGGCAAGCTGCAGCCTGCCGTGCAGTTGGTCGAGAAGATGGGCAAGCTGTATACGCAACACTTTGTCGGCTTGCGGGGTGGCATGCTCGGTGGACGGAAATTTGAGCTCACCTACCACGGCGACCTGGCTGGCATGCCCAACACGAAGCCCCTTTACGCGGCGCTCGTCAAGGGGCTCGTTGCGGATATTAGTGATTCACACATTAACATTGTCAATGCCACCCTCGTCGCCAAGGAAAAGGGCCTTGTTATCAACGAGACGTTTAACAACGACACCAAGGACCTGCTGTACGCGAATCTGGTCACGCTTCGAGCATATGACTCGAGCCATTGTTCGAGCGAGCAGATCATTGAGGGGTTCACATCGGACCAGAGAGGCTACATCTCCAAGCTCGACCGCTTCAGCGCCAGTTTCTCGCCCGAGGGCACCCTCATTGTCCTTCACAACTACGACCAGCCCGGTAAGATTGGAGGCGTGGGGACGGTGTTGGGTAGTCATGGGGTGAACATTCGGTTCATGCAGGTCGCCAGCCTGGATGCCACCATGGAGATGCAAAATGGCAAGGGAAATGAGGCGCTGATGATCCTTGGTGTGGATGGCCAGATGAGCGCCGAGGTCATTGATGATCTGCGAAAGTCAGAAGGCGTGCTGAACGTGAGCTTGGTGGTCTTGTAGGGATTGTTGCACTTTTTGTTCCCGTAGGTTTGCCAATTCGCTTTTATTTCCTGTCAATCGCTGTTCATTGTCTCCGCTGCGCTGTGAACACATTGGCCTGCCATCGCTGCTGAACTTTTGTCCTTCCCTTATCCCGCAGGTACCATGTCCTCAGGTTCAACCTCTTCGATTGAATCCATGACTACATCCTGCTCATCATGCAGAAGATCGCTGAAACTCCAGTCCGATTCTGTCAGGTCCTCTTCGCCGTCTGGCATGTTCCCAACCTGCGCCTCTATTCTCTCCCTCTGCCGCTCGCTCAGCCATGTCCAGGCCCTCGCGGTGATTGCCTGTACATTTTCATCGGAGATCTGTCCCGGTTGTGATGTTATCCACGCGTCCATCTCGGTTTTGATCTGTGCTGGCCATTCTTCCGGGAGTCCCTCTTTCAACAGCTCTTGCCACAGCTCCACCCCCTTTCTGTGCTTGCACACGGCGCAGGTCGTTTCGACGTATTGGCTGACCAATACCGTCGTGCATGGTATTGGACTGTACATCAACCGGAGTTGACAGAATGTCCAGTATAAGGCGTCGACATCTGGCTCAGGGGATACCCATCCGCAAGCAGCGCACCTCGGATAGCAATCGTGGCAGAAGCACATGCTGCAGAACTGAATGCCTCAAGTCGTGCGGCTAGGGGTGCCTGTTGACGTAGAGAGCGAATAAATGTGGTTAGGACGGACAGTATGCGTGTGGATATGTGAAAAAAACCAGAGATGTTCATTGCGGACTCGTCCAAGGAGGGTTCGGCTGGTCGATAGGTTGGCGGAACAACTTCATAGACTACAGGTGTTACTGTATGTAGTACTTTGGAGCACGGAACCTTTTGTATTGTGAAGGCTATGTTGCTGCATAATAAGTCATGGCTTGAGATGACTGGCTCTTGCTCTCTTTTTGCCATCAGCTAGAAGAGAAGAGGCACTAAAGGACTGGAAGGACCCGTCATCACAGGCACTACCCTCCTATACAATTTATTTCGAATATATAAGATGAGATGGAGGGACTGGGTCGTGTGAGTTACCTGAAAGCCACTGGCGATCAACATGTAGATGGTTCCCATCGCTTTTCTGGAGTTGAGTCTTATACTCACTCTGTTTTTCACCACTCGCTACCTACCCTTGTTGTCTCGGTGATCTTTGATATCCAAACTTCATGAAATCTCAGCAAGTTTTCTTATTACGACAGTGACTCGGCCAGTTTCAATTCCCGGCCCGCAAGCAAACAGCTTTGGGCGTTCGTTGCTCCACCTCAATCAACAACAGGGTTGACGGGACATTAGCGCGTAGCCTACCCTGCACATGCAATAGGCTCGTACCTGGCCATAGACTGGTAGACTTGGCCCCCTACTTCTCCAATGCACTAGAAGTGCGCGCTCCTGTGTCATCATTCCTTCGGAGCTTGAAACATGTTCCATCAAGGAGTTTATTAAAAATTCGACCAGACATTTTTTCCTAAGCTAGCTTTTTCGACCACCAACAGTGGGCACTCGATTGCTAGACATGGCACCCGGCAGGGCCTCTGCATTAGCGAGCATTATCATATCAAAAGACACAATGAACGCCAGGCTCGAACAACGTCAACGCCGTTCTCCTGACTCAGCTTGTGGCGAGGAGGCTCTTGTTCTAACTTCTCCGCCCTTCACACCAATTGAGAGTATTGCCTAAAGTGGTAATAGCCCAAGATCATACTCCGTACTAACACCATCTCTACACCGAGCTCCTCGGTGGTAATGTACTACATTCTGTACCACTTAAATCCACCGCTCAAGACGTCAAGGACCCGTGCGACTTCAATTGCCCTACTTCTAAAGTGCTGCCTGCCCTTCCACTGGCAAGGGATGTGCTGGCTTACCATGCTCGTGGGTGAGATTCCCCGGGCCGACACCCGATCCCCGATCCCCGATCCCCAGTCGGGGCCTCCGCGTTCGCCGCTGCGGAAAACTCCACCAAGCTCCATCCAGCTGGTGGGATTGATGACTCCCAAGTCTTCGACGGGGCCCTTGTTCTCGCTCTTGAATTATTTCATTTCATCTGCCACCTATTTTTCAGTCATCTTGTCCGCGCGCCGTGCTGTCCAACACGATCCATCCCTCATCATGTCGACGACAGCTACAGTCACGCAAGAGGCGCCCGCCATTGAACTTGAATTGGCGCGGCCCCCCTCGACGCACAATAAGCACGATGGAATTGTCCCCCAGGAGGCGGCAACATCATCACCCGTCGGTGACATGCAACCCGACGACGGATCGCCTCCTCACGCGCAGGGCGAGGTCGAAAGGTGGAACAAGCCAAGGGGCAACATTGGACGACTCGCGTTTGCCTTTATATCGTTTATGATTGCCGGCATGAACGACGCAGCAACCGGAGTATGCCACTAGTGTCTCTCTCCTGTAGTGTGACCATTGCTTACATGATTGTAGGCGCTGATTCCATACGTGTGTCTTACCAACCGATAGTCACCCATCTTGGAGCTAACGGACACAGCTGGAAGAATATTACGATCTGACGTACACAGTCGTATCACTCATCTTCCTAACACCATTCGCCGGATACTCCGTCGCCGCATTTGCCAATGCGCGTATCCACATGACTCTGGGGCAGCGAGGCATCGCCATCATCGCGCCCCTGTGCCACATTATCACCTACGTCGTCCTCGCAGTGCACCCTCCCTGGCCCGTCCTCGTCGTCATCAACATGATCAGCGGCTTTGGCAATGGACTTACGGACGCATGCTTCTGCGCCTGGGTTGGCGCGATGGACAAGGCCAACGCAATCCAGGGCTTCCTCCACGCCACATACTCTGTCGGCGCTCTGTTTGCGCCTCTGATCGCGACCAACATGGTCGTCACGGCAAGTCTGCCCTGGTATACCTTTTACTACGTCATGATTGGCATATCCGTTCTCGAGCTGGTTGGCCTCACTGTGACCTTTTGGCGGAAGACGGGCGAGGTCTATCGGAAGCAGCACGAGCGGGCGAACAGCAGCCAGGGGGGCGCTGGGACGCGCGTTGCGCTCAAGAACAAGGTGACATGGCTATGCGCCGTCTTCTTCTTCTGCTACATGGGCGTGGAGGGTAAGTGCACAGTCTCAAGACAAGACTCGGATTGTAGGGTGGCTAACAGGATGTAGTGGGCCTTGGAGGCTGGGTCGTCACCTTTATGCTCCGCGTTCGAAAGGCGTCCCGCTACGCATCTGGCATCTCCGGCACGGGGTTCTGGGCAGGCATGACGGTCGGCAGGGCCGGGCTGGGCTTCGTCACGGAGAGGTTCGGCGAGCGGCTGTGCGTGACCATCTATCTCCTCCTCTCCGTGGCTCTGCAGCTCCTGTTCTGGCTCGTCCCCAACTTTATCGCCTCCGCCATCGCCGTGGCCTTTCTCGGCGTCTTCTTGGGACCTCTCTTTCCAGGGGCCGTCATGGTCACGGCAAAGCTTTTACCACCACATATTCACGTCAGCGCGATCGGGTTCGCCATGGCTCTTGGGGGTACTGGCGGTACAGTGTTCCCCTTTGCCATCGGAGCCATCGCGTCTCATGCGGGCGTAAAGGTGCTGCAGCCCATCATCCTTGCCTTGATTCTTGTCGTGATGATTGTGTGGTTGAGCTTTCCTCGAATCAAGGAGGGCCAAGGGATATTTGCGAGGATGAGGGCGTGGATGGCGAGCCGGTCTTCGAGGTAGATTCACAATGCTTGGAGCGGCCATCTGCGCTGTCTACTGATGAAGCAGTGCCACGCCAGACGGTGAGCATGAAACTTTCTAATCTAGAGTCAGGTAGGAATGATCTCCGTGACCCATTCAGAGCTATTGTTTCCGCTGCATTTTATGACCCCCAACATAGGGCTCCCTCCCATGCATCAAGTTCTAGACCCAACAAATCATCCCCATCTATCAACAACCCTCACTCACTGTCTCACCGAATCCGTCGACATTGATCAAGAGTTCTACTGGGGGGGAAATGACGGCACCCCTGTGCATTTGATTCTTTTTCAGCATCCAGGTTGTTACAGGATGTTTGAGTTCTCGTCGAGCTTGAGCCTGTCTCGTGCATGCCGAAGCCAAGATCTATGTCTGACAGGCTGGTCATACAGACCTAAGTACACTCACCACCATGACTGAGTCGATCTATGAATCCAGTTCGACTCGGATTAGCTTGGCTAAGTTCGAGTTTCCGTTGGCCAAAAAAACGGCCCCAATACAGTGAGATCAGGTTTCGACGATTGTGCACTACCCAAGATTCACTAGCAATGTATGAAATCAATGACGATCTGAAATCTCTGCTGGTCAATTTCAGCCTTGTAAGATCAAGTCTCTAATGTGATTCAGTCCAGCTGCTCAAGGTTAAATTCGGCTGCGGTTTCTACCACAAGCACTTGACCATATCTTCAGCTCCATTAAGAGTTTCCTCGACCATCTCAACACCAGCACCCTTGTCTTTACCAACTCTTGTCATCTTCAACATCAACATACAGCACTCAATATGCCTTCGCACCGGTCATTGACAATTGGCTTGCCAGCGGGAGGAGAAGCCGAGAGACCCTCAGTAAGGACCCTCTGATCTTGCTAAACCGCAGGCAGAAAGACAACGAGAGGCGTTGCCATCCAAAATCCATTTCTAACCTATATATCAGAAAGCGGCACGAGACTTGATCAGACTTCTGGAATCTTACCGCGTCAACACCCTCACGGAGCTCTGCCAGCTCGAGCGCACCGTCATGTCCACCGAACGCGAGGTCGACGCACGAGCTCTCCAAGAGCCCATGGAGGCTGCCTTGCGGTACTATGTCACTTCACACCGTTTTTTCTGCGAGTTGCGCGGTTTGACGCCCACGTTTCCCTTCAGCGGCGAGTTGGTCGCCGAGGCGCACGCGCGTGTTGTGAGCGATCCGGAGAGCAGGCTGCGTAGCTGGAACCTGCCGTGGCTTTGCTTGGTCAAGATGAAGGAAGATGGTCTCCTGGTGAGTTATGCCAATTTCCAGGCGCACAAGCCGGAGATGTGGGATGGCATGATCCCTTCGCAGGAGCAACTTGCGAGCCTCGTTTTTTATTTTCAGAAGGCGTGGTCCGAGGCGGTTGAAACCATGCTGAGGAACTGGGATATCTCTCCCACATGGAGCTACCGTGCACATTGGAGGGTACTGGCATCAAGGTCTTGATTTTCTGGACGTTGATGTATGGCGCTGGTGATATGGAGGAAGGGCAGCGCGGCTATCTTGCGACTTGGAACATTGCAGACAGACTTCTCGACTGGATCATGGGTTGAAACTATAGCTATACAAATTCAATGTGCTTTTCTGGCTTGAAATGAACTCGGACGTTCCTTGCTTAGAGGTAGCACATGGGCCGGATCTTCTTCCCTGAGCTACCAAACCCGAAACATAAGACTCTCCTCGGAGTATGAGAGACAGTTCAAGGCCACAGACACAACTTTGACATAACTTACACATACAGCAAACCATATGCACAATATAATAGGTACAGGAGCTAGTCAGCTCAGCAGAGCACCACGACTTGCAAAAGGGAGGGCAGGCTTGACACTATTTGACCCAGTAGCAAGACCATGGTGGTTAGGCGAAGCTCATGAGAGGCACCTACAGAGTATTCATACTGTTCTCATCTGGCTTAGCAGAAGTGCGAAGCTCCAATATTGAGGGACTACCTACCTGGCCATGCAGTGAGTTGAAACTCCAGCTCATGTTGACGTTACGACCCCAATGCCATGGTCCGAAAATTCGGTCAAACGCTGCTTTGACTTTTCTCTTCCGAGATACACAAGGTTTCAATGTGTCGTGTAAGTTAGCCGCTGCCGCGACTGCAAATAGAATAGTGGTGGATATGGCCAACCCGGCCGTCTTACGGCAAGAATATCCTTGCGGAAGCCGGTCATCGCCAATCACAGCTCCTTTCTTTGAGTAGCACGAAGCTCAACTCCGCCATCAGCGTCGCATATTCTAGTGCCTTCGCTGGATTCCGGTCGTCAGCTAACTCAGTAATCTAGCTGCCGATGAATCTCTGACCAGAACCGTGCCCTGTCAAGCTCCCGGCACAGTAATGCTTTGACTCACGTACAATCCACCCTCAGTCACTCTGGCAGAAGTTAATCGCGGGGAATACAGGCGGCGCTAATGCAGGAGTGTACAACACGCCAGAAGAGCCCTGCTCCAAGTGAAGTAACATTGTGGCCCGCGCCATTTTGAGTTGCGCGGAGAGGGCGTGTTCGACCCCTGGCTTGCTGATACTCCGTAGACCCCTGATGGCCTCATCGCAGGTCTCAATGCTCTCCTCCATCTTCCCATGGAGATAGTAGCACCGGGCCAGCTCGGTGAGCGTCCCCAACCGGTCCGGGTGGAAGTTGCCCCGACGAGCGGCCATGGACTTTTGCGTCTCGGAGACCTCCTCAAGGACGGCCTCTGCCTCATTGTATCGCTTCTGCTGGATGAGGGTGAGCCCGAGAATGCAGCGCCCCCAAGCGGTGGCAATATGGCTGATCCCGTACATGCTCTCCGCCACGAGGAGGCCTTCCCGCATCAGATCTTCCGCTTCCTTGGGCTGTTGAATGGCGCACTTGGCAATGGCCATGTTGACCATGGCGAGCAGCGTCATGGGGTTTGTCTTGCCGTACCGAGACTGACGTCTCTGCAGAACTTCGGCCATCAGCTGCTCAGCTTGGACGGCGTAGTCGACTCCAAGGAGTAGAGCGGTACGACTCACGCTCTCCTGTGCGTCCAGAGCACCAGCGTGGTCCGGGCCGTGAAGTGCCCTTAACCCGTCCATGGCCGTACGGTGCAGTTGGTAGGCCTCTTCAATGTCGGCTCTCCGGTAGAATTTGATCACGGTCCGACCGAGTTGGTCCATGGCTATCAATGTATCTTGGTGAGTTTCACCAAGAGAACTTTTCAAACCCTGTACCGCCTGTCTCTGCAGTTCGAGGGCGCCCGAGAGTTGGCCTTGTTGCCAGCGAGTGTGTCCCAGCTTGCTCATGACCCTCAGCGTGTCGGGATGCCGCGGGCCCAAGTGCTTCTGGCACAATGTCAGCTGGCGGACCTGCAATGCCGCAGCGTCTTCCGGTTTGCTGTTCAGCCAGTGCGCATCTGACAGAGCTAGGCTTACGCGCCTCGTGCGACTATTGTGCGGACCCAGCATACGCACGAGCGTGTCGACCACAAAGGTCAGTAGGCGTTCCGCCTCGTTGAAGCCACCAGATCGCATATAGACAAGACTAAACTTGCCAAACATGACCAAATTCTCCGCGTACAGGGTCTCGCCAAAATGCAATCGCGATTTCCAGGTCAGGGCACGTTTCGCTTCCATTTCCTCGGATATTGCTTCACGACAGGCTTGGACGTGTTTGACATGGGGAAGTAGGCTCAGATGATACGTGTCGTCTTCCGCCTCTAGGCCGAGTGGAGGAAGCAAGATGGATGCGGACAACACCATACCGGCCGTGTCTGCCCACAGAGACTGTCGACTCAACCGCTGTCGCATACGAGCCCATTTGTGAACGATCGGATGCATGGTGTAGCTTTTGCTGATCTCATTGTAATCGATGAGGGACCGTTGTGTGAGCTCTGAAAGAGCCTGTTTGACCCGCAAGACACCTTTTCTGGCGTTCCCGTGCATCCGTCCCCATCGTATGGCGTCTGGAAAAGGGGTTGGACCTCGCGGTCTGAAGAGGAACATCAAAAGGCTTCGCTGCTTGGACGATAGCCAGTCGAAATAGCTGGTAATCTGTCGTTGCGACTCAAACGCTGCTTGCTGATTATCCTTCTCGGCTTGCGCAGTCTCCAAATCGGCGTTTGCAAGTGCCCGCTCCAACAGCTCTCGTGGGATATTCTCTCGATGCAGAAAGGCAAACACGTTGAGAAGTTGGGTGGCGTCGCGGCTGCGCTGCGTGTTCTCTGTCTCTAGCTTGAGGTAGAGCATCTCCCAGGTGCGGACGGCGCAGACTTCGAATTTGTGGTCTGAGTCGTCAGGGGCGTAGCTCGAGTATTGGACTTGCTGCCAGCTCAGATCATAAAACTCGTCAAAGTTGTTCAGATCGCAGAGATTAGTTCGGATGGCTGCCCCTGCAAGACAAATGGCGAGTGAGAGGTACCCGAGGGTCTCTGTGATGGCATGAGCAATCTTTCGCCATGTTACGTCCCAAGGAGACGGCCGGCTAGCAGCCCGCAGGAGAAGGTTTGTAGCCTCTTCTGGAGACAATAACCGTGAGCTGAAGTTGTAGGGCTGGAGATCAACGTTCTGGTTATGTATGGAGTGACCAGGAACACGAGTCGTGATTAAAATATGGCCTCGGTTTCCTTTCGGGAAGTAGGACTCCAAAGGGATACTGGGGTCATCTGCATTGTCGATGATAAGGAGCCAACGTCGCTGCTCCGCAGACAGCCAATGCAGAGCTGCGTTCATCGATGATTCGTTGGCCGTGCTCTTGTCCAGCCCAGCAAGTCGACCTATCCGCCCAAGAGTCTGCTCAAGCTGTGCCTTTGAGCTACCGTCGATGTAGAAGACGCCCCAGAAGCTGTCACGGTTCTCCTCCGCGAACTTGCAGCAGAACTGTGTCTTGCCAGAGCCCCCAATACCATGGACGACGAACCTTCGTTGTCTTTGCTTATGCAACGGTCCGGGTGGTTGGATGAAAACGTCTCGTAACTCACGTAGCAGATCTTCTCTGCCGACGTAGTAGCTGCTCACGGCCTGGGGGATATCAAAATATCGGTTGGCGACTCGAAGAGGCGTCTCGGCGGGCATCGAGTTGAACCAGATGTCCAGGTGCTCCAACGCAGCCAAAGCATCTCTGCTGCCTGGGGAACTCGGGGTTTGGGGACTGGTGGTCCCGCCCAGTAGTGTCTGGGATTCAACTCTGCGCCTCAGAAAGTGGACATCGTTGGCAACGTTGGCTATCGACTCGAGGTTGGCGATATGTGCGAGTCTTCCATCTTGTCTAGAGAGGGGACAAGGGCGGACGGTCAGCAAGGGGTTTCGATGAGCCTTTTTGAGTTGGATGTGCTAGTGGTGCATTATAGGTACTTACGCGGAGATAAGGGCGAGGAGAGTATTCAAAGTGCCATGTTGTATGCCCAGATCACGGTGTAATCTGTTCAAGTCATCATCGACAGACCTTCTCGCAAAGACTGTCTTGAGCCTGGCCAGCTTACCGCTTGGCGAGGCCGGGGCACCGGTGTCTCCGCCACAGACTTGCACGAGCAGCACATGCAGCCTTTCCACCAAGCGGTGACATTCATTGACGCATCCATCGACAAAAGACCACAGGAAGAGTTGCTTCTCGTTTGCAGTTTGCTTATCGCCCGCTGTGGGCGTACTGTGTGACCGCAAGGACACAGAAGTCGAAGTTGGGATGGCCCCTTGCACAGCCTGGCACAACTTCCGCAGCGTTTCAATCTCCTCCGTCAGCGCTGCTAGCTGTGAGGAGATTGTTCTCACGTCCTGTTTCAGGCTTTGCACATACGAGACCAGTCGGCAACAGACGTCGCTCAGACCGGCGACGCCGGCCACGATGCTGAAGGGATCAGCCATTTGGTCGTCTGCGTCTCCAGACTCGAGAACGAATGGTGCATAGGCGAGAAGATGGCTCATGTTTGAGGGAATGGGGATACACAACCACCTTGTCGAATCGCCACATCGCTTTTGCTGCATGTCCACTCAGCTTGGGCCAGATCAAACAAGGCAGAGACAGACGGCATGATGGTTGTCAGGCAGGTCATCATCCACACATGTGCACTTTCCACTGCTGTGGCATGATGCTTAAAATCAGTGATTCTCCTTATGTAGGAGGACGCACATTAGGGGCACACGTAGATTGCCAAGAGTCAGTCGGTGCCTCCCTGTAGGTTGTCGGCCAGTGGCCAATCTCATTGGGTTGGTTCACTTGGTTGGTTGCTGCGGATAACCGCCCTCCATCACACATGAAGACAGACAGTGATTGGATCAAGACGCTGCGAAGTCCGGTGGTGTCTGCTTCTTCCATGTTGTTCCGTGCGTCTAACATGTCGTAGCATTGTGTTACTCGAGATGTCTCTCGTCTCTGGCACGTAGATCGAACCCATATGCTGCTGTGCCACTTGTCCTCCCCGACCTTTTGTCGCACGAGTTTTGCGATTGATGATTACTGCGATTCGTCTCTCTCGGTAAGTTCGTCGATGAAGCTGTATTCGGAAATGAAGGACTACGTCGAATTGCTGGTCAAGGGCGCACTGGCGTTTGGTCTGATCTGGTATCTCCTGCGACGGTATCGGACTTCCCAAGTATGTCCCTGTGCCATCAAACCAGGATGAACTCTCCGCGCCCATACTGATTGCATTTATTTCCCCCATTTAGTTTGAGCGAAAGTTCGCCCTCGAGAAAGGCTGCGAGCCACTCCGTCCATGGAGCGCCAAGTGGCCCATGGGCCTTGATCTACTCGTGAAGGTATTCCGATACGCGCGAGAGGAGCGAGTCTTGCGCTTCTTCGTCGACGTGGTCGGCGACTCGGGCCATACGTTTGAACAGCGGCTGCTTGGTGTGACGGGCATCGACACAATTGACCCGGAAAACATCGAGGCTATCCTGTCGACTGACTTTGCAAGTGAGTAGTGCTACACCATAGCAGCTCTAGATAACTAAGACGATTCTCAGATTACACGCTCGGACTGCGCCCTGCGCACTTCAAGCCCCTGCTGGGGTCTGGCATCTTCACCCAGGATGGGGCCGCCTGGAAGCATTCCAGGCAGCTGTTGCGCCCGCAATTCGCCTCAAATCGGCGTCAGAACTTTGAGCAGATTCAACGCTGTGTGCAGAGCATTATCAATGACATCCCAGAGAATGGGGTGGTTGATCTGCAGCCACTCTGCTTCAAGCTTACCTTTTCCACCACCATGTTCCTCCTCTTTGGGGACGCTGTCGAGGCAATGGACTGGGGCAAGGTGGTTGGCCAGGAGTCGAGATTCTCCGCGGCGTTCAACCAAGGCCAGGATTACCTGGCGAGCCGAGGCCGTCTTGGTGACCTATACTGGCTCATGAACGACAGGAAATTCCGCGAGGCGTGCCGGGTGTGTCATGAATTCGTTGATAGGGCAGTCGCAGACGCGCTCGAGGATTCCGATAACAAGCGAGCCGAGAAAGAGGAGAGTTATGTCTTTATAAAGGCACTTCTTCAGCAGACGCGAGATCCTGAGGTCCTGCGTGACCAATGCCTGAATATCCTACTGGCTGGGCGAGATACCACCGGCTGTTGTCTGACGTGGTCCTTGTAAGTGATGTGTCTTATTGCCCTGCATAGTATGGTGATGCTGACCTAGAGAAGCCGACTACTTGCTAGACACCCTCATATTCTGAGCCGGCTAAGAGAAGAAATTACAGAGCACGTTGGGATCGGACCCGAAGCGAAGCTCCCCACACGCGAGCAACTTAAGAAAATGACATATCTTGGCCTCGTCATCAAAGAAGGTTCGCAACCTAAAGACCACCATACCTTGGCATTCGCTGTCGGGTCTATCTGGCTCCAATGTCTTCGATAGATTATAGTACGCTCGCTAACAACATGAACCCAGTTCTCCGTCTGTATCCCTCCGTGCCCGTCAACTCCCGATCGGCGATCAATACTACGACCCTCCCGGTCGGTGGTGGCCCAGATGGCAGGGCACCTGTTCTTGTACCGGCTGGCACGGCCGTGGGATACTGCGTCTACATCATGCACCGGCGAAAAGATCTCTACGGCGAGGATGCAGACGAATTCCGCCCCGAGAGGTGGGAGGGTGACAATCTGAGAGACATTGGATGGGGGTATCTACCCTTTAACGGGGGGCCCCGCATATGTCTCGGTCGTAAGTTCCCGTTCACTATGCAAAAAGCCTTCTAATAGAGGTCCAATGCTGATCATTGTTCTTCAGAGGAATTTGCTCTTCTCGAGGTTTCCTACACTCTCGCCCGGTTTGTACAGCTATATCCGGGGATAAAGGTATCCGAAAACGAGCCCGACGTGAGAATCGGCGAGGAGAAACAGACCTTGACGCTTGTCGTGGGCTGCGCTGAAGGGTGCAACGTGTCGCTCGGGGGCGACTAGAGGACGATTACGGCGTCCCTTTGGGATACTATACGCTAGCAGGGCTTGAGCGATAGTGAGTCCATGTGTGTCTATATGTGTCTTTATATCATGAAATTGTACATCCTGTACCGTCAAATTGAGAAGAATTACTGTCGTGAAAGTGAGTATTCGAGGTTGACTACTCATGCCAGAACAGTGTTGGAGGTTCTATCACGGTCTTGGCTGGAATCTCTCTTGGACACCGGACAGTAGCAAGAAACAACAGTGCTATGCATATTAGAAGCTAACTCATCTTCAAGACATGGTTTTGTGACCTCGAGAGTCATGAATCCCCCGCTGGGCCCGGCCCCTCCTTAAAGACAGCCATGACCTCGATTATCTTGGCCAGCGTATCGTCCTCCATGACTTCTCCGTCCTCAACGCCGACCACATTCTCAGCACAAGGTAGCATGATACTCTCTTCGACCTCGCGATACCGATCTTTGGAGATATGAATCATCTGCCCCTTTCACGACTCATTGGCCATGAGGAAAGTAGCGCCCTTGGCGATGACAATCGGTTTCTGTGGCTCAACCCCAATGCTCTGCATGAAGGGTAGGACATGAAGCCAGTCTTGGCCCACGAAGGGGCAAACAAATTCACGCGGATAGGCAGCTCGTGGAAGTTTAGCCGTTAGTGAAGACCTCTTGCAAACCACAGGTTTCCATGCTTGGCCGTCGCTGGTGCTGTTAGTTGCTTTTGTTGGTATTCCATGGAGGAGACCTCTCACCCTAATCTGTCGCCCGTGCTCGTGATATGCCAGCGACGGATGACAAAACGACGATGCTGCCGCCAGCGGGCGTCTGCTGCTCTTACCGCATATAGTATACCGCAATTGTGGCAGTGTAGATGGCAGCCTTGAAGTTCATGTCTACAATGACTAAAGTAGCCTCGACGAGGTCGCCAGTGGCATCAACTGTCATCGAAAGGCCATCTGCGCGAGGCCCAACGCCCACATTGGCAAACACATGGTCCACTCTTCCATGGACCTTACGAGCCTTTTTGAAAAGTGTCAGTTGCTCAGACCGCGAGGCGACATCCATGCGTTGGCACGTTGATGATGGGTTGTAAATGGGTGTCACTGGCGGCTGCAGTATCTCCAATGACGACCTTGGCCCCAGGGTTTAGCAGCAGGTTAGTGGTAGCGAGACCGATACCAAAAGACCCTCCTGTGACTTTTAATATGTATTCCTCTCCTGATCACTGTGTTCGAGCCTTACTGTGATGATGACGACTTTGTCTGGTAGCTTTGCGAGCTCGCCATCCTGTATGGTGATATCAGTCATGTTGTAGATATTTGAGTGTGTAAGCAAATTCTCCATTCGGTTCGCCAATTCGTACTTATGCATTAGTTATGCGGCTCCCATTTTCTCAACTAAACTCATGAGTTACATTGTGTGTGCACACTCGACTGGTGGGACTGTGGGAGCGACATCCTAGTCCGCCTCTCGGCCTATTTACCAACAAGGTATTGCGCCAGTACACAATGCCATAGCGCCTCGGAGAATTAAATTTAAAAAAAAAATTTAAAAAAAATTTGCTCACTTCAGTCGTCTTGAACCAGAGTATATCATCTGCACAATCGGATTCATCGGCAGCTTGAGGCCCGGTGCTCCATCTCCTCTTGTCCCCTGAGCCAAGAAATTCCCCGAACAGCACATCCGAGATCATTATCCGAGATAACACGGCCTGTCAGTACATGCAGGATAAAAGACCAACAAGGATTCAACCTAAACGACATGCTAAGCAAGCCTCGGCAACCAAAGCACCCAATACCAACCCAGCTACATTCTCGCATCTCCTTCGCCACCATGCCTCAGCTTGTGGGCAAGGCACTACTGGCTGGCCTGATCCCACTCGGGGGTCTAGCCCTCCACGGTTTCGCCGCATCCAACGGACTCATCCAAAAGTTCGAGGACCTCAAGGCTGATCCACTCTTGTCTGACGGCGTCACTCTATATTCGACCAATTACACATCAGCCGAGGGCTTCAACGGTTTGCTGAGAACCTTGCTCAACTTCTTCTGGCCTGTTGTGAACGGAAATGACGCGAGGCTCTCCCTGTACAGCTTCATGTTTGGTGGGCAGGGCGTGGCACTGGTGATGCTGAACTTGCTGGAAGGCATGCGCCACGGGAACAGGGGTCTTGTGGTGAGCTTGTGAGTGCCCGGTGACAGATCAAAAATGAGCCGATACCGAAGCTAACTCGATCCTAGTGTCACCATCTACGGCCTGCTGTACATGGTCGTGGGCCTCGCGGTCATGGCGCCGTTGTATCTGCTGCTGCACCTACTCACGTCTCCGACGGCGCACAAGCCAAACAAGACCAATGTGGCAATCAGCGGCACCTCGGCTCAGGGCGCCATCTTCGGTACCTTGGCAGGGTATATCTTACCCACTATTCTAATGTGTCTGCCGGCATCCTCTTTCATCGCTGTCGAGTCCAAGGCTCTGTCTGTTGTGCTGTGGCAAGCAGTACCCCTGTGGTCGGCGTGTTGTGCCCTTGCTTGGTCCACACTGGCTCCCAAACCGGCGAGAAAAAACGGCAAAGAGCCAGATGGCGAGTTAAATGTGCGCGCTGCTTATCAATTCGGCGTTGCCGTGGCAGGGATCAGTCATGTTGCTACACTGGCAGTATCCTTCGCAGCGTGGCTCGGTCCAGGCATCTTCAATCCCCGGGTGGCATCCACTCTGGCGCCACTTGGCCTACTCGTACCCCCAAACCCTCTAGACAGAGTCACTACCGCTGATTCGTTCTTGCAAGGGGCCACGTGGTTCCTCCAGTGGGATTACACCATGATGTCCGCAGCCTACATGGTCTGGTCCTTGACACTCCGATATGCATCAATGTCCGCACAGAGAAGGGTCGATTCGCTTGTACTGCCCAAGTTAGCAGTATCTTTTCTTCTCAGATACACCTTTCTCGGACCTATAGGTACAGCGCTGAGCCTTGTGTGGGAAAGAGACGAAGAGGCTTGGAGGACGCGTGAGCCGGGTACAGGGCAGCAGAAAACCAGGAAAGGCAGATAGACAAAGACTACGGAGCGCCTCCAGGGAAATTCCCATATCTCCGCGAGCCCACGTCGTATGCGATGCCGATACCCGATCATGTTCATCCCGATAGCTCTTTAATCGGAGTCTGCCCATATATACACCGGAAATTGAAGTCCCGAGCGCCGATGGGCGCGCATGTTGGCCTTTCCCTGCTTTCGCGACCAATAACATACATTGATAACTCCAAGCAACCGGAGAAATCCATCCGACGCCAAAAATGATCCGCATACGAGCGTCGAGGAAGCCTCGTCCGTCAATGTCCCCTAGCACCCGTCAGACCTAGACCAGTGTCCAGTGGGGTCTAACCATTCTTAAATAGTACCATTGCTGCCGAGGGACAGATCAACTTCCCACTGAACCCATTGTACGGCTTGAGTTTGCTCTTCAAAAGCCTTGGATGTTTCGATTCAACCTACATAAAGGCGACACCTCTCAACAAACCATGACGACGTCGCCAATCACGCTACCGGCGACACTAGATGCCAAGACGGCAATCTACTCAGTCTTTGGCTTCATTCTTTTGTACCAAATTCTCTCACGGCTCAACAATGGCATTCGCGACTATCAACTCTCCAACTCGAACGGTTGCCAGCCACCACCCACCTACCCGCACAAGGATGGAGTGCTCGGCCTACATCACCTCCTCACGCTCATAAAGGCCAAGAAAACCAACCGAGTCCCCACGGCTCTCTGCGAAATGTTTGACGACACGGGAAGCGGCGTCAACACGATTGGCCACTACGTCCTCGGCAAGAAATCATACTGGACTCGAGATGCGGACAACATCAAAGCCATCCTCCACAGCAGCTTCCAAGACTGGGGCCTGCCGCCCGCTCGCAAGGCCACATTTGACGCCTGCCTCGGTGGTGGCATCTTTGGCGTGGATGGTGCGGAGTGGGAACACTCGCGCGCTATGCTCAAGCCGAGCTTCAACAAGACGCAGATGAGCGACACGGCGACCCTCGAGAAGCACGCGCAAAAGTTGATTGCGCGCATCCCCGATGGCGAAGAGATTGATTTGGCCAACTTGTTTCCTCTCTTGACGATGGACGTTGGCACCGAGATGCTGTTTGGCGAGAGTGTCGACAGCTTGTCAATCTCTGAACTGAAGCAGGCCACAGAATTCACCCACTGCTTCGATTACATTGTTCACACAATGTCCAAACACATGAGTCTGCCTTTTCTTACACGTCTGCCGGACCCCAAGCTCAAGCGCTGCGTCGACTTTGTCAACCGGTTTGCGGAGGGTGTCGTCGACCAGACCATGTCAAGTGATGAGAAAACATCTTCCGGCGGCAAGAAGAAGTATATCTTCCCCACGGAGCTGGCCAAGATGGGCTTGTCGCAGAAGCAGATCCAAATCGAGGTGATCAACATTATGTTTGCGGGGCGTGACACTACTGCCGCACTGCTGAGTCTTATATGGTGGTACCTAGCCAAGCAGCCTGAAATTGTGTCAAAGATCCGAAACGAGCTTGAGCCCCTTGGGTCTCGTGCTCCCACGACGGAGGAAGTAAAGAAGCTACACTATCTGAAGAACGTGGTCAACGAAGGTAGGCGACTGGTGCTCTGTGAATCTGATTTACAGCTGACAAGCTAGTCTTGCGCCTGCATCCCATTAACCCTCTCAACTCTAGGACAGCCATCCGTGACACAACGCTGCCCCGAGGTGGCGGCCCTGATGGGAGGTCACCCGTCTTCATCCGCAAGGGACAGCAGGTAATGTTCACCTCGTCTGGTCTGCAGCGCAGGCCTGATCTGTATGGCAATGACGTGATGGAACTGAAACCTGAGCGATGGAGCACCCTGAAGCCTACAGCGTGAGCAGATCCCATTTCTATTTTCCGAACTTGCACACTGATACTGCACAAGATTTGAGTACATCCCCTTTGGCGGCGGTCCGCGCATCTGCCCCGGTCAACATCTCGCACTTTTGGAGGCATCATATTTCACTGTACGTCTTCTGCAGGAGTTTCAGTCTGTGGAGTCGCTCAACGAGGGAGCATTCCAGGAGGCGTTTGCCATTCTAGTTACCAGCGGCGATGGCGTCCGCGTGCGGTTTAGCAGGACAAAGTGAGCTATATTTACCGAATAGAAGAAATAATGAGGTCTGGGAGGACAAGAGGCATATCATTTCCAACAATCTTTTGCACACCCCTCATCGGATAGAACTTTGCTTCAATAGGCAACTGCCGGACTGGCTGGGACCGGAGCCGGGGCCGGAATAGTGGATCCCCCGGAGCTGAGGACCCGCAGCCCCGGCTCTTGGTTGGGCTCGGTGCCGGTGATTAAACCGTCCTTGTCAATCTCGTTGTGGGTGTATTCTTTTTCCTTTTCCTTTTGATATGCACAATGCCGACCACATGCTTTTCGATTCTTCTGCAAGGCACGTGCGGAGTGCAGCTCAGTCTGCATGGCTGACCTTGCGTGACCATGTCCCGGATGAGTCACCGTGGCTGTGCTGTTATTGTTGTTGCTCAATTACTGGCAGCAATAGATAGTTCACGGTGAATCTCAACCCTACCATTCCCCTTCAATTTTGCTCAAAAACAATCGACGCATTCAAGTATCGCCTCAAATTCCACGAGACCATCACTCCGCCTAGACAGGGTACGACATGGCCAAACTTATTCATATAGACGGCCGCACAGGCGAAGGCGGCGGCCAGCTCGTTCGCTTGGCCATTGGTCTCTCAGCAGTGACAACTCGACCTGTCAAAATTACCAACATCAGGGGCAATCGACCCAGCAAGGGCAGCTCAGGGGGGGGTCAGACACCCCGTCGTCACGAACTAGTCAGACTCCGCTGACTGGTCAGGTCTGAAGAATCAGCACGTCGCGTCAATACGATGGCTGGCTGACGTGACGGAGGCTGAGGTGGAAGGTCTTAGCGTCGGATCCACGACTTTGACGTTCATTCCACGCCGAACGCCATCCCAGCTTGTGCAGAGAAATTTCAAGATCACAGCCGAGTCGGGCGCCGCCAGCACGATGCTCATCCTTCAGGCCATCCTGCCCTTCTGCATCTTCGCTGGCAACGAGAGCAACGAGCCAGTGGTGCTTGATATCGTGGGTGGGACGAATGTTGGCTTCTCGCTGAGCTATGAGTATTTCGATCAAGTTCTCTTGCCAACGCTCGAAGATCGATTTGGTATTGTTGTCGAACGACAGCTGAAGAGTCGTGCTTGGAGCTTGGGCTCACCGGGCCAGGGTGAGATCAGTGTAAAAGTGCACCCATTGCAGCCAACAAAAGCGCTGCGATTTCGTGCGCTGGATTCTGTCTATCCCAGGGCGTGGCAGCTCAAGTCTGTCGATGTGACCATCATTACGCCGAGTTTGTCCCACAGTAAGCTTCAGGAAACAATAGTGGCAAGCCTGGGACAGCTTTTCCCGACGGTAGATATTGCTTTCAAAACCATCGAAGACTCTGGCAATGTGGCGAGATGGTACATTCTTTTAGTGGCGACGTCCACAGACGGGCTTCGCTGGGGCCACGATATCCTGGGGTCCATGCCAAAGAAGACCAAGTCACCCGATAAATTCGCCGGTCAAGTAGCGCAACAGGTATGCAAGGGACTTGGTAAAGAGATGCAGGTCAATGGACAGGTTGATGAACATCTTCAAGACCAAATAGTCTGCTTTCAGGGGTTATGCAGAGGGCTTTCATCTATGCCAAGGGGAAATCTGCCCACGGAAGGGCCCTCTGTGTTTGTGGATGATCAAGGACTCTTGAGCGCAAATATTGATGGTTTGCATCCAGAGAAGGGACTTGAGCCATTCGGCCATGGGTCGCTGCACGCGCAGACTGCGCGTTGGCTCGTCAAGGAGCTGCTGCCTGAGGTCCAGTTCTTTGCCAAGGGGGACGTTGTCCAGGGTATGGGCTGGATATAGGCAATAAAATTAGAGTTCCGAACTAGGAGAATTAACATGAATATTGTTTTCTTACTATAGCTTCCTCCGATGCAAAGGACCACCGCAGTCCTGTGTGTCCGCATACACCTTCACGACAGACACTTGCTCATAACACTACTCACAACATTACTTGTACAGTCTCTATTATTCTAAACGTTCCTATAAACCGTCGGAAGTTTATTAGTTTCTATACGTTTGATGTCACCTTCAATAAATTCGGACGTCATCTTGAGCAGCCGTGATCAATACTAGGTGCCAACGGCCGGAGGTTCAACCCCGAGTCGTGATCATAGTGACACAAAACCGCGTTTGAGTTTTGCTTGTTCACCTTGGGTTTATATAGAATGCCTTCTGCCTTACGTCCGCATCTCCCGACCACAATACACAGCGGCACACAAGTTATCACTTGAAATAGCCGACATGTCGCGAAACGTGTGTGTAACCGCCATTGACGGCCAGACCGGCTTCCTCATCGCGGAGCTCCTCCTGAGCAACCCAGACTTTTCTGCAAAGGTCGATTCTGTCGTCGGCCTCTCCTTGCATCCAAAGTCCCCTCATGCTCACGAGCTCACCAGTCTCGGCGCCAAAGTGGTGCCTCACCAGCCAGGCCGCGTCAAGACAATGGCCAAGAAGCTGAAGGACTCGGGCTGTGATACCCTCTGCCTCGTCCCGCCCGCTCATCAAGACAAGTTTGACATTTCCGTGGAGCTGGCTGAGGCGGCCAGGCAGGCAGGCGTCCCCAATGTGCTGCTCATCAGCTCGGCTGGCTGCGACTATGCGGATCTCAACAGGCAGCCGCGTCTGCGAGAGTTTATTGACGTTGAAAGCGTGGTGCTCGAGTCCAAGGGCTTGGCTGACACGCCAACTGGAACCTCGCCCTGCGTAATTCGGTACGTCGATCTTCCGTGGTCAAGGGCAAGCGAACATGTACTGACGATGCAGTGCCGGTTTCTATGCTGAGAACCTGCTGCTGTACTCCCCTCAGGCCAAGGAAGAGGGTACGCTTCCACTGCCGATTGGCAAGCAGCACAAGTTTGCGCCCGTGGCCTTGGGAGTAAGTGAGACCTAGCCTTCTAGCCTCCTTGTCGCCACCAGCTGACAACCTGTGTAGGATGTTGCTCTCCTCGCAGCCCACGTCCTTACTGGAAAGGGGGCGCATGGGTTTGACGACCGCCATCGCGGACAGATGATGATCTGCACAGGTTCGACACCCTTGGTATGCTCCCATTGTTGACTGTCCGCTGATGAAGATGACTAGGTCCAAAGTTGTGTGCAGGCGAAGAACTCGCCACGGCAGCCGGCAGCTCCCTGGGCGTGGAAATGACGTTTGAGAGCATCTCAGCGTAGGTCACATCCGCCTCGTGAGACACGAGCAGCACACTGACATACTACCAGTCGCGAGGCCAAGCGCGTGCTCAAGGCGCAGTCGGACATTGACCAGACTGAGCAGCAGTACTTGCTTGAGTACTACAGCCTTGTGCAGGAGGGCAAGACAAACTACATCGCCACGACGGCCTTTCACGATGTCACTGGTCGGCATCCGACGGAGCCGGATGGGTTCTTCAAGATGTACGAGAATGACATGCGGCCCAAGAAGGCGGCCAAGCGTAAGCATCACTAGATACGCTGGCCAGAGGGCGAGGTCGCAGAGTTGTCCGCGAGTGCTACCTATGAGGATGATGAGATACCGTAGCAAATGGAGTTTTGATTCTGCGTTGCTTGACAGTGACTGTGACGAGAGATTTTCAGAGTGCATGCCGCCTAGAACAAAGTCAAGCCACTTTTAGACGAGGCGGTCTTTGCCTCTGTTTTAGTAGCCAGAGCTGGCCAGGCGACACTGATTTGTCCAAGGGTTACCCGACAATGTGGTCATGGACTCATGGCTGGTCTGAAACACCGTTGACTAATAGTCCGATTCGATGGAAATGGTCAAATGCCTCCGTCCGAAAGGCGTTTGGTTCAAGACTGGCCATCACAACTTTGAAATGCGCATCCTTGATCAAAAACAGCTTTGTCGTCTGCCATGCAAAGGGTGAGAGGGTGAGGGTGGTGTAATGCGAGACAAGGAGCCCATAAGCGGGCGTGGAAAAGGGATGATCCGGCACGCCGCAACCGCGACGGTCCATCTTCATCTTGTCCGTTGCTCGGCCAATTTAGTGACCGTCGGGCTTCAGAATTTCCAGGAGCTGCCAGACCGCGTCAGCATCACAGGGACAAGCCATTCCCTCGTGCGCAGAAAAGCGACACTCTACCCTTTACATTACTCGCGCCAGTGCCCTGAGTTATATTCTATCGCCATGGCGCCTCTCATTCTGCACAACGTCCCCGATGACGAGTTGTACATTGGCGAAGATGGCATCAAGCGTCCATATGCGATGATCTTCAACCAGTATGTGTGCTCACGGTCCGCGCTTCATGCCGCCTGCATCGCAAGCTAACACTGCACCCCAGACCCGACGGAACGACCGGCAGCAGCACGCGTGCTCGACGCGCCGTCGCGGAAAAGGGCTCCTTTGGCAAGTCGACTCGTCGGTCACGATCTCGAACAGGCACCCCAGGTGCTCGTGGCGTACCTCAGAACCCAACAGCAGCCGCAGCGGATAAGCTCTTTGGCGAGTGGGTGATGAACAAGCAGTCCCGCGCCAACGAGGAGCAGTCCAGCAACCAGACACAACAAGACGACCCGTCCTCCTCGCAGCAACAGCAGCTGCAGCAGGCCTCCGCGACTGGGAAGCGAAACCAGCCGACAGAGGTCATCCTGCGCGGGTACAGGGCGACAGTGCAACAATATGCCTCCATCGCACACTACGAGTCCCTCGCCGGGCCGATCCTAGAGGACTACCCCCGCGAGCCACCCTCGAACCAACGGCGGTACAAATCCCAGCTGCGCGATGCGGCGTACACCCGACGACGCGCCCTGACACACGAGGAGCACGCCAAGGTCAGCAAGGCAGCTAGCGGGGAGCACTGGGTCAAGATCACATTTGAAAGCGCCGAGGCGGCGGAGACGGCCTTTTACGCCAGTCCGCAGCGTGTCTTGGGCCACCTGGTCTACGCCGAACCATATCGCCAGGCGCCGCCCGCTAGGGACGAGGCGTGCCCCGATCTCGATGCGACGATGGAGGAGCAGCACTTTGGGAGATCAAAGAGCGTTCCCGCTGCCATTGGCTCCCTGGGCAGGCCCAGCGGACCGACGTCCTGGAACAGTCGTCTCTTGGAGGTGCAGAGGGAAGCATCAGGTTCCCAGATCTCCAGCCAAACCCTAGACACCGGCACCGTCTCCAGCGGCACGGTGGACCAGCCGGCTGGTGCTCCTGGCTTCGCCATCGCCACGACCGCAACGAGTGTCGAGCCCCTCGAGATGGAAGACGAGATTTTTTGCCGAAAGATCCCCACGGCGCGCAAGGCTAAGATCCTGCCCGCCGACCAGGCCCTACGCCCGCAGCAATCCTTTGTCCAGCGATTCGTCGCTGCGATCCCCCTTCTTAGTTGGTTTGGAGGGAGCATCATCGGCAGCGAGGTCCCGCGCACGGAGACGGGCGAGTTTGACTGGAACAGGGCCAGTCTCTACTGGAAAGTGGTGTGGTGGCTGGACGTCACGTTTGGTCTTTTCAAGGGCGATGTCAGCAGCATCGACAAAGACGACTAACGGGCACTACGATCGGAAAGGGAGCATTGCGTTGGCGTTTGGGTGTCGCCCCACGATGGGTATGGTATTATAGATCTTTGGTGGTCTTGGGACCCCTGCATGTGTATATGAATATCGGTACACGAATTATGCCACCACCTGGCACGGCTGGTTGCACCGGAGAAATGAAACGCTAGTATGCAAACTGATCAAGACACTGTATGATTGAGTACCCTTCTCATCGGGATGAGTCGGGTGAACTCTCATCCGTGATGAAGTCTGGTGATCTCCGCCCTCTTGGTGGTTCTGGCGTGTCGCTCGCCTTCGTCTCTTTGCGCCCGCCATCCTCAGGTTGATGATCGTCATGCCTCCCGCTCTGTTCCTCCTCGCCTTCGTCCTCTTCGGGGATCTCACCATCCACATGCACTAGCCTCTTGGGGTCTTCCTTGCTCGGGCTCCCGGCCATGATCGACTCAAACGTCACATCGGTAGGGATCCGTCGAATCGGTTGCGGCGAGAACGGGCGGGCGCCCCTTGGCTTGCTGAACTCGGCCGACATGACACTATCCGCATCGCCAGCTGCCGCATGCGACTCCGCCACTGCGCTCAGGCCCTGGTAGCGATCCGTCGAGTCCATACCCAAGCTGTCGTTCCTCGCGTGTCCCATGCCCCGTGAATTCTCCGACGACGTGTCCGCCAGGATGCTCTTGGGCGGCAAGATGGAGAACAACTTGGACGATTCAGCGCCCGAAATGGCCCCCGTGACGTGCGCGCTGTGTACATCTTCCTGCGCAAAAAGATCCTGCCCCTTCTCGAGGATGTCGTCCAGGCCACCACCGCTCCAGCCCTTTCGCGCCAGGCTCTCGAAGATGTCCACCTCAGCCCGCACGAGGCTGCAGCTGGCGTCCACTATCCTCCCGCTCGTGTCCTGGCTCTCTCTAAGCAGTGTTCGCGCGTGATCGGCGTGCAATGTCGTGAGCCCGTCGAGCTTGTTCGTCAACTCCACCAGATGCGACCTGAACCGTGCAACGTCCCGTCTTTTCTGCTTGTGCAGCTTCAGTCCTTCCTTCTCGAGGCGTTTAATCTCCTTGCTCTGTGTCCTCATCCTCTGCTGGTACGTCTCCTTCTCGTCGTCTACCACCCTCTGCCATCGGTCCAGGTCGTCCAGCAAGGGTACCTCGAAGGAGCGATACACGGTCTCGGACAGTATCTGCTGGTGATTCGCGATGAGGTGCTGCACGCCCGAGGCAGACATGAGCGTATCGGCTGTGCAGGCCCCCTTGGTCGTGAAGCTCGTAGACATGCTCGCCATCCCCGATGGGCCAACAGGCTCGGCCCTGGCCTCCTTCAACCGCGCGCATGCTTCGAGCGCGGATCCAAATGTAGACGCGGCAGTAGACAGTGTGGCGAGCGCGAGGCGATACGCTTTTGCGGACGCGACAAGCTCGGCATAGGCATCCTGCGAGCGCTCGAGGTCTCCCGCGGTGAGAACCGGGTACGAAGGGCGAGGAGGTGGTGGCAGTGGTAGGTTGAAGGATGACAACGGATTCGCAGTGGAGGCGACTGAATAAACTGGCGAGCCTGGTACGGGAGGCAATTGGGACGGTGTCGGCGAGGCAGGTCGAGACTGCGCGGGTGTAGCCATGTTTATTTGGGTGAGGTCGCGAGGAGGGCTAGGACAGGTGAAGCATGCTCTTTTGTCGCGTCATGAGCCAGGCCAAAGCGACGGATAGCGACGAGGCAATGATTTGAAAGACAGTATTGTCAGCAAAGAGTGTTCATGTGAACAAAACCCTCCAAGGTCCAGAGAGAGAGGTGGTTGCCAGGTGATCGTTATCGCACCCCACTGGAGTACTAAGGCGGGTCACAGCCACGGTCGACAAGGATGACCAACAGCGTTCTTGGTCCCGGGTTGTCTGAAGTAGATATCTTGAAGCATAGAATTTCCAAACAAACAAGGTGCAATCGCTTCGTCTGCAATATGCAAGGAAATAGGACATTGTTTAGGCCACCTGTCCGAGGTTAGCATCGCAGCGAGAGAAGCAGCTTCAGGGTAAACTTCATCTTGGCTACCCGTGAGCGTGTCCTGATGACCCTGCCAAACAGCCTTGAGTATATGTCAGAGCTCGCTTAGGTTGGTGAATCAGAACGACAGTGCAATGTGTAGCGTTGTCTTGGTACACAAAATTAGCGGGCACTCACTGACCATCAATTGTCGACGTTCCTGCTGAATATCACAAGACCGTACCAAGAGCGCCCACTTGTAGACCGGAATGTGATGATAAATTCGCAACCACCCCATACCCAAGTCGAATTGCTATTTATTCAGCACGCTCTGGGTAACCTTGGCTAAAATAGGTATATCCAGCTGTACAACCTCCGCATCCTTTGGGGAACACCCAGCCGCTGTGCTCCCCATTCCTCGGCGCACATCGCCAGGAGCAAGCGTTGTGCAGAAACGGCACGACCAGCTCATCCTCGACCTCGCTCAGTGGATCCAGCTGATACACGCCTTCCCTCGTCTTGTGCCTGGTCAGGGTGTTGATCTCACGCCACTCAATCCACCGAATCGGCGCCACAACCATTAGTGTCCCGCACCGTGAACATGGCAGGCCACCCCGGTCCTTCTCCTCTACGGCCTTGTCGAAGACTTGCCGTAGGTTGGCAAAGTCCTCCGGCAGCAGGTGCTTGAACTCCCCTAGCCGCACGCTTCGATAGCAATTCCTCATGACCGCCTCCACCAGGCTGGGCACAGCCGACTGGCCTGCTCTGCCTACTTCAACTTGTTGTTGTTGTTGTTGTTGTTGTGACAATGTGTCCACGTCATTGGAATCCACGCCCTGTGCGTATAATTGCTTCCTGTAGATATGATCCACTTCAAGCAGCTCAGACTTTTCGTGCGAAGACGTTGAGGGTAGCTTGAACCTGGATAGCACTCTGCCTGTCGCATCAGACACTTGGAGGGGGGATCTCCCAAGCCGCCTGGTTAACATCCTCGGCGGTGGTGTTTCTGGCGTGCTCGCTGGCCAGGTGCCAGCTTTCCGCAGACGCTCATACTCCAGTTCAGGGGCATCCGGCTCCGGTGTTGTGCGCTCATCGTCTTCGAGGATTTCGAAAATGTCGTCCCCGTGGGCCGGCAAGAGGAAATAGTTTGGATGTAGAATCAGTGTCTGCAATGAACAGTTTGAGTCAAGTAACCGTAACAATTCCACAGGCAGGTGACGAAGTCGATTCTGTGAGAGGTTCAGCTCTTGCAGGTTGCAGAGCTTGCTGAACGCCGGTGGGAGACTCTCGAGTTTGTTGCCGCGCAGACTCATGGTGGTCAGGTTGGTGACATCGAACAAGGCCCCTGGTAGCATCCGCAGCCTGTTCATGGCCAAGTACAGGTTGAGCTTTGGCGGGCTCTGCTCAAACGCCACATCCCGAGACACGACGTCGGGGATCTTCTCAAAGTGGGACAAGGGAGCCACGGTCTCGCCGGACAGCTCCCCCAACCCCATGTTCCAAAAGTCGACGGTCTCATTGCCAGTTTCGACGCATTCCCGAATCTTGTGCTGCAGCGCGCGCTCGGTTTCGGTAATCGTCCGCACAGCCGCCTCCAGCTGCGGCAGCTTCAGACGCGTTGGCATATTACACTCCAACTCGAGGATGGTATCATCATCCTCTGTGCAGTCGCTCGCTAGAAAGACTCCACTGTCATACTGGCGCTGGAGAGTGCGCTTGCCTTTGGGCTGCACAGCTGTGCCGGCGCATTCAGGCTCAAGCTCATGCTCAGGCTGGTGTTGCTGTTGGTGGCTGTACCACGAGCCCAGATACCGTCTTTTTTGCCGCCCCTCTACATAATTGTCAAGCGCCGGGTCATCATCGCTGGAGAAGATGGCCGGATCGCTCGAGTTGAAGACCGAGGCGCCACTGGCTGTGCTGGGCCGGCGCGTCGCGCGTCGCTTCCTGGGGTTGTTGGAGAAGCTTTCCGTCTGCGCGTTCCAACTGACGGCAGGCAATGGAAGACGCGGTAATGAGGGTTCTTCTGCCATGGTCAGGTTGAAATAGGGGAAAGGATACTATCGCGAGCAGGAACAGCAAGTTGTTCGCACTATGTCAATGCGCTCGACGCGCCTGGGCGAAGAGCAGGCTGCGGGCGAGAGGTGGAGGGCTTTATGACGCCGGGCCACGCGACTGGACCCTGGATGTTCCTGTTAGGCCAGTACCGCACCTTCAAGGTTCCGCGCCAGAATCCCAAGCTCAACCACTGTGGGAATTGAGAAACAACCGATTAAATCGGCGTGCAAAGAAAGATACGAAATCATCCTCCCCCAAAATTAAGTTACAATGTCTTAGCATCAGTTTGGAGACCCAAAAGCCGACTCAGCTGAGATCTTCATGTTTGTCCGCCGTCACATGAAGTATCGAGCTAACAGCGACAGGGGCTGAAGTAAATAACCACTCCAGGGTCCAGGCCCACGTCATGCTTCACTGAATCACTGCACTTGCTGCGCGCATGCCGGCTTCGTACTACGCGCCACATGGCTTACTGCGACGCCGTGTCGCAGACAAGTGATTTGCCTTGCGGATTTGCCTTGCGGCGATCATGTATTATCCCGGGATGCTTAGTCCCAGTCGCTATCGTCGTCGTCCTGCCTGGACCTACCCACAGTCCCTGTTTTGATGCTCTTGCCCGCTAACCTGTCTTCCTCTGCGTCTTCCGCAGCGCGCCGCCTTTTGACCACCCTCATATCGGAGTCGGGCACTGCACCGACCTCCACGAGAATGTCATCGATCTTTTGCATGTTCGTCTTGACGCCTCCAATGGTGGCTAGTGTGACGACCTGCTTCACAATGTCCCCATTCTTGTATACCAGGATAGTCGGGCAGTTGCGGTCGGGGTAACCTTCGATCGCCTGGCTTGCTCGTATCTCACAGAATTTGATGTCCCCATACTCTTCTGCCGCTTGCCTCCACAGTTCTGACAGCACCCGCGACTCGACGTTGTTCCCCATGGACGAGGTCATGTTGACCAGCACCGGGCCGTTGTTGGAAGCGTCGGTGACGTCGCGCTGGTAGTCTGGTTTCGACAAAGGATAGACACTGCCGTGCATTGCCTTTTGTTGAAACTCGCTCAATTCCGCCATGCGCTTCTTCCTGTACTGCTCGAGGAATTCTTCGTCTTCGTCATCCTCTAGCTCGTCCAGTTCGTCGAGATCTTTGCCTTCCAAGCGGTTCTCGTGCGCAAGTCTTCTTCCCTCGAGAATTGCCTCTTCAATCATAGGCGTTGGACTCGGTGGCTTCTCGGGAATCACGCCCTGCTTCCGCAAAATGTCGTTCCTGGTGCCTGTCAGTACCCCGCGGTGGTGATGGAGGGGCACGCCACAAACCATTCTGTGTCGGCATCAGGGTCGTCTATAGGGACAGCAATGCGCTGGTCATTAGGTGCCGCCATGGTGATGAGTCACTGTGGTAAAAGGGAATTCCGAGGGCTGGTGAAAGTCTGGTTGATGTGCATGGCAAGCTCTGTCGCCCGCCCTTGGAGGCAACAGCTACATGCAATAGAGCATGCCCCAGAGCTGCATAACGTGCACAGGAGCAGTTGCCTTCATGCACAAGTGCATAAATTCGGGTCGATGATCCACCGATGCTGCCGGCGCCAATGATGATGCCCTCACGTGCCACCGGGCAGCTCAACCCTATGGCACTAGTCCACTTTTGTCAGATTTTTCGAGCTAGAGGCAAACGAGTGCCCCCTCCAGGCCACCGAACTTTTACTTGCCCCAACTCCTCACGCATCTCGCGAGCCTCGAAATCGTCGCCAAATTTCGCCAATCTACCACGACACTCGCAAGATCTCGCAGTCAATTCTTCCTCGAGTCAATCCGTCAAAATGGTAAGCGACGCAACTCCGCCAGACCTAAATTCCAAGCCGACGACGAAGTGCACGATCAAGATGGAAACTGGCCACCTCGACCCACGACGTCGATGAAATCTCAAATGGCCGACGCAAGCGACGACAAGCGCACCATTTTTTTGGGGACTTTTTCTATCTCGGCATACTGTCATCGGCTTGGGACCAGCTGCAAACAAACGCAAATACGATGGCACGAGCGTTATGCTGACGAAATATCTACCAGGTTCTCGCCGTCGATCTGTTGAACCCGGCTCCCGCCGCCGAGGCCAAGAAGCACAAGCTCAAGGTTGGTATCCCTCGAGAGCATCACCTCGTCATCCAACTAACCGCAGTGACAGACCCTTGTGCCCGCACCCCGCTCATTCTTCATGGACGTCAAGTGCCCCGGCTGCTTCACCATCACCACCGTCTTCTCGCACGCCCAGACCGTCGTCATCTGCCAAGGCTGCACCACCGTTCTCTGCCAGCCCACCGGTGGCAAGGCCCGTCTCACCGAGGGCTGCTCCTTCCGCAGGAAGTAAACGTGTCGCTCCCCTCTGATAGCGCGACGTGTTTCTTTCTTTGGGTACTTTACGATCTTACGGTATTCTCACGGGTGGTCATCTCGGATCTGCAACGTATCAACAACATGAAAGAAGCATTTTTCTGGACCACGGGCTCTCATGTCGTGTCCGTGTGAAGTGGTGTACTCTGTCAAAACGGGGAAACGGTTGCAGATAGACGATGGAACACCTCAAAACAACTGGGGCGTTTGGGAGGTCTCCGGATATCTTGCATGGCACATGAGTCTTTTCTCGTCTTTCCGTCAACGCGTCTTGTCCCAAAGGCCAACGCATCCTACAAAAAGCACTTGCATGGGAAAAGGGAGATGAAGATGGCATTTCACATGAGCGTTGAGCCTCGCGGCTTGCACGCGAGGAAGTGAAACCGCTGGTTGATCGCTACATACCCGGGTGCAGTAGGAGACGTGTACTGTGCTTGCGAATTCACTGGTTTCACAACTCGCTGGTTATGCTGATGTGCTTGGTGATGGATTCTCCCTAGGATGTGATGTGACATGTCAACGTCATACACTCATGACTCAGTCGGCGTAGATGCCCCAGACTGCCCGTCCTATATTTGATGTCTCGCGGTGCCGTATGTAGGACTTTGTATATTGCGGATACTGGACAGAATTTCACAACGGGACATGAGTCTGCTCTCGTCGAGGGGCCGTTCAGGGCCAGCAAGACGAGCAGCAGGCGCACCATGCCCAACTGACGCATGTCACTTTGCGCAGTCTGGTACTCATACCACTTGATGCGAAGCTCTAGGCCACTAAATAGTTTTAGAATGCACCACAGTTGGAACAAGCTGTAAAACATCACTACGCAACAAAAAAGGTGATCGCGTCCTCAAGCAACGTCTCTCACGAGCCTCATAGCAATCAGGTCCGTCTCCCTCCTTAATTCCCAGCTAATCAAGGCTTACCATTTACACGGCATCCATTAGCTATCAGTATCACGTGACACAAGGCACTTTACGCGAAACAGCCGCGTCGACGCGCACGTCAGGGTCGTTGTGGACCCACGCGAGCATCGTTCCTGCAAGTGCAAACCTCTAGACCCCAGCCCCTTCATGCAGTGCCCTGGTCCTCCTCATCTTCTTCTCGCTCTCGCCTCAGTGACGCAAGCAGAGAAAAGAACAATTTAACCCCGCCAGCACACGGACCATCTCCACTCTATTCTTTTCATTTCTTGCGACACTCACTCTTTCAAAAACATTTGACTGTGATTGAACTCCAACCCAGTTGTCCGGACGACGATAGCGGCTCAGCCTGAGACAGTCTGACGACACTGCATCCGACCATCCTGCCAGAATATAATTTTCCTTATCTTACCAATTTACACAACCACGACGGCACCATCGTGCGACAAGCAAGTTTCTTGGTCCATCACTAACTTGTTATCGACGACAAAATGTCCAACCCTCGAGTTAAGCGTCCTTTCGCCGGCGCAGCCGCCGACCCGTCTCAGCGCCAGATCACTTCCTTCTTCAGCAGCCGCGGCCAGTCGGGCGAGTCACCACCCGTCGAGTCGATCCGCGGACCTTCCCTGCCTGCGAACGTCGAAGCCAACCTGCTCAGCGTCGGCATGCGCGTGCGCAAGTCCGTACCGGAGGGCTACAAGACCGTTGGGCCCAGCGCCTTCAAGCTCTGGACAGACGACACCCGACCTTCCTCGCTCGGCGCACAGCAGCAGCATCCCAGGCCCCAGATGAAGAAGCCCACGCCTACCCTCTCACGAGCCACTTCGAGGGAACTGACACCTTTCTGCGGAATCAACAGTATTGGCGGCCTGAGCGAGCAGCCTGCCTCTTACTACGAGGACGAAGAGGAGGAACTTCCTGGGCTGGACGAGATTCCCGGCTTGACCATGTCCCAGGAGAGCAACGAGAGTACCGCCACGGATGCGAGCTCTCGCAAACGCTTCCTAGACGACGATGAGGAGGATGAAGACAATTATGAGGATCACGCGCGGAACTTGGGGGACTCGGTCAATGGCCGGATCGTGGCCGTTCCTCGCTCCCGCGTCAGGAAGGCCACCTCGTTCCAGCAAGATCAGGAGAACATGGCTATCGACAATGACTTTGACGATGCCGACTTTTTGGTGCACATGTCGGACTGATAAACTCTGTACGGGGAGGGGCTCTTCTGTTACATCACGTGTATTTGCTCTTTGTATGTGTTGCGAGGCGTTCAGGATGCCGTAAGTCTCGAGTCGAGCTTGTGGAGGATACCATTGCTTTTTTTTCTTTTTCTTTTTTTCTTCTACAGACTTCTGGGTAAAGGGGTTTTCGGATAATGGTCTTACACTTTTTGGAGTAATACAACAGAATATGCTTACATCCCCACAAAAGGTTCTCGAAACTCGAGAAGATCACGCTGTCCGTAGAACTCACCCACAACTGTCAGTATCATGTTGAGCGTAGCGCGCATGTTCATCCGCAGACGCAGTTTGGCCGCTTCCTCTGGGGATGGTTGGTCTTCTTGTTCAGCGTCCGCGTCGAGTTGTGCGAGGAGACGGGCCTTGACGTCGTCCACGGTCTCGTCAATCTGGCCTTCCTCTTCGTCTGAAGAGTTGGAGCCGATGTCCATGGCGACGTCTTCGTCTTCTTCCGATACTTCACCATCTTCGTGCTCGCTCGCTGGGAGCTCTTCCCTGGATGGTTTCTGGGGCGTGGGATATTGTTGCGCAGCGTTTTCAAGATCTGGATTTGTTCGCTTCTTTGTCTTGAGAGGGCCTTGCTGGACAGCGCCCTCCTCTTCTTCGTCGCTGCTGTTGTCAAGGTCCTCGTGAACGCCCAACTGCCCATCGTCGAGCTCGTCCCGTAAAGCTGCCATCTCTACCAGGCTACGTCCCAGTAGCACGGCTCGCTTTCCAAGGTCGCGCAGACAGCCAATCTCAGCGTAGTCTAGCTCGCCTCTCTCCGGCAAGCGCGCCAGGAGAGCCCACAGCCAGCGACTCGTGCGCTCCTCAATGTTGTACCCGTTCTGCAGAAACTTGCCGCCCAGCATGACGCGCAGTATGCTCAATATGGAGTCTTTGGTGAGGATGTGCATTTGGACGGGGTGCGGATCGGTGGCGCGCAGAAGCTTGGACCACACGGGTATCGTCGTTGAGCCCCGACCGAGGGGACCCGCCTCGAGGACGAGAGAAGGGGGTAGGCGAGACAGCGCATCGACGGATGGCTCCCTGCCAAGAAGTAGCCGCATCCTGTGGTATTGCGCAAGAAGAGAGGTAAAGTAGGCGTCGTGTATGGCTACCTCGGACGCTGCGTCCTCTTCGAGCGCCGGCGCATCCTCTTGATCCGAGTTGGGTGCACCAATGTAGGCACCGTCCTCGTACCAGCCTTTTGAATCATCTATGTCGCCGTCGCGAGAGTTTTGCGCGTAATCGTCGTCGTCCTCGTTCGTTTGTAGATCAGCCGGTAATCGCGGTCCGATCTGGACTTTGGGGGCGCGAAGAATGTGCGGTATAGACTCAGCTTGCTTCCTGTAGAGGTACTCACCATCAGCTTTCATGTCTGCAGGAAACTTTGTTCAAAACGTTCAGCATCATGCGAAATACAGTGCAACGGAGGGACGGGAGGAGAAGGGTAGGGAGGCGGAGCTTACCTCACGGAGCGCAGATACGCCATGGCCTCGGCGTCGTCCTCAAAGTCGGACTCTTCGCCCTCGGGAATAGTGGTGCGCGAGGCATAGCTGGAGAAAACATAGCGCTGGCCTGACGTCGGGTCTATGCTTGACTGCTGGTAGTTCTGTCGCGATCTTGAGTTGTGGTTACCGCGTGCGCGTTTGGGCGTCGGGTCGGAGATTTCGCCTTCGTCAAGATCTGCATGGTCGCGTTTGGAAGTCATGCTATGTCGATATGGTGGGTGGATAGATGCGGTATCCAAAATTGGCACAAGCTTGTCGCGATAGTTGAAGTCTTCAGCAGATGCAGCTCTCACACTCTTGTCCGAAAATGTTCAACGGAGTTGGCATGGTTTGTAGTTACGGCGTCCTAGATTGCGCTACCCTAGACATTAAAAGGCTCTGCTCTGATCGTGGAATCTCAATAGCTTGATACCAGTGACAAACTCGTTTCAAATTCACTGAGTACCGCAACATGCCGCATGCATGATTCTGAAAGGGTTATCTAACCTTGATTCCGTAAGATATCACCTTTCATTTATCAGGGATCAATGTGGATTTCAAGGCAGACAAGTTAGCTACTCCCGTCCGTCGTGGAATATGCGAAACACGCTTTCCGAGATCAACTCACGATCCGCGGGCTCCATGGCGAAGAGCGCAGCCGAGTAGTCGGAGCAATCCATCTTACGCCTCTTCCTTTCAGTTCCGCTCTGGCATTGGTCTTCATGGTGGCTAGCAGCGACCCCTGGCATGTCCATCCCCGTGAACATTGAGGATGGCTCACTCGAGCTGTCCAATATGGTCCCCTGGCCCATTAAATACCCATCGCTAGCATACTGTAAAGCACTCAGGTCGTCAAAGAATACATCTGAGCTGTTGGATGACTCGGACGAGGACGAGGCGTAGGTTGCCCGTGATGTGTGGGAGGCCAGAGCGAGGAAGTCCATCAGCCCCAGACTTAGCCATGAGGTTGACTCGCCGTTCCAAGGATCGAGCGATGGTGGAAGCGATACTGATAGGCTTCCTGGTTTCTCTTTCTGTATACGTGGTGGAAAGGGGACATGCGTTTCCGAGTAATTCCAGTAGTTTTCGGTCGCTTCTTCGTCCACGCGTAGTGGTTTGCTTGCTCGTCGTTGCTTGGCCCAGTACGGATTCAAGCTGCACAGTTTATTCGTTCGAGCGCAGTAGGAGCATGGCAACCTTGACTTGGAAGCTATACACAGGCCAGTACACGGTCAGTAACTACCTTGCTTCTCACAACGTCGCAGGACAAACACACTACCTGGCGAGTCGATGTTGGAGAGAGGCGCCTCATTTTGCTTCTGATTGATGATGAAACCATCACACGCCTTTTTCGACCGTCGGCACTGCTCGCACGAGTGATTTTGGCGTCTTTTCTCCATCAGGGGCGAACGCTCTTGAGGGAGTCGACTGTCACGCACAGATGTGTTGAAACAGCACGCAAGTTAGGCTGGCAACGGCCTCGACTACTATATACCGGTGCTCTTCCGCATGACATGTCCATATCGTGTGGATCTTGACGGGAGGATTCCGACATGCGGGGACGAGCCAGGCCCCATGGGGTAAAGGATATCACACCGGGACTCCGTGGGCGGGTTGCTCACAGCAAACCGTCGGTAGCATGTATCCCTGCACCAGTGACAGCTCAACTGGGAAATAACGTCCCGAGTGATTGGCCGCAGGGTATCCGTTCGCCGGGCAGCTCATGAGCATGAAGCTCGGCGAAAAGGATCTGCCAAAACAGGACATGCGGACACGAGGCTAGGGAAACTTACGCCTGCCCTTGACAGACTATCGGCGATAATAAGAAAGATCGACACCAGATTTCATTGCATGCGTCAAGAGCCGGGGGGGGGGTTCGTCCTGCTCAAAGGATTGGTAATGGGGTCATTGATGCTGAGTGACAGCTTACAGAGTCATTGAGTACTCGCTCGAGTTGGCCACGTACATGAAAATGGGTTAAATTTCTAGTTAGGTTCGGCGCGGCAGACCAACTCACGAGGCCCAAGAAGCTGCCGTTGCACAATGACTCGAGACACATCAGGCCATTCGTCGTCTAGACCTCACTCTTTCCATGCGTCCGGATGCTTCGACCAGGTACCAGGGTGGAGAGGTCTCCGAGCGGCAGAGCAAAAGGGAATTCGACCGACAGCAGCACCTGCGCGAAGAATATGTACCAGCCGAGCATGGACAGGGCGAAGAGCAAGCCACCCCCGGCATGCTGGAGCGTGAGCGACAAGTCCGCCTTGCCCTTGGAGGCGGCGAAGAAGGAAGCGGCCAAGCAGGCGACTTGAGATTTGTTAGCAGTCGCCCTCGCATTGTCAGATCACTCACTCACATGTCGGCACCAACAACGTCAAGATGCCCAGAAGAACCACATTCGTCCTCAGACTGGCGACGGCGAGGACGAAGCATATCATGGCCATGGCCACCAGGAAGAACGCAAAAGTAGCAAAGAACTGCGGCTGCTCAAGGCCATCAGCTGCGTTGCCAGTAGTCGAATAGGCTGCGTAGGCTCCGTATCCGGGCACAAGTGTTCCGCCGAGGGTGAGCCAGTATCCGCCAAAGATGAGGAAGACAACGGCGGGAAAGGTGTTTCCTGTACACGTGTGTGTCAGTCCATCTTGTCCATGCACCGTGCGCCAAAGACAACCTTGTGGGACGTACCAAGGATCCATTCCCCAATGCCACCCAGAACCATGAGAAGACCGCCTAGGAAGATGTACGAGGCGCTGGGCGAATTGTCAGTGGCTCGTATCTCCTCTGGTACGAATGCACGCAAAAGCTTACACGTTGGCTACTCCTGAGATCCCACCGGCGCCCTGCCAACCCAACAAGACCATCGAGAGAGGTGTCGTGGAGAGAATAAAGCCACCAAGGCCTATTAGTGTCAGCTATCATCCGGGAGCATCTAATTCAAGCCATACCAATCGGGGCCGGGTTGCCAAAGGTGGCTCGCAGCTTTCCTGACACCTGGTTCTTGGGACCGAGATAGAGCTGCTCGAACATCTCGGGGGTGATCGTCATGGCACCGGTCGTCCGCACACGGTCGAGGCCATCGTCACCATGGGAAGCAAGTGGCTTTGTGTTGCTGATGTCTGACATGATGATGAGGGGGATGAGGATCGGTGTTGCTGGAACTGCCTGATGACTGCCTGTTGTATATCGACCGAGTCTCAAGCTTTGCTTCTTCGTCCCCCGAGCGGATATGTTGTATTATATGAATGCCCGGAACGACAGCTGCCGGACAGATGGCTACATCGATGCGCTAGGACACTCTATCCCACTCCCCCCATACCCCGGATTGTTGCGTTCTGGGGAAGAGGAAGCATGGAGGCGTGCCGTGATATCCATGTCCCCTTTGACCGAGCAACACGACGGCAAAACGATCAATGACACGACCGTTCTCAGACATGATCTGCCCTTGCGTAGAATTTGCCATATTGTTGGTGCCCTCGCGATGCCTCATGAGTTTCCTGGAGGGTCCGTGTATGAGCGGTTCCGTTCCTCGACGATGGACAGTGCCTCGGTTCCGCCTTATTTCTGCCCTCAGCTCCACGCGCTAACGATCAATCTCAGCGTAGCAAAGCATTACGTGTAGGACGCAGGAAGCGTGGATCATGCTCCGCACCCTCGACAAGCTCCGAGCTGGCCATGCGGGGTATCCTGAGGCGGCCCGCCCGTCACTTGCTTGCTTGTGTCCGAGTGTACGGACGTATATGATGTTATGTGCGACCAGCAAACTATGATAGGTTTGCTCCCAGTGAGGGGGCGAAAGAGATGGAGACCACGGTGACCACCCCGTGTCCGCGTGCGGGTTCTCCTCGTCGACTCCCGGACCAATGTCGCCCGAGCGAAGACATGATGCACGTATAAAGGATTTACCAGAGTGCCCTAACACCCATCAAATAATCTCGCCCAGAACTTTCTCTCTTGGAAAGTTGACCTCGAATACAGCAATGGGTTCCGTATCGGCCGCGGACGAGGTGCCCTCGCACGTGCGTTGCGTGCCAGGCTCGGTCAACATCCATGTAGCCACGCAACCAAGCACGCCTCCCAAGGGCCCCATTGATCCGGACAAGGTTGCATCCACCATTGTCGAGCTAATCAATTCGGCCCTGGGGAAGCAGGACTTGTCGGGGCTTGCTGGTCTTTTTGTCGACAACGGATACTGGCGAGATCATCTGGCCCTGTCGTGGGCATTCCGGACGCCTTGCTCCCCCCAGGCGATCCAGAAATTCCTGCAGGACTCGGCCAAGTCGAGAGACGGGTTCCGACTGAAGAGCGTTTCCATCAACTCGACCTCAAAGGACCGTGCACCTCAGATCACCAAGCTCGACAATGAGGGCAAGGTCGATGGCGTGCGCTTCTTTATCGCCTTGGAGACGGCCATTGGTCGGGGCAGTGGCCTGATTAGGGCAACACAAGACAATGGCCAGTGGAAGATATACACAGTGTACACTCGCCTCGACGAGATCAAGGGCCACGAGGAGGCCCTACATCAGAGACGACCTCGCGGCGTCGATCATGGCGGGCACCCAGGACGCAAGAACTGGGCCGAGAGGCGACAAGAGGAGTCCAACTTTTTGGACAAGGACCCAACTGTCCTGATCGTCGGTGAGTAGGGGGGTAGGACCCTTGATTGAAATCACCATAGCTGACCTCTTCCAAGGCGCCGGACAGGCTGGCCTCACCGCTTCAGCGCGTCTCAAGATGCTCGGTATCCCTGCCCTCATGATCGACTCCAACGCCCGCATTGGCGACAACTGGCGCAAGCGCTACCACCAGCTCGTCCTCCACGACCCCGTTTGGTACGACCACCTGCCCTACATGCCGTTCCCTGCGCAGTGGCCCGTCTTCACGCCCAAGGACAAGCTCGCCGACTTTTTCGAGGCGTACGCGAAGCTCCTCGAGCTCGACGCGTGGACAAGCACTGAACTCGTCAAGACCGAGTGGGACGCCGCGACCAAGACCTGGAGTGTCACCGTCAAGAGGGCAAAGGCGGACGGCACGAGCGAGACGAGGACGCTGCACCCCAAGCACCTGATCCAGGCCACAGGCCACTCTGGCAAGAAGAACGTGCCCGACCTCCCGGGTGCGGCGGATTTCCAGGGCCACCGCCTGTGCCACTCGTCCGAGTTCCCCGGCGCCCGCCAGGACGGCCAGGGAAAGAAGGCCGTGGTCGTCGGCTCGTGCAACTCGGCCCACGACATTGCGCAGGATTTCCTCGAAAAGGGCTACGACGTGACCATTGTGCAGCGCTCCAGCACGCACGTCGTCTCGAGCAAGGGCATCACCGATATTTCGAACAAGGACCTATACTGCGAAGGTGGCCCACCCGTCGACGACGCAGATATGCTGGTTCACGGCCTGCCGACCTCTGTGCTCAAGGCGGCGGAGCGCGCCACGCGCCGAAAGCACGAGGAACTCGACAGCGAGATGCTCGCGGGTCTGGCCAAGGCTGGCTTCAAGGTCGACAAGGGACCCGACGACGCGGGTCTCATGTTCAAGTACTTGCAGCGCGGCGGCGGCTACTACATTGACGTGGGCGCGAGCGCGCTCATCGCGTCGGGCGACATCAAGGTTAAGCAGGGCCAGGAGATTGCGCGCGTGCTGCCCAACGGACTGCAGTTCGCCGACGGGTCCACCCTCGAGGCGGACGAGATTGTGCTGGCGACGGGGTACCAGAACATGCGGACGCAGACGCGCCTCATGTTTGGCGACCACGTGGCCGACAAGGTGGACGAGGTCTGGGGCTTGAACGAGGAGGGCGAGTTTAGGACCATCTGGCAGCACAGCGGCCACCCGGGCTTCTGGTTCCATGGCGGCAATCTCGCGCTCTGTCGCTACTATTCCAAGCTGCTCGCGCTGCAGATCATGGGGCTAGAGGCAGGCCTGTACAAGGAGGGCGAGATTTAGGAGGAGGGCCAGATGCCATAATGAAAAGATACTCAATGTGACTAAAGTCTTTTCCGTACGTAGCAAAAAGATCTTCAAACGAGAAGAGGTGTTCTGAGATTACAATTGTCGTCGAGATGCAGGTGATGGATGATGTGAAGTGACCTCAATTGTGACCCACAAAAGTTTGGAGAGGTAATTGATGGAACTCTGCCTTCTTGCTCCCCTCGACATCACCACCTCGCCAACTTGAACCCAATGCGCAACCGAATATGAGAGCGGCACTCACGCGCCGCGCGGCGCAATCCTCTCCAGCGTCCCCTCGCTGTGTACAATGCCTCCAGCGCAGACGGCATAGCACCTACAACCACTTCATCACGCAGAACGAGCGATCCCCCGAGCCAGGCGCCATCCGTCTCGCCGTCAAAGACAACATTGCCACGTTCAATCTGCCGACATCATGCGCGTCCTCGATCCTAGCCGAGCACCCGTCGCCCTACGAAGCAACCATTGTACAGCAGCTGCGAGAACATGTCAACGCACATGTGGTGGGCAAGACGAACATGGACGAGTTTGGCATGGGCTCGCACTCTCTCAACTCTGCCCACGGCCCCGTCCGCAACCCCGCGGGCCAGGACCTCTCCACAGGTGGCAGCTCCGGAGGCAGCGCTGTGGCCGTCCAGGTCGACGACGCGGACATTGCCCTGGGCACGGACACAGGAGGCTCTGTGCGCCTGCCGGCGGCCTGGATAGGCTGCGTGGGCTACAAGCCTAGCTACGGCATGCTCTCGCGGTACGGCGTCGTCCCCTACGCCAACTCGCTCGACACAGTCGGTCTCCTCGCGCGCGCCACGACGCCCATCCGCGCCTCCATCTTTGACAGCAGCATCTACCAGCTCACCGACCCAAAAGACCCGACGTGCCTGTCTCTCAAAACCCGGCAACGCTGCATAAAAGTCACGCCAGTTACGCTCCCTGATCTGTCCGACGTCACGATTGGCCTTCCCCTCGAGTACAATATCGCTGAGCTAGACCCGTCCATCCGCAGCGCCTGGAGCCAGACGGCCGAGCTACTTGCCGCCAATGGTGCTACCGTCGTTCCCGTATCCCTACCCACCACACCCGAGGCGCTGTGCGCATACTACGTCCTCGCGCCAGCAGAAGCCTCCTCCAACCTCGCAAAGTACGACGGCGTCCGCTACGGTGTGCGCAGCACCACCTCCGACGCCGCAGGCGACACGCTCTACTCGGAGACCCGGGGCGTCGGGTTCGGCGACGAGGTCAAGAGGAGGATCCTCCTCGGGACATATACGCTCAGCTCGGACGCGATTGACAACTACTTCCTGCAGGCGCAGCGGGTACGAAGGCTGGTGCAGAGAGACTTTGATCGTGTGTTTAGGTTGGCCAGTCCGCTCCACGAGCCCGTGCAGTTTGACCTGAGTGACATGCCCGACACGACGGATCTGCAGGACAAGACGGGCCCGGCGCAGGTGGACTTCTTGCTGTGTCCTACGGCCCCGACGTGTCCGCCCAGGGTGGAGGATGTCAAGACGCGGGGCAGCGTGGCCTCGTACGTGAATGATGTGTTTACGGTTCCGGCGAGTCTGGCTGGTCTACCGGCTGTGAGCGTCCCCGTGCGCTCGCAGGACCAAGGGACGGCGAAGCACGGCGTGCCGGCGAGCATGCAGATCATCGGGCAGTACTGGGACGACCGCCGGATGCTGGCTCTCGCGGAATTGATGGAGAGACTGGGTGTATGAGTGTATCGCATAATCGTATTCAACACATGTATATAAAGTGCATGTATAATGGGTATCATTAGGTATCGTAACATCGTTTCGTCTGCCGCAGCCATCAAGTACTACCCCTCCGTCTCTGATCGTCATCCACGTCCATGTCCTCGCGCGCTTCGACCTCGCCTTCGCTGCGATCGGCATCCTCGCCGTTGCCATTCACTTCTTCTGGCTGCGAACCACCACCTTCCTCCTCCCCATTCTCCTCCTCGTCCTCTTCATCGAGCATATGCTGGAGAGGGCTGATCCTCTCCTCGAGCTGGCCCAGATCCTCGAGTATCTCCCTCTTGGGCATCTTCCACAGACTCGTCGCGCAGATACGGTCCTTGGTCAGGAGGTCGTCCACAAACTCGTCGATATACGTCAGCGACGTGCCCTGCCGATTCTTCCGCCGTAGCTTCCGCCTGTCCTCGAGGTACGGCTCCAGCTTGGCGTAGACGTCCTTGGCCGGCCGCGTGAGCCGGAGGTAGAAGCACGCCAGCGCCCGGAGGTACTTGAACTTCTCGCCGCCGTAGGCCAGGTACATGTCCAGGATGGCCTCACTCGGCGCCAGCTCCAGGAGCTTGAAGGCCAGGCAGAGGAACGGGGAGGGACGCTGTGTCCCGCCGAGCGTGCCGGCCACAAAGGAGACGTGGTCCACTACGCGATCGACAATGTCCGCCTCGTTGAGCGCGAAGCACTGCTCCTTGTAGAAGTAGGAGTCGACGATGCGGTCCTTGACGGCCTTTTCCATAATCGTCGCGGGGTTGAGACCGTTGGGCGCGAGCGAGGCGGAGCTGCCGCGCTCATCGAGGAAGCGACGGGCGTCGACTTGGACAGAGTCCGACATGATGGGCTATCGGTGGTCGCTGTTCGCTGTCGGATACGGGGAGGTGTGTGCGCACGCGTTTCGAGGAGTGAATGTGTGGGGTGTGGCGTCGCAAGTTTCTTCTATCCATCGCCAGCCGTTCCAAGATGCGCCATGCAAAAAGTGCAGGGTAGGTTCGTTGCCCCGTCAACAGAGTCAACAAGGCACATGCATGAAGCAGCGCCCTCCACGTAATGTCATATCATGTACTAACATCTTCAACAAAAACCTTTACATATTGCTACAGCCAGCCGGTTCATCAATCAAGATGCGCAGGATACTCCTCACGTCGTCGCAAGTCTCTGTGCTGGTCACCAGCCTTGTCGGTACGTTTGTTGCACGAGAAGCGGGCGCGAGCAACCCATTCCAGGCAGAAAGACTGACAAGTTCACAGTGATTTCGTGCACCTTTGCCCTCTTCCTGAGCGGCTATGTGATTCAACAACGGACACTACGAGATCTACGGTCTGCGATCAAGCCACGAGCACCACGACCAAAGCCACCACAGACCTACCTGCCCGCCAAGTTTCGCAAGAACACGCGCACACTGGAGGATGGAACGATAATAGAAGTGGAGGGCGACGCCGAGGCCAGCGAAAGCCAGCAGATGCAGCGAGAAGTCATCGTCGAAGTAGCACCAACAATGCCAGAACCGGTGGCGCAACAACAGGTGGCAGCACTGCTGCGGCAGCATGGGGTCGAGAACGCCAACCCGTCCTCAAGTCACCGCCACCACGATCAAAGTGAGGTGCCCTCCAACAAGCTAGCCATGCTCGAGGCACTCAAGTCGCAGGCGGCGCAGAAGTCGTGGGCGGTAGACCACCCGGATCCCATGGCCAACAGCAAGGTGCCCGTCACCAGGGCGGAGAGGAGACGGCTGATCAAAGAGGAGATTCACCGACTGTCGCAGCCAGACGAGCAGGTGTACTACCAAAGGAGGCTGTGGTAGGGCGCTCGTGTGGGTGCGTGATGCATGCGGCGCGGGCTTCATGGGATGGTGCATTTCTTGGGATATCTGGCGCATGATGTTCGTCTTGGAATCTACAATGATAGGTGTCAATGATGGTGAATGCCTGATTTTTGCTGCAAGGGACTTCGGAGTGATCCTGAACAAGGCATCACAAACTGGGCGGACGGCTGGACCAAAATGCGATGCAACCCTTCAGGTCCGTCGATAAGGCAGCCTCCTGCACGGCAACTGGACAGGTCAAATCTGTCTTCAAGGACCGGCATTTCAATTGGACGCGCGGTCTGCCAGTCAGGCTCGGCGAGTGCCTCTGCCATGACGACAGTTATAGTGGTTGCATGAACACAGGATCCTGAAAGGCTGGAACAGCCTGTTTCACGTTTTCAACGCCAGGTCAAGACGAGGCTAAGGTCGGCACACCCGCCATGCTGACGCCACGGCCGTGAGACGAGGCGTCTTGCTTCACACGCCAGTCTCTCTAGACAGTCTGGATCGGTCACCGGTTTCGAAACATTTGTGCTGGCCGGTGGAGAACCGCAGCTGTCAGTGTCAAACAGGGTCTCCGTGGAAGCTAGCGAGCCGAGAAAGTGGCTGCTGACCTGGGTCCTGGCGAGCGACGTGATCCGTGATCCGTACGCACGTTGGCTGATCGTGATCGAGCACGGAGCAACGTGCCCGGAACATGCCTTGATTGTAGCAAAGGCCAAGATGAACTAACCCACTCTGAATTTCCTCTCTGCCCGTGAACGCCTTTGTAGCAAGGACAATTCTGATGCGCGACCCGCTCGAGTGCCAACCAATGATTGACTGCACTGGACGCATCTGGGAAGCTCGATTGAAGTTGGTGGGGGACAGACCTGCAAAGCAGGGCAGATGCAGTAGAGCCAATAGTTGCATGTTGGGGTTATATGTGGAGGGCGCATACGGGAAATTACATTCAGCATCTTCTTCATCATCGGTGCATCACCATCATCGTCGTCGCATCATGAGAAATTCACGAGGGGAGGCGACTGAGACATTTTGACACGGTCCAGGACTCTCGTGGTCAAGGACCGCGTTCCAGCCCACCCGTGCACGTCGCACGCCTAATCACGCCGTGACCGTGAAGACGTGTTTTCACCTTCACTCGGAGATCCCAGGCCCCCAAGGAATGTGGACGCGGGGGCTTTTGCGTGATGGCGTCGCATTCGGATGGGGCCCGAAGGTTATCGCCTCCCCCCTGGCGATAGCAGGCTAGCCCAGCTGCTACCACGCGCAGAGATATAATCTCCTAATATCGGACGGCTGCAGGAATCACCAATGATGCTGCATATACACAGTATAGCACATGGAGGTGATATAATAAAGATTGAATGGAGCGTCGACTTCGAGTGAGTGATGCCGTGCCTGGATTTGAACTGGAAACGGGCGCTAAGGTCCGTTCAGGTATCAGTGCTGCACGGCAGTGGCTACAGGGCACACGTGGACGAAATTGGGCAGGACAGGGGGTCATCCTGGACCTTCACATACGTGCGCAGCGAAAGTACGTACGTAGGTACATTTTCCGAATTCTCCTCCCCAGATCCCTGAGAATGCGCAATGCCATCATCAATCATCGTCTCCGGCTGACTCACAGGGTCCAGTCGCGCGGCTGCATTTTCCACCCCTTCACACTTCACGCAGAGCATGCCAGCATAGTGACGTACCGCGGCAGCCAAGTGTTCGTGGTGGCTCTGCCCAGCCCAGTGCCAAGTGCGACTCCATCACGGCAGCCTCGTAAAGGAAAGCACAGCCAAGCCTGTGGAGTGCGAAATGACGGATGCCGCGTCGGAGGACGATCTGGGCCTCGTGGGCCTCGTCCTTGGACACGTTCCGAATGCCGAGAGATGCGAAACCGAACAGTCTGTTCCCACACAGAAGATGTTGTCGCTTCTTTTTTTTTCGCACGCTATTTTCGGAGTGTCCGTGAGCACTTTGAACGAGTAGTACAAACTCCACATGGAAGAGTAGCTGGCAAAGTCACATATTCACAGAATTAGATGATCAATAAGTGAGCTCGTCCATTCTTGTTGGAGCAAAGGTGTTGACTATGGATTACAAGGAGATAAAAGTATGTGTCTCGTAAAAGAAGGCCTCCCCCTCGTATATCCCCCGTATAACAGAAAGACCACTGCCTGTGGTGGTTGGTATCGTGGTAAAACAGAAAAACATGCCCCGTGGCCCAGAATCCCAGTCTTTTGATATCATCCCATGCATGCCCTATGCATAATGATGCCAGTACTCCGTGCTTGAAAACCAATAGCAAGATAATGAAAGACCATAGTTGTATGTTGTGACAAGGCCAAATGAAACATGATGAAAAGAATAAGGTCCGTGTTGGAGAGTAATGTCGTGTGTGTATGGAAGCATCACACCGACGCTTCGGCATCGACCTCCTCCTGGCGGAAGACAATGCCTCGTCGTTTCCAGCCACCCCTCTTGACAAAGTCCTCGACGGTGTTGAGCTTCTTCATAGTGGGTCGCTGGATGGCGGCCGGCGTTGAGACGGCGCGCTTGTAGCTAAAGTTGGGCGTGTCCATGACGGAGATCCTGTTCCCGTCATCCTCCTCCTCCTCGGCGGCGGGCGTGGAGAGACCCTCCATGGTCCGGACGGTCTGGATGGTCGACTCGGACCACCTCGACTGCACGGCTGGCCGCTGTGCTTGCTGGCGGAAGAAGAAGTAGTCCGTCGCGGCATCCGGTGCTGCGTCGGTGGAGCACGCGTCCTCTGCTGGGCTCGCGTGTGGTGGCATCTCCATGACGAACTGGTTCAGGTCCACGTCGTCGTCGCCTTCCTCCTCTGCGTCGTCGAAGCTGTCCCCATCGCTGTCCTCGACAGCAACGTCGTATGTGGGTTGTTGTGGCGAGAGTGTCCGTTTGAAGGGCCTCTCATGTAACCTAGGTGGTGCTGTTTGATATGCGTTGCCAGAGTGTTGTGATCGAGGAATGATGGCGGTCACGACTGAGGCAGTCGAGTCGGAGGACAGAGAGCAGCCTGAGAGCGTTGACCCTGAGAAGGAGATTTTGCGAATGTGGAGGTCGCGAGGACGTTTTAAGTCCTTGCGCTTCTGCGAAAAGCTGTGGCCGAGGACGTGCATCTTATCGACTGCCAGTTGATGTGTCACCGTCAATGTCGTGTAAGTGATATAAATCCTGTGCTGGTATGCGGGTCGAGAATATTGAGCGTGGTCGAGGGTGATGTTTTAGTGATCGAGTTTGGTAGTAGGTATTAGATCTCGACACTCCAGTTGCATGTACAACAATAGATGACTCGAGACGGCAGCTGCAGCTGAATGAATGGGAGGGACCACGATGCTATATACAGACAGGCCAGGCAGCCTAGACAGCGGGCGGCCGGACATTGTGGAGTGGGTGACCGCTGCGAGACCGAAGTGGTGGGTGTGGATACCCTCAGCCAAGAAGTGAGTGGGTGTGCCTGTGTGCGTGCGTGCGTGCGCCCACCCCGCCGATGCCGAGCCAGATGATGAGAAGATGACTTGGCGTCCTGGGTTCCAGTTAATCATCACCACAGTAGGGAAAAAGAAAAAACTTCAGTTCTGGCAGTGCTTGGCTGGCAGTGGGCGGTCACCTGCTGGGCTCACCCCTGCTTGTCTGGCTATTAACCATTGCGCTAGCAGTGGCCGTGAGCTTCGGGACGTCGTGATTTGCAAAGACGGACGTCATGATGTTTCGTGCCTGTGTGCAGTTTGGGCTTGTTTCTCATGCCCGGCAGCCCGACCGACACTCTGGGTCTCGCTGGCATTTCAAAGGCGTCACTTGCATTGACGAGCGTTTAATTGTTTTGATAGCATCACTAGTGAGCATCCTCGCGTCGACGCGTAAAGAGAGTGCGCCAGTGTGCGTTGTCGTGTGTTGGGTTGTTTTCGTGCACTGAGACACTCATGTGCATGTCTGTTTCTGTTTCTGTTTCTGTTTCTGTTTCTGTTTCTGTTTCTGTTCCTGCGCCTGTGCCTGTGCCTGTGCCTGTGCCTGTGCCTGTGCCTGTGCCTGTGCCTGTGCCTGTGCCTGTGCCTGTGCCTG